GGTCTGTTCGACGAGATTAGTTATTTAGTAGCTATTTATTGATATAATAGCTGTTAGTAGTTCTATTGTCTGTTAGTTGTTAGCTATTGGATTTTGTTGATAGCCGTTTATATAGCGGTTTAAATTAGAAATATTCGATAAAAATAACTATTTAATTAGCTGTTTAACCTAAAATAACAAGAAATGACATTAGTTGTTTAATTAACTAAGAGTCTATTCGGCAAATTTAATTATTTTGATAGCTGTTTACTGTTTTAGTAGTGTTTAACTATTAGATATTCGAGTAGTTTTTCATGAAATACTAAAAGCTAAACATTATATTAATTAAGTTTTTATAAAACGCTATCTTAAACTCTAAAGTTAGTTCAAATACTATATTACCAAATACTATAAAAAATAGCATTTAGCGTTTTACTACTCAAAAAACTATTGCCGAATACATTCTAAGTTCAAAAGGAAAAACAATGGATATGATTGCCAAAGAAATTTAATAACCAAAAGTTAAATGTTAAATATTAGAGTATTTAACATTTCGTAAAAAGCTTATTTAATCTCTAAAAATCATATATGTCATGGAACGTTGTAATTAACAGAGATAGAATTTTAACCTTTTAACTTAAAGTTTGAACTTGATCAAAACGCTAAAAGCTAGCTCAAAAAGCTGTTTATTAACTGTGCCTAAACTTAAAAAAAAAAAATTAGGTGGGTAGGGCAAGAAACACATCAAACCCTTGTACTTAGTCTTCTTCTTATATTTGGTTAATACTTTTAAGTATCATTAACACTTTTTTTTTTTCTTTGCAAACATCCCCTTTGTCACGTGTTGGCATTTTGCGCAGCTAATTAAGACTGCTGTCTACTTTGCTATGCATCATTATTAATAGAATAATAACCTCTAATTAATTGTAATGATTTGTATTTTCTATTTCAATGAGAGCATAGGTATGCTATAAAGCTTTTGATATAAACCAAATATGCTATGATTTTTAATAATAATACTAATTTTGAGAATTTAACTATAGTGATGTTGAAATAAAGAACTATATATTATATATATTTTTTAGGATTTATTATCAATGATTATTAACTTATTTGAATTATTTATTTAATATAGTGCGTCAGTGCGTCATTTTTTCAAAAAATACAGTCTCATATTTATTTTATTTAGATAGATATATTCGAGTTAGGTAACTTTCCATTAGAATGGAAATTAAATTTAATTACTAAAAATGAAAAATTTACATAATCTTAACGAAAGTAATGAAACTAAATACAATGTTCGTCAACCATCATTGGAATTTATTTATCATTACACTTATGACTCAGTCAATGTCGTTTTAGAATACATGTTGAATCTCTTCTTTTTGTTCTTTTTAAAAAAAAAACAATTAGTTAGGTACATTCCCATGAAAAAAAAAAATCAAAATTTCAATTATTAAAAAAATGATGAATTGAAGTTATGTAACTTTAACGAGACTAAATACAACGTTTGATAACCATCAAGATAATTGATATATTACTACACTTATGATCAAATTAATGTCGCATTACAGAAGAATATCAAAATCATTTTCTTTATCCTTGTAGAAAATATTAGATGAACGTGATTGATCTCATGATATATGAATTATTATGTAATAATAGATTATATTAATTAAATGATTAAATGATATTTATAACGCGAGTAGCGTAAAAGGATAAGTGATGAAATTACTTGAGATATTTTCTATAATAATAAAATTTAAACTTAATTAAATAAGGGTATAAGCTCAAAATTAAAGAACTATAAATTCAAGGATGTAGGTAATATATATTAATATAGCCGCCCATATTTTTTATATGAATTGGAAAAAAACCCAATGCAAGTAATAAAATTTAATGGTAAGATTTTACTTTTTTTAGAACTTTAAAGCGGTGTCTACAGGATTCATAACTACTCATCTTACTACAGGACGCTTATCTAGCTAACATTTAGATCCGGTTCTACCCAAACTTTTCTGGTTCACCCCAGTATTGCCTTCTTGTCCGAATGTTGCTAAATAATGATTTAGAATGTCAAAATAGTCAAAATCTGGCAGCAAACTATGGAACAAATTAAAGTACAAAACATAAATATGTTATGAACTTTAGGTTAATGGGTTAAATCTTCCGCAATATAAACTCTCTCCGGATCAGCTCGTTTGTCTCTAAAAGCGAGCAACGATTAATCAGATTTGAAGACCGTTAAAATGAATACGGACCTGGATACCTCGTGTAAGTATAAAAAATATATATATATTACGGAAGTGTTACTTTCTATTGCATTTTCTCCTGACCTTGTTGTTTTTAATTTATAGGCAACTTGTAAGAATTAGGATCTTCTTTGGAAGAATGCATGCATATGCAAAATGGGTTCTGCCAACCAACTTTAGAAATATGTATGGATTAACCTAAAGTTTTCCTTTTTCCAACTTATTATTCTTTCAATTGAAATTTTAGACTTATCTTGTGGATCTAATGAATGAAAATTAGTCCATAGTTTGGGACGGAAAAGTATTTTCCTTTGTGCTTCGAAAAGTAGTGATGGGTCTACATCTTTAATTTTAAATTGACGAACTTTTAAGACAGATGGATCTATGTGTTAATTTCATTATAATTTAAGGACATAATACTTAGTTTTTAAAAATAGAAAAACTTATATATTAGTTTTGCTATAACTGAAGCACCTGAAATTTTTTTTTTTTTTTCTCTTTTTGAAATGATTTTCACGATTTTTGGAGATGTGAAAAAGTTAGTGGACCTCACGAATTACGATTAACTTAAAATTAGATCTTTATTTCTTTTAACCCAAGACCCAAACTGCTTAATAAAAAACTCAGCCCATCTCTTGTTAGGCCGCTACAGTATGAACTTGGACGGGCAATCTATATATCATAATATCACAAGTGGCCTTTTGCAGATGGGCTTGGTTCGGCTATATGCTTGAGCCTTTTCAATGACCTTTCTAATGAATTTTGCTAGGTGAGGTCCCCGATGGACCGAATCACCCGATAGACTACACAACATGAATAGTTTTTCATTAACTCATAAACTAGTGAAAATTTTTATGGATGAGAGAATTTAAATTTAAGACATTTCATTCTCACACTAGTAAAAATACTAATTAGAGCACGCCTTTCAAATGAATTTTGTGTGTCAACCCTTTAGAATTTTCTAATTTGTTATAGGAATGTTTTTTTTTTAAATCGAGTATCTAAACCTTAAAATATTTTACAATTAAGTGTTAATTGTGTATGTGGTTAACCAAACATTTGGATGGCCTGAATTCACACAAGTGATAGTTATATAGTTTATGCAGAAAGGGTAATTTTGTCTTTTTTATTAAATAAGTTATATAGTTTACTGAATCATTTTTAGATTCTGAATGGTTGTGTATGATTTCGATTTTAATATTAAGAGCTAATTGATTAATGATTAAGAAGTAAAATATGATTTCATTTTTAATTTTGGAGAGAGTAATTTTATTTTTATATCTAATAAATTATATATTTTATTGAAACAATTATAAAGTAAAATTTTTTCATTTAGACAAAATTTATATATAGGTAAATAGTTTGTTAATTCAGCTAAAATAGACAAATTTATATTATTATTATATGAAAAAAAAGTTAAAAGTGTAATAAAGTATTAATAAGATGAAGTAAATAATTCCTTAGGATAAAAAATGGTTTTTCATAATAATAATAATAATAATAATAATAATAATAATAATAATAATCACTTGACGAGTGAATCAAACTTGTGTGTGAGAGATATTTATGGATACATGTCATAATTTGGATGACGAATGCATTGGATTTAGATCTTACCAAACTTGCCAAAACCCACTTAACCTTGTAAGAAAGGACAAATTGATTAAGATTCTTAATTTCAGTTTAACCATTTTTTTATTTTTTTGAACTGTCAGATTAACTATTTAATTAGTATTATTTTTATTTTAATTTTCAGATGATAAATTGTAATTAAGAAAATCAAATACCCACCACTAAGAATGTGGCTTTCCCCATTGGAAAGCACCGACCGATCAAATCTAAATATTACATTTCATAGAAAGGGAATTATTTTAGTGGATGAATAAATTGTTTGTCCAATTTTCACCAATCAAGTTTGTTGGGTCAGAACAAGAATCTATCCTATTTGGATTAGTCATAGTGCCTAAGTTTTTTAGGGTAAGCTCATGTGAAATAATTTAAAAATAATTAATTAAATTAAAAACTTTAATTTCCATATATTTCCTTAGAAAAAAAAAAACCTTGAGGGTGGAATCTGTTGAATAATTTTTAATGTAGCATATATCTATTGTTTATAGAATTTGTTTGACGGGAATATTCAATAATCGGAAGCGTACCTTGATCCATAACAGTAGATTTATGTTATGGATTACCTCGTTGCGGAAATTCGATTCTCACCGTAACAGCAGATCTATGTTTTTTCACTCTGGTCTTTTGTTCATAAGTTTTCTATTAATAGTCAGAGAATTATCAACAGCTATAGGAGTTTCTTTTCACGGAGTTTTTTTACACGGAGTTTCTTTACACGAAGTTTCTTAACATGGAGTTTTACGGAGTTTGAGATAGCCGTCACACTCTCTTTTTTCTTTCCTTAACCCTAAGATATTAATTCCTTTTTTTTTTTTATAAAACAGAGGAAGGATATTAAAGTTTTAACTAGTCTTTATCCATTAAACTCAATAATCATCATCTTGATCCATTTTAATTAGAATTAACCCTTCAATCTCACGTGCAGTATATCAGATTCTACTGCCCTTCCTCCTTCTGAAAGCATACAGTAGAATCTCTAAAGTAGAATCTCGAAATTGGAGCTTATTTTCCAATAAAGATTGAAGGGAATCATAAAATAAAATACAAAAAGTTCGAAACTCGAAAGTGAAAGAAAACCATCAAACCAATAGATCATAGCACAACTTGTCGAATAAAAAAAAAAGAAATAGAAAAAGGAGGCCGCACATGTTCAAAAAGTTACTTGTCATTTAGCAACAACACGTTGGTTACCAAAAACAAGATCACCTCCGGGTGATGTTAGTGTTACAATTAATCTTTGGACTTTTCCTCATCTGGCACCATTCTTATTCGTACTTTCTCTTTCTCTCTTCAAGCCACCTTTCCTTTCTTTTTCTCTCTCTAAATCCGAACGACTAATGGCTCAGAACCATTGGCCCAAACCTGAAAAACACACCGCCACCGCTATGTATCCACCGCCATCCACCTCCTCTTCCTCACAGCAAAAACGAACGGTTCAAACCGGTCTAACCAGGTACGGTTCGGCTCCAGGTTCGTTTTTAACCAGAGCGGTTGATTCTGTTATTGGACCTGACCGTGAATTCTCCAACTTAGGATCACCTTCTCCTTCATTAGTCAGTCATCATCAGTACTTCTCCGGTGACTCGTCCTCGCTCACATCCGAGTCAACTTGTCAAGTCAACTCGTCTAATGATCCTAAAACTGGCGGTGGCGGAGGTGGAGGTGGATTACAGAGATCGTATGGGTTTAACGAGATTAATGGATCTTTGGTTAGGCAGAAGAGCTCACCTGCTGGCTTTCTATCCCATATGGCAGCCGAAAACGGTGCGTTTTCTTCTTCTTTTTTCTAAAATGATAGTATCTGTTAATGAAATGACGGTTATGCCCGTTGAATGGATGTCCTGTTGTAATGCGAGTATGGTAACTTCGAATCTTCGGTAATATGCATTTATCGTTAAAGTTATATCTTAGTGCGCAACTTTTTTAATTTTTAATCGCTAATTAACCAATTTTAATAATCTTTGGTTGGGATCTTAATTTTTAATTTTGAGATTATTAAAATTTTGATTTACATAATAATGGTCAAAATCTTTATTTGTACGTGTGGGTTGAATTTAATTATAGTTACTTTACTGCTAAATGACTTCAAGTTAGGCGGATTGCATTTTCCATTTATTTATACATACTATATTATGTTTTGGGTACCATTCTGTAATTTTCCATTCGAGCCCGGCTAGAATTGGTTGCTTCTTTATTCACAAATATATTGATATTTTTGGTCAAATGACATGACCATACTTGTTTGTTTAACGTGTTGTAGACTTGTAGCTTGGCTTGGCAACTGTTGCGAACCAAACCGGTTTCAGTTCCTAAAAATGTAGAAACCGGTTTATTTCAAATTGGTTAAATTTCAATTTGTGGCTTACGTATGCATCTCTTTTTTTTTTTTAATTTTTTTTTACTATAGCTATATACGGGCTCACCTGTACATCAAACTGATCATAAATAGTAACAGAATAAAGCAGTAATAATTTTGTAAAACAAAATTTTTTTTTATTGGTTTGGTGCAGTTAAGTCTTATTTTATTTTTTTATTTTGTGTGATATACATTTGTTTTACAACTTTTTGACGTTGGAATGCGAGGTTTGCTTTGCTGGTATTTGTTGTATTGTTGGCCTTCCCGTGGTTTTTCTCGTGGAGTTGGGTTGACGAAAATAAATGCCGAACAAGACAAAATTACCCATTAGTAGAGGAGTAGGAGTGATTCTGGATTTATGAGTTTTAAAAATATTACTGTAGTGACTTGTCACTAGTCAGTCACATGGACTGTCTTACTAACAGCTAGAAGAGGTTGTGTTTTTATTTATTTATTTATTTTATCGGCAAGGGTTTCTATTTACACCTGTTTAATAATTGGAAGAGAGACTTGGTGCATTATGTTAGAACTTTTTCTAAATTTTTAAAAAATGGGCGGTACAATATGCAAATGTAAACTATATATATATGTGCATTATGTTTAGAACTTTTTCCTAAATTTTGTATACAAATTGGCGGTACAGATATGCCATGAATGTAAACTATATATAAATATATAATATATTATATATATATATATATATATATTCTCTTAGATCTGATGTGTATAGAGAATTATTTGTTGTCCATTGAGGATATTTAATGATATACATATGTAACTTATTTTATTATTTATAGAATAAATTAATAAGAAAGATCTTGACATTTCACCTTTTTTAGTGGTTTAGTTATGAATGACCTGTAGATGGATACCTAATCCACTAATCGGATCATTTTCTTCAGTGTTAATAATAATAATAATATTCTTGAGCTTTGTTTGTTTAACCAATGAGAAAGATGTATTGCCATCTATGGTTATCATTGGCGAGAATGCTATGTTTCTTGAGCTAATGCAAAAGTGTGCATTATTGGTACTTCAAGAAGTGGAATTCACGTTCATTCTAGATGTAGGAGATGTAATTTATTGTAATAGATGTCATTTGGCTTTGCAATTAATGAAATTCTTATTCTTTTTCTACAAGGAAAGAGTTCTATGTGCAAGATTTCAACTTGAGAGGTTAGAATGAATCTCAAAATGTTTGCTTTTTTTGTTATTTGTTAATAAAGAAATATGGTTATAGCCTATTGTAAAATGAATTTTTACGTAAAGAATTGAGCTTGCATATATTACTATCATCTAGTAGAAATTTCTCACCAGCCAAAAAAAAACTGTAGTATAAATTATACCAATAAATAGATGTCTTTACTAAAGCTAACAAGACGATGCAAATATAAGGAACTGGTCTTAAAATTAAGAATATTACTTGCAGTGCAAATTCTGAATCTGAAGTGAACTTTTGCCATCCAGAAAACACAATAGGGGCCATCTTTTCACTCCAATGTCCCTTATTGTCATTTGTCGCATTTGCATAACACTTTAGATGAGTTGTGCTGTCTCAGATGTTTTAGCCTTTGAGGTGTTGAATTTTTTCTGCTTTTGCCAATTCAAATAGCAGGTTTTTCAATTACACCAGGGTCTGGAGGATATAGCTCCCATAATGGCACAAATGGTGGCCACACAGTATCAAGATTGAAGTCCCAATTGAGCTTCACTAGACAAGATTCTCTTTCTCAGATATCTGAAGTTAGTGAGGATGTTATTGAAGGCATCGGCTCTAACAATGGCCACCAGAATTCTCACCATTCTTATCCCTCTTCAAGCTTTGGGATTGGGTCCTGGGACAGTACCAATTCCATTGCATTTTCTGGACCACCAAGCAAGCGAGTGAAGAACATTGACGGAGACATTTTTAACTGCCTCAACGGCTTAGAAACTCAGGTACCAGAACTTTTTTTGAGAACCTTTATGTATCTGGAAACTCAAGGAAGAGTATATAACTTCTAATGTTCTACAGTATCTGAATCTAAAAAATATAAAAATATACTTCTCTTCCTTCCACCCACCTTATTTTTTTTATGAAATTAGCAGATATATGAATGAGCTTAGGGAAATTTTATATATATATATATATATATAACCTTATTTTTTTTAGAAATTAGGCCAGAGTATTGAATGAGCTTAGGGAAATTGTAATATATATCAATATATAAATATATACTACCAATTTTCAGACAATTGTGTTAATTGCATGTCAAAACAACTGGTGCAAATCCCATTTTCTATCATTTTTTAAGCTGATATTAGAAATTGATTAATACTCCTTCCCTCTTCACTCTTTCAATATATATATATATATATTCCATTTTCAGACATTGTTTCATTCCATTTCAAACAACTGGTGCAAATCCATTTTCTATCATTTTTTTAAGCTATATTTAGAATTGATTTAATACTCCTTCCCTCTTCCCTCTTTCAAATTTTACTTTCTCGTAATTAGCTCCTACCTGTGCGTGTTTCACATATAATGATCCTGGATCAAATCCCTAAAACTTGGAACAAAAATAATGGTGCATCAAGAGCAGCCTGAAATTTTTTTCATTCATCTTTTCAGAAAAGAAAATGCAACCTTAGATTGACATTTACAGCAAATGTACCAGTATTATATCGAGCAGACAGCTGACAGATGACTCATTTGTCATTCAGTTTAGTTTGCCACAGACAAGTCTTGAGATGGGGACTGTGGAGAAGCTATTAAATATTCCTGAGGACTCCGTGCCTTGCAAAATTCGTGCCAAGCGTGGCTGTGCCACCCACCCACGAAGCATTGCTGAAAGGGTTAGTAAAATCCACCAACCTCCTCCATTCTAATTCATTTTGTAGATGAGATGTTTTCTTGGAAAATTGAATCCGAACTTTGATGAGATTCAAAAACATACTTTGTTTGAAACTTGCTAACACATTCCTATCTTGATTTTATTTCATGAAAATGTTTTATAAATTTTATTTAACATAAAAGAAATTTTGTCATATCTACTTTTCTAACATCTGAAAACACATTTTTCATTACTACTTTGATTCATTTACTATTGTCTCAATTTCAAATGGTTAGCATTCTGTATTTATAGTCTGCTGGAAGCATGCAACTCTTTGAGCCAATTAATGCATAAACCAATCTGGAACATTCGCCACACAATAGTACTGCACGATATAATGTAATAGTTGGTTACTGTGTGATCTGTCAACTCTATTGTTTATTACATTAGATAGGGGACCATCGGACTTAATGTAATAGTTGAAGTATGCAGTTTCTACAACGCAACAGGCTCAATAGAATACTGATTTTACACACAGTGCTTGCATTTCCTTCTTCTTCTCGTCCTCCTCACTTATTTATTATTGGAGTAATATCACATATTTGTCTACTAATGTGTACTTCTTCAAGTATCATGTATTGGTCTATTGAAGTGTTTTCTTGGTTCAAAATCAAGGTAATTTGTCTGAGGCGCATGCTTCTTCAACCTCAAACTTTCCTATTAGTTTCTAATTAGATTAGTACCACAGTTATTACAGGTTCTTTTGAATGCAAGCCCCAGGATGTTATATTATTGAGAGCTCATATTGGGTTAAATGAAGATAACTAATGGGGAGTGGGTGAAGTACCTGAGATATCAAAAGAGTCTGTATGAGAATTAGAAGAGCACCATAGGCAGGATGTGAGGCAGAAAAGAAATTTGACACGGTGATTGAAAGAACAAGGTGGAGAATAGTGGGATAGTCAACTAGTCATCCTAACTGGAGTTTCCAAATGGATTGTATCAGACTCGACTTGCTTGAAATGATTATGTTGTAGTTGTTAATGGAACATGGCATGTCACATCAAAGGGCAATCTTATAATGAGAAATCTATAGGCCCTTTTGTATTTTATGGTCTTACTATAAAATACAAATTTAAGATCTTCACTACAGTGCACTGAGGCAATTTGTCTGCGTCAATACCAAGAAGATGGATTGTTAAAATTTGATGTGCAGTAGACAAAAATTGTGAAGATTGTTAGCTTGAGAGTGGAAATTTACGTAGCACCTTCAAAAGAAGCTAAACTGGGAAGTACCATTTGTTCATTCATTTCATAATCGAGTTACTCTACCAATTGCACTATGTAGAATTTTACAGAAATCTTCCTTTTATATATATATATATATAAGTGCAGAGTGCAGAAGAGGATTTTTGATGTTTTTTCCTTTCTTCTTCTTTAAGTGCATATGTTATTTGACAAACCATTGTTCTGACACTACGGTGATAAGATGTTAGTGATAGGTATTGGACTAAAATAATAAGCTTAATGTCCTTATCTGCTCTTTTCTTTTTCATTTTTTAATTTTTTCTTGGGCAAGGATAATTGATGCTTCATAGAGGGAATGTAACAAACTCGGAACTATTTGTAGAACACATGTGCATTTATTTATTTATATATTTACTCATATATACACTTCTATGGACAAATATTTATTTACATATGAGGGTGCTAATTTATATGAATTGAGATAACGTTTTATGTTAATATACAGGAGAGAAGAACCAGAATAAGTGGGAGGTTGAAGAAACTACAAGATCTTGTTCCTAACATGGATAAGGTACTGATGGTGTAATCTGTTATATGTAGAATGTGCAGTATGAAATTAAAAATTATCACGAAATTCCTTCATTGGGATTGGTAGGGACATGATGCATCTATGCCACTACTGACTTTTAATCTGTATACCTATTTTGCATACAAGCATGTTTGAGGTGTTGATCAATTTTTTCTTTTTGGAGAATAAACCTCTAATTAAATATGCATTTTACTGTATGAAACAATCATCTTCACTAAATAAATCATTTTGTTTAAAGTGTATATTCATTATTTCCTCTGTTCTATTAAATTTGGCCGTCTTTAACTTTTTTTTTATTCTATTTAGACGACACTTTTGGAAAATCAAGGTAGTCTTAGTTATTTTATTATAGCTTCAACTTTGTCTCAAATAAATGAGCATTAAAGGGTACTTAAGCAAATGACCCTTACTTTTCAAGAATTGAGGTGATTCAATCATTTTCTTAATTGTCATGCAAAGTAAAAAACTGTTAAATTTAACAGAATGAACGGAGTATGTCTAAATATTTGAGAGCCCATAATTTTTAACTGAAGACAGGACAGTCACATAAAACATACATATATCCCAGCTTTGCAATTCCAAAATGTAGTAGTATCTAAGCTTGCTGGTTCCAAAATGATATCTTTAAGAAATTGCAGATGATTATATTTGAACTTGTTCCTGCAGCAAACGAGCTATGCAGACATGTTGGATTTGGCAGTTCAGCACATCAAAGGCCTTCAAACTGAAGTTCAGGTGTGTGAATTTTCCTGTTATTGAAAAACACTAATGAACACAAACACACACAGACTAGAAAAGAAAGAAAAATTAACACAAGAATTTTACATGGTTTGACTAGTGTGCCTATATCCGTGGACATATGTGAGTGTTACAGATATATTTATATAGAATCTCATGGTTAAACCTTATACAAATTGGAATTACATATTCAATCTTATAATAATAAAAAAAATGCCGAATCAAAATACATATTAGATAAATATATATGGAGTAAATGACATATAAAGAGGAGGGTGAACCAATCAAAATCGCTTGGATCATTTTGTATGAAAGGCAAAGCCAACTCATTTAATTAATTTGCTCCTAGGGCCCAAATTCTTAACATGGTATCAGATTCTAGGACCCAAATCTACATGAGGGAAGGAAGTTCTCGTGTGGGTGGACCCGCATTGGGCCATTGTATATGGATAAACTCACATTGGATAAATTCATATTGTTATATCGCTGGTCTTTCTCTAATCTTCCCTCTGATTATGTCTTGCAGAAACTACAAAAAGAATTGGAACATTGTACATGTGGTGGATGCAGACCTAACGCATGACATTTTGGCTAACTTAGTTTTCATGAAACAAGTTTTTGAAGGCAAAGGGCCTGAGGTAAGGCTAACTTTGTTGTTGTACCAAGTTTAACTCAATAATGCGAAGGTAGAAGAGTAGAAACTCTAATTGTATATAGTGAAGTAAAACAAGTATTGGTAATTTGTAAAACATCAGAAAAGATGTGTAAAGTGGCATTCATTGTCTTCTTTTGAGTAGTTTGTGATCATTCTGAGGATGATTTGGTTTTTTAAATTTTATATGGCTTTTGAAATTCTATATACTCATGCATTGGGTTTCTTTTCCTTTTTTATTGTTTGGTATTGCTGTACATATTATAAATACTATAAAAGGATATTGTTGTTTTAGAAGATAAGCAATTTTCAATCCCTGTAAGGTGAGAACACAAATTCAATCTTTAACTTACATTACTGAAAGGATAAAAACTTTTTTACCTTTCACGTATGAAAAGTGGTTATTACCTCTTGGTTCTAAGAAAAAAGTATTATCAAAATATTTACCTCAACTATTCAAAATTTGATCAATAATGTAAGAAGCAAACTTGTTTGCTAAATGGCTTTAACTTTTTTTTTTTTTTTTTTTTTACCTCAACTATTCAAATAATTTGATCAAAATGTAAGAAGCAAAACTCTGGTTTGGCTAGAATGGCTTTAACCTTTTTTTTTTTTTTTTTTTTTTGGTGGCAAAAGAAGAGGAAAACAAATAGTAGAAATCTATTTCAAAAAGCTAATGTTAAAAACATCGGTCGAAAGAATCAAAGACAAGGGATTAGGACTAGCTTTTCAAATGAATAAAGAAAAAGTGATGGCATGCTCCAACTTAGCCAAATGATTAGCCGCAAAATTAGTTTCACGAAACACATGATGAATAGAACCGAAGAATAAATGGCTTAATTTTAATAGTCTACTTACGTGCCCCATTAATCACATGCAATCATAGTAATAACCGATGAAAGATAAGAAGAACTAACATGGTATAAAAATGCAGAGAGTAAAAGATTTTTAATTCAAGCATTCTCGACTATTTTTTATATGTAAAATAATCAAAAATATTATATATATAAGCAATATTACATCCCATGTATTTATTGTTAATAATCATTGTCTCAATTTAATAAAAAAAAAACATATATTTAGCGAAGAAATACAATACAAACATAAAATTACCTAACTCTTTCTCTACATCAACTTCTAAACTATAATTCTATATATCAATATAATTAATGTAAAAATGTAAAATTAAATTAAGTTTACTCTATAAGTTGAGTTAGTTTTTAATATTTTATCTTAAAAGGTATACTTCTCCATATTAATTGGAGTCATTCGTTATAGCTTAATGGGTGCACACCCGTTAAAAATAACCTTTTTTTTTTTTTTTTTTTTTTTTTTTTTTTGTTGGAATCAAGAAAAAACCATTGTTTAATACCATATCATTGACTTACTATTCCATGCATTATCCTAACCTTAAATCAGGATTACTTCATGTTGGACCTAAATCTACTTTGTCTTGTTTACGGTTACTTTTATTATTATATTATATTATTTATTTTTATTATAATTATTTTTTTTTTTTTTTTTTTTTTTGTTGGGAATCAAGAAAAACCATGTGTTTAATCATATCATTGACTTACTATTTCCATGCATTATCCTAACCTTAAAGGATTACTTCAGTTGGACCTAAATCTACTTTGTCTTGTTTACGGTTACTTTATTATTATTATTATTATTATTATTATTATTATTATTATTCTTCTACAATTAGTCTATTTTACTATCTTTATGAGTAATAGAATTAAAATTTCATTAAAGTTACGAGATAATTCAATAATAAAGAATATTTAAAGGAATCGATAGTTAACTCTCATGCTTTTTAGAATAAATGAAAAACAATTAATTTTTTACGTGAATTGTTAAACGAATACTGCTTAAGTACCTCGTGGTTAAAAATAAAAGTTAAGTTTTGATTTTTATATTATAGAAAAGGAAAACGATGAATCAATTATCTAAAACTTAAATTTTTAAGGTTAAAAAAAAATATTCAGAATTTAGATAGTTTTGTAATATCTTAAAAATAGCAATTTATAATAATTTAAGTAGCATGTGCTATGATTGTCATTGTTATCAAATAATCATCAATCATGGATTTCAATAGCAACAATTCTAAATGAAAAATAAAAGAAATGAGGAAGAAGAATGAAAAGAAAAAAAGAAAATTATTTTTTTGATAATTTTGTACTATTTATTAATAAATAAAACTAATAATAAAAAATTTATTACAAGCAAAGGAAATAAAAAGAAATAAAAATAGTGTCCCTCTATATCATTATCATCAATCCACTACATGCGCAGTATGTCTGTGCCAGCTTGACTACTCACATCAACACCTCAACACCTCTCTTCCCCCCTCTCTCTCCCCCTCTGTCTGTAAGCATCTTCGTTCTCTCTCTAGAAAACGATAAAAGTGTCGCCATGTCGTCGGACGATGAGGGAGGAGAGGAGTACCTTTTCAAGATCGTGATAATTGGGGACTCAGCAGTGGGCAAATCGAATCTGCTTTCTCGGTATGCGAGGAATGAGTTCAATTTGCATTCAAAGGCCACCATAGGCGTAGAATTCCAGACCCAAAGCATGGAAATCGATGGAAAGGAAGTCAAAGCTCAGATTTGGGACACCGCTGGTCAAGAAAGATTCCGTGCGGTCACTTCTGCTTACTATAGAGGTGCTGTTGGTGCTCTTATTGTTTATGATATTAGTCGCCGTACTACTTTCGATAGCGTTGGTCGATGGCTAGATGAGCTCAAGAGTAAGTAAAGAAAATCCTTTTGTTGGTTTTTTGTGGGTTTGTTGAGTACCCATTGTTCGTTTTTTTGATTTGCTGCTTGTGGGTGTTGTTTGATTGGGTTTAAAGGTTTAATGGTATATTAAGTAGTTTGTTGCATTGCATGAATTATATATGAAATGCTTGATTTGGGCTTGTGGTGTTGATTTTGTTGTTATGTTGGTCAGTTGTTGTAGATCTGAATTTGTAATGATGATTTATATAACTCGAGTTAGAAGAATGGAATTTTAAAAAGTTGTAAAGCATTTTTGTGAATGGCTGGCATTGTTGCTTTCTTCTTTGTTTTCTGCTTTTGGGTGTAGTAGGGTATGCTTATATTATGCTCTCTATTTATTTTTAATTTTGTTTGTTGTATAATTCTAGATTACGTGCATTTTTAGGAGGTTGCTATTTTTGGATGATGTTTGCATTAGTGGGAAATCAAACTGTAATTAGCCCAATAGGTTATGTGTGAATATATATCTTTCATAATGATGGTGAAGTGCATGATCTGTTGGAAGGTGGGTAAATGAATACCAGTTGGTTTTGTAGATAGATTAGAATAGCACAGCATTATTATTTTAATTCTGATCTATGTAATTAATGTTTCTATTCTGGCCAGTAAAAGAATTGCAATGTGAATCTCAAGTTATAGGTCAGAAAAAGAAATGTTGTGTCCCAGAATGATTTTGGTAGGCTTTTTAATTTGTCAAGTTTTATTACTAAAATTGTCACATCAACATGTGTTATATGGAATCAATTTATTAGACATTATAGATTCCCTTGTTGTTTTTGGGATTGACTTGCCTAGACCGTGTTCATAGCTTCATCTATGGACCAAACTAATGAAATAAGAAGTTTTAATAAAACAAGTGTATTTCTGACCATACACTAGAAAAAAAAAAAAAAACGATAAAATATGAACAATTTTAAAAAATTCTGATTTTCATTGGTTTGGTTTATAGGTGAGATCATAAACCCGATAAAATTTTGGCACTTCCTTGATTCTTTTATAGAAAGTACATACGAGAAAGGTGAAGTTTACCCCATCTTATATTTTGAATCAAAAGGCTATTCACATGCATTGAGAAAATTTCTTCAATTGTTGGTCAGTCTCACTTGGTGCAACCATTCCTTGTTGGCATGAGTTACTATGGCTATAAATAAGCTTGGTTGGGTAACAATGCATGTCAAGCAAACTCAATCTTGGATGTCTTTGTGACCCTATATAGTTCCCCATGAAGATGTATTGTTTTAGCTTAGGTTTGTCAAGACTGCATAATTGATCCTAGAATGATGGTGACCAACTCCTCCAGCTTATTTGTTGATTCCAAGACTGTGTTTCAGGCTGTTTACCTTGAATATCTAACCTTGAAAAATCATCCATATGAAGGAGAGCCTTTACTTTTGGTGGATTTTATTACCTTGTTTATAGGCATTTAATTACTCAATTAAAAACCGTATTTTTTCTAATGAAGGACCTCATTGTCTCGAAATAAGAAGTTTATATAACAGTGAATGACAAAGGATAGGCTTATTGGTTGGAGATTTACAAGCTTAAGCCTTTAGGTTGAGTAGTTAGCCAATAACATCAGAGCTTAGATGATATGACGGTCAAGAATTCGAATTCCCTCTTTTTTATTAATTATAGTTTCACCATAAGGAAGAGCTGCATCTGTACAGGGTCAAGAATTTATGCTTAGCAAGTTTCGGGTGAGAGCTCATTAAAGATATAAAACCTAATTTTGACGTTGAGTGATTTTTTATTAGACAAATCATTCATTGAGTTTGAGCCCTATAACTTTTGGCAGCCTGGCAGGTGGTATCTTGTGTTAATTCAATCTAATTTCATTTGTGGAATCTTTTTTCTACCTTCTTCAAAGAACAAGTAATATACACACTGGTAGTTGCAAGCATTTATGTAATTTTATTGCTTGCCCTACCACATAATTATTACATGATTTTCTTAAATGCATGAACAACTTTTAACTTGTGTGGGTGGAAGTTGTTTGTCTTATAGCAATTTAAGGCTCTAGAGATGTGTTCAATTTAGATTGGAAACAAAATTGAGCTAGAAAAATTTTGACAGTTTAGTTTGCCCCTCAATTATATAATATGGGTTGATTTGGAATAGTAGAAAAACTACTTTGTGGTTTTATTTTGTTGTCTTTCCTTTTAATTTGAAAATGAAACAAGCTGTAAATTGTATTTTAATTAGTATGTTACCTTATATGTGGTAAGATAGTTACCTATATATTAGGAAATTGATGCATATGGACAAGTCTAGTTGTAGCTTCTATTCAGTGTATATTTCTATACCCTAGACCTAGTAGCAACTGTATATAAATACTCTGTATCTCTTCAATATTGATATGTGATTATAGTAGAGTCTTCAATATGCTTAATATATATCGGTTGCTGTATAGATTATAAGCTTGTAGGAATAGCTAGATATTGGCATGAAAGTTTATATTTTGCACTAGTCTCCAACGAAATTTAGTTTTAGTTTTGGTTTTCTGTTTAAGTCAAATCTATTCAGTTTTGATCCTGATTTAATTGGTTAAGTCATAGGAAAATAAATCTTGTTTATCAATTTGCTCCCTGGGGATTACTCTAAATATCTTCCCACCTGTTAAGTGCTGTATATGTTTCATGCTGACTAGATATCTCATGGTCTGAACTTGCACAATAATGCAGCTCATTCTGACACAACTGTGGCAAGGATGCTGGTCGGGAACAAATGTGATTTGGAGAATATTAGGGATGTAAGTGTTGAGGAAGGCAAAAGCCTTGCAGAAGAAGAAGGGTTATTCTTCATGGAGACTTCTGCTCTTGACTCAACCAATGTTAAAAAGGCTTTTGAGATTGTCATTCGCGAGATTTATAACAATGTGAGTCGGAAGGTCTTGAACTCAGATACTTACAAAGCTGAACTATCATTGAACAGGGTAACCCTCGTTAATAACGGGACGGATGGATCAAAACAATCCCAAGGCTATCTTTCCTCCTGCTGCTCCAGATAACCTCTTTTCTTCTCATTTCAAAAAGGCATACAAGTTGAGGGCTTTTTTGTGGTTGGTTTGTTAATTCAATTTGGTTGGTTTCTTTGTTACCTTAATGAATATGTCTTAAGGGTTCTTTACTTACAAAATAAGTTGATTATATAGATATGAAATTGTTTAGTTGAATACAAAAAAAGGGCAGTCAGTTTTTTGTGCTTTTAGTTACAAGAATCATGGTTTCGCGCGCTAAATATCGCAAAAGATGATCTATTTTGTGAGATTGTGTAATGTACACTAGAAGGGTCACATATAGCTATTGGATTTGTTTGTTCTTTTGCTCTATTTGCCAGTTATTTCATGTGCTTTTCTAGCAAGGATGAACAGATTAGAGATGAATCTGTTAATTTGTTGCAGCTGGTTTTGTGTTGATAAATGTCTTTTAAAAAATTTATAATTATTTTCTATACTGCTCTACATGTATTTTCTTTTCTGCAAAATATTAGTTTTCTCTCTAAAATAAACCTGTACCAAACTGTTTATTTTATAAAATATAAATTTCAGTATTTTAATTAATTGGCATCATATAATATAAAATCAATGTTTATCACTAAAATGTCAAATAACTCACTTTACTCTATGCTCTTTTAAAATTACAACTTTTAGTTTCCAAAAGAAAATATTATAAGAGGTCATAGTTTATATGTTATAATTAATTACTAAAATGTGTCATATTTTAAAATTTCAGGAGTCAAAAGTATGAAATGTTTTTATATATAAGCAAATATGCCTTTGAAGGCATCTATCCTTTAATGAACAGATAGCCCTATTGAAGAAAGTTTGATTTTCTCTTCCTACATTTTCTTTCAATACAAACAGATAGCTCTGCTTTTCTGAATCATTCACTTGAATCTCTGCAATCTCTATTTTGTGCTTAGGAAGTGGTCCAAGCAATCAATTTGGTAGTGGGAGGGTCACCTATGGGTGTAGTAGATATGATAGAGAACCCAACTCATAAGTCAGCCACCCTACCACCATTTCTACTGTTATCTTAACACACAAAAGAAGAAATATTCAAAATTATCAAATAATCTTTCAAGGGAAAAATGAAAGGGCAAAAACAGAAACAATAGTAATAATTAATAATTTAATCATCAACTACCACGAGATATATAGTTGGGGAAGGAAACAAAAAAGAAAGAAAGATTTGATAGCCATATTTAACATCTCCAGCTGCACTTAAGATCTTCTAGAAGTTCTTGCTCCAATCAGTAAAGCATAACTTCCTTTTCAACTTCCATTTGATTGCTCTGTCAGAGATATTGATTGATAGAGACAGGGGTGAAGATAAAAAGAAAAATATCCCTTTATTTCTTGAAACTTTCTTTTTTTTTCTCTTTTAATGGTTGAAATGAGCTCTCATGATTTGAAAGCTTTCTTTAATCCACTTATTGAGATCTCCAATACTTGCCCATTTCAAATCCATTTTTGCAATAGTGATAATCTTCAATAGTTTGTTCAATTTCAGCTTGTGTGTTCATCACAAAAGGACCATGTTGAACCACTGGTTCATTAATTGGCTGCCCTGCAATTAACACGAACCTTAATGGCTTTGAGGACTTATTCCACACGCTTAAACCATCTCCAGAATCTAAAACTAGAACATGGTGAGCAGTTGCAGGGGAAGAGTTTCGGATACCAAATGTTCCTTCACCTTCAATAATATAAACAAATGCATTCCATGATTCTGGAATGCTTTGATGCAGTTGAGCTCTAGGTTTTAGTGTAAAATCCAAGAACATTGCCGGTGTTCGGGTGTAAACTGGAGATGTAACTCCCATTGATTCTCCTGCTATAATTCGCACTTCAGCACCATCTTTTTCTGCCCTTTTTATATCTTCACTTAAAAGTTCTTGATACCTTGGTTCAATCCTGAAAGATAAGTTTTCAGATTAGTTTCAACTCTTCAAATAATAACCGAAGATAAATTCCCAGTAAGTTAATCAATATAAAGAATTTAAATATGTGATTGAAAAATGTGGGTATGCGTTGGAAAGATTTTAAATTGCTTGCAGCTGTGGGGAAAGTAAGCATATCTTAAAGGTCAAGGAAAGGAACACAGACAAGGACTTTTAATTATTAACAAAGCTATCCAATACTGACAAAACACGTAGCAAGTCCAACTAATTGTCAAGAATTTTTGGAAATTAGTAAAGATCAGAATAAAAATACAGTTATGGTTTGTTCAGTATTATTAAGCTGCTGTTGAAAAAAAAAATTACTATATTGAAAAAGATGATCAATAAGAAGTCATCAAAGCTTATCTTTATGGCGAATTCGCATGTTTAAATTATAATAAAGCTTTAAAATAGCTAAACAACATTAGCAAATTGTATTTTATAACAGAATCTAAAAGGAACTTTTTTTGAAAAGTGGATTCAACTTTAATGTTAAATAGACTCTTACAGTGTCAATTAGTTTATATTTGAACATCTGGTAGCCGATGACTGGAGTGGCTGCGATTTTTTTTTTTTCGGTACATAGATTTTTTGGTGGAGATTAACAAAAGAATAGTGTCAAATTGATTCTTACATTTTGTCTTGAGAAGATAGATTTATCCAGAGCTGTAAGCCCTTTTGTGTTCCTTCTCCTGCAGGCATTTCTGAGTGGATTATCCCTCTTCCTGCTGTCATCCACTGTACATAATAGCAAGAAAAAATAATAAATAAAAAGGAGACATTGAATGTCAAAATCAAAGAGTCAATAATACCATGAAATAAATCAATAGAAAAGAATTTGCATCCAATTGAAATGCTTTACCTGCACATCTCCAGTGTGGATAGTACCCTTATGTCCTGCAAAATCTTGATGAGTAATGCCTCCCTGATAATTACATAGCAATTCATAATATTTAGTTTTTTTTATTACAATTTCCAACAAATTAGATTTTTAAACCAAATTCAACTGTACCTGAAGCATGTATGTAACGGTCTCAAAACCTGTAATACAGATTTCATATTAGAATTAAGAAAAAGAATTCCCAATTGCCATATTTTAAAAACATAGAAACTCAAACATAAATATATGTGTGTGTGTGTATATATATATAACTGTAACCTGAAGCATGTGTAACGGGTCTCAAAAACACTGTAATACAGATTTCACCTATAAACATAAGAAAAGAAGTTCCCAATTGCATATTTTAAAAAAAACATAGAAGACTCCAAACATAATATTGTTAGTGTGTGCGCACTCACTATATTATTCATATATATATATACTATATATAATATATACATATGAATAATGTTTAAACAACCTCTGTGAGGATGATCAGGAAATCCAGCAGGAGCAGCCACTGCAAAAACCAAAGAATAAAACTCAAATAGAGTCATTACATCAAACATATAGAGATCATTTATTACATTGTTTCAAAATAGATCAACTTATACCTGAAAAATGATCCAACATAAGAAAAGGGTCCAAGGACCTCAATTCACTCCTAAATAAACAAACAGAATCAGTACCCACATAACAAAAATTCAAGAAAACAAGAACCCAATAAACAAAAATCAAGAGAAGACAAAATAGCAAGAAAGAACAAACATGGAATACATAAAAGAAATTTACCTTCCAATGCCTCTTCTAACAACAGCACCATCACCTTCATGTTGAGGCTTGGCCAGAACTTTCTTGATGACCATTCTTGGTCTATTGAAAGCTTGATCAGATTGATCAGACATGATATTTCTGATAAAGGAAAGAACTTTGATATTGTTGTTGCCGTTCTTGGTAGTAGTTGTTGTTGGGTATAAGTTGAACAGAAGCTTCTTGTTGTTGTAAATGGCCCTTCTCATATAAAATAAAGGAAAACTAACTCTTTCTCTCTATATATAAATATAGCTTCTGTTGGGTACTTGTCCTATGCTTTAGGTTTATAAACTATATTGGATATATATAGCAAAGGGATTGGGGGGGAAAAATTAGAAGACAAAAAAATAGAAAAAGAAAAAAAGATAGATTTTTTTTTTTCCTTTAGGAAGTTTGTTGGGGTCTGACACTAAGGAAGAGTTTTTGGAGGCATGGGTGTTATAAAGAGAGAGAAAGTGAGGGACCCACTTTTCATGTTCAATGGAGGCTTGGACCAATCATCGTGATGATGTCAAGCTCTTGTCATCATGATGGATTTGGAGGTTTTTACATCTTATGGTTGTTCTTATAAAAGCTACTTAAAATTAAAAGAGATATCCAAAGTAAAGTCAAGGTACATTTCAATTAGTGTTTGATCCTAACCTCCATGTTCACACCTTGATAGATAGCCCAAATGGTAAAATATAGATCTCTATACAGAGTATAAAAATTTCATTCTTTAAGTTTGGGAGTCTATCCCACAGTTTTTGTTGGATCTTTCAAAAAAAAAAAAAAAAAAATCCTTTCTTTAATATTTCTTCTTTCAAAAAATTGTAATTTCTAAACAAAGGGTTAGGGAATCATAGTTTTTTTTTCCTTATTAATATTTTAATTAATACAAAAAGATAGATTGAATAAAAAAATGAAATTGGGATATTTTGTAAATTAATTGAATGTAGCTTTCTAATTCAATTAATGATATATTGTTCATAAAGTTCTTGAACATAATTTGTTTATATAATTTAAATTTTGTAATTTAATCCCATATTTACAGTATTTTAAACTTTCTAAACTTGATTAAAGTTCATGATTTCAAATTGATATAGATGATTTGTAAAATAAAAAGATATACTCCTACTTATATAATCCAATATGCTTTATAATTAATGTAAAAAAATGTTTTAATGCCACATTAATTATTGATTCTATATTTATAATTGCACCCTTTAATTATTTATTCTCTAAAATTTTCCCCATCCATTGCTACTTGAGAAATAAAATCTTCAAATCACAATATTCAAATTGAAGCCATTAAGTGCAATTACTATATACTATTACCTTGGACTATGACAAAATTAAGTATAGACAAAACTAATTGCATTCCACATTTGTTCCATTCAAATTTGGATGCCACAAAGAACCCATAATTTTTTTTAAGATAAAGATAAAACCTTTGACCTCCATATTCACAACGAAATTGATAATGTTCTTTTTCTATATAAAGCTAAGAAGTTAGACTAATAAATATATGAAAGGAGCTTGTTGAGTAAAATTAACTGTTTTGATAGTTGTTGATTGTTTTAATAGCGCGTAGCTGTTTGACTAGCCGGTAGCTACTTAAATAATTTTTCATAAATACTAAAACTAAATACTGCAGGAGTATAAAATACTATCTTAATTTTTAAAAATTAATTCAAACGTTATATTATCGAAAACTATAAAAAATAACATTTAATGTTTGTATCCGTCGAGAAATGCTATTTTAAAAGAGGTAAGGAAACACAACCCATGTATCCTTACATGAGAAATTGTGGAAGTGTGAAAGAGAGGCTAATGTCATAGTAATGATGGGTGGTCAGGCAAAGCCAAGTTGGCAATTTATTGTTTGTTTTCTTGTGGTCTTGTCTTGGATCAAACACAAAGAGGTTTATATTTTTGGATTTTGTGGTTGGAATACAAAATTTTCCAAAATAACATATGCCAAAATAAGGTTTTCTAATCTTAATTTAAATGACATCTATAATACCTAAGCATGGCGTTTGCACTATGCTAAACACAATTACTTCTAAACAAGACCATTGACTTTGTCTCCTTGAATTAATTATTATCACTAAGCACACAATTTTGTTTATTTATCAATAAATAAATAAACAAATAAGGGTAATGTGGCCATATTCCACCAATTAAAGTACAGCCACCATATTTTGTGGCAGCTAGAATGTAATTAGTGATGGCCATGTGACATCAAATTAATGCACTCTGTTTTTTTTTTTTTTTTTTTTGACATTTCAAATTAATGCGACTCTGTTTTTTTTTTTTTTTTTATGGAAATTTCTTTAAGGGTAATTCCCATTTTTTTTTTTTTTTTTATGGAAATTCTTTAAGGGTAATTCCACAAATTAACACCAAAATTCTACTTAAAAAATTTAGTGCTGCCTCTGACTTTTACATAAAAAATTTAGGACTACAAATATATCTTCAAACTAATAAAAATCCCTGATGTGTAATACAAATAAATGTTAAATGCAATGTCGGAAATTTAAAATTTAAAGTTATCACTGTTAGAATGATTTTATATAAATATTATTTCAGTCGGAGTATAAATTTAGTATAAACCCACACAGACACCATATGATTATAAATTTAGTATAAATTTAATATTATTTGGGTGTAATAATAATTGGATTCCTTTTTTAGTTGCAATTATCCATTGCAAAGAATTCATTTTTACAGGTAAATAATACCCAAGTAGGCCTAAAAGGTGAAAGAGCTACTGGTTTATCTCTCCATCGAATCAAATTAGTCAAAAGCGGGGCGATAACTCTGAAAAGACAGATTTTCCATCTTTTCTTTAATCTCTGGCGAAATACGATCTGGAGGGGCTAAACCATATGGTTTTTTTTTAAAAAAAAAACTAACAAAAGCCAATTAAATATATTAGGTCAAATTCTGAGAGACATAATAATCAATACTTCCAATTTTCAAAAAACTATTGAACACATGTAGGGGTTGAATGGAATGGGAAAAAATTATCATTTTATGAATTAAACTAATGAAATTCAGTATTTTTATTAAAATGAAAGTATTTCTGATGATACATTTGGAAAAAAAAGGATAAACTCAGAATATTTTTTAAAATATTATTAATTTCCTTGGTTTAGTTCATAAGTTGTACCATGGACCTGGTCTAGGTAAGTTTTTTTCTGAATAGAATTGGAGAGATGAACTCTGGCGTGGCCTTGGTGGGAATCCTGCGCCTTAATTTGCCAGGTTTATACAATGAAATTCAATGATACTTTTGGAAATGTATTGCTAAAAATATTTAATGTTCTCACTTGATAAGCTTTCACATATAAAACTCTTGTTTATTGAGTTCTTACACAGTTTTCTTTTCTGGTAAACTAAGACTTTTGCAAATTATACAGTCTGTCTGCCAGTGGGATCCATAGAGTTGGTAAGAAAAATGCTTTGCTTTGAGTTACATTCTAAACTTAAATTTTCATTATTATTAGTAATAGGAAAAACAATGGGTATATAAAAATTAAAAAGTGAGGGAAATTTGAAGAGAAAGAATGTGTAGAGGTGAGTATCTTTCTTTTATTTCTTTTATTATTTTATTTCATTAAAAGGATTACATATTAAATGTTATTGATCAATATTTAAGGGAAAAAAAAAATAAATTTGAGTGGTAAATGGTGCACAATAATAAATATTTTAAAATTATAAAAAATTAAGGTAAAATCAAAGCATGATCAGAAATATTTATTTGGAATTACCGTCTTGTTTATACGATGTATCTTAATAGCTGTCAACTCTTTAATTATTGTTTTGTTAATCGTTAAAGAAAATAAAATTTCATATAATCCACTTTTTCAAACTCTAAATGCTTTTATAAATGCTACGTCATCGAACACTATAAATAATAGAAATAGTGTTTTGACTTTAGTTAGAACATTAAATGTTAATTCAAAAGTTATTATCGAACATGATCTAAAGTTATTGTTGGATAAATTTGCTAGAAAATCGATAAAAATAATAAAATTCATCTAGAGCATCAAATTAGATGGTTGCAGAAATTCACTTGGAAAATAACCCTTTTGTGATTTAGGTTCAACAATCATAAAATCATAATGAGCAATCAATTGGCATTACTTTCATTATCTTTTAGTTTTGTAATATCAACATATTGACATGAAATCCAACTAAAAATTCATTCAATTAACTAACATTTGTTTGTTAGACCAAATTCCTTTGAGATAAGGAAACAATAAGCTGGATAAGTCAAACCAAAGCCATGAAAAGGTTCATCTCATATGTGTGCAACTTTAAGTCAACTTCTAGAAGCTTTGGTGCTAATTCCACAATGATAGTGGGAAGTATTAGAGCAAGATCCTCAACTTACTTAGATAACCTTAACAACACAAGAGTGCTGAAGGCCATCCCTTACCCTTCCCTTCCTCTATATTACTATTAGTCTTTTAATGTATTATTTTTTATTTTGACTAAACTATTATCTCTATTATTTTTATTATTTGGTGGTGCGGCTTTTATATTAGTGTTTAAATTTTGACAGAGTAAATTACGAAATATTAGTCCCTTTAACATTTGAGTTTGATGAAAGTAAAAATCTAAAGTACTAAAACAGTTAACAATTAATTTTGTAGATAATTTTGCAATTTTTTTTTTCAAAATACGTAATTAGACCTCTAAACTTATTAAATTTCATCCATTAAATCTCTCGATTTATATTTATCAATATTGAATCTTTTAATATTTATTAAAATTAAACCTTTATATAACTAAAAGTTATGCACATTGATAGAAGGATTTAATCAAAGTTGAGGGTTTTATATACAAGTTTACTTTTTTTCTATTAACTTTAATGTTTATCTCAAAATTTTTTAAAAATATAACCCTAAATGTCAAACTGAATTCTTTTAAAGGAATAGTGTCTTACATAATCTTGATGTATATAGAAATATTATTTTCAAGGTGCTTGCAAAGTGACATTAAATTATAAAAAGATAGAGTTGTTTGAATGTATGAAACAAGTTGAAGATCGCTGCCACTAGCTAGTATTCCATTGTTGGGATGGTCCATTTTCATTGAACTTGGACCAATATTTTCAGTAGAGCATTTATCCATGATTTCATTGTCACCATACATGACATAAATGGCATATAAAAATTCCTGACTCTTGGCCTCCTCTTCTTCTTCTTCTTCAGGACTGGAGTGAAGAAACATATATTTTTCATTTTTCAAAAAAAAAAAAAAAGAAAAAAAAAAAACAGGAACTGGAGTTCAGTGAAGAAACGAGTATATTTTTCATTTTGTCAAAAAAAAAAAAAAAGAAAAAAAAAAAAGAAAAAAGAAAAAAAAAAAAAAAAAGAAAAAAAAAAAAGAAAAAAGAATTCATCTGCACCAATGTCCGCATCCACCACCAAGAAAAGAATTCATTAAGGTCCATAAGTGGAGCCATCTTCCAATTTCCATTCGCCACTTCTCGCAGGGGTAGAGCAAAAATCATTCCAATATCATTATAATAAAAAATTGGGGTCTAATTTACAAAATTGCTCTTGAACTTTTAAGGTTTTGTTCTTTGAGCACTCTAAATTTCTCCAATGCCCACTTCCTAAACATTGTATCTTAAGTTGCCCCATAAATTAATCAAATCATCAATTTTGAGGTTTCAGCTCTTGAACAACAACAATAATAATAAAAGCATAGAACTGAACCTTTTTTTTGAACTCATAGAACTGAATTAGCACTTCATGAGTTTAGGAAATATATCAAATATTGCAACAATGGATTCATAAAGCAAAACTCAAAATTGGAAATCTATATCAGAAAATTTGTAATCTATTCATCAGGAACTCTCTTTCTTTTACCCCTTAATTGGTTGCCATTTAGTAATGGACCAAAGAGACAGATACGGAGATCACGTTGTAAAAGTCGTTGGTGGAAGTAGTTCTTATACAAGTCCCAGAATTCATCTCTGCCAAATTTAAGAGAGTTTACATGAGAAAATAGTTTTTTCAAAATTTTCATGAAAGCATAGGGATCAGGCAGAAGAACAACAAGAGTAAGATCATCAAAATTAAGTGCTAATCACAATAAATTACAATAACAATGAACATGGTTCTCAGTAAACTCATAATCATACCTGACTTGTGGAAGTGTTAACAGTGAATAGCCCTTAACGTCTGTGTGAATATCAAGCACAATAACTGCTAACCGTGAAAGCCCCAGTGCTTCAATGTCGATCAACTTCTTCAACCTTAAAATTGTAATGCGAAGAAGAACCCAAGAAATCACATTAGAAACTGAATGCAAAGATGAACAAAATGGGTATTATGCAGGCATTACCAGGTCAAATAATGTCAAAGGACCAAGAAAATTAATCTTTAAAAAACGAAAAACTGAAAAATAGTTGGGTAGGAAGAGGGCAAGAGAAAAAACAGGGGTGCATTGAAAGGTGTTGTTTACATTAGCACAGCCTGATCTGCACTTTTGTGGTGAAAGCATCAAGTCCTATATACTGAAACTGCTAAATTGCTAAACAATGGAACCTTTTTTTTTTTTTTTTTAAATTTTTAACGAAAACATCTCAGTGCCAGTATGCCATTAAATTTTTTTTTACATGTATACATGGTGAAACAATTAAACAATTAAGGTTAGAAATTGAATGCTCAGCCAACAGACACTGTTACCAAAAACACCGTTTACATTCTCAATCAAAGCAAATTATTTCATAACTATTGGGATCCTTTTTTTTTTTTTTGGATGACATGGTTAGACTAGAACAAAAACAAGAACTGGTATTATTTTATCATTTAGCATATTACTTTATATCAACCATTGGTAGTACCTGCTTGGTGTGCCACTAGCAAAATTCACACGGTTCTTCAACAAGGCTACCTGTAACAATTATAAAGGGTTCAAATTGGGAAAATAAAGAATTAAAAGATCTGATAGATGGAAGATGAGTGGTAATGCGGAATAAAATAATGAAACTATAAGTTTCGAACAGAGAATAAATTTCATTCAAGTCACAAATTTTAGCCATTTCTTTTATGGTAAACGCAAGCAAGTTGACAAGGACAAGTATATAGAATAATCTCTATAATACCATGATCTCAATAGAAGTGTAGATAAAAAAAAAATTACTCACTTAGTCCACAAATAATGGTCCACATTACTTTTTGGTACCAATGATGAATATTAGAAAAAGTTATTTAGAAGTACACATTTCAAGTTAACCTTTTAATGGTTGACTTTTACTTTGAAAAAGAAAAAATGAAGTATAGTTTTTTAGGACATCCCAAGAGGCAAATAAGGACTATTATTTGTGGTTGGAAGGAGTATTTCCTTTTTAATTCAGAAGATAGGAGCATCTTACCCTGTAGATTACAGTGTTTTTATAAAAATATGGTCAGAATATTCTTTTCAAAACTAATGCTGGAATGACCCCCCAAAATGAATGATTCTAAGAACCTCACACTTATTTCCTCCATGATCCACCTTTCAGGTTACACCTTAACCAGAAAGTTAATCCTTTATAAAAATGCATCATAAATTGATGGTAAGCCTAAATGCCTAATTGCTATATTGCTGCGTGAAAGAGGTATAATACCTTAGCAATTTTAACAGTAAACTAATGCACAAGAAATCATTGATTTCATCATGTGAGTACCGAAGTGAAAAAGAAACATAAGTGATAGAAAAATGATCTCCGGCTCTACAACCAAACTTATGATTGCATTATGTTGGTATGATATATAGAATATGAAATATGGAAAGGAAAAGAAGATGCCATTGAAAAGCTTCTTATGGTAATACAGGCAGCACAGGCTGCAGAAGAAAACAGAAGTAAATGATAATGGGAGAATTAATACATTAGTAATACAACTAGAAGTAAGATCAGAAAAGTATTCACTTTAAACTATAGATGCAAAACAAAAGGGCATATTTTTTACTTTAGCTTAAGTTGCAATAGGTGATAAGAATATAAACAAGGTTATTCTTTCGGGATCAGACTGACGTGCAAAATAAATCCTCAGCAGAGCTGATGCCTCTGAATTTGTTTGAATTTTCTCATCATCTCCCAAACACCAAAAAAATAATAAAAAAAGTAAAGAATAAAGAAAAAATCCAGCCATCTCATAGATAATGGTGGAAGCTAAAAGAGGTCTAAAAAGATAAAAATTTAAGGAAAAAAGGTCAAAACTGAAATCATAGTTCAATTTACAATTATTAGAACAGAAAACAAAATCCAGTTATATTTTGAGATCAGATGGAGATGCAAACAAATAAATAGCATTGCTGGAGCCTTTGTAAATCTGGTTGTCACTTCAACATCACCATCCAGAAACCAAAATATAAACACCAACTAAAGAGAAAAATAAAATGATAAAAAGGGTCCAAATGAGGTCCAATTATTTCAAGGAGTAACGAGTCCAGTGGCGCAGCACATGACATAAAAATAATTTAGGAAATCAGAAACAAAATCAGAGAGATTTTGTTTTTGGATCACAAGGGCATGAAAACCAGCTATCTGTTAGAGAGAGAGAGTCGCTGATAATCACTCATAGCATCATATGCAATTGTGCAGAGATAAATAACCAATAAAACCATCCAGTTGCAGGTATTGGAGATGGACCAGAGACCAAAAAAACTCAAGTTAGAAAATGAAACAAAATTACTTGATCAGAGATATGGGATCAGACTGACGTGCAAATAAAGACATTCAGCATAGCTAGTGCCTTTGAAGAGACCCAAAAAAAAACTCCAAGTTAGAAAATGAAACAAAATTACTGTATCAGAGAATATGGGATCAGAACGTGCAAATTCAAGACATTCAGCATAAGCTTAGTGCCTGATATCTAGGGTTAACCTTCACATCATTTCCCAAACTTTTAAAGAAGAAAGAACAACTCAAGAGTACATAATATAACCAATATCATGAGACAAATAACCCTGAAAGGGCCAACAATATATAACAGGTACAAATGCCGCTTAAAATCATATTGCGCCAATCAATACACAGATTGTAGATTAAAACTGAAGTCAAATAGATTAAGGATCAGACTTGACGTGCAAACAAAGACACGTTCGTAGCGAATGACTAGTCCTTGGAAGTATGTAGCAGCGATCAGTTTCCCAACTTAAAGCCAGAAAGAAAAAACTCAGGAAGGTAGTGAATGATAGAGAAACCATATTATGAAGACAAAAAAAAGCCCCAGAAGTCACAATTTTAAGAAGACGGACATTGGGATCAGACTGACGTGCAAACAAAGACATTCAGCATAGCTAGTGCCTTTGATATATTGGTAATTTCACATCATTTCCCAACTTAAAGCAGAAAGAACAACTCAGAAGATTAATATAACCAATATATGAAGACAAAAAAACCCCAGAAGTCACAATTTAAGAAGACGGTACATGTTGCCCTCAAAATCATATCGCACCAATAATACACACAGTTTAGGTTAAAAGTGAATCAAAGAGATATGGGATCAGACTGACGTGCAAAACAAAGACATTCAGCATAGCTAGTGCCTTTGATATCTTGGGTAACTTCACATCATTTCCCAACTTAAAGAGAAAAAAGAACTCAGAGACAAAAATAACCAACATATGAAGACCACAGAAGGCGACAATTTAAGAAGACGGACATATTGCCCTCAAAATAATATTGCACCAATAATACAAAATTTAGGTTAAAAGAGAATCAAAGAGAAACGGGATCAGACTGACGTGCAAACAAAGACATTCAGCATAGCTAGTGCCTCTGATAAATTGGATCAATTCACATCATTTCCCAAGTTAAAGCAGGAAGGACAATTCAGGAAAACTAAATATAACAGATATATCATATGAACACAAATAACCCTGAAAGGCTACAATTTCAAAAGATAAGTAGAATTTGCCCTTATTGAATCAATGACACATGTATTTTAGGTTAAACTCATAATCAGAGATAGTGGATTTGATAAAAGAGCTAAAATAAAAATGAAAATGGAAGAGCTTGGAAACGCGAACAAGTTACCTGTTCCTCAATCTTCATATGTTTTGAAAATAGCTTGACAGCATGACATTCTTTCGTCAATGGGCGCACACCCCTGAAAGATCATAATTACTTATTAAGAGTCACATTAGAATAAAGCAAAGAATAGAACTGCAATAAAAACATCAACTTTAGGTAATCTCATAGTATCTAGTTAGTAAGTGTATAATTCATTAAAACAAAATGAAACACTAACAGACCTTAGAAGTTCAATGCATCTCAAGGCAGATGTACTAATAATAAGAACGGATGGGTTCCCTGCTTCAATCTTCCCTTCTACAAGCTGCCCTTCACATAACACTTCTTTCCATGAGGGCCCAAAAGCAGCCTGTATTTGTTTCCCCAGTGACTTAACATCTTGAGGTAACTCAACAAAGCTTGTCTCTATACATATTCACATACCAAAAATGTAATGATACCATAGTTTGATATCCTAGCAGGCAAATCAAAAATAGCAGCAATACAAGGAATATGAACTCAATTCCCAGGTTACATTCACGAAAAGAAATAAATTATACAAAACCCATTATCGCTTTTGGGTCATCCAACCATTTTTTGCGGCTGGGTTGTGTTAGAGACAGATACCTTTAATTGATTCAAGCTCGAGAGATGAGAGCTGAAGATCATTGGCAGATTCAAACTCATTTACAAAGAAACTCAGCTCCTGTGACACTGAAGTTGGTGTTAGCTCGTTGTTGTTGTTGTTGTTGATGATTTCATTGTTATCGTTGTTCTTGATTTGGTGAACCTTTTTCTTCTTGTTCTTTTTCTTCTCGGCCTTGAGAGTAGGCGGCTGCTTCTTTTTCTTCTTGAAGTTGTTATCGATTTTAGGGTTTTTGAATGAGGCCTTCTTCTTCGTTTTTGAGGGTTTTTCTTCTTTCCCGCTTACCATTTTTATGGGCCAAATTGGTACGCACAATGACTTTGCTCACCCTCCTTGCTTTATATCAACAACTAAATAATTAATAATATCTTCGCGCGTTGCTATTAATTAAGGAAAAAAAATTTAATAAATATTACTGTTTTATCATTTTTCATATTATATATTTAGAAATATTATAATTTAAAAGAAATTTTTTTTTTTAAATATTAGGAAAGGAATTTTGAACTTCTTCCTTATCTAATTATATACCCCCACTTATTATTATATTATACTTTAGTATGCAAATATTATTTATATTTATAGAATCCACCCCAATTGAAATAGATTTTAAAATACTTACTCAAATATCATACCGAGTTCAAAGTATTATTATTTGTCATTTTCTCGATTCAATTGTGTACTTTTTAAGCATGAAGGCCCATTTTGCTCCTTGAAATTGATCCGTTTTAATTAAAGGCCCGTAAAGCCCATTTTGCTCCTCCCAACATTAGTTTCTCTCCATAGTTGGTCTTTTTTTCTGAGTGAAAAAGAAAAGGAAAAAAAAAAAAAAAAGAAAATACACTTTTTGCATGAACAAAGACGTAAGGGGAAGCTGCATGCATATTTGATGCCGCTCAATGATCCTCTTGGAAGGAAGAAGATGGCTTCAAGAAATCTTTAGGTTCCTTTGTTAGGTTCCTTTCTTCAAGCGACTTGAGTCTTGTAATCTTCATTTCTCTTTTAATAAGTATTTTGTTTTTATATAATAATAAATCACAACTCATTATAAATTTGACTTTGTAAAATATATATTGATGAATTATTTTTATTCATGTGCAAAATAAATTATCTAAATAAATTCTTAAATAAAAACTCCAAATAATGGTAACTAAATTTGAAGTAGCAATTCTAAATTTAGGCTGCAAGCTCATTAAGCTTGGTACTTCAATTTAATATCTTAATTAATTAATTAATGATTAAAGCTCAAAAAATTCAACCGATTTTCTAAGTGGATTTTGACTTTGTTACGCATAGAAATCTTAGATGATGTTTGGTTGGTGTAAGTTGATTGGGAAAGTGCATGAAATGTTTGTGTTTGGTTTGCATTGATCATCCAACTTCCCTTATACAAGGGAAGTAAGTTCCTTAAATTTGGGTAGGGGATTTTGCGCTTCTCTAGTTAAGTGCAATCCATTTACCAATTTATTCTATTTAAAGTCACTCAAATTTATATTATGGATATCATCATAATTTATAGTTTGAGAGTAATTTACTTTCCAGGAAGTTGATTTGCATATCGCACACAGACAAATTATACTTCATGGGAAACAATTAGAAGTACACTTCCTGAAAAATCAGCCATTTTGAAACAATTGAGACCTTAATTTATTGTTGATAATTAACTAACAGAGTTAGGATTTGGTCTGTAAAATTAGCTGTTTTGATAGTTGTAAGCTGTTTTAGTAGCTTTTGTTGTTTGTTTTTGAATAATTTTTCATAAAACGCTAAAAGCTAAATATTATATAAATTAACTTTTTACAAAACACTACCTTAACCTCTAAAAACTAGTCTAAACATTATAAAAAATAGTATTTGAACTAGTTTTTAGATGTTAAAACACTATGGTCAAAATGCTTAAAGTTACTTAAACTAATGCTGAACACTGCCTTAGGCACATTCACACAGCACAACCGTGACACTACAGTCTTGTATCCGCCAACCTGCAATTTCATATTATTATCATTGTCATTATTATTATTTTGGTGTCAAAGTATCGGGTATCTATTTGAAGTTTATTGGCTAGATTAATCTAGATCCGTGTCGAGTAAATTCATAAAGAAGGAAAACCGCTTCATTCTAAATATTTAAAAAGAATCCATATTTAGGAATTAAATTTCAAACCATTGATTAAATGAGAAGAAATCTTTATCATCCCCTAAACGATTTCATATTATTATTATTATTATTATTATTATTATTATTATTATTGATCATACACAACATGCATGTAGACTATAGAGATGCTTTCACGGTTCTCTTTGTAAGTGTTTCTAAGCTACCACATACCTAAAAAAAATTTCTTCGCACACAAATGAAATCATGAAAATGAAATATTTATTGATAAAAATTACCAATTTTATAAAACATGCTAACCTACAACTATTCATAAACACATTTTCACCATAGTTACGAGACATTCACGGACTATTTATATATACTTTTTCTTAATTAGTTGGTCGTATTTTATTGGACCAATGGATAATTAATGAGATAAATAAAAATTGGTTCGGGTATAATTAAATTAAAAAGAATTTGAAGAGGTCATGCTATTTGTTTTAATTCAGTTAAAAAAAATTCGGTCAAAAATAAATTTATGTTCACACAAGAATGTAGGGGGTACCTTATACTGCCGCTTTAAACCCTAATCAATGAAATGAGACTACACATCTAAAGAAAAAAGAGATTACGAGAGCACCCGATTAACTTTTTTTTTTTTCCGATGAAAATCCAATTAATTTGCTTTTTTTTTATTTAGAAGGAGGCTCAATGTATTAAAATAACAGGGTCAGTTATAAAATAACCACTCGTTACACACTAAATTGAAAATTTTTATGGTCGAGAGAACTCAAATTCGAAATACTAGTGAGAGACAGAAAGCATAAAATTAATCCCTTTATGTATAGCAAAATGAATGAATTTACTAAGAATTGAACTTATATTCTCACTTTTACGGAAATTGATATCGTTATCCACTTCAACCAATATGCTGTTGATTTCACCTTCTTAATTAAATTAGATTCACGGAATTCCTCCGATCTGACCTTATTCTCGTACATTTCCAATATATAAACACCAAATCCATCACTACTTCAACATCCCAAACTAGCAAAAATGGAGAGAGTCAAAAAGTTCTTTGTTGTGGCTACATTACTCATAATAGTTGGTGAGCTTTATCTTTCTAATGCCCAAAACGTGTGCAATACCCTTCCTCAAGACCTACTGCCATGCAAACCAGCCACGACTCCTCCACACCCTCCTCCACCCACAGGCGAATGCTGCTTGGTGCTCGCCCGCGGCGGCATGTCCTGCCTCTGCTCCTTCGTTAATTCCAATTTGCTTCCTGCCCTTGGAATTGACCCAGACCTTGCTTTGCAGCTCCCTGCCAAGTGCAACCTTCCTCACATTCCCAATTGTAGAATTGAGGCATGAAAAATTATTCTAATGTCATGACAAAATTATGGTCTATACAAGAATAATATGATAAAATTATATATAGCTAAATAGTAATGAGCTGAAACAAAAATACAGAGAGATATATATATTATTATAGATAGATAAATAAAGAAATTGAACTTTCAATAGCTTTGGTCTCTCTCTCTCTCTATTAGTTTGTGGTATTTTCTATATTGTTCTTGTAATGTGAACTTCATATTTTTAATGCAATACCATAATGCTTTTGTGTTGTTATCTTATAATATCAGATGCTTTTGGATATAATTAATGCATTGTTGCATTATCAGATGCTTTAATTTTCTGTTCCTAATTTATTATTGATTTCTGCTATTCGTACCTTTAAAATATAATAATAACTTTTTTTTTCTTTATGACCTTCAAATTAATAAAGCATATTTAAATACTAATAAAAAAATTTAATTATTTTTCTAATATAACACATTAGGATAAGATACGCCCTTTACAAAAAATCATAACAATTTAATAAAAGTCTTGTAAATTTTCATCACCATGGGATGGAAAATTTGATCTTATGTTTCCATTGGTTACAGCCTTTTAATTACTATATTTTATTTGCAAACAGATTCAAGAGCATAAAACATAATTTAACCCATATGTCATAACCTAACTGGTAAATATATATATATAATTTGACAATAACAATATATAAGTCTGAATGCCTCTCCCCTAATGCTCAAAAAAAAAAAAAAAAAAAAAAAAAAAATCAACTTAACAAGTCAAATAATGTAAAAAGATAATTTTAAAAAAATCACTTAATTTTAATTTGAGATAGAAGAGAAAGTTCCATCTCAAGATTATTATTCATGAAAATAAATTATGTAAGAAATAACATTATACATTATTGATGGAAAATATATTCTTCTAAATGCAAGTCCAGATTGGATTAGCCTACATAAAGACTATAAAAGAATTCACTAATCAAGTTAAATAAAAAGAAAAGGGAAGAGATTTTTTTTTTTTTTTTTAAATATTCTGAAAAATTAGAACATGTCATCGTAGATAGTTTGGATGATATACATTGGTACAAGAGTCAAGGTGAATTGAATGCTTAGACTTACAGACCTTTTTTCTTTTTACCACCAAGTATTCTTTGCACCATAATATTGAATTAACATTTCTTATGAACAAGAGAAACATCAGCCAACCACATCACAATATAAAACTTCGCTACCTGTGATTTCCCCTGCATCTACTTTTCAAAATTATCGCCACTTTACAGATTCAAGCTTCCCCGGAATCTTTCGAAGAGGGAGCGTCTGGATCGTAACTCCAGAGGTCTTTTATCTCACCTCTCAGCATACCCAATATGACGCAAATCCCTGTAATAGATTGAGAAAAGAATATCAAAACTTAAGTAAAGAAGTTCTTGGCATTTATTTTAAGTGCATTTGACAACAATTTTGTTCTCAGATCATAATTCAAAATGAAATCACTTATATGTCAAATTATTTTAAAAAAAATAAATCCTACGATCTGCCAACCCCAATCACCCTCAAGATCGCCGCCGCCGCTGCCGCCTTGGTTGTCATTCACTAAAACACTGACATAACAATCTTGGGTTCCACTGCCGACTATTACAACTAGTATTCATCATTCAACCACCATCATCACCTCATCTGCGACTATGAATGCATTTTGTTGAGAAAACTGAACCAATTTTAACACCAACTACAATTACCAAAGTTACAAATCAACATGACAGTGGTTAATTATTTGGTCTTGAAGCAATTGAAATAGATTTAAAAGAAAAAAGAACTCTCATGTTACTGCTAGCATCCAATGTTTAATAGAATGAGAAAACAAATGCAGCAGCCAAGAAGTCCAAAGATGAGAATGAAACCAAGCTTTAAAATATATATGATTTCTCTAAATACAAGTGTAATTCCATTTTATCTAAAACAATATATATATTAAACCATAAACTTAGGTGGTCCTTTTAGTCTTTACTAAAGTCTGAGGATTGTATTTGCAAATATTAATAACAAAAAAATTGGTCATTTTGGTTTACATATTCTCAAGCAACTAAATAGGTTAAGTGAACTTCTAAAGAATCAACACAAATTATTAGCTCTTAAATTTTTAATTTTACCAAAAACCATATAATTTTGTCCAAAACTAAATCTAATCACACATTTCATACCTAGGGTACAAGGAACAAGATAGAGGAGTGCAGGTTGACCATGCCCATTCATTATATATAAACCTAGGTACGTGAGGAACAGACCTGCAATCAAAGAGGCAGTTAGTACCATAAAAAATACACAAATATCATAGGCCAACTAAATCAAACGCAATAAATTCAAGAATTAAATTTATTTTGGGGGAGGGGGATTAGAAGTATATCTTATCTCCCATTATATAGTTTCCAAGAGTAGAAGGTAATATTGTTTGATAAAAAATCAAATATATTTAATTTAAGTGCATATAAAGTTGAATGATCAGATTAACGTGGCTTAATAATGTGTCAATAATTGATTAGTTTTTTTTTGTCCATGTGTCAATAAAACACACGTGACACGTAAAATTTCTAACTTAGCTGCTGAAACCCTCAGCTTGTATATATATTATATAGACAGATTGGTAACTTTGGTTGCCAATTGAACATGCAATAAATGCCACATTACTAACATGCCATGATATTCTAATTTTGCAGTTAAAGAGAAATCTTCTTATAGAAACGTGGTCAAATAAGAAGCATGATGAAAGAACGCTCACCGAATCCATAGCCACTTATCAACCAAAGAAAATACCCCGTGGACAAGGTCTTCTTAGTTGCATTGTCATATCTGAAAAAAACAGAGAAATGGAGGAGGGAGAGTAACACAAAGGGTTAAAGAGTAATTAACAAACAGAAAAGTTATATCAAAGACCTACATTTATAGATCGAAACACTAGTTCTGTAACCTCCTTTGGATGACATAAAGATCAAGAAGATATTAATGTGCCATCTATAAGAATCCTCATTATAAATTACCACTATCTTATCACATATTTCAGCAAGAAAGTCAGAATCATTCATTTGCCAACCAAAACCATGATGGTATGAAAATGTCAAGGATACATCTATAAGACATTAATAAGCTTTGAAATTTTGGTGAAAAATTTGAGTTCCAAATTTCATCGAAGTTGCACCTCCCCTCAACCACTAACTTATTTCTGTCCTAATCTATTAGGACTACTTCAGAAAATATCCGAGCTCTACACCTCATCTCCCACTTTTTGCATAATACAAGTGATTTTAGATAAAAGAAGAGCCCAACCCACTCCATCTCACAATCCCAATCCCAATCCAAACCCCAACCTCACCCACCTCTAATAAAAAAAAGAATGAAAACAGAAAAACAATTTAAGAGGAAACTGTATAACACAAAATACATAATTAAAGATTTTGCACCCACCAGTTTATTAGTCAATAGAGAGCAACAAATGTAGATTTAAGATAGTACCTCCGAGAAAACGATACAAGCAAACCAGGAAACAGAATGTCCCCAAATCCAATCATGTCATAACCACCCCAAGGATCAGTAAAACGAGGAATTCTCAAAAGCATAGGAATAGATTCCCCACCGCTGTTGTCACCTCGAGCAACCTATAAAATAGATAAACAAATTATAACAGAGAAAATTATACAACAGGTTCTTATTAATGTTCCAAAGACGGAGATAGTGAAATATCTATCAATAGAAGTTAAACAAAATTATTAATGGAAAAAGAGTTTCAATGACAAAGCAGTGAGCCCCCACAAGGTACATACTAGAATCCAAAAATCAGTCCAAATATTTTCAGCACAGAATCTAAAGGGCCCAATAAATATCTTTGCTTCAGATAACACAGTAAGTTGCACTAGATGCCATATCAATCAGTTGAATAATTGTTGTTTGCCAAAAATAAAAGGGCCTAATTCACAATGGCATGAGAAACTCAAAACCCATTTACTATTACTCATAGGGGTGGAAGAGGAAGAGAAAAAATAATACACAGGGCAATCACAGTCACCATGGATTTTATACGAGTGCTCAACATTTACAACTGCAAAGAGAGGAGGCCATTTGACAAAACAGGTGCAAAAAGTTGTTAGATACTAACAACAAAGGCCAACATTCATTTATTACAACGTAGAGTCCTTCTCAATTAAATATTTCACTATCCATTTGCCCATGGCATGTATTTAAATTTCCAAGTTTAGTCCAGATCTCAGGTGATCTCCTCTCATTTGTGCAGGCAATTCACTCTTGAATTTTGACCTCAGCAATTTAATTGGATTAGGCATACAGACTATGCATGGCGGAAGTATTTTGACGTATCAAAAAGCTTAAGAACATGACAATTGTAGAATTTGTTACTCCCACAATAAAACAATCAGATTCATGGACGCGTAACTTGGGATTTTCGATGTTTCTGGTCCTGGACCTAGTAACAGAAGATTTTCTAATAACAGTTTGTTGGTTATAACTGGAAATTGTAAAGAAAAAAAAAAAAGAAATAATGAACTAGTCTTAAGCACATGAACTGAAATTATTAGTTTTCTTCATTTACCCAACTTATTAGAGCTCAACTTGAAAGCATGTTCACGTATTTCAATAACACAACCAAAAAAACCTGTGAAACAAGGGACCATTACTTACAACAATCATAACACTCTGGTGGAATATTATTGGCGAGAGGAAGACCCAAAAGATGTCATAAACAAATGCACAACAGAGTAGTACGGCAGCAACCTGCATTGCAGTAACAATATTAGGCAAAAAGCAAATAGCATCTCGTGATGCATGACAAACTAAAACCGAGGTACCTTAATATTAGGCAATCGAGCAACCTGCAGGACAGTTATCATCAAGCAGATACCCTGAGAATAAGAAAATCAATCATTCAGATATGAAACACCGGAGAGTAGAAATGATTCTAAATTTGTACAACCTAACTTCAACAAGTCATACGTACTGCATACAGCACCAAACCTTCATTAAGTACAAAATGAATGAACCTTTTTCTATTTTTCTTTTCTGAAGTACATGGTTTTCCATTGAATTGTCAGATACGTTTTTAATGAAAATACTAGTACAGTGATTGAGACCAGCCAGGTGTACATTTCATAGTCATAATTAGAAATTTTTTTTTCCTGCAATCTCTAGGTTTTATACTATTTTTAATTGTGATCAGTTTTCTTTATTTTATATTGACTTTCAATATTTCACAACAGGGCCTGGGTGACCGTTTAAGTTACTGGTCTTTTTTTTTTTCTTTTCTTTTTCTTTGATGCATTCCCCTCTATAACATCATACAACGAGTACCATAAAATGTGCAGCTGAGGTTTTTATGCAAATGCAAGATACCGTCAGTTTATATTGGCCCCTCCATACAAACAGTGGTGTGCCAGGAGGTGAGATCTCTAATACATCCCATAATCATTTTTGGTTATATTACAGTGAATAGTAAGCTTTTTTGTCACTTCACTTTTCCTTCTTTCCCCTCCAATAGTAAAATTACTGAAAATGTCCAGAAAGAAACAAAAACTCGAATAGATGCTTCATGCACTCAATTTTGACATTGACAAAGTTCTCCAAGATGAATGGTTTCAATATATAAACAAATGAAGAAAGAAAATTATTACCACATTAATCAGATATGTCATGCAACAATGGTTTTTTCACAAGACAAAATTACAACTACGAGAATCATATATGCAGCCATGATTTGACAAGACAACCTAATAGTCTTTCTGGAAGCTCCATCACATTTATATTCATCTCTAAGAAGAGAGTTATCAATTCACGCTCAGCACCTGCAGTCATTTTCTTAAATTACAAAAATGCATCAAGAACTAACCTATGGCCGTGAACATATACATGAAACTTACAAGAAAGTCTTGCCCAATCCATGAATATGATGTTCGCCGATACACAATCCAGAAAACAGCAAGTATCAGACAACAACAGCCGACAACAAATGAGACAATAGAAGTTTCCCCCAAAAGAGGTAAATTCATTTTCTTTTCCATGCACTTTCTGCATCTACTGCTCAATGAACAAGAAGAATAATGTGATGAAGAGTATAATCAAAAATTAGTTGGTAGATTAGAAGCATAAAAAATGTAATCCACTTTACCTTGAAAGCAGAGTCACTATACAATTATGCATGCCCTAAGAACAAAGAAAATAGTTTGATTAGCATAAGCAAAATCAATAGCTATCCCTTTGAAAATCCTAATAATACATAAAATTAAAAACAATATGTATAGAATAAACTGCTTGGACTCGGTATAAGCATTTCATATTCCAGATACAAACAATGGCACCAGCTGAGCATGATCTTTCCTCCTTTTTCTTTTGTATTCTATTTCAGACACGTAAAAATACTAGTCTGATTTAGATGTGCCTTAAAAAGGACATGGGCATGTAAATAGTTCTCTTCTCACATGGTATTGCATATTCACAAGTGCGTGCATAAAGATTTTATGCAACTGTGAACATACAGCAGTTTGCAGCTCATCAGCATTTTGGTTTGCATATTTGCTAAAGAGCCAAAATTAAGCATACATTTAAGGTTGGCTAAAGTTCAAAATTTCAAGAATGGAGAATTAACACCAACAGAAAAAAAAAAAATTCACTTTTGAACTGCTTCAGCGGGTAGATCTGAGACCAGCTGAGAGACTGTCAGACAGCTCTCGTGCAAAGATAAATCTCGCACTAGATAAAACTTGGGTCAAACTCCAGCTTTTCCAAATGTTTTACACCAAGCTCAATCAGCCTAGTGCAGACCAGCCTGTATGCAGAACTTTAATAAATCTAATAGATGAAAGGGTGGAAAAAAAAAAAAAAAAAAATCTCACTGATATAAGTGGCAAGTTTAACCCTTCCAGTTGTGTGGCTTAACTGTGTTCAATTTTCTAAAAATTAAACCTGTCTGCTTCATTTACATGTATTGATTATGTACAGCTTAGCATTAGCAATCTCAAAAACTAGGACCTAATCATGCCAAGAAAACGAAACGGGCAATTTTGCATCTTATAGGCAGCGGGGTAATACAAAAATATAGTGAAGAGTGAAAACAGTAATTAAAATTATTTTTCAGCACATTAAGACCAGTATGCAGTATATCTACATATCTTTCATTCCTTTTTTCAACAGCACTATTTTTAGATGTATTTTTTAATCCTCATCCTTCGGATATAGAAACCATAAAATCGCAATATTTTATTTTATTAATACAAACTATTACAACATATTATATACTAAGAATACTGTTAAAAATCCTCTAGAAGAACTTTGTACCTGAACACCGCCAAGGCAGAAGAGTATAATGAGCACCCAGACAAACCAAGTTGACATAAAAAAGTAGAGTAGAACCAGAAAAGTTGATGCTGTTAGGACAAAAACAACTGCACTCCTCGCATTAATATTTATGATCTCTTGCTCAGCATCACCTGCTGCATTGGAATTTTCCTAGACAAGCAAAGGGTAAACTTGAAGATTTGAATAGTCCAGCATAAACTTGAAGATAAGAAAAATTCTAATGAATTACCTTTGGCGATAGTTCATTATAGCGCTCATCACTCTCCTCAGGAGCAGTAAACTCTGCCCAAAGTGTGGCACAGATCACTGTTCCAACAGCCATCATCCATAAGCATATCACTGAATAATCCACTATGGGACGAGTGGGTGCATACAATTTAAGTTCCACTGCATGTAGAAAACGTATTATAGTAAGACAGTGTGCATTTTAGTTTAATTTCATTTACTTGTGGATGCATTTCCGGCTTGATAGCGGCAGCTGTTACCATGCTTCCATACAATGATTCACACGTCCTCTCCATTATAGGGCAAGATGGACACTACTCGAGCAAAAATGGGGAACATTACCTTCTATCTACCTATTGACCCTTAATCCCCTTTCTATACTAATCTTTCTCCACGTAGCTGGTGACCCCATACAGGAAATATACCCAGGCTTCTGTTGAAAGCTTTAATAGTGAAGGAAATCACCAGATAAGTATACGTGTATCCAACATAAATATGACAGAGCTCAATGGCTCACCTTTCTGTCCATTCGCCATTGACTTGTTCAGATAATCACCTCCAGACTTTGGAATTATCACAGCAGGAATTGAAATGTTTAGAGCAGAACTAGTCTCCTCACAAGTCATCTCAGCAAGATCTAAAGAGTGAGATACATATAATTAAAATTTTAAAAGAAAAAAATGGAACCAAAAGATTTGCAGAAAGGAGTGATAAATGATAAACTATAGAGTATAATGATCAGCTCAATGAATTAGATAAAGCTCATACGGCACTAAAATACAAACCATCTTCATTGTTTATCACCAACAAGGCTTTTGCACCTCCTGACTGTGCAACTTCTGCCTTTTCAGTGAAGGAACAATCACCACGTATGGACATTGCTATTGAGCTGGTAAGCTGCAGATTAGAAGGGGAAAAAATAATATCCTTTTGTTATAATTCAGAAAGTTCAGGGAGTAGCTTCCTTTTGATACAGCGAAACTTGATAACAACAATGGCACATCATCAAATACCATGAGCTCAAAGCTAATGTTAGGAATTTAAAGGTTTCAGGTAGTCAAAAGTTTAATAAGTTCTTTGTGGAATTTTCTAACTTTTACAAGGAATGCTTCATAGTTTCAAATAAACAAAATTGGACAAGGGAGTCATTAAAACAAACAGGCCCCCAATCAAAATCTACTCAAATAACGAGGTTCCAAAGCTGGAGATATCATGTAATTCTTCTACGTTTATGTGATAAGTTGTAATATAAGTTCAATCAGGAATTAATAACTGATAACTAAATAAATAAGAAACATAGCAAAACCTTTGAAGAGGAACTAGAACAGCAGTTTAAGGGATTTGAGAAAACGGCAGACAATCTGAGGCCTTTTTCAGCCTCAGAAGGCAATAGAACCCCAAATCTTGCAGACATCCCACTTAAAGTTTCACCTTTAACTCCATTAACCCAGTTCTCAACCTTGACCTGAAAGATTTCATGTCAGGACATAAAATAAATCATTAATTTGTTCGACGTTGTGTCAGGTAAAAAAACTAGATGCATAATAATAATGCAACACAAAGAAACATTTGAAAATAAAAACAAAACATTATACATCCCATATCTAAATGTCATGATAGCTGCTAATTAGCTATTTCAATCATCTGGGATCTGGTCACAGAAATTACCATGTTTCATATTCACACATGTAATAAATAGAAGGTTTCACTATTTCTATTTTTTTAAGAATCCATTCAAATCTAGCATTCTGCAACAAGAAGACTCACCTATATGGGTTGCAATGCATTAACACATAAGCATCCTTTCTTCATAGATAACAAAGCATCACAGGTTATTTTGTATGGGCTTTAGTTAAATGTCTGTATTGATTGGCCGTGGTAGCACAAACTTATTATATCAATTATTTGGGCTCATAATAAAATAAAAATTGCTCCTGCTTATCAATCAACAGTTTTTAGCCATTCAATTAATACCGAATATAGCCTTTTTTTTCTTCATTTCCTTTCTATTTTAATGAAAATATTTATTAAAAATGAAAAAAAAATCCAATTAGCAGTAGCAGAAAATATGCAGGTATCATCAAAGACAGCATTGAGAAGAACCTAAAGAGTAACTTTCCGAGGTATAACAGCATCACAAAATAAATTCTAGTAACTGTCTTTCTCTCTGTTCACAAAAGTATAGAATACACAGTGGCTCAAATCCCTTAGAAAAGTTCTTGGATCTTTAACATTTTTCTAGGGGATCCTTTCCAAAAAAAGCATTTAATCCTAACACTTGCGGGCATTATCAATCAATCTCAAATAATGAAAAGAACAAAACATGGTTCCCCTTGCTGCTGTAAAATGAATGAGATTCTAATAACCGCACAATGTACGAAATTGTCAAAAAGCTACTGTTCATGGAGCCCTTAACATGGCATTCAAAATTCGGGGAAAACTGAATATCAGAAGACAGCAGAAGCATTTAGCAGTCAGAAGATTTTCCTTATAGTCAATCCACAAGACATCATCCTGGTAACCAGAACCAGTGGCTTCACATTTTCATCTTGAAAACACCGGCAGATAACACACTTTCACTAATGAAAGCATATAATGTTTCTACATTATCAATTGGCTACATTGATTGCACCCATTTCCATTAACGTCTCTTCCTTCTCAAACTTGTTCTTAATCAAACATCTAGGGATCATTTTTCCACAAACTGAATTTCTACAATTCGCGTAATTGCACAAAAATTATTCCAATTGAAAATCCATATGCATAATTCAAATTTTGGATCTCAAAATTACATATCTTAAAGCTGCCATTACATAGTCACATAATAAGCATCAGAAAGATTCACATTATCCATTGAAGTACATTTAAAAAAAAAAAAAACGAAACGTTCAAAAAATATAATGAATTACCAATTTGAATGGAAGAGCGCAGCCAGGAGACTTAGGGGAATCGCCATCATGCGAGGCGTCGTCGGCATATGAGAGACGAATGACAAATAAGAAGAAACAAAAGAATAAGAGGAGACTCCGCGTTGGTGAAGAGAAGAACAACGCCATGGTCAGAGCATCAATCAAAACTCAATCTCTCCCTTCCTCTTATTAATTAACGGAGAGAAAGAGAAGAAGGATAATTAAAGAACACAAAAAAGAATAATGTGTTAGGAAGAAATAGAAACGCTCATGTCCTTTTACCTTCCTTTCTCCGTAAGAGAGAGAGAAATTGTTATTTTTTAATTATTATCTAATTATTATTATCGACGGGGAGAGAGAGAAGGTTAGGAGACTAGCGGATGCTTGGTAGGGACAAGTAAGTAATTACAAATGCGGGATGGGAGTTAGAACAATTTGATAAAATTAGAGGGAGTAAATAGTAATTTACTCTTATATTAATTGAATTACAATTAAAAAAATAATCTTTTAAAAATCTTTCTTTGGAAAACCTCGTCCAAACAAGGCGTTGGCTTTCACTGTTCCGCAATTTTCATAGTCTCCGTCGCCGGTCAGAATAACAATACTCTTCCCTGACGAATCCGTGACCTTGCGCTATCCACGGTCATTCAATCTCGTCGGGAATTTCAAGGAATTGTACAGAGGGTTTGCAGATATGGAAGAAACAATACCCTTTAAGAATCTACACAGCAGAGAGTATCAAGGTCACAAGAAGAAGGTTTCTGTAAATTCAAAACAAAAAGCCCCTAGCTTTCTTCCATATTTCTTCCACTCCCTTTCGTATTTATCTTTTTTTTTTTTTTCCTTTCGATTTGATAGGTGCACTCGGTGGCTTGGAATTGTAGTGGCACCAAGCTTGCTTCTGGTTCTGTTGACCAAACGGCTCGTGTTTGGCACATTGAGCCTCACGGCCATGTAAGTTTCGCTTCATTTTAGTTTCTTGTCAGCATATAATTTTAGTTGCTTTCTTGTTTGTGGATTATAAAGGTGAATTCTTTTTGTTTTGAGGATTTTGGCTTTGCAACACGTGGAATATTTTTTGAAAGAAATTCAAGTGGTAACGACTCTTCAATCTATGCGGCTTTGAATTGACTGTAGTGAAATAGGGTGGTTGCTTGTGGATTGTGAAGGAAACTTTTCTATTGTTAATGATTGGGTTACTTGTAAATCTTTTGCATATGTTGATGGGTGCACTAACCTGCCCTTCCTAACTTATTGAGGATTGGTTATTGATCTGGGACTCCAAAATCTCAGTGAAATGTGTTCTCCCACCTTCCCCTCTCCTTTCTCTATTTCACATTGCAGTTTTGATTTGTCAGTTTCATTATCATATTTGTATCATTGGACCTGATCTTATTATTTGGGGGAAGTTCTACATTATTTTGTTATGGTTGCTGCAGGGTAAAATTAAAGATGTTGAGTTGAAGGGTCATACTGATAGTGTGGATCAGCTTTGTTGGGACCCCAAGCATGCTGATTTGATAGCAACTGCCTCAGGCGACAAGACTGTCCGTCTATGGGATGCTCGTAGTAAGTAATTGCTCTGTTTTACAATTACTGCCTAACTAGTAAATAGGGAACTTTTAAATTTACCATTTGTTCTTTTAAGTGTTCAAAATTACCTCACATATTCATGTCTTTGAAAATGTACTTGCAGTTTTTGCACTGTTTTTACTGAATGAACTACTATACTAACGATGATAGTAAATGAGATTAAATCAAAAAAAAAAAAAAAAAAAAAAAAAAATGCGGAGATGGGAGTATTTAGAACAATTTGTATAAAATTAGAGGAGTGTTATAGTAATGTGGTGTATATATTAAATTTGAATTAACAATTTTAAAAAAATAATCTTTTATAATCAATACTTTCTTTTAGGGAAATTCATTCGTCCAAACAAGGCGTTGGCTTTTCAACTGTTTCCGCTTAATTTTCACTAGTTCTTACACGTGCCTTGGTCATGAAATTAAACCAAATAACTCTTCCCTACGAAAATCTCGTGTAGAACCTTGCCGTTATCCACGGTCATTCAATCTCGTTCTTAAGGGAGAATTTTCAAAGGAATATGTTATCAGAGGTTTAGCAGATATGGAAAGAAACAATACCCTTTAAGAATCTACACAAGCAGAGAGTCATCAAAGGTCACAAAAAGAAGGTTTCTCTGTAAGATTCAATATAACATAAAGCCCCTTAGCTATTCTTTCTATATTTTCGTTCCAGCTCCCTATTTCAGTTAAGATTGTGATGCTTTATTTTTTTTTTTTCTCCTTTCGATGTATACGCGTGCATCTCTGGTGGGCTTGGATTGTTAGTTGGCACCCAAGCTGCTTCTGGTCTGTTTTGACCAATACGGCTCGTGTTTTTGGCCAACATTGGCCTCATCGGCATGTTAAGTTTCGCTTATCATTTTATGTTATCTTGTCTTAAGCATATAATTTTAGTTAGCCTATTCTGTTGTGGCATATTATAAAGGTGAATTTCTTTTTGTTTCTGAGCCGTATTTTTTGGCTTTGCTAGCAACACGTGTAAGGTATTTTTTTTGAAGAAATTCAAGTTTGAGTGTTAATTCGGGATCTTCTTCAATCTATGCGGCTTTGAATTGACTGTGAGTGAGGTGAGGGATATGTGTTTGCTTGTGGAATTTGATAGAAGGAAACTTTTCTATAGTTTGTTTAGATTGGGTTACTTGTAATAATTTTCTTTTGCATTAGTTGATTGGTTGTGTGCACTTAACTGCCTTTTCTATACAATTAAACGTTATTTGAGAATATAGAGATATTATTGTTATCTGGGACTCCAGAAATCTCAGATGAAAATGGTGTTCTTCCCACCTTCCCCTCTTCCTTCTCTCTCATTTCACTAGATTGCTCAGTTTGATCTCTCGTCAGTGGCTTTCATTATTCATTTTGTATTCATTTGGCAACTTGATTTCTTTAGTCTCATATTAGGGGGATAATATGTTTACATTATTTTTTAATGAGGTTGCTTAGCATGAGGGTAAAATTTAAAGGATGAATAGAGGTTGAGGGTCATACTGATAGTGTGGATCAGCTTTGTTGGGAACCCCAAGCATGCTGATTTTGATAGAGCAACTGCCTCTAGGCGACTCAAGGACTGTCCGCTCTCATTTGGAATACATCGTAGTTAAGTATTGTGCTCTTGTTTTACTAATTATCTGCCTAACTTAGTAACTCGGGATACTTTTTTTAAAATTTCCATTTGTTCTTTTAGAGTGTTCAAATTTATTTACTCACATATTGTCATGTGGATCTTTTGAAAATTGAACTTGCTTTTTTTTGCACTGTTTTTACTGAATGAACTACTATACTAACGATGATAGTAAATGAGATTCAATCAAAAAAAAAAAAAAAAAAAAAATAATAAAACTTCAGTGAGATGTTGATCCAACATTTTATATCATGGAAAAAAAAAAAAAAAAAAAAAAAAAAAAAAAATCAGAGAGAGATGAATTGTCAAATTTATATCATGTTATGCTAGCTGTTTTTGGGTCGATATGAAAGCTAGAAATGATAGATATTTATTTGGACAATTAGACTTTATAAACAGGTAGTTGGGGAGTAAAAAAAAGCATATTCAGGATCTGTGCTGTTTCAAGTGCAAATTTAGCCCTGGACAACTACTCATGGACAGATTTGGAATGGACTTAAAAAGAACTTGATGTGAGTTTCATGGAAGGGATTTCTAGCTTGAGTTACACTAGAGTTTGTTTTCCAAATTGAAGAAAAGCAATAAGAATAGAAGACTCTTTAAGTTTCATGTCTAGAAATCCTCAAGCATCACCTTGAGATCCCACAAGCACAGAAGAAGCTCCATCTCTGGAAAATTCTTCCTAATTGTAATGGTTGACTTTATTGAAAAATAGAACTGCATGCTATATGTGGATTCAGAAGTATTCTAAATTCTCTACTGGTTGGGTGCTTCTCTAGGAATGCGGGAGGCCAAGGATTCAAATCTTGGCTGTCTCCTTCCCTCTAATAATTTATACATACCAAAAATGGTAATTTTGAATTCCATGTACTTCTAATATTAATGGGATGTGGATCAAGAACGAAGGCCTTTTCTAAAACAATTAGTTCAATATTAAGACTAAAAACCAGTCTTAATTTAGGATCCAAAGCATTGGAACCTAGTGTATCCAAGCATGGCTAAGGTTACCTACATACCATGAGTCCTGAATTTACAACTAGACCATTAATTTTAAGCCTTTCCAACTCTTTTGCTTTTGGTATTTCAATGACTAGAGGCAAAAAAGCAAGCAAGTAAGGAAAACAAAAAAAAAAAAAAAAAATTCCAACTCTTTTGGCTAATTTGGTATTCAATGACTTAGAGCGTGCCAAAAAGCAAGCAAGTAAGGAAACAAAAAAAAAATAAAAAAATGAAGCTAAGTTTACTGTATTTTGATAGCTTGAATTTATCTTCCTTGAAAGGATAACATTTTCATTCAAAAGAATTTGGAAAGGGTTAAAGACTAGAAAAAAAACTTCTTTTGTCCTAAATAGCTTTTATGAAATGGCAGAACCTTATACTGCAATAAAAAAAAAAAAAAAAAAAAAGAAGCAAGTTTACTGTATGAAGCTGAATTTTCTTGAAGAAACGTTCACATAAAATTTGGAAAGGGTAAAGACTAGAAAACTTCTTTTGTCCTAAATAGACTTTATGAAATGCAGACCTTATCACTGCAATTCTAAGAGTCTTGAAACTTACTTTTCTTAAAGCTCCTTGATGTCTATGCCATCACTGCATTTCTTTATCATCAAAAGTAAGATAAATTGGTTTTGTTTGTTTTCTATAGGTGGAAAATGCTCTCAGCAGACAGAACTTAGTGGGGAGAATATAAACATCACCTACAGACCTGATGGAACTCATATAGCTGTTGGGAACAGGGTAGGCCCTATATTAGGAAGATATTCGAACTGTTCCAGTCATATATATCCTATATGTTAAAATTATGAATATGTAATGAAGCTCCTGTTTCATTGTTTGGCTGTCTCGTCAGTAATTCTTTCAGCACACTGATAAGCTATTGTTGTCTCTCTGTTGTTCAATCTACTCTAGGATGATGAACTAACAATACTGGATGTTCGCAAATTTAAGCCAATTCACAGGCGCAAGTTCAATTATGAGGTGAGCACTAAACTTATACTGTTGGTTTTCTCCTTCCAATGTGTGTAAGGCATATACTATGAGGCTCTGTTCAATGTGAGCCATGAAGTAAACACCTTGAAGTTAAACATGGAATGCTTTTTGCTTTTTGTTGAAATTCTAATTTGATCAATTGGTAGAAACCTTTATGAAGAAATCACAGACTTGATATAGATACAAAATAGAACTTGAATGTTGATTTTTTGTTACTTAAATGTTCTGAATCCATTTAACATCAATTGGCTTAAAAAGTAATAATCTTTTGGGTACTTTCTTCTTTTTGCAGGTAAATGAGATTGCTTGGAATATGACGGGGGAGATGTTCCTTTTGACAACTGGGAATGGTATAATTTTCCTAGTCTGCTTTTCTTTGATGCTACAATGTTTTGCAATTACCAACACCTAGTGTTTATATATTTGAAACTATGTACATTTTGTCTTCTCAGGTACCGTTGAAGTGCTAGCATACCCATCTCTTCGACCACTAGACACAGTTGTGGCTCATACAGCAGGTTGCTATTGCATTGCAATAGATCCAAAAGGAAGGTAGGAAAGCTGCAAAGCTGTCTAAATTCTTCTAAGCTGTTTCACATCTTAAAGCAGCACAGTCCAATCTAACTTACATAAGCATGTCATCAAATCATGGAACCATTACATAAACCATTTATTTCTGTGACAGATATTTTGCTGTTGGAAGTGCTGATTCATTGGTTAGCCTTTGGGATATTTCAGAGATGCTTTGCGTGCGAACATTTACTAAACTCGAGTAAGTTTCAAATAGTTCTGTAATTATTAATGCAATCACAATTACTCGATTTATTAAACTTGTGTTGCATGTTCCTTTTGATTGTATGAAATAAACACAGAATATGATTTTTGTATGCTCAGATGGCCAGTCAGGACAATAAGCTTCAACCACACAGGAGATTATATTGCTTCTGCCAGCGAAGACTTGTTCATCGATATAGTATGTGCTCATGGAACTCTTTTCTTTCTTTTTTTAGTTTGTTTATTAGGATATCATTTTTATCGCAGTCTGTTTTGTGTATAAAAAATAAATAGTCCAATGTTCACACTGGACGCTCGGTGCATCAAATCCCATGTCGAGCTGCCATGAACAGTGTTGAATGGAACCCGAAGTACAATTTACTTGCATATGCTGGGGATGACAAGAACAAATACCTGGCTGATGAAGGTATTACGATCTTATACTAAAAACCTTAGGAAATTTACATCTCTTATAGGTTCCTCATGCTGTTTCTGTTATGCCTTTCATTGCAGGTGTTTTTCGAATATTCGGCTTTGAGAGTGCCTAAACTGTAACAAAGCGATTGGGAGGCCTTTCTGTTGTAATATTATTTGGCCCTGATTTTTTGGTTTCTTCTGGTGTTTCTGAAAATTTTTTAAGGTAGAATAGGGAATTTCATTAATGAAGATCAGAGAACTTTGTTTATTATAAATGTTAGTAAAATATGGATTTTTTTCCTTAATTATAATTGTCTTATCGACATAATGCGATATACTACTAAGCGTATTGATTATTCTCTCTCTCTATATACATGTTTGATATGTAAGGGATAAATATACACATTCTTGAAACGACGCATCAAGGTATAATATCTACGTTTTCAAAAATAAAAGAAAAATGTTATAATATCTATACCTACAAGGAAATATTTTCTAAATTTGGTGACATCCGTCATCAAGTTCTTAAAAATTATAAGAGCATAAAGATAAAACTATCACAAATTGATTTTTGATGGTGAATATATAATCAGAGAACTTTGGTTTATTTATTAAATGTTTCAGTAAAAAATATTGGATTGTATTCCTATAATTATAAATATGTTCTTATCGAACTTGTTTGCGACTATACTACTACTAGTTCTGTATTGATTTATTCTCTGGTCTTTCTATATTACAATGATTTGATATGTGTACAATGGGATAATAATACACTTCTTGAACGATGCATTACAAAGGGGATTTATTATAATAATCTACGTTTTTTACAAAAAATAAAGAAAAATGATATGTATAAAATATCGTTATAACCTTACAAAGGAAATATTTTCTAAATTTTGGTAGAACATTCCGTCATCAATGTTCTTTAAAAAATTATAGAGCATTAAAGATAAAATACTATCATCCATATAATTTGATTTTTGATGGTTCAGAAATATATATTATAATATTATATATTAATCTTTATAATAATATTAAATATTTTATTTAATATACTATATTAAAATATGTATATAATTACAAATTTTTTTTTTTTTTTAAATAATGGTCTTATTGACATCTATTAAAAATACCCATCGAAAGCCATACTTTACGAAAATAATAAATAATGGTCTATTGACATCTATTAAAAAGACCCAATCGAAAGCCATCTTTCGAAATAATCATAATATTCCCTATTTACAAAAATACACGAGAAAAGTCTTCGATATGCATATGAAAAAAGGTTAACTGAATGGATATAATGCAACAACCTGCCACTTTTGTGTTAGAACCGTTACCATTATTAAGCGGATGCTTTACCACTTTTTCCCAATACCTTCTAATAATATAACATAAAGCTTATTAAAAAAAAAAAAAAATCAGAACCATAAAATTCTGTAATACCAAAACTACCCTTAAAATCAATTTTTAAATATACACATATATGATTATAGTTTATTTTTTAAAATATTGAAATATTAATATTACTATTAATTTTTAAATATTTGAAGGATATTTATTATTCTACACATTATTGATTTCTAGATATAATCAAATATTAATTATTATAATTATCCAAATATCATATTCTTTAAATTAAAATCTTTTAATTGGTCATGACTAATAATGTTATATGATATCAACATTTTAACTAAATATATTTTAAGAAAATCCATTATTTTTCCCTCTTCCATATATGTGTTTGTTATTTATATATATTGTTGTTATTGTTATTATTGTAGATAGGTAAATTAAAATTTTAAATAAAATTTAGATTATTTTTATGAAAATTAAAATTTTATTTTTTAATTTTTATTATAAAAGTTAGCAAAATATGAAGTTTGTGGCACCACTAAGGAAAGATCAAGGAAAATCATACTTGCTTTTTTACATATAAATATAAATATATATTATATATATATATTATAATCACTTCCTTCTGAATAGATGGTTATAATCACCTTCCTTCTTGAATAGATGGTTAATTTTTCAATTATTTATATATACTGTTATTGATATTTTTTACATTTAATTATTTATTGATATGATAGTTTAAATATAAAAATATACCAAAAAATGTAGAAAAAATTTATTATTTAAATAATATTAATTATTTTTTAATCTCTATGAAAATAGAAATAAATTTATATTTATAACACGAGGAGAATATCATAATTTTTTTAGGCTATTTTATAATTTACAATTTTATTTATGAATTTATTAATAAATATGAAAAAGAATTCCTGTATTTACTAACGCAATAGTAAAATAAAATTTTTTACCTCCTGTCAGACGATTTTCTCTCAGGTTGGACGAGCTGCGACAGCAGATGAAAATTGTCTGCCGCAGAGACTATTGGGTGCAAAATTTTACTATTTTTTTAGAATAATAAGAAAAAAAAAAAAAAAAAAAGAAAGAAAAAAAATTCTAGCCTTCCTTTTCTTTTCTTCGTGTAATGATAAAAAGACATGAACCTCTCTGTATTACTACTACTTGGTAAACCATTTATATTGTCTTAGTATCTCTCTCACTCGTTCTGCGATATTGTTTTGGAGAGAAGGGCTATGGCTTCTGCCATGAAAATCGTGTTCGCTCTCCTAACCTTTGTTACAGTTGGAATGATCATAGGTACTTTCTCCTCCTATATATATCTTTCTACTTAAACACACACAAAAAAAGCTTTTCTTCTCTTCTAAATTTTGGATTTATTATGGATTCGAACTTGCAAGTTAGGGATCTGATAGTACTTTACATCGTATTTGACTCGTACAGTTTCAAAATCTAATTATTGTATGCATTTTACAAGTTTTAAAAGAAAATTCATATCCTAATTTTTAAGAATGGAAGTTTAAATTTCTAAGTTAATTCAACTGGAAAAGCATAAAATCTAAAGATGAATATTGAAACTGTATCTTCATTGACTATGAAGTTGACTGTGACTTTACTGCTGATAATGAAAATCACATACGATTCATTTCAAGATTTTGATTAGCAAAACAGAATTAAATGGGTCGTTAAGTTTAGGAAATTATGATTTTCACATACTAACCTGCTGCTTAATATTAGCAATATTGATTTTGCTTGTTGTTTGGAATTGCAGGTGCAATGTTTCAGTTAGCATTTATACACAAGTTGGAAGATTCATATGGTGATTTTCCTGGTTCTTTTCATTCAATGTCTTTCAATTTCTTAACATTTTTTTAATTTTTATGCAGCTTATGGTTGCATGTCATGTTTATGTGTCTGTCTTGTTAGTGCCTTTTTCAGTATCTGTTTTATTGGGGAAAATAAATATGATGTAGCTAGCATTGAACAGCAGTATTTGGTGTATGATTATCTTTTAACTCGTGGTCAGAGACAGGAAAAATTTCTTAAAGATCAAAAATATAAAATGATATTGAAGAGATGTGCTGTTGCATTTTTCCATCTTGTACTGGCTTTTCTTGTTTTTGAGGGTTAGCTTGTCTTGGTTTCCATTAATCTTTCTCCCTGTCACTCTCTTTCTCTCTGCTGAAACTTTGGGCCTATACGGCACATGAATATCAGTTTTTAATGTCTTTGATCATTTGTCTCATTTTTCCCTTGACTCGCCTTTTTAATAAGTTTGGCCTCCTTTTTGTTTTTCTGCAGTATAAAAATAATTCTAATGAATTTCATTTTGTGAAATTTTGTGATCGCTTCCTTTCTTCAGCATTTTTGTTTTAAGCTTATTAATGTTTTTCAGATTGAATTCTGTAGTTGTTTTGGAGTTCATGATTTGCAATTCAATTTCCCTTTTCCTTTGCATAATGTTAGCCTTCCATGTCACATTAGTTGATTTATTGCAAGTTCTAATGAGTATGTACATACATGTGGAGTTGTGCATGCACAACTGCAATACATGTTTGCATGTATCTGTTTTTCACATATCATATCAATTGATAATGAAGTGATACATGTCTCCCTTGCATGCTATTGAAAGCAGTATGAATTTTGTGTTTCCTTTGATTGACTTGCGCATGTGAAGCTTCAACCTAGGGTTTTTTTTTTTTTTTTTTTTTTCCAAACTAGGGTTTTTTTTTTTTTTTTTTTCCTTATTTTTTTTTTTTTTTTTTTCCTTAATATCTTCAAGGTGTTGAAATTGTGATGAGTAATTGGTGTCCATAGGACAGTCTCTTGAACATCATAGTCACACATATATATTATATCATATTATTCAAAAGTTAAATTTCATCTTTTTATATGCAAACTGAATTGCTTGAGAATAAAAACTAAAACTAACACTGTGGTGTACTTTATTTTGAATCACATCCTTTATAGGCACCGAGTTTCCATCATTTAGAAGACTCCGCAAAATTCAAAATGATGGCTATCTTAAGTTACCCAGAGGTTTGTATGGTTTGCTAATCACTGTTTCTAAATACGCCACTGTGGTAGTTGTCACTTAAGGAATTTCTAATAGAGAAAAAAAAGTGAATAAGATTTCAGCATGCCTGACTATGATTTCGTGGTTGTAAAACCATATTTATCTCGTTGTAGAATTGTTTGGTCTAATATCATATGATGGATTAATTGAAGAAATAGTTCTATATGTTTTGTTTGCAATTTTCTAATTTCGTAAATTTTCAGGCATTATTCATTGGGATAATGACGAAGAAGCAGAAATTTTACGTCTTGGATATGTAAGTCTGCTGTTTTAAGTCTTTGCTTACGCATATGTGTTCTGAAAGGCAGTACAACATAGTAGCAATGTAAATGTCTCTTTGTTAAGATGGAGAGAAAGAAATAATGAAAGAAAATAAATCTGAGGCAAAAAAAAAAAAAAAAAAAAAAAAAAAAAAAAAAAGAAGAACATTTATATTAAAAAAAAAAAAAAAAAAAAAAAAAAGAAGAACAATTATATTGAATATAAATATCATTAGTTGGGAACATGCTAGATGTTGTTCCTTTGGTGACATTTCATGACATTGAAGGTACTTTATATTATAATACGGGAATGGATCATGGTATTTAAACTAATACTTTCTCATTATATTCCCTTACATGAAATATTTTGTACTTTCTTTTTCATACAATTTTTGTTGAACATCTATAAAAGAGTTTTTCAGTTCTGGGAAGGATTAAGTCCATGTTTGATACTTCACCTGTAGTTGTTTGTACAGGACACTTCATGGCATCCCATTAAGGTAGGTGATTTTTATGGTTTATGTGATGCAGAGTTTACTGTTTCAGGATGGTTGCTTGGCTTTTTTCCCCTTTTTGATGGTTAGAAATGGATGGGGGGAAGGAGGTTGACTCAATTGTAATGAAAACTTTTCTAGTTTGTTTTCCAGCGTTGATTTATTTGGGCTTTTATCACAAATTGTAATAATAGTTGCTGTTATGCATCATAGAAGCTGCTCGCTCCCCCACTCTGCACATGCAAGCAAAATGTCTTTCTTATTTTAAAAATGGAAAATATTTGTTTTCTGAAGTTTCATTGTCAAGTTTGTTTTTATTTGCATTTTGCTATCAGAATACTTATAAAAGCTGTAATCTTGAAGATGGGACTTGTCTTAATTCTTTTTTTTTTTTTTTTTTTTTTTTTTTGACATTCATTTACTCACTTCTTTCGCTGTTGATGTATGGTCAAACCTGAAGTTAATTAGCTGTGCGTCGCCACGATATAATTTGGCCACAACTTTGAGCACGTGTAGTAACTTTGGCCTAGCTCGATCCTTTACATTAGATTGATTACTGACCAAATTATCATCACAAAGAACTTCTCTTGATTGTTTATCTGTTGAATTTTAAATTAATTCGACTCCATTAAGGAGTAAGGTTTTCTTAGGAACTAGTTCCTCTAACTTAAAGTCATTCACATTCTTATGGCATATGGGATATTCACAACAGATCTTTTGAACCATTCAATCATGAGCATTGTTATTTTCTAATGTTACAGACATTAATAGGACAACAATAAAGTTAGAAGGAAAAGCAATAAAAATAGAAAGAAACAGTGGATTTTCCTAATGGTTATGTAATTGTTGCGCATAATGTTGTGACCGATTGCAAGGAATGTGACTACCTTAGAGCCATAGACGTCTCCCTCCCTTCAAACTTGTCTCACTGTTGGTAGATGTCAAAAACGGGAAGGTTTTTTTTTTTTTTTTTTTTTTTGTTTTGATTTTCATCATGACATTCATACTCACTTCTTTCGCTGTTGATGTAGGTCAAACCTGAAGTAATTAGCTGGTCGCCACGAATCATTGTATTGCACAACTTTTTGAGCACGGAGGTAACTTTGCCTATATCCTTATATTTAATTATTACTGACCAAAATAAATCACAAAAGAACTTCTCTTGATTGTTACTGCTGAATTTTAAATTTAATTCACTCCATTAAGGAGTAAGTTTCTAGGAACTAGTTCCTCTTAACTTAAAGTCATCACATTCTTATGGCATATGGATATTCACAAAATCTTTTGAACCATTAATCATGAGATGTTTTTACATGTTAGACATATAGGACCAACAATAAGTTAAGAAGGAAAAGAATAAAAATAGAAAGAACAGTGGATTTTCAATGGGTAATGTAATTTGTGCATAATGTTGTGACCATTGCAGGAATGTGACTACCTTAGAGCCATAGCTCTCCCTCGCCTTCAAACTTCCACTGTGGTAGATGCAAAAACAGGGAAGGTATGTCTTACATAATACCTTTGCCTTTTCTGTATTGGTCTACTTTGCACTTTATTTTGCTGTTAGTGAAGCGGCATATACAATTACAGAATCTAGTACTTTGTTTGCTAGTTTGATGCCTTATGGACCTAAAAATCAACTAATTAATTTGTCTATTCTTATACTTTTTTGTTGGTGATGCTTTTACATTTTCTTTTCACATAGATGCTATTACTTCTAATTTTTCTTTTTCTGGTTGCTTGGTTTCATTTGCTTGGACTTAAAATAGATGGACAGTTTCTGCTTTTTAACAGGTTTAAAACTTGTCATTTTTTGCTTTATATAAAAACACATACTGTAGAAAATGTATATGACAAGGTCTGGATTGATCTTCTTTTCTCACACCTCTAAATGCTCAATTTTCCCTGGAAATTTTATTTTTTCAGTATCCTTGAATTAAATTAAGTATCATATACAATGAATGACTGAGCATACGAGATGTATTTGAAGTTGTTTCAAATGACAAAATATAATAGATGAAAGAAAGCCAGAAAAAACTCAAAACAAGAAAATGCAGCACTTATAGATTACCTGCTGATCTTAATAAATGCCAGATAATTTGGAAAAGATAATTAGTAGGGATTAGCATCTACGAAATTCAGCCAAGAGGTGAGTGCAAAGTGAAGGATTTGGGGCTAAAAATTTAATTATTGACAAAACAAGAGAAATTCAATACTGAAGATTTTTATTCCACAAGACAGAAGAAGGCTAGTATCACTACAAAAAATTTTCATAACTGGCTGTGTCATCAACTTAAATTATTTTTGGAACTGGAGTCAAATAATGACAAGTTTGATCCAAATTTCCATTTTTTATGTCAGCATTACATTTCCTGTTTCTTATATTTTCATCAATGCAACTTTAAATGATAATAAATCTGCTACATCTCTGTTTTCAGGGAATAAAGAGTAATGTAAGGACAAGCTCTGGTATGTTTCTGAGTCTTGAAGAGAGAAAATATCCTATGGTACAGGTTAGTTCATTGTGTCGCATAATCGATTCATCTTCAGTGACTCGATCATTGATTGTCATTCTTCTCTGGGCTACTCTTGAAAATTTGGATGATTTTTAATAGTAGACTTGTACCTGTATCATGTGTGTGTCTTTTGTGCGCATGTGAAATGTTTCCTCTCCTTATTCATATGAATTTTTCCTCATCCTTTGCTTTCTATTGTTTCATTTTCCCTCCCTGCACAACCAGGCAATTGAAAAAAGGATATCTGTGTATTCTCAAGTTCCAGTAGAGAATGGGGAGCTCATCCAAGTTTTAAGGTGGGGATCCAAATTATTTACCAGTAAAGCATTGTTCACAAAAGGGGAAAACTAATATATTTCAATCAAGGCTAACATCTGCTGCAGCACAGGTATGAAAAGCATCAGTTTTACAAGCCCCATCATGACTACTTTTCTGACGCGGTGAGTCATTTAACCTTCCCCTTTTTGAATTATGATATGTGTGCTACTGCATTTAGCACTGTTCTATAAGTTGCCTTATTTTAACAATCTTCTGATATGGGATTGTCCTCTTTCTTCATTTAATTTTTCCTATTTTTTTCTTTCCTTTATAGTTTAACTTGAAGCGAGGTGGTCAGCGTGTAGCAACCATACTGATGTACTTGAGTGATGATGTTGAAGGGGGAGAAACATATTTTCCTATGGTAATTTTTTAATTCATGATTATGGTGGGATAATTCCTTGTACTTAAAGTTTAACTATTTCTGAACTTTTGCTTCACGTGACTCTTATTTTCTAGTTGTTGAAGGTGCTTTAAAATTTCCAGCAAAACACAAGCTTTAAAATTTCATATTCACATGGGAGTTTAATCTGCGGGTGATTGCAGGCTGGTACAGGCGAATGCAGCTGTGGTGGGAAGGTTGTGAAAGGATTGTCTGTAAAGCCAATTAAAGGAGATGCAGTGCTTTTCTGGAGCATGGTTTATTTTCTAATCACTTATTAAATCTCATAATGTGATCATGCATACGCCTCTGAAACTCATTTTTTGAACAGCTTATAACATAGTGAAACGCCCTCATGGTATTTTCTCTTTGATTTGATTTCCTATTGCAAATCATATTTGTTTCAAAAAATTTTGGTCTCTACTGTTCAAAATTGTGGTCCATATACTACCATTACTGAAAGATGCTAGACTTTGAGACAATGAAGTGTTTCAAAATTGAACAATTTAGGGACTAAAATGCAGTCTAATTTAAAATTCAGTCCTTAGCAAATCTCAGGGGAAAAGTTGCTAATTTAGAAAGAGCAAGTATAAAAGTATATGTTAAGACAAAAATGACCTCAAGGGATATTTTGTAATTAATAATCCAAAAATTTACTATTAGTCGCCATAGAAATCATTATGATGCTTGGTCTTGCATGGTAAAAATTTCTCGATAGGAGTTTATCTGATTCTAAATCTTTTGTCTTGGTTATTTCAGGGACTAGATGGACAGTCGGATCCGAACAGCTTACATGGAGGATGTGAGGTTCTGGCAGGCGAAAAGTGGTCTGCTACAAAATGGATGAGGCAAAGACCTTCATCTTAAGTAACTTACTTCACCTTGAAGACTATGGAAAAGGTGCTTCCTTTATAGCAATCACCTGATATACAAACATCTAGATACAAAAAGATTAGAGAATGTGAACTAGTACTAATTTGAAATAAATTAGTTACGAAATAGAAGATTAGTTTTAGTTTCTAAATCCCAATTCAGTTTTTTAGTTTATGAAAATAGAGTCAATCAAAATCCTAGGGAAGAATTGTCCTGGAACAAAGATTTCTCTGTCACTCCAGTTCTTGTCTCTCTTTTTTTTTCTTATGGTTGGCTGCTGAAAGTTCATATCAATGATTGATGTGAAAATATTTGTAGAGGTTATCTAATTGGTTAAAAAGTTAAATTAAATCCTCGGACAAATGTCGTCGGTTCAAAAAAAATCCATGAACGGATCATGGATCAACCCTCCAAAATCATCTAAAATTGAATTAAACTGAATCGAATCAAAATACAGATCAAACAAACCGAAAGGAGGTGTTCAGGTTTATGGTAGTTTTAGGAATTTCAGCAACTAAAATCAAGTCACTTGCCTTTTTGGTTGCATGTTGTCCTCTCTTCTATATAATATCTTCTAGACTTCTAATGAAAGAAGAAGGTTCCTTCTTGTGGTCTCTCCAATATTACTATGTACCACAATATATTTACATTAATATTCGAATCTGAGCTTCAACAAGTTGAGAAAGTGGAGGTGGAATGAAGGGGTGATAGAACGAAAATTATTACGAATAAAAAGAGGAAAAAATTTGTTGTTAGTTCTATCCCTGAAATACGATATTCTCGTTTTAAAGTTCGTGACTACAACTAATTTTTATAAATGATTTTCATATAACGACCCTTTAATTTTAAATAAATCATCTATTAAATTTAAATATATTTTACCACTTCAATCGCGGATTATTATTTCGTTCAATATTCAAAATTTAATTACCAAGATGGAAATTAGAAAGTAAACGTAGCTTGCTTGTGAATTTAGCTAAACCCTACAATCATCGCGATAATTAAGACTTATAATATATGTATCAATAATTGCTGCAATATTTATAAAGAGACAAAGATGGCAGTAACATCATTATTTTGTAAAGTAAGAACGAACTTACATGAAACAGTAACGAGATAGATAGGAACAGGACACAGTACTAATCCATATGCATGAAAAACAAAGAACAATAATATCAAAATAAAGAGAATAGAAAACAAGAGATAACAATTTCCAAAGTGGATCAAGCTTTATTCAATCCATAAATCTATCTTCAGTTATATAATTTTTGTCTCTTTCTTTCATCCCCTCGATCCTTTTAGGATAAGCTGAGATGATGATACTTTTGTTGGATCTTTGTCTAGCAAGGGGCACGGTGAGGAAGCCTACACTTTTCTGGGAGCTTCAAGGCAAGCTTTGGGTCAATCCCAAGAGAAGGAAGCAAAGTGGAATTTTTGTAGGAGCAAAGACAACGCAAGTCAGCATGAGAAAGCGCAGAGCAACAGGCACTAGTAGGCGGTGCAGGGTTTGGAGGAGTAACGGCTGGCCTGCATGACGTTAGCCCAGAGATGGACACGTTACATATGCTTTGGCCATTGATGCTGCTGCTAAAAATGCCAGCAACCATTACTAGCATAATAACTAACAGCTTTTGGACTCTCTCCATTATTTTGCTTTTCCAATTGGTTTGTTTTGCTATAAATATGAGCGGAGTGGGTATTTGGATGGGTTTTGGAGTGTGTTTATATAGGAAAAGTAAGGATGGAATGGAAATGGCCCGTGAAGCTAAATTGGCAGCATATGGTATAAGAGGAAGGAGACTGTGAAGTCACGAGGAGCTATCCAATCGCATCATATGTCTTGCTTTTGTCTGACGACTTTATGTGCATGCATGGCGGCCATACATATATGTAATGTTATGTTATATGAGGGCCCGACTGTAATTTTTTATTTTCCGCCGACAGTCGCGCCAGAATTTAACAATCAATGGCGTTCTGAATTTTGTTGGTGCACTTAAATCACTTTTATAAGTAGAGACAAACTCTAGTCCTATCAACCAACAACTCATTGGTTGATAAGACTTTTTTATATGATCATTCGTTATTATTTTAATTTAATATTTTTTTTTTAAAAATTAGTATTAAATTTAGAGTAATATAATTAATTTATTCAATAATTTATTGTAATTTAGACAAATTTAATAATTTTTTTAAAGAATATAAAATTTTAAACGCTACAAGTATTATGAAATAAAAATAGTATATAATATATATCATCTGAAAGCACAAAAAATTTTTATAATCTGCTCGACGAGATTTCCCTTCTTAATTATATAAAAAGAAAACTTTGATTATATAAGTAATTATGTAGACTAGGAGTATAATGGAAATAGAGAAGGCGGCTAATGATAATAATAATAACAAAAATGTAATGGTCAAAGAAACGTAATTTGACTTTGGATTCACATATTTTACGATGGAATAAGCCTATTGCCTAAGGGTCTCTTCAACATAGGTTAGAAAGTTCAAATCTCTAGTTACAATTCCTAACTTCAATACAGACTAGTTGTCAATTAGTTGTATTCTGATTGATTTTCGGTCTGGAGTCTGATTGATTCAATTATAAATTATTTTATTTATTTAATTATAATTCAATATCAAAATACTAAAAAAAAGAAAAAAAAATTTAATAACTACTACCCATATCTCTTTTGGATAAAAGGTTGTTTACAAGAGCATCAAATGCTTTGAGAGAAGACCCTTTCTCTTCTCCATCCTCTTTCATTGCTGCCCTTATCAACTTCCCAATCTCCATAGCTTTCTTTCTCATGTCATCCCCTTCACCATTCTTATCCATTACTAAATCTATCACCTTCTTTACTTCCTTCCAAGTTATAGTACTTTCAAGTCCTCTTGTCAACTCTACACCAACACCCATTTCCTCTGCAAGCATTTTTAAATTATATGCTTGTTCAGCTGCCAATGGCCATCCTATGATAGGCACACCTTGACTTAAACTCTCTGTTACTGAATTCCAGCCACAATGGCTCAGAAAGGCTCCAGTTGATTTATGTGACAAAATCTCCAATTGGGGTGCCCAATTTCTTACTAATAATCCTCTTTTAGTATCTCTAACTCTCTCTTCAAATCCCTCCGGTAACCATTCTGGTTTAAATGCAGTTCTTCTGTCAAAACCAGTAGGTGGCCTGATAACCCAGATGAATGGTTTCTTGCTTTCTTCTAAACCAATTGCTAATTCCATCATTTGAGATGGACTAATAGTATTTTGCGAACCGAATGAAATGTAAAGAACCGAATCTTGGTTATGCATATCAAGCCATTCTAAGCAACTCTCTGTAGCTATCTCTGGTTTCTTACCGTTGCGTTGAAAGCTTATACTTGACTGTGAAGGTAATGGTGATACTCCGCCATTAAGGACTGAAGGTGGAAGGAGAGGACCAATAGACCAAACAGGAATCTGAACATATTTCCTTAATAAATCCAATCCTAAAACCTCAATTTCCTCAACTGTATTGCATAATAACCCAAAAGACTTTAAAGAAAGTGAGATTTGTTTCTGCATAAAATTCGACCATAGGTCCGTTCCATCAGCATTTCTTATAAAACGATGCAACTGAGTTATTTCAAACCGGTACCGTTCCGGAAAACCCGGAACATGAAACTTATCGGAATTAGCTTTCCGGTGAGGAAGATTAAGCCAGAGAGAAATATAAGCTAAGGTGCCATAAGCGCCACCAGTAGAAAAGCTTATATTAATCGTTCCTACACTATTAGCTACATTATTAGCCCATCCAAAGAATATATCTGATATTAAACAAAGTGGAGGCTTACCTTCTTTAGATATAATATCTAATAGAAGATCTCGAACTGGGTTCTCAAGGGTTGGTGATGATGCGAAAAATTTTCCAATGAGGTCTAAAGACAAGTTTTCAGAGTTCTCTGTGTCGGCTGGAAGGCCATGATCGGCAGCGGAGAAAGGAAGTTCGACAAGACGGATTTTGTCACTGCGGGCGATCATGGTTGAACGGAGATATCGAATGTTAAACGGGGTGTTGGCTATGGTTATAATGAAACCTGTTCTTTGGTGGATTTGTCTTGCTAAAGCAAGAAATGGTATTAGATGGCCATGAGCCATGAAAGGTAGCATCACAATGTGTTCTTTAGATGTCATGTTGGGGCTTAGGGTTAAGATCTTGGTGCTATGAACTGAATGTGTGAGAAGAATGGTTTCTTTGTTCTTGTTAATTCTTTTATAGTCCTCTCTGATAGCAACTATTTGATTAGAGGTTTTTTGTTCTCTCGTCTTTATATAGCATCGTTATATTGATATATTGGAACATATTTTCTTGATAGTCCTTTAATAAGAATTATTTGGTTATTTCTTGATATTTGTGAGGTTTTCTCGTCTTTGTTTAGTATTATTTTTTCTTTTTTAGATTTGATATTCCCATATTCGGACATATTTTTTTGATAGTCCTATAATAAGATTTATGAGATTTTTTAATTCTCTCGTCTTTATTTAGTATTGTTTCTTTTTTTTCTAATGGAGTCCTCTAATAAGAATTATTTGGTTATCTCTTGACATTTGAGAGGATTTCAATTATCTTTTCTTTATTTAGTATCGTTTTATTTGTTATACTAAAAAAATCGTAATGTATAATCCTCATCGGATTAAATGCTAATTTGAGATGTTAGTTTAATTTAGGCGAATCACACGTCGGTTAAGTACAAAGTGAAAGTAATATATATAAGAGTGAACAAATTTTATACTAGTAAGAGATTTTGTAGACGTTTGGATGAAATAATAAATACACAGTACATATTTTAGATTATTGTTTTCTTTAAATAAATCACTAAATTAAAATACTTGTGTAAATGAGAAAACTTGAATATAAATATTTTATATATTTCAAAGTAAGGAAATCAAATAAATCACATGTTGTTGGCTATATTGCTTTCTTATCAAACTATTTTTCTTTTATAATATCTTATGCTGGACTACGCTCGAACTCTGTGTCACTCAAAACACTCAAGCAAGAAGCACCAGTACTTACCATTGGGCTATAGATTAATCCTCGAGTAAGTGTTAATGAATACGACAATGTTAGGTGGCAATAATTAAATCTCTTATATAGCTATAAAAAGGAAAGCGACAAGTCGTTAGCTGGCATTTGTTCCCCAACACACTCTAATTCCATGAACGACGTGGAAAGTTGCCATTCACTACTTTCAACCTAAAACGGTGGGCATTAAGTGTGAGTAGGCGGTGGGCGGTTCATCCTGCATTTCCTCGGTAGGAGTAAATGCCAACGTTCGCCATCCTGATTACGTCATCCTGATTAGGTTAATAGTGAAATGTTTATATAGTTAATAGTTATTATATTTAAGAATAAGAATCAATCACTAAACTAAATATTTATTTTATATTGTAAAAAAAAAAAAAAAGTGATTCGAATCCTAAGAATCTCATTCTTCTCCAAACAATTTTTTTTTTTTGAAGTATATAAAAAGAAGAAAAAGAGTAACAATGACGAAGCAAACTTTGTTTTGATGTTCCATTAAAGAGTCGTGCCATGTTGCTCCATCACATCAATATATCAATGATGGTAGTTTAAAGTTTAAAGACGGTTGTTTGTTTTGTCTCATCAAATATGTTTTGGAATTTTTTTTTTTTTTATCAATTAGTTGTCAATTTGTATTTTTATATATATGGTATTCTAAATTATATTTTAATACCATAAAAAATAATAAATTTTATTTTATAAAATACTATGCCCTTAACCATTTTGCAAAACATTTAAAAAAAAATAGCATATTTTCTAAAAAAAAAAAAAACAAGTGCATTCAAAATTTTTAAAAATAAGTCGACCAAGTATTTTAGTATGTGAAGCTCAATGCGAATTGGGCCGAGTCTGCGTGGATTTTATCTCTATCTATAGCTTTTCAGTCCAAGCTGAACCCATTATAATAATATTGTCTATAAATTGTTTTTTTTTTTTTACTTAATAATATTTTTTCTGTTTCATATCTATTAAGCAAGCAGAAAATGTAATGTTTGGTTAGACATAATAAAAGGCAATTTAAATAGATTAGTCCTTAGTATAATGCAAACAATAAAACCAATTTACAAAGTAAAAGAAATTGAAACGTATTTTGAAAACCATAAATTAATTAATTTTCTATTTTTATGTAGAAAACAAAATTCAGGTATTTATAAAGTATTATTTCTTATTCGCTACTTTTATTCCATATAATATGATAATTTGAGAATGTATTTAATATATATATATATATATATATACACACACACACATTGTTATCCTTGTCTATTGTTTAATGTTCTTCTTCATCACACCATAGAAATAAACTGATTGAAACTGAACTTTCAAAACAAAAAAGAAATGTTTAAGTATAATAAATACTTAGCCACGCTAATTAATCCAAATAGACATAATCAACATCCCTTGACATGAAAGATAATTAGTTACCACCGAACGGTGATTGAGTGCTAAAGATGATAATGACCACAAGATATAATTAATTATAATTAATCTTACAGTTTTACCTGCCTTCCAATAGAACATCATAAAAGTAATATAGATAATCCAAGAGATTGTCTAGGGGTGTAGATGAGCTAAGTTGACTACCAAGCTGTTTGATATCGGCTCAAAAAAATTTGAAAAAGTTCGGCTCGAATTGAGATCGAGCCTAATGATGTTTAGCTCCAAAATTCGTTGATCTTTATCGAGTCTTGTCAAACTTTTATATATAAATAAATATAATATTTATTTTACAATTATTCAAGCCTTGAGTCTTGAGCCAAGCCTAAATTTAAAATTTTTTGAGTTGAGTCTCAACCTAATTAATATTTTTAGGCTCTTTTAATTTCGATCTAAGCTTTGCACCTGGCAGTTTTAAGTACGGCTCGGCTTGTTTACACTCCTAATCTATATTACTTATATTTTTTTTTTTAAGAAAAAAAAAAAGAAATATACTAAAGACATTTTAAAAGTTCGACCAACAATAATTTTTAAGATAGTATTTATATTGTTTGATAATCTAAGGATTATACTACTAATTAGAGGTTTCGCGATTGAATTATAAAATATTGCTACTCTAGACATTTTACTAATCGCTAATAAAACAAATGACAACTACTAAAATAGTTAATATTGTTAACAACACTCTCAACCTAGCTAATAAATATGAACATACACATTTATAGAAGATAGACAAATTTAATATTAGCTTCACAAGTAATATACTAACCAGCAAATTGAAAATGGTGAATATGGTAAAAGATAAAGCCTCTGGTCATTCACCCTTGAAATAATCAGCGTTATTAGGGAAAGAAATATACAAAGGGTCCACCATGTGCAACATGCCATTCTCTTATGCTTGTCCAAGCAAACATTCTTTTTTAGACTTCCAAAGTAGACAAAATAGAAAAAAAAAGAAAGAGTTTCCTTGTTTTCTGCTGATTTCCGGTTAGTATTTTTGTGTGTCAAAAAGCGAACTTGGTTTCAATTCCTCATATAGAGCCCTGCTAAACCCAGTTATATGAATTTTGAACTCAAACAATCGCATATCTTAGTGATATTTATATATATATGCAAGAAGTTCTATGGTATAAAATGATGTATTTTCTTGGACTATCATAAATTTTTAAAACAAATGGGTTTTCAAAACTGAAATTCACGTCCTGCAATGTTACAGTTGAGTTCAAACATATGATTTCTTAAAGTTAAAGATTCGATCCATGAAAAAAAAAAAAAAAAAAAAAAGAGCCTCGGCTTGTTTACACTACTAATCATATATTAGCTTATATATTTTTTTTTAAGAAAAAAAAAAAGACAATAATAGCTAAAGACATTTTAAAAGTAAAGAAAATCAGAACCAAACCCACAACTAATAATTTTTAATATGGTATATTTACTAGTGTTTAAGATAATCTGGATTATATAACAGCTGACTAATTAGGAGGTTTCGCACAGAATATTGATTATAAAATATTGCACTACTCTAAGACGATATATGACTAATCGCTCAATAAACAAAATGACAAAAACATACAATAAAAATAGTATAAATAAAATATATATACAAACACTCTCAAAACCTAGCATAATAAATAAAATTGACAAAGATACAAACAAATATCAATAGGAATAGAACAAATTTAATATATAGACCAATACACAAATGTAAATATACTAACCAGCAAAAATTGAAAAAATGACTAAGTGAATAATTAGAGATAAAGATAAAGCATACAATGGTCAATTCAACAACTTGAAATAATCAGCAGTTATTAGGGAAAGAAAAAAATAAAATACAAGGAAGTCCACCGATAGCTGCCAAACATATAGACAACATATACATACTAATAATGACATATGAATCCAAAGCAAACATTCTAATTTTATAGACTTCCAGATAGACAAAAAAAGAAAAAAGAAATAGAGTATTCCATTGATTTTGTCTGTTAAGATTACTTCCGGTTAGTGTTTTTTGTGGAATGTCAAACAGCGAATTGTTTCAAATTCCTCAGTATAGGAGCCCATGCCTAACCCAGTTAGTATGAAATTTTGAACTCAAAAATCGCATATCTTAGTGATATTAACTGATATATATAATATGCATGAAGTTCTATAGCGAATATAAAAATTTGATTGATAATTTCTAATGGAATCTATCACACATAAATTTATTAAAAACAAATAGGAGATTCTTTCCAAACTGAAATTCACGAGAATTATCCATGCCAATGTTAACAGTGAGTTCAAACACATACTTAGAATTCTTACAGTTTAAAAGATTCGTACTCACATGCAAAAAAAAAAAAAAAAAAAAAACTTATATAGAAAGAATTAATTCATGGAACAAAAAAAAAAAAAAAAAAAAAACTTATATAGAAAGAAATAATTATGAACTCTAAAACGAACTCGAGCTTAATCTATTGAATAAAGAGTAAACAACCTGAAGAGTATGGTTGGCTCTAGTTACATAATGTCCAAAAATATTTATGATGATAGGTAAAATATTATTCTTGAGCATTGAAAGAAGGGAGGAATTGAATTGGAACTATACCCAGATGGTATATAGACTAAGCTTCTATTGTACCTGCAATAGGTAAAGTATCTAACTGTATAATCTATAGAGTGCATGCAAATGTTTCAAAACTGTGAAGTTTAAATAAAAAAAAATAGAATTGACACAAACACAAAAACTATTTTTGATGAATCTATTGAAGTTCAATATTGTAGCTAGCTATTTATGGGGGGTTTTTTTTATTAACTTATTACCAATATTGCCAACTGTAACTAATTAACTAACTCCTACATTTCTTAGATCTTCCAAATTTCACTTTTATCTTCAACTTTGATACGACTTGAGCTAATAGAACTGACTTTCAATTTCCCATCTCAAAAAATTAGAGATTCCAATCATGATAAACGTTTTCTTACAAGGATTCCCCATATACTAAGAAAAACAATGGTGGTCTCTGTTATGTGTACACCAACCTGCATCACAATTATCATCAGAGAATCTATATGTAGAAATAATACAAATAGGATTAGATCTGTCAGAGTATCTATGTACAATACAAAACAGAAATATATATATATTGTTGGGTTTAAGTTGACTGATCTAAACAAGTGTATATTCATATTTATGTATAGATTGACACTCACCAGTTACCACCCCTAATCTTGATCTTTACTTCCTCTGTATAAACCGGTGTTTTCTCTTTTTTATTCTTGTTTTATCGTTGTATATATTATAAGTTGTATTTGAATTACCGTTTGGAACAATGATCCACAATATTTTGCATCACTTCAACCTGAGTTTGAAGACATTCCATGTAATGTGCAGTTTCCTCCAATAACCCACAAATATCCATGGCCGCCCCACCAGGAACAAGCTTTCGAAGCATATCGGTCTTGCTAATTTCTCTTGTGACCTTATTATTGCTTTTGGTAACCCTTTTCTTTTTCTTTAATCCCATCTTTCTATTCTTCAAAATTCCACGAAACCTGGCCCGGTTTCTTACCTTCAAAAGAAAAGCTCGACTCCAAGCTCTTCTCGATCCAACTGCACGAGCCATTGATGAATAAGCAGCAATCTTTATTCTACGGCTCCGTCTACGGATTTCCCCATCACTAACTGGGCCAATTCTGTTACCAGTTCTTATCTTGGAGAGGGATATAAGAAATCCACGAGCAAATCTTGTTTTAGTATTGGATTTGGAACTCATACCTGCAATAGAGAGAAGAAACTAGGGTTTTGAAGAGGAAATGAAAAGGAGAGTGAAGAGACAGAGAGATATATAGATATGGTTTTGTGTTAGTAATGGTATCCTAGTACCAACTAACTCTGACACAAGTCACTTTTTGGACATGAGTAATGGAACAAGGACAAATAAGAATTTGGAGAAGTTAGGATTTTCTTCTGACACAAAGAGGGACCTCCTGCTTGCAAGGACAAAAGCCAAATTTCATATCACAAAGCTATAATAAGCTCCAAGAACCTAAAATTAAGAGAGAGATGGAGAGGGAGGGAGTTTTCTCGTGGCTAATAGGAATACAAGTATTATGATTCTTGAAGGGTGAGAGAGAGAGAGAGAGAGAGAGACGAGATTGAAAACATGGAAGGAATATAATTTAGATGAGAGTGGTAGGGATTGAATTTGGACGGCTAGAGAGAATTTTAGAACTTTTAGGACCAAAAGGAATTATTATTTATTTATTTTCATAGGCTTAATGTATATACCATCCGTTTAACGGTACGAAAAAAACTTACTTAGATCGAGCTCATAACCCTACTTATCGACCAAACAAATGAGATAAATGATTTTGTAAAAAACGTTCTGATTTTTAAGTATACGGTCAGAATTACCATCATTTCAATAAAAATCCTTAATTGTATTGATTTGGTCTATAAATGGAACTATGAACTCAGTCTAGATAAATTTTTTTCTAATCATATAGGCAATTCTTGTCCTAATAATAATAATAATAATAGTCGTTTGGAATCCCACATCACTTATGTCCTCTATGTAGTTTTTTTTTTTTTTCTCTCATTTATGCAAATGAAATTAATCCATGTTTGGATCACCCATTTAGAGCTCTCCCAAATTTATGTTCTTCAGTTTATGTGAATATTGAATATAATATTTAGGAAATGATAAAAATTGCTTAAGTTTAGTGTATGGTACGGTACTACACAATTTTTTTATGAAATTTTTTTAAATATTATTATTATTATTATTATTATATATTTTCAGTAAATGATCAGAAATATCCTTATAAAGTCTCTGTAACTCTTTAGTCTTATATATTATAGTCCACTCTTCTTAATCCAAAGATAATTTTGTTAATTATCAAAATAATAAATACCTTTTCTCTGTCTTAAAATCATAGTCTCGGATTCCTTTTTTAGCGTTCTAAAATAATAATTCCTTTGAATTTTTTTCACTTTTTCATGGTACCTTTAAAGTATAAATAATTAATATTTAATTGAATTTTACTATACAAAAGTCTTAAAATCACTACTTTTTAAATCTTGATGTACGGAATATTCATTCTATTTTGAAAATTTTAAAGAATCATTAATATATAATTTCTAGTATTTTTAAGATTATATATAAAAAAATAAAGAAAAAATATTTTTATTGTTTCGAGAATCAGAAAAATTATAGTGAAACTAATTTACTTGATTATTTTTAAACTGTGTGAAAAATATTTATAATTATAGAATGGAGGGAGTAATAATAAGAAATGACACGGGCATATGTCTATTTCAATCGGAGAGCGTGACATTCATGCTATCTCGATCGTGTTTAAAAAAAGTCATGAAGGATTATGCCCGGCCGTGTTGCTTTATTTTCGGAAAGGTGGCTAGGCCCACCTGTACATGGAACACGTGTCATGTTTCTATTTGCGAAGAGTACGCGCGTGAAAAACACGAGAAAAGAAAGAAATGTAAGTAAGAAAATCGTTATCAAGGAATGGGGTTGGAGAAGTGGGTTAGTGGGGCCAACCACCACATGATCGCACATGGTTGAGTTACCCACTTGTCTGAAGGAACCTTTTTTTTTTTTTTTTTTTTTTTTGATCGCACATGGTTGAAGTTACCCACTTGCTGAAGGAACCTTTTTTTTTTTTTTTTTTTTTTTTCCCTCTTTTTTTTTTTTTTTTTTTTTTTTCCCTCTTTTCTAATCTTTGATTACTTACTTATCAATTGATGCTTTATGTTTGTGTTAGGTTTAGGTTTGATCTTTTTTTTAATAATCCCTCTTTATCGGGGTTTAAGCATCATTTCCTTCCCTCTAAATTACATCTTTACCCCTTCAAATATGGATTATGTATAAATGCATTATAGTCTGCCTCAAATTTCTTTACGTTGAATTAATCAATTTCCGCATGTATTGTCATGATCATCGAAAACACTCAATTTTGTTTTATTTAACTCTATTTCATAGTTACATATCTTTCAGGCTAAGAAATATTTTTTATTCGTCGAAAATAGTCAATTTTGTTTCACTTTACTATATTTCATGGTTACATGCTTTTCAAATTAATAAACGTCTCATGTCACATGTTAAGAAAAAAATCGTGATTTATTATTAAAAAAAAAAGAATAAAATGAAAAAAAAAACCCTAAAAAAATGAAAGGTATACAATAATCTTATATGCTTAACTCTCTTTTTTTTTTCTTCTAACCAAGTTGCATGATAATATAAAAGGAGTTATTTTGAAGAAATTAATGAGATCAATTTGTGATATATAGGTTGAAATTTGAAAGATGCCAGTTAAGCAAAGTAAATAATTATTTACAATGGTTTCCAAAAGATAAAAATGAGAATTATATATAGAAATTACACCCGGGGAGCTCAGCTCATAGGTAGCTTTTAGCGTTTTGACTAGTCAAAATGTTAAACACTATTTTTTTTATAGCGTTCGGTAATATAATATTTAAATTAACTTTTTTAAGAGGTTAAGTTGACGTTTTATAAAATGTTAACCCATGTAATATTTAGTTTTTAGCGTCTCATTAAAAGCTACTCGAACAGGCCAACAACTAAACGTTACTAAAACAATTAGAACAATCACTTAATCCAAGGTTATATAACCCTTTGTAGCCATATCAAAGAGCATAAATACCTGGGTTGTGAAATTTATTTTGTAATTCTAATGAATGATTTCCCATTGACGAATTTAATTAGCATTACATTATAGAGCATACTCATCCATAATTGTTCAAAAATTTTTATTATGCGTTTATATATATTATCAATTATTTATAAGTATTTTTTTTATTTATCAATTAAATTTTGACTTTGTTTCTTTTACTATTAAAAAAAACATTACAATAAATGTAATAACAAAATTTTTGTTTCATTTTTTTTGAAAAATATAAATTAACATTTAATATTTCATGGAGTAGTTATTCCAACTTTGAATCTAAACTAAGAATAACTATTCCATGGCCTATTTTATTCTCCTAAATTCAATTTTATGTTATACTTTAGATGAAACACATTAATTATTAATATAAAATAATATTATTTATGATTTGTGACTTAATTGGCAATGCAGACCGAGCATGTGAAAAAAGCTCCGGGGTTCGATCCCTACTACACACTTACAGAGAGGGGTGAAGAGTCTTAAAGCCTCAAGCCTGATATAAATAGGATCTTGATAACAGTGGTTTACACGAAAAAAAAAAAAAAAAAAAAAAAAAAAAAAAAAAAACGGGTTTATTCACGAAAAAAAAAAAAAAAAAAAAAAAAAAAAAAAAATAAAAAAAAAAAAAAAAAACAAACAATCAGCAATATCATCTTTTGGATTTATATTGAAACACAAAATTTTTTAGGCCACATCCAATATCATACATTTGATTTATATATTAAGAAAAAATGAAAGGGAAAGGAAAGAACAAAGCTCTAGAAATTGTAGGCTTCCCTTGTCATTCATAATTTTGATATTGAAAATAAAAAAAAAAAAAAAAAAAAAAAAAAAAAAAAAAAAAAAAAAAAAAAAACAAACAAAGCAATATCATCTTTTGGATTTATATGAAACACAAAATTTTTTAGGCCACATCCAATATCATAATTTGATTTATATATTAAGAAAAAATGAAAGGGAAAGGAAAGAAAAAGCCTAGAAATTGTTATTGTGTTCCCTTGTCATTCATAATTTTGGATATGAAAATCTATAAACTTATATAGGACAATTATTTTTTTTCGAATATATATATATATATTTTTTTTAACTGAAAATTGCTTCCAATCCCTAATGTCGGCCAAATAATGTAAAGAGTTTCACTTTGCCTCCCATCCAAAAATCTCTTTATTTATTTTTTTTTTTATGTATATTATCTTTTCATTACATAATTAAGTCGGCAAATGTCTCTCATGTTTCAATGGTCCCTCTTAAACGACAGCCCTAAATCTAATCCAAACATAATATATATAATGCATTTGGCTTTGCTAACTTCACTGAGTTGGACTAACTTTCCATGAAACTGAGATAATTAAATTCAATAATTAGATATAACGTAAATAAGAATATAAATATCTTTTTATCGAGGGAAAAAAAGAAATAAAAAAAATACTTGTACATAACAATTAATTATTAATTAAATGTATGAATAATGGGTATATATAAATTATAATATGTAGGTTTAAAAAAAAAAGTCAATAAATAAAAAATATTACAGTATATGTTAATAATGCTTTCCTAACGAGCTAATGGACTTTTAGCGTCGCTCGACATAAATAATTAATGAAGATAAAATTGATAAATATTTTTTTAATGATTCATTAGATTGATAAAATCTTTTATAATTTGAAAAATTCAAATGCGAAATTTCTAACTCTTTATATTTTTATAAAAAAACGATAAAATTAATTAATATATATATATATATATATTTATTACAAATAATAAAGATGAATAGTAAAGGAATCAATCACACAACAACACAACAACTAATTGATATAAATTTCATATTCAATTGATGCAATATAGAATTTCCTAAAGAAGGCATAAGACAAAATACTAAGTGACTAATCACATTTTTAATTTGTAGCTAATCAAGTTAATTAAGATTAGTGGTCCCTAATTGCTATGGGGGTACACATACGTTTAACTAACCAATTTAGACCACTTAACTACCTAACTGCTCGCATGCACATATAAATTGCTGCTTTAAGCCTCAACCTTACATTTAAGTAATTCAAAATCATTGCATTGGCTTTTGTTAATTAGAAACTTTGCACCCACAAATTATGCCTTCACACGCACGTAAAGGCTAAGATGGTTAGATGCTTCAATGGCCATGGTCTAACTAATTCCCCTATGTAAAACCCACTTCAAATCAAATCAAGTGGCCTTAAGCACTTTTAATTTTTAAAAAATAATAAGTTTTTTAAAAAATATTTTATACATCATCATAAACTTTTAAAATAAAATACATGAAACGAAGAAATACGACAGATGTGATATTTGATAGGAAGATATTTAATAAAGTAAGTAAAAGACAAATTTATAGTGAGAGTAATGTTACATGTAAGTCAATATTGAGCTCCACATGTCTAACATGTTTAGAAGTTGAATATTGCAAAAATGTACATATTAAAATAAATATTTAGTCGTATAAGATTAAAAATGATATTTTTCACCAAAAATTAGGGATAAAATGAAAATAATTTTATTGTAAAGAGTGCATCACTATTCTGAATCACAAGTATTTATTATTTTTTTTAAAATACAATCTAATGTGCTATAAACCCAAAAAAAGAAAAAAGATAAGAAGAAAGAGAGACACAACCTAATATATTTCACAAAGATTTTATTCTAATGGAATAATAAGTACAAGCAAGCTGCCAGGCCTCTCCACTGTCGTACAGGCCCATTAATTTGTGCAGGCAGGCGGATTAGGCTCATGGACTTGGTCCCGCTGCAAGATTGCAAACTAGACCCAATGGGCCTACTGCTTGAACTCGATCGGAGATGAGCCTCTCATGGTTCTACAGGTAATAGTTATACATATATGTATATATATATGCAATTGCGTTTACATTTTCTTAAAGAAAAAACATATATGAACTTGACATATCAACCTATATATTTACATATATATGCCATTTTGTTCCACGTGCAAGCTAGAAATTGAAACACAAGCAAGAAAGTATAACTAAAAAAAAAAAAAACCCTAGAAAACCAAAAGATAAGAGACAGTCTTTTTTTTTTATTTTTTTAATATTACAATATAAGGTTTATACCCTAGAAAAACACTTGTGACAACAATTTCAACCGATTAGCCCTGAATCAAAAGACACACCAGTAGAAGGCAACCACATATTACCATCAATAAAACCACCAACGGTAAAAGCTTGAGCAGCGGCGGCCGTCAGGATCCCACGGTATCCGGCCCACTTAACCCTACCTGAAGTGGAGGCTCCAGGGCCTGAGTTCATATATTCTGCATAAAAAAGTGTATTTAGGGCAAAATTTCCAGACCAAGGAGACCAACCTGAAGGATTAATAGAATTATCAAGAAAAGATTGCATGATAACAGTTCTTGAAAATTTCTGCCAAGGTCTTCCAAGGTATGTGACTTGTGAACTAGAAGCATCAGAAGTTGAACCGATTTTACAGTTGTGGATTGAAATGCCTGTATTTTGATTAGGGTCGGTTCGACCTTGTGCTGTTACGTAATTTTTTGAACCTGAAGAAGCTTTTCTGGCGAAAATATTACAGTTCTGGAAAACTACTGCAGAATTTCCAAATATGAAATCTATTGTTCCATAGATATCAGTTTCTCTGTAGAATTGACGCTTAGAATGAGTGTAGAGACTGTCTTGATAACCCTCAACTGAGCAACGAAAGATTACTGATCTATCTGATCCAACCCTAAGAGCAACTGCTTGGTGTTTGCTTGGTCCTGCACTGTTTACAAATGTTATGTCTTTTGCTATGAATCCATCTCCCATGGCAGCTGATCAAACACAATCAGAATATTAGTTCATACAAGTTTATATAATAGTTCATACAAGTTTATACAAGTTTAAAAATTCAAACTCAATCTTAAACCTAAACGAAAAGAACTAATAGATTATGAGAACATTTTAAAATTCACATACAGGGGCGAAGCTTTTTGGGGACTGAAGAGACTCTGGCCACCCTAAGAAATAATAATAATAAAAAAAAAATCCTTATAAAAATTGTATTTGGTTCTTAAAAATATAGAAAAATTATATTTAGTCCTTAAAGGATTAAAAATTTTCGTTTGACTCCCTCAATAATTGTCCTAGCTCCGCGCCTATGTACAAAAATATGGAAAAAAAACAAATAAATTAAAAAATGTGCTTTTTAAAACAATATTTTTACAAATAGACATGAAATATTCAGAAATCAATAACATTGGATAAGGTGTGCCCCATAGGGTGCATGAGGAGGACAATACTTCAAAGAAAGACACACCATTATATTTAGCCAACCTAAATAGTTTTTGTGCTCCAAATTTTAATTATTTTTTGAAAAGAAAATTTTAAAATTTCTCTTAATAGGACATAAAGACCATCTCACTCTATCATGTCATAGGACATTAAATCTTCCAGCTCACATGCACTTCATTGAAGTGGACAATTTCTAAGTATATCTTAATCAAAGAATAGTCAGGACAATTTATATAAAGCTTCGTTGTCAAGTATATCTTAATCAAAGAATAGTAAAAAAAAAAAAGGAAAAAGGCAAAAATTGTGTTCTACAACAGTTTTTTAAATAGTATCAAAACGCTGAACGACACTTAAAAAGAATAGTCAAGATAATTTATATAAAGCTTCGTTGTCAAGTATAAAAATCTTAATCAAAGAATAGTAAAAAAAAAAAAGGAAAAAGGCAAAAATTGTGTTCTACAACAGTTTTTTAAATAGTATCAAAACGCTGAACGACACTTAAAAAGAATAGTCAAGATAATTTATATAAAGCTTCGTTGTCAAGTATATCTTAATCAAAGAATAGTAAAAAAAAAAAAAAAAAGAAAGCAAAAAGGCAAAAATTGTGTTCTACAACAATCTTTTAAATAGCATCAAAACGCTGAACGACACTTAAAAAGTTATTCAGTAACATAATATTCAGACTAGCTTTTAAAGATTAAGATAGCGTTTTATAAAAAGTTAACTCATATAATATTTAGGTTTTAGCATTTTATGAAAAGTTATTCAAACAGCTAATTTTACCGAATAGACCCAAAATAAAGGAATAATCTTGAAATTCAGCCTAGTTTTAAAAACTATAATTTACATATATAAGGGCTGACCTATATGCAAGAAAACAATTTGCTTTAGGTCGAAGTTTGCGTAACAAGAATTTTCCAAACGTTGGAGAAACCAGCTGTCTCTGAGAGCAACCTACAGCAATCCCTTATTCATAAAAATAATTACTACTCTATAGCTTATATATAATTAATTTCTTTCCTCAAAAAATAACTTGTATAGCTTGTCTCCAAATTTATATCCTTAAACTTAAGGTATCACCTATAACTTGTATAGCACGTATTATTGATTGTTTGTTAGCAGAAAATCCTAATAATGATGCATGATATAGAAATATTAACTACATCTTGCTTTCATCTTTGGATATTGTGGATTCCATGCATTCTAGTTACAAAAATGTTTAAATAATTAAATAATTTATTTTTAATATTTAAAATACTATCAAGAAAGAATATATTAATAGAAATTTTGGAAATCAAAATTTAAGTCTACTATTCTATAAAGGGTCAACTTCTGCTAGCAGATATGCAAACAGCAGCATGCGTGAAATTAACCGGTTTAACAAAATTATAACCGGGTTTAAAAAATTTTATTTAAATTTATAATATATTAATTATATAATATATATATATAATTTGACATAATTAATTTTGATAAAGACAATTGGACAACGACCATCTAAATAGTTGAAAATATATAATTGACATAATTAATTTTGATAAAGACAATTGACAACGACCATCTAAAAGTGAAATTATTCCCTAAAAAAAAAAATACTGTAGAAATAAATAAAATATAACAAAGAAAGCGAAATTTATAATCCTTACCCACAGTAGCAGACTGGAAAGTTGACCAACCATTGTCAGCATTTCTACTACCTACAATGACCGTTTTACCCTTCCCGTCGCCAACTAACATAACGTTCTTTTGATTTGTCGGAATGTTAATATTCTCCTGATAGGTCCCAGCTTTCACGTAAATTACGTTTCTACCCCCACCACCATTACCCGCCAAAGAACGCGCCACTCCATCAATGGCCTCCGCTAGTGTCTCGTGTGTTCCACTCCCATCCTTTGCAACCACCGCATGTGCCTCTATCTCCCCTATAGAAGCTTCTAGAAGCTTCCGTTCGGACGGAGATACCCAACTCGGAAACTCATCCTCCGATAAAAGTTTCCGGCCATTGATAAAGTCCTCTGTATTATGATTAGATACAAATATTGCTAAAGAATTGCTTATATAATGACTTAAATTTCTCGCCGTCGAAACCATTATTCCTGTTTCAACTTTTTTATTAGTTTCTTGAAGGCTTTGTATGCATGTTTCTTGATTAGTAAGCGCAGCGCTAAGCCATGTTTGGATATCACTATGGCTTTTAATAGGATTATTATTGTCGTTGTTGTTATTGCTATTAATATTGGAAAGTTGGTCTAAGCTATCTTCAAGCAACTCAATACAATCATTCATAGCGTCAGAAGCCAAACGGGTCTTCTGCTCTTTGCTTTGATAAGAGAGACCGAGTGTGGAAGCTAGCTCCAATGCAGAACGAACTTTTTTGAAGCTATACTGAACAGAAAGGTCAAAGAGTTCTTTTGGGTTTTTAGGAAGAGTAGTAGTGGTTTTAAGTGACATAAGAAGAGATTTGCAGGCAGCTTTGTGAGGGATGTTTTTACAAGTAGAAGAAATGGAGGGTTGATCAATATTATTGTCTGGATTTACTGATGCAGAGAACTTTGAGAAATGAGATTGTGAAGGTTTTGCGTCATTTTTACTATAAGCTTGTGCTAGAGGAGCAAGAAAGAAGATATTGATGATGAAAAATATGGGTAAAGAAATAGAGTTTCTTTTGTTATTAGGATTTGCATGGGAGAAGGTTGCCATTTTGTGCATTTTGTGGTTGGGGTTTGAGTATTGATGCTTTGGTACTTCTATTTTGCCATATATATATAGGAAGTTCATTTGTTTTCTTTTATTTTTCTTTTTTCTCTCTTTTCTTTTTTTAGTTCAAGAACCCAAGAAGTGATAAATTTTATGTATTTAAAATGTTAGTTAAATCCATCTTTTCTATTTGGTAACTTAAACAAACCATTCATGTAAGAATAGAAAACTCTATAAAATTCTATAAAGAGGAAAATACAAGAAAATTCTATCACCATATTATTTCTTTTCACATTGTATATTCATTTTTATGCCGTAAAAAAAAAGTTAGAATTTTGTTAAGAAAATTTATTTCATGTCTCATGTATCAAATCAAAAGTTAAGTGGTGTTCAATAAAATAATAACTAAATTATTTATCAAATAAGAAATATTATTGTTTTGCTATATTCAAATATATATTTATATCTCATAAACTTAATAATCAATCAGAAACCTCTCCAATTTACACGAACAAATAAAGTTGAATATAATTTGTATTTTTTATGCTAAATTTATCACCTTTTGACTCATATTTTTAATATAATAAATTTTGTTTCCATCAAAAATAGTTTATTGCTTTGTGATATTTGGTCTTGATGATGAGGAATAAAGCATGAAAGACGTAATTAAGTGCAATTACTAGCTGGGGATGATTAATTAGTTTGCATTAGTGTATATATATATATACACAAAATTGATTGTCGTTGTATTAAAGCTGCCCTCTACGGTAGTTGAAACCTCTTTTAGAAGTCATTGTACATCATAAACTTGATTGCAGCTTCTTTGTTTATTTTTTATTTTTTATTTTTTATTTTTTTGGTTCTAGTGGGGAGAAATTTCCCTTTGTATGTATTCAAGTATTATCATATGTTCTGTCTGTATCATTTCGTTTCCATGTCGCTATGTACATGTTTGAGCATCGTAGGTTTTACTATTCAAAATACAGAGATTTTTTTCAAATTTTTTTTCTCATTAATTTTTCTACAAGTTATTTTAAAACCCTCGATTTTGACTGATAGGGGCGACTGTCTTTGATCTATCCTTTGCTCTCAACATACTTTTAATCTTTAATTCTAAACTTTTTTGTCAAGCATGTTAATAAATTTTATAATAGAAATATTATACTAAAATTCAAATCTAAAATCTTTGAAATTCCTGAAAATATCAAATTCTATAATTAATATATCATGATAATTATTAATATTTAAAAAATATAGCAGGTTCTTTATTTTTTTTTTTTTTTTGAAAAATGTAAAAAAAAAAAAGTTCTTTATTAAATTAAACAAGGCAATTATGGGAATCGAAAAATGTAAAATGTCTACAAGTGAACAATACAAAATTTCATGGTATAGGAAAAATATAATCATGATAGGAGAGCTTAATTTACTTTTTGTACCCAATTAAAAAATCATTACCACTTGATTATACCAACAACAATTTTCTTGAATATTGAAATTTTAATTGACATAATAATTTTATGTCAATCACGTTGAAATGAAGGACATTAGTTGTGTCGATTTAAGCTCAGAAATTCCAAAAAATAGAAATAAAAACAAAAAATAGTCTCTAAATTATCATTGCACTTGTAGTCGTACTATAAGGAATTTATGTAATATGATCACCATCATTTAATAGTAACCAACATAATCATATATCGGGTATGTTCGGCAAAATTAGCTATTTTGCTGTTTGAGTAGTTTTTCATTAACTGCTAAAAGTTAAACGTTACAGAAATTAATTTTTATAAAACGTTATCTTAAATCTCTAAAAGTTAATTCAAACGCTATGTTACCGAGCACTATAAAAAATAACATTTGTTAAAATTTTAAAAACTACTTAAAAAACTATTGCGGAATACGGTTTTTGTCAAAAAAAAAAAAAAAAAAGTTGAAAGATTAACTTACTATTCTGTTTTTGTATTATCTAACAAAAGTAGTAGTGTACTAATAGGTTCATCATTCCATGAAGAATAATGCAACTTGAAGTTTGTAAATTGACATTAAAACTAATTATGAATAGGAAAATTAATAATTCATTGATTAGAAAAGCTAACCACTTTTTAATTTTGGCTAAGTACATAGAGAACCATCCATGGGGTCACATCGTGGGGCTATAAATTTTCTACTTCTCATAGCCAAAAAATAGTGTGCCCACTTCTCCTCCTATGCCGCCACTTATTATTATTATTATTATTTATTTTTTAGTCTCTGAATTATATATGATAATTATCCAAAAATATTATTCTTCTCTATCCTTTAATATCTCTAGAAGTTAATTAATCTCTGAATTATTTTTTATTATTTTATTTTTATTAATCTCTGAATTAATATTTATATTATTTTTTAATTTCTGAACTAAAATATCATAATTATCTAAAAATATTATTATTCTCTATCCTTTAATTATTATTTAGTTTATGTGACAAGTCACCCGCTATGTTCATTCTAAATAATGGGCAGACTACAATTCCTACTATTTTGAAAATATTAAATAAGCTACTTAAAGCTCGACTCAAAAAAAAAAAAAAACTCATTCGAACTTATTTTATAAATTTAATAAGAGAAACTCATTTTATAAGTTTAATAAGAGAAACTGAGTCTACTTATGGAACCCATTTAAGAAATGAGCTGAGCTCAAATTCAAGCATATAAAGGTGGATTTTTTTTTTTTTAAATAATTAAAGCCGACTTCAAGATTATGGGATTGAGAATTACAGTTGTTTAATTTCAATTGCACCCCCCTTTTTTTTGTTATTTGCACGTGATATTTAATTAAGTTTATCAATAATTAATTATTGTGTTCAAAAAGACAATTAAATATTACTATAAGGACACGTTACTTGCCATAAGACTCATTAATTGTTTGTGTCTTATCCCTGTTAGTAATAATTTTCTCTAATTTCTGTTTCTTTCTTATCCATTTCCTTTTTGTCTCTTCGGTTTTTGTCAATTCAAACAATATTTATCTGTGGCCAATTACATAAAAATATTCCTTTATTTTTATAAAAATTCTTGTAAAATCCTGAATTTTTCCATGATTAACTAAATTATCTTTATATAATGAATAATTATTTAGTAGAAATAACAAGAGACAAGGATAAAAATTAAAAATAATATATTTATACTAGCAATTGTTTTTGTAATCATTTTTGAACTTCAATTTATTTATTTTTCCCTACAAAATTCAAATATATTTTATGGTATTATTTAGAAATCAAAACCTAATTAAGTCAGCTCATAATAACATTCAAAGAGGCATTAATACCCTTACCAAATGCATGGATTGAATGACTAATTAACAGAACTAAGCTGGTGGATTACAATTGTCTACTCCAAGATTATGGTGTCCCCTAATGGACCATATCTTGCTCCTTAAGCATGTAGCTATGTGATTGGTTAGCCATCATTTTCTTGAATTTCATTTTTTATATGTAATTCAAATTAATCATTCTTTTAGCACAAAACCTGGGAATTTCTTATTATACTTTAAATTTTTGAAATCTAATAATTATTTCATGATTTAGGTTATTCATGATTCCCATTTGAATATATATTCCAATGAGTCCAATTTCTATATAGGGGTGGCCAAATTCCGGTTTTCGGAACCAGAACCATCAGTTCCGAACCAGTGGGAACCGGAACCGTCCAAACCGGTTCGGTTCATATTCCACCAATTTTGGAACCGTGAACCGGCGGTTCCAGCTCCAGTCAGAACCAATGGTTCTACTTCCATCTGAAACCGGCTAAAACCGTTCAAAACCGGCCGGAATCGGTCCGAAACCGACCGAAACCGTCAAAAAATTGGCCGAAGAACCGGCCGGAACCGTTGATTTTGGAACCATTGAGGAACTGAAACCGGAACCGGAATCGTTCGGTTCCAAACCGTAACCGAAACCGTTAATTTTCGGTTCGGTTCTGGAACCGAAACCGGCGGTTCCGGAACCGTGGCCACCCCTATTTCTATATATGTTAAATGGTTAAGAAAGTTGAAATGAAGTGTTATTTTTCTTCCATTATTATATCTCCTAGCTAGCTTGAAGGGGATAGCTATGTGGGTTTATCTTAATTTGTTGAAAGTAGTAATCAACGTCTATTTTAAGTAGTCTCTGAAAATAATGTGGAATTGCAAATTCCACCACACAAATTGATCTTTAAATATTCTCATAATCTCATAATTAGGTGTGAGGTTACCATCATCAAGAACACTATTGGAAATGAGGTGTTGAAAGGTCATATTCCTTCCCACTTGAATTCCCAATTTCTCATTTGCTCAAATCCTTATCTCCCAATACCTAAAAGTGTTTCCTTCTTCCTTTTGTGTTCTCTCTAGCTTGTTACCTACACTCCTATATCATCTTATTATGTCATTTAATGGAATACTTCATAAAATGTTAATTAACTATTTAGTCCCTAAAGTTTGATCATAATTACTAACTCGTTCTTAATATTTGGTTAAAATAATTGATTTTTACGTTAAACTATTTAGTCCTTCAATTCAAAAATGCATATTTTAGCCGTTAATTATTCAAAAAAATAGTAAATGCGAGGGACTAATTGTAAATGCCCCAATAATCAAATATATGAGAGTATTTACTACAAGAATGACATTTTTTTAAGCGAAATGGTTAAATAGTTTAACAAAACTATAACTTTAAGGATAAATTAATAATTTTACTAAACAGTAAAAATGAGGTGGTAATTTCAATTGATCTCGAAATTATTAATTCACATGCATGTGATTAAATTTTCAATCAAATCAAAAATTAATTTAATTTTTTTAACATTATAATCATTGGATTCTAAACAACTTTGCAAATTTCAAAGATTTAAATTGTCACTTTTGAAATAGTAGATATTTGAAGTACCAAAAGTAAGATTTACCAACTTATAACTTTCAAGTACCTTTCTCGTACTCCCATCATTTTCATGCTTTTATTTATTTATTTATTTTATTATTTCTTAAAAGTATTTTCATTTGTTACCATCAATTAGTAGAAACTTTGGAATCTATACCGTTATATGTTTGAAAAATTGAAAAAAAAAAAAAAAAAAAAAAAAAGTACCAAAAGTAAGATTTACCAAACTTATAAAACTTTTCAAGTACCTTCTCGTAACTCCCATCATTTTCATCTTTTATTATTTATTTTTTTATTATTTCCTTTAAAAGTTATTTCATTTGTACCATCAATTAGTTAGGAAACTTCTGGAATCTATACCGTTATATGTTTGGAAAAAATTGAATGAAAAAAAAAAAAAAAAAAAAAAACCTAATGATGGTAGAAGGTTAATATCATAAAACTTCCCTAAATGGATGAATCTATCATTTTCTAGTAGTTTGGAAGATTAATAGTTTAATATTATCTATAGAAAAATTAGTTTTATTAATTATATTGAAAATTACTTAATCAACACCAATTAATTGACTAATTATTTTATAACCACATTTTGAATAAAATCCAAATTTGGGAAAATTAATTAGACCTTATTCTAGCAAAAGTACGTCGTATTAAAAAGAAAAACTCAAAAATAGAAAAGAAAAAAAAAATTGAATACACTTTTCTTTTTTTTTGTTGTAATTTATATATTATGAGTAATATTCATGTTTAGAAAAAAAAATTAAATTTTGTAAAGGGACTATAAGTTTGGTGTTGCATGTATTTTTCCATTCTAGTAATGATTTATGTACCATGACTGTTGAATTTAAAAGTTAATGTTTGTTTGATGACAGATGCATTCAAACTTTTCTTCTTTTTTTTTTTTTTTTTTTTTTTTTCTTACTTTTTTTTTATTTATATATATATTTATTATATTTTTCAAGTAGTTATACTATATTTTTTTTTTTTTTTTTTTTTTTCAAGTAGTTATACTATAATATATTTAAAGAATAATATTTTATTTATAAATAAATTAAAATCATCAAAAATACTGTAAATTATAAAATCTAAAACAAGAGCATTGGAAGTGAAGATTGATCATAGCTAATTCTTGTGCAGATGGGTTGAATAATTGGGATTTTATTAGAGGCTTTCCAAGCTAGCATATAAAGAAAGCAATTTCCCTCCAATGAAGGAAATCAAATATGTGATAGAATCATATTTTCAAACATTTCTTAATTTACATTACAGAAAGCAAACAGAAATTTATTGTTTCATAATTTTCTTATATCAGATTTTCATGGAAAAATATTTACATAAGGTGGATTCCACCAAGCATGCTTAGTTCACTGAATTGATTATTCAAGTTTCTCTCAAAGAGAAATTTTAACTGAAATCACAAGATATACCGGCTCTATTCGGCAACAATATTTCAAGTATTTTTTATCGTTTTGACCGGTTATAGTGTTCGTTAACATAGTATTTGAAATAACTTTTAAAGGTTAAAATAGCATTTTATGAAAGATTAATTCCGACAACATATAATTTTTTACATTTTATGAAAAGCTACTTAAATAGCTATAAAAACAACATATAACTTTTACATGTGGAATAACGTAATTAAGTCCACTTCAAATTTCCTTTTCTATCAATAATAAATGAAAAATAGAAAAAAGGAAATTCAATCACCACAATTGGTGAAAGGGTGATAATCTTTCTTTTCTCATGTCGGAACATCATCATACTCAAGGAGGTCATGTGGGCTAAAGTTCTTTTTATTAGGAAATTGATAGAAACAGAGAGTTATTGGTTTGCAAAAGCTGCTTTTAATATACTATTTTTGAGGAATTGACTTATTAACTCTATGCTAATTTATTGTGAACTCTTATTTTCTTTTCTTTCTTTTTTTTTTTTGTTTGGTTCATCCCATGTGGGCCTTTCATCTAATGAAGCATTACCCAAAAAAAAGAAAAAAGCTTGGCCATTGCTAATCTTCAACCAACTAACAGAAAGCAATCAATCAATATTTTTGTAAATGCTAATCTAAATTTTGTCAATAGATGCTTTGGCTGTTCATGATTTTGAGTTGAAGATTCTTCTCCAAGCAGAATAAAGTATCAATAAAACAAAAGCCATCCACATTGACTTTTATGCTTCTTTTCTAATAAAAAAAAAATACTTATGAAAACCATAATTATTGGAAAAAATAATGTGTAATAATATTAATTTGTCCTATTTTATTTGGGTCTTGGCTTTTATATATAGTGCCTCTCATCTCTTTCCATTTTCCAACTAGGTCTGCATCAACTTTTTTTTTTTTTAACTTTCTTTTCTGGTTCGTTTTTCATTCTCTTCCATCTCATTTTCTGTCTAGTAGGAAATTGACACATTGGAGAATAATAATTTCAAACCATTGCCTATCCAATGTACCTTTCATCTTCAATCCATGAAAAGAATTATAAAAGCGAATCAAAAAATCACGAAAGTGCGAGACAGTTGGACTTGATGTTGCCTACTAGGGCTGTGCAAGTCCGGTACCGGTACGGTTCCAGTTGTTAGGTTACAGTTTTTTTTAAAATAACCGCAATCAAACTAAAAATTTAATTCTTTCACCAACGATGTTTTGGAGCACTCCGATAGAGTTGTGCAAATCCGATTCCGATACAATTTTTAAGGAGAACTGTAATTTTAAAGCTTTTTCGATAAAGTTAATTTTTATTTGTATTAAACATTTAAATTATAAAAGCTATGTAACAATGTTTATTAATATAAAATTTACATTTTTTATTTATATGCCATGGTATAATTTATTTATGTGAAATATTTTTATTTTGTTTATCAAATACTTGTTTTTTCTGAATTTACTTTTAACAAAACTAAAATGTTTAGAACCACTTTCAAGAATCAAGAATACAGATTAAAAAGACCCTAACTTTGTTTCAGTATGCATACATGCATAAAAGTAAACAGTCCAAGGAAAAAAAAAAGAGATAGAAAATCAGAAGCCGAAGCCATCACGTACAAACCAATTTTCTCCCTCTTCATTAAGCCCCATTATATAAAGAATATTCAACTGTTTACAATCTTGCAACATTGCTAACCTTAAAAGCTCCAAAACCAATGTTCTATAGCATTCGTAGACTATACTGATTACAAAATTTTATAAAGATAGATTTTAAAAAAAAAAAAAAAAAAAAAAAAAAAAAAAAAAAAATTTTATAAAGATAGATTGTTAAAAAAAAAAAAAAAAAAAATAAAAAAAAAAAAAAAGAATATTTGCTATCCTCTTTGAACCAAAAATTATCATCTAAGCCATGCAGCACCGCCTAACGATTTCCATCCATAATACTTGCTTGACTATGCGCCGGAAAAATTTCACCAAAACAGGAATTCCTAAGGGATCAAATGCAAAAAAAAAAAAAAAAAAAAAAAAAAAAAAAAAAGAATATTTGCTACCTCTTGACCAAAAATTATCATTACAGCCATCAGCACCCCTAACGATTTCCATCCATATCAACTTGCTTGACTATGCGCCGGAAAATCTCCAAACAAAAAAAAGGATGTCCTAAGGGATCAAATGCCAATATCCACCAGGAGGCAAGACATGGCAACTAACACAGCACCAGATCCCCACAAAAATAATTTTCAAAGTATAAAAAATAAGTTTAAAAAAAAAAAAGAAAAGAAAATGGAAATACAAACACCATGAGGTGGGCCTATTCTGATATAGAATTGGACACTCACCGAACAAAGAATACCCCTTCCCCCCCAAGAAACCATACAAGGCAAATGGGAACTCAGGCATGCAATGCACTGATAATCTGAACCTGAAAGTGGTTCAGGGCCGACTGATGATCTACATGACCATTGAACCAACCAAATGCTTCAAATAGACTGGCAATGACTCTCTCATCCTTATGGAATATTCCCCCAGATGAACGAATATGCGATTAACGAGAAACCAATACAAACTTGAGCCACATTGTATACAAGGCTTAAGTTTATGATGCAGCAGCAGCCGATGCCTTTTCCATTTTTTCCTTTTCGATCTCTGCTCTTCTTTTTTCAGCATGATCGGCAACACCATTTGCAATTGCTTGGTGATGAAAGTCCAGCGTCTGTGTAAGATTCTGGAACCTCAATTGATCTGATGCTCGCATGACTACATTCAAATTAACAAATTAGTATGTCAGAAGGGACAAAAATAATTGGATTTGTACCAAATATACGATAGAGAAAAAGGTTCCGTCACCATTGATGGTGTCCACAAAGAAAATGAAAGGATCCACATCATCAATTGGTGATTGCAACTCTTCGTCGTCACTGTAGTCATCATCTGAGTCATCATCGTCCTCATCATGTGGTCGGAAAGCCTTTGCCTGAGATGAATATTCCAATGAATGATCAAGAGAAACATGAGTGATTAAGCCAAGGATAATTAATAAAATTAAGATGATGCATCAATCTACCAGTGGTATAGAAACAGGATAAGAGAATCCATAGATTTTGGTCTCCTCAAAATAAAACAGTATTCCACAAAGTCTAAGATGGTTAAAAGTTGATGTAGTGAGGGTTAAAACACAGATGCAACAACTAGCTCATCACTGTGCAAGGCAAGTTCTAAAAAGCACTTTGATTTGAAAACCAAACTCAATAAGCATTCCATGCCAAACCACTGAAATCATAACGTGAACTCTCAAATGGCATCAGAAAATAGAACAGTCAAGAGTTCGATACCAGGCTTAAAATGAATGATAATGAATTGATGATGCAAAAATATAGCAATGGCAGAGCTACAGTAGCTGATCAAGGAAACATGGCAACATTCTTTTTTTTTTTATTTCTACCTTTTTTCAAAGACCCAAAGCATAGTCACAGGTAGTAAAGCCACTTAAATTAACTTGGTTTGGCACATCCTTTTTTATTTAAGGATCACGGTTGTTCCCAATATAATGATTTGGCTAGTCATATATCCACCAAGTACAATCTTTTGAAGCTAAAGCAGTTATCAGACGATACTCCACCAAATGCTGGATTTCAGAAGTTGACCTTTGAACTCTCAAATTTTAAGTCTCACCTTTAACTACAAGCATTCTATTAGGATAAACCTCTTCACAACAAGTTCACAGTACATAATTAGGAATAAAAACCGATCTTTCATTGATGAAGACAATGTGAACAAAGTTACAGAATGAAAACAAAAGATGTATCATGGACAAATGAAAATGGAAAGCTTCCAAAGATAAATACATTTTTGCATATGCATAAAAATGCAAAACAAACATTTGTTCTTGGATCAGAGAGCAATTTGATACATCAGTTGAAACTGAGTACCATAAGCACATTAGTGAAATCACTCCTAACACCAAGCTGACATCAAGGACATGTGGTGCCCACATGTTCAAGAAAATGAGGTTCAATAGAAATAAAAAAAAAAGAAAAAGAAAAAGAAAAAGAAACTGGGGACGTCCAATAATCAGATATTCAAAGACATGTACAAACCTGTGCAGCTAGCTTTTGAAGTTTAATGCTGTCAGCTTCATCCCCATCCTCAGCATCAACTCCCATGTCTTTGTCAGACCCATCATCATATTCATCATCAGTTTGAAAACCATCCATATCATCATCATCTTCGACTTCTTCCTCCTTTGCAGCTTCTATCCACTCACACAATACCCATGAGAATAATAATATTGCAATGAATTTACAATAAAGAAATACTAAAGGTGTAAGGGGCTGGAAGGAAAGAGGGGAGACCAAGAGCGACAGACCTGCAACTTGTTCCTTGTATGCAACCAGGAGATCAAGAGTGGTCCTGAAAACACGCTCCAAGGCTTCTCCTGGTAATTGATTCGCAGGAAGCACAAGTAGTGATGTCAAACCCAAGCAACAAACTTTTTTGTCATGCTCCCTGTGCCAGACATACTTAGATGAGCCACCCAAACCAACATAATAGTATAACATAGAAATTGCATTAAAGTTAATAACCCAACCTGCCAATTTACCACATGCCTAAAGCCCAGGGACAGAGAAATGAAGCACACAACAGATTACCTTTTAAAATTAGCCCGTGCACCACTCTTTTTCACTTGTTGCAACATCTGGAACCAAAGGTTAAAGATCTCAGTGGCAACACCAAGTTTTTGCAATATGCTTAGCGTCAAAGCTGCATTGTAGTAAAGGGCATCTGCAATCTGCACAAGATACATTATGCATTTCATTAAAAGGAATTTCAATTCAATACTTCAACAAACAACAACATTATGATGCATGTGTAAGCAGACACGCAAACAGAATCAATGTATTCATAATTCATTTCTAACAGATTAGCTTGCTAATGCAACAACTGCAAATGTAACCAGACAGACCCAATGTAGCCATAACTCCACTCACCATCAGTCCGAAATTATGCTCTATTCTACTCAGGTTAGGTCCTAGAGTTATAGAAATATCTAAAACTGCTAAATCCTCCTTCGCAACTTTGCCCAAAATTATTCTATCTACTAAGACATTTATATACAGAAATACAAAGGAAGAGTGTAGCTGGATACTCTCTCATTAATTTTGTCAAATATATCTACCGAACTAGGAATTGAATTATTATAAAGAAGCCCACATAATCAAGAGTAAATGGCTTCCCTACTGTCCCACTTAACTAGGACTTGTAGGATGGCACATGAGATCCTTCAGTAACCTAACCATAAAAAATGTAGGGCTAAAAGCAAACTTAAAAAAAAAAAAAAAAAAAAAAAACTTCAGTCAACCTAACCATTTAAAAAATGTAGGGCTGGCTAAAAAGCAAACTTAAATAAAAAAAAAAAAAAAAAAAAAAGATCTGATTTTAACTAAAAAAAAAAAAAAAAAAAAAAAATCTGAATTTTAACCAAATCTTACATGACAAATGGCCATCCTTAACAATCAAGTTCCCAAAATTTCCACAGGACATCAAATACAACCACCAAGAAGAATTTGCAGCTATACCTACTTTATCAATGCATTAAATAAATCTGATAAAAGAAAAAAGAATAATTGAATGGCTTGAATTTAGGGAAATGTCTTCGGATTCAGCCTTATTCTGCTTCGTCAATTAATTGAGCAAGTTAACAAATTCAATGATAAGTTCGATAAAGAATTTAAGGCACTGGCAAATATCTGTTTGAACCATCTTGAAAACAAAGGAGAAGGGTACTCTTAAGAGATGTGCAAAATTTGGGGTGGTTGGTCACGCATTAGTATGTATGGATGGAGCAGGATATAAGAACTTTTGCACTTGAAATGTGCTGAAAACGATAACAGAATGAGCATCTTGAAGTAACATTGTAACAATTCCTCATCCCTACCACTTGAATGAGAAGGCATTTCAAATATGATTTCTCTGCTCTTTGCAACCGCTCAACAGTGATTCTTAGATAAGGCTCAACCCAGTGATCCACCTGGCCTTTACAGTTCTGGAAAACCACCTCAATCAGCTTTGGTGCCGGCTCAATATCATTGTCCTCCAAATTTCTATCTGCCATGATCTGCGGAAAGAAGAATATAAAAGACATGGACCAGATTAGCTGGAGGAAATAAGATTGGAAGATAACTCATTAAACCCAACAAAAACAATCAAGAAAATGTTATTTTTCGCAGAAGCCATGCAAACAAGTACCAAAGGACCAAAGGAATATTCTCAATGTTTCAAAAAGAACTCACGGATGAAATCATAGTCCAAAGGCTCTGTTGGTAATCTGGATCTTTGCATGCAAGGAAATGTTCAGTTCCTCTTGATATGTAGTTGTCCAAAGGAACCAGAATATCTGCATAAACATTGAATATCATAAGAACTAACAGAGGGAAGATTCATCAAAGAAGATACAGTCTGAAGCAGGTTAGTGTATCACAGCATTACAACTTACAAGCAACAATTTAAATCTGTCCAAATAGAACACTTTAGAGGGAGGAGGAGACAGAGAGAAAGAGACAGAGGGGGGATGGATTTCAACACTATACCTTGCTAAGTTTTTATTAACAACTAGAAGTATAAGATACTAATTACAGTAATTACATCTAAGACATTCTAAACAGGGGAATAACTCCTAGCATTAAGGTGAGCACATACTCGGAAAGAAATCAATAGCCCAATCTGACAGTGCTTCCATCATTAACGGCCAAAGGCTCCACATATCCAGAGATATTGTTGGCGAGAAAAAGGTCATGTATGAAACAATCTCCAGAACTTCTTCGAAAACCTCTGTACAAACAAATAGCCAGAAAACAGATACATTAATTTGAAAAACTGAACAGCTAAACAACAGGCACAATCTACCAACAAGGCCATCTGAGATCATAAAGTTTTTGCTTTTATAGAATGCATTAACGAATGATTGAAACCCAGCCATATCTAATGGTAAGCATTATAATCAGCCTAAGTTGAAGAAATTACTTCAAATGGAACAAATACACTAACAAGCGTTTGGTCCACGTTCATATCACAAACACATTTAATCCTCTTTCAGATTATAAAAGTACTTTACAACATCAATTATGTTACAATCTGCGATACAATATAAAATTATTCCTAGAAGGCTAGTGCAACAATCCCATTAAGTTAATGAGAATGTATATTGTATACTACTTGGAGTTTCATACAAGAACTCCTCTTACAACCATTGTTGCAAAAGGGCAATGCTGCTCACTCTTCAAACATCATAAAATAATCTCATTAGACCTGGACAATAATTTATCGTGCACAAGCAAAGTATCCAGAAAGTTCCAATTAGCACTTAAGAGTTTATCACAAGTATGCGTGAAAGTTACAGACATCCCAAGAAACCGAAACAGAGACACAGTTGCTTCCACACACACAGAAGAAAAGAAAGTAAATGTGCCATGGAATACCCACCTTGACCATCAGTTGTTAACATTCTGCGCATTATAGGAAGTAAAGTTGGCTCAATCTGGATGAAAAGGTGAGGAAGCCTGCTAATTGATTCTAGAATTGTGCTTATAGCTCGTAAACAACCAACAGCTGCCAAAGCACCAGGATCGTCAGCTTCATCGTCAGCTTCAGCAGTGTTCATACACCTCCAAAATGCAGCTGCCTGAAGGTGCAAAGATCATAAGACTCTCAGGCTGAATAGAAATTCGATCGAATGTTCGTACAGAAAATTTAAAATAAGCATTACAATATTCCGACATAAACCTAGACCTGTGTTTCCTTACCAAATTCTGGCATAAACCTAGAGCATAGGGTGCCATCTCCTCTCCAAATTTGTCCACTATAGTTTCCAGAGTAAAAACGAGGTCTTCATTTTCTACCTCATTCATTAGTTTAAAGAACTCTGCAGGAAAGGAGGTTAAGAAAATGAGCTAAATTGCAATATCTTTTTAACTTAAGGTAATTGGTCTATCTTATAAATTCTGTGGAGCTGACTGAAAAAGAAAAAAAAAAGCAGTGATATAAATCAGAAACAAACAATGGTCATAAAGTTCACAATTGAAATACTGTATTCATGCACAAAATAAAGATTGTTAATAACACAGTCATTAGAACAACATACCATCAAGTAGTTGAGGAAGAATGGGGCGTATTTCATTTAAGTCTGCATCATGAGCATGTTCCCTTAGAGAAATAAACAAATGGGAAGCAGAAGCAAAAGCAGAACAGAGAATCTAGCACTACATACCCTTACACGCTTCAACGAAGCTTCGCAATGCAAAAACTGAATCAACACGAACAGGAAGCTCTGGATCACGTAACCCAGAAACAACACTGTGCAAGGCTTTACGGAAATTGTTCTGGTCTGAGAAGTTAATGTTGGCATATTGTCCCGCAACCCAAGCTGCCTAATATCCACAATAACCAAATAATAAGTCGATACTTCAAGAGAATAAGTTTTAACTCCAAGGAAAATCAGAAAGAGGACAACTTCCAACCTTCAAAATTTTAGGTTACATGGTAGTAAGAGATAAACGCAGGTAGTGCTAAAATTAAATTGAACGAAAAATAAAAAAGTAGAAAAGGGAAGATCAACCTTTGCTCTAAGATGACCAACAGGACTGCTAAACTCAGGGAAAACATGTTGAACTAACATACGTTCCAGTTCAGATTTGTAGGGTTCAGTTTGTTTCAGTTTATCACAAAGTGCACCAATAGCAAGTAGGGCACCATCTTTTTGTCGATAGGGCTTATATTCCAATGGTACTTCATCATACCTGCATAAAGTAAAAAAGAAAGATGGCCCCTTTAGAGCACTGATCTTCTCTAGGCTTGCTGTTGCATACTTCATCTAGAAAGAATACCTCTTAAAAATTTCCACGATGAATTGAAGAAACTTCTGAAGGTTCTCCTTCCCACGTTTTCTAACCAATTCACTGACGAAGTCCATAGAAGCAGTCCTAGGACTGTACAAATCCTCGATAATATCTTACAGTAAAGCAGTTAAGCAAAATCAGTACTGTGAATTCTAATTTCTTTAAGCACGGAGTGTAGATTTTAATACTCACCATAACCCTTCCTAACATATTCATGGGGGTCTTCATCCCAAAGCTTTTGATCATTGTCACTGAAGCACATAAGAGGAAAAACTATTTCGAAAAGAAGGACATCAAGACGAGGTTGCAGGAGAGTGTACATGCTATTCTTTGAGATACTGCATGTAAATCAGTAAATGAAAATAAGCATTACAAGAATACCCTTCAAAATTAGACTGTAGGGGCAGTGCAAAAAACCAAAAAACTAAGAATATTTATATAAATGATGCACACTGCATCAATGTATAAAAAGCATAGAAGCTAGATGCTTCATAAACAAGAGTACATCCACCCTACAGTATGTAAAAACTCAAGTCTCACAGACAAACAAAAAGTAGAACATTGGTGAAAGACATGATAGGAGGCAAAATCAAAATTAGAAAGAGAGAATATCCGGACACAGTCATGATCTGATGTTCTAGGTTCTGCATAGGACAGTCCTCAAGATGCATAAACAAGAGTTGCTTACATGTCAATTTCTATTGTAACGTGTCCAGCCAGAAATATTAAGAAAAAGATGCACCACTCTTTTAAGTTTCAAATCTTGCAAAAGTTAGGATGACATGGACTATAAAAGGAAAACAATACAGAGGGTAGGGCTTAGTAAAGCACACCACATAGGAGTGGATGAAATGACAAACCATGCCATCAAAATCCCAATCCATTTATTTTGTCCATACAAATGTAAATTCTTCCCATATCAGCTGCATTCACTGTCCAGCTTTGGACCATCTTAACAAAAATAATTAAACCACTACTTCAGACTGATTTCTGACGTTACCTTTCAGATACTGCAATGGCACACTATTGGCAGGGGCAGGAGATAGAGAAGACTTAGGTCTTCAAGAATTTCGGGAGATGCATTATATCACAGGTTTTTATTTTTCAGTAACTCCATGAGCTTCTTTTTTCCAACCCTTGCAATGAAAGACATCAGAATGGCAATAAAGAACCGAGAATACTGAGGCTTGTTATGATTCCGTTGTAATCAAACATAAATTTCAATTTATCCATGGAGATTGGTTGAGATTATATCCCGACACCCTTGATAGATATTCCTCCTTGATTTCATTTGGGTGGCTACCATTGAAGATTAATCATACCTAAGGACAATACAACTACCTTTAATGACTGGATCCGTTCTTTAATTAGCCTCCTCCCCAAACATGGGGAAGAATTCCGAAAGCCAAAGAAGGAATACCTCATATTGCTCCAGGAATGCATTTGCCAATATGGTGCTCAGCTACCAGGACAAATGAATCTGAAACTATTAATTGACACCAAAGCCTAGAGGAGGGGATGCAAGAAGCAAAGCTGAGTGAAAATATCCAGAACTCCTTCCTAATCCTAGACAACTCCTTATCACAATTCCTTCTAATTTTTCCTAAAATGCAGCCAAATAGTGCAGGCAAGCATATAATTGCATCCTTTAGACTAGTCAGAGCTCAGAACATGTAGGCGAATGACAAACAAATGTCTCTTTCTTCCCAATAATACAAATGTTCATATGATGATTCCATAGAAAAGTTTAAGACAGCAGTTTGGGATACAAAAAGAATACATAGAATGGGATAAGATGTGCCAAAATATAATAGGAGGTAACATGAATATAAATTGCACTTACCTATTGCTTAGATACTGAAGAATTAGGTTGGTAACTCTGTCAGGCAAATAACCACCAACACGTACCACATTCAGCAGATTCAAGTGGCACTCCAAAATCTTTCCCGCATAATTCTTCTGCAACATTTGGGCAAAAGCTCTGTTTTCCTGGTTTTGAAGTTTCAAATCTCCAAACCTGTACGTAGTTAGATGGCCAGAAGTCAAAAACAAGCTCCAGGTCTCCATCAAATATTCAAAATCTATGTTTTCTTGGAAATATACCGCGTGTACAGCCTGTTCAAGATGTGAACTGTCCACTTCTTCACCTTCCACCAGCCCCATGACTTCCTTAGCTCAGGATCTACAGGCTGACCCTCTACAGGAACAGGTCTCTCCAAAATATTTAAGAAAAGAATCATCCAAGCATTGAAGACATTTGGATCAAATAGCTGCTTTGGAATCTCCAACTGAAAATTAATGAAAATAGACACGATATGAATATCACCCTTCCCCAAAAAATATTAAAAAAAAAACACTCCTATGGATGCTCATAAAACTATCAACTGAAAAGATAATTCATTACAATTTCCTTTGAAGTTCAACACAAAAAATTAATTCAAATGGTTGTGGAAGCAACATTCATGGTGTAGTTCATCAAGCAAGAAACTCCTTTTAAGCACAAATTTTGACAACAAACACACACAACCGACATAACTGATGGCCATAACCATTTGAATACAAAGGAACCCCACTGCTTCTCCAAGTATCATGGCCTGCAAATGAAGAAATTTACAGCATGTCTACCTATGACAACATTATGTCCTTAACCATTAAGAGGGCATAGTTTCACCATGGTAATAATATTAATCCAAAAGAGAGACAAACAAATCAAATATGGAATAAAAAGTTCCCAAGGGACTTGGAGAACACCTCAAATGAGCAAACAAGAAGCTAAACAGACATTAAATAGTCAACCAGGAAGTAGACCATAAGCCAGGCATGAAAGGCATGCCATAAGACGCTGTGATCACAACATCATCTATTATGCGATCTTCAGAACAGTCTGCTATTAAATATCAAACTCACGTATATAGATGACCAGAATATTTTACAAATAAGTTTGATCAAATCTGCTACTTCCAATGATGGGTTTGCAATCTGGACAAGCCTGTTGAAAATATTGAGAAGATGCGGGAATGTCTCCTCAACAATGCGTTGAACAGGGGTCCTCTCCTCATCTGACTTGAACCTGAAATAATAGAAGAAGAAGAAGACAGATTTCAGAAACAATGATCCATGCATATTTTGGTACTTTCATCGTCAGTAATGAAAAATGAACAATGATCAATTGAGAACCATAGAATCAGACACTAAATTGGTGCATTTACAGCCACATCTGAAAGTATCATATTCAATAAACGGACAGAACATCCTTTAGTTAGCCCCCACCTCCCTAACTTTTAAATTTCGGATGCATAAATAGTTAATTAAAATATCCCACTTAAATAATCCATGGACATCTAACACAACTCAATGATTTGTGAAAAATGAAACCCTCCTGAGCTTTAAAGCCATCAAATGGAAACTGCAAACAGTGAATATCAGAAGGCATTTTAAGCGACTGTGTTGAGTGGGGGAGAATTTTCCAAAAACACCACCACTTGATAGCCACAAGGACTCAGAAATAATACATTTCATTTAAATCAAGAAGTGTTTTCCTCAACTGCAATGCCATGTTAGTATTTGGTAGGTGCATAATTGAAAACAAAATATTCAATTTATGAACTAAATGGTAAAAATTAAAAGTATTAGGGACAATCAGATTGACCATTAACCCTAAAAAATGTCATATCTATTGCAATTAAATTGACAGTCCATAATGTCAAATATATAACGATAGTTAGATAAGATTATAATAAATACTTGAAAAGTTGATGCACTTTTTGATTGCTTTTGCTTTTATCAGTAGCCCTAAAAAAATGTAACACCTAATAATCATATTATATTCACAGTGAAGAAAAGAAAAGAAAACCATAAGCATATCCTTACTCGTATTTTCTAGAAAGAATGCGCAACACAAACAAAGCTCCATAAACTTGCTGATCTTGTAAATTAAGTTTGATCCAATCCAAGAGACGTGGCCACTGCTCTGGATAATCAGCATGGATAATTGTCTTCAGGCATTCGCCCAACTGTACCCTGTACATCAAGCCGTTTGATATCAGAGCAAGTAGAATCAAAGAGCATATGTTAAAAAGATATTTTTTGCGAAACAAATTTACAAGAAGAAAACACAACTTGAAAACTGAAGGCTGTATGCACACTGGAAAAAGCCGAAAACTAACAAAGTAAATCCTAATCAATGACATAGTAGGACATCCAACAAATTGTACCTCAACAAAGGAGGAACCTGCACAACAAACACAAGGATGTGATCCCTCACCATGCCTTTATCACTCTGTGATATCTTTGATTGCTCATCTACATCATAAAACAATTGCACATAACTATCAGTCTATTGCACTTCACAGATATGTAAATAATGTAATTAAGTATAGTTTCTTCGAGGATTTAGAAATAGAAATAAGGATACCAGGATCATGAGGTTCCCAGTTCTTCGCAATAAAGTTCTTGAAATGAATACTAGCAACTTGCCGCACAGCAATATCACAATTATTATCGACGATGATCTGCAACAACCTCACCAGATGCTGAGGCGTGTACTGGAACTGCAAAACATTCACAATTGCCACAACTTAGCTACGCCAATCCCAGATTGACTATGCATCATTAATGAAAGAACACGATAAAAATTTCTTCCTTTCTTAAGCAACATCAAACTAATCAGAATTAAATAAACTAACCAAAATAAATAGCATATAAAAACAATCATCTTTAAAGCACAACTCAAATTAAGTAAAATAAAAACCACTCTAACCAAACTACAAAAACCAATGGGCCAAATAAGGAAACCTGATTGAGGCTTTGCTCAGCAGCTTTGCGTTCATCAGGATTGGGACTTAGAGCAGCTTGGAGGATAACAGCTAGGCTAGGGAGATCCATTTTTGGGATATCAAACAAAGTATATCAACTAAAAAGGCAGATAATTGAACTCGAAACTCGAAATTCGAGAATAGAGATTGACGTTGAACAGCTATCTAAACCCTGGATGGTGCTCAACGCCAATAAAATGGCGTCTATAAGGGTTTAGAAAGAGAAAATATAGGGGAGAGAGAGTGAGGGTTGCGGAGAGAGATAGCTAGTAAGCGCAGAGTATTTAAATCACTAGGGTTTACGGTAGTTTAACCAGAACATAACAAATACATTGTCGCTACTCGATTACTACCCTGTTGACTCGGATCCTGACTCGAGTTGATTGGGGTTTCTGGGTTCGACCCGTTTGAAAACGCCGTTGAGAGACAATAATCAGGTGTGTATTGGTGTTTTTTATCTGTTTCCTAAAAAGTTAACATTGGTATATCAACTTATCATTTTAATAGCATATTTTTCTAATTAGGCTTTCACTTGATATGATTTGATTTAATTATTTAATTTATTAATATATTAATTTGGTTTGATATGAGTTTATTTAGAATTAGTGTTTTTAATTATAGGATGTGTCGTTTAACAATAGTGGAGATTTTACAAGTACAAATATAGTATTGCTAGATGAAAATGTTAACTATAATATTTTATATTTTTATTATTTGCATAACCAATTAAAAATAATGCTATTATTTTAAATGTTTATATGTAATCATTTGTTTATATGTGTTATTATAAGGAAATTATATGCTATCACTTTACGACTTGGTTCATTTTTTCTCTAATGATGTAAAAAAATTTTACGTAAATTGTCGACTTTAATTCAGTTGCAAATTAATCTATTTTTTGAATATTTATATTAACAATTCAATTCTTTTTATTTTTTAAAAAAATGTCTGAAACTAAAGTTTATACAACGGAAAAAATATAAATATTGTAACTTTAAACTTTTTAGATAAAAAATTAATGATAAACAAACAGTTAAATTTGTAAGAAATTTATATTTTTTATTTTTTACATTTAAATATTTTTAAATTTTAAACCCGCATATTGAGGGTTAAGTACAAGAATTAATCTTGAATTTAGTATTAAAAGTTTTCATTATACAAATTAATTTAAAAAAAAAAACTATTTGGAATTGAAATTTAATTTCGATTAAATTTATAAAAAAAATCATAGCTTTAAAAAAACCCGTGTTTTGAAATTTAATTTCGATGAAATTTATAAAAAAATCATACCTTTAAAAAACCCGTGCTCCTAATGCTAGTAGGTTATATAATCGAACCAACCGATATAACCAAATACCTAGAGGTTTTTAGCCTTAAATTAAACTGAACCGAACTAAAATTTTTAATTGATAGAAATAGAAAAAATTAATTTAGCTACCTAAAATAAATTTAAAAAAAATAATAAAAACAATGCAATTTTACAATTTTCAGTTCATTTCAGTTAATTTATAATTTTTTACTGAAAATTAAACTGAATAACATTCAATTAAGTATGATTCTTTTTGAATTTTCATTTTTCTAATTAATTTTGTACTTTTCTAAAGATAAGAAAGAAAACATCAATTAAGTGATGATTAATGCGGTAAACGACACTAATCTCTTATGAAAGCACACTCATCGAAAACGTCAAAAACTTTCAGGTACTGTTGCTCAAAAAATGATTGCACCTCTAGAAAAGAAAGAGGACGTCAACGACTAGTCGTTTAAATGGAGCCTCATTTCATAAAAACGGAGCCGTTTATGGGATGTTTTTTCGGCTTTAATTGAGGAATGCATATGATGTTGTACAGATGTGGGGCAATCAGCCACGTGCGTCTCCAGACTGTCTAAGGCCAGGCAAGGAGAAGATGCTTCTGTGCATTATTATGGACCCTCTTGCAGCTTATGAGATTTGGTAAAATTGGTAGAAATTAATTTTAGGTACATTTTTAGAAGGACATTGTCTTACATTTTGAGGTGATGCATAAGTCAATATTTTGATTTAATACTCAAGTACTACATGATGATATAATTAAATACAATAAACTTATGAAAAAACATTATTATGTCGTACATATTCCCTTGAAAAATATAATAAAACTTTCCCTTTTTATATAACTTATACTCCCGTATATAAATAAGTGTCACATTTTCATATAATTTCAGAATTATAGCAATTAATGTTCGTAATTTGTAAAGAATATAAATAAAAAAATTTATTATTTTTCAAATTTACAAATGTTATATCTATTTGTGGACATGTTACTTTCATACATGTGACACTTATTTGTAGAGGGATTGAGTATTCAATAACTAAATAGTTGAATGCGTTTCTTTTCTTTTGAGGCACTCTTGTATGTGAAAATTAGGTAATTAATAAAATATAAAACATTATGATCTTTAAACTAAATTGACATCAAGTACATTTGACAAAGTAGTGATATGACGTATAAAAAAAATGCATATATAAATAAGAGTAATAAATTTAACACAGTAATGTTGACACTCCGTTCAATATATTTAATATAGTAGTTGTTTGACACCTCATTGGTTGACTCCATGGGAGTAGGGGTGGCCAAAATCCGGTTTTCGGAACCAGAACGGTTGGTTCCAAATCGCTTCGAATCATAATTGAAATCAATCCGAATTAGAATTGGAACCGGTCCAAATCAATCCAATTTTGGTTCTATTGGAACCGTGAACCTGCGATTTTCAAAACCAGTTGGAACCGATGGTTCTAGTTTCGGTTGGAACCGGTCGGAACAGTCTAGAACCGGTCGGAATCATCCAGAACCGGTCGAAAAACCTGCTGGAGAACCGGCCGGAACCATCGACTTTGGAACTCTTTAGGAACTGGAATCGAAACCAGAACCGTTTGATTCCAAACTGTAACTGGAAACGTTAATTTTCAATTCGGTTCAGTTTCGGTTCTAAAAAATTTGAAACCAAAACCAGCGGCTCCGGAATCATGGCCACGTCTACATAGGAGATGATTAGTTGGGATAAATAAATTAGGAATTTTTTTTCCTAAAGTGTATAAAACACTTTATTTGATTTGCATTATCAATTTTATTTCTCGAGGAACAGATCATTCAACTTCCCTTAAATAAGAGAATTAAGTTCATTAGGAACAGCTAGAAAAATTACATCTTGCTAATTAAGTGCGATGAATTTACTGATTTATTATATTAGTTAAATATATTTAATTTTATATTACGCATATTATTCTTTTATTTTTTCCAATTTGAGAGTAATTTATTTTCAAGGATACTGGTTTGCATAGAACCCACATTTAAATTGTACTCACCGGAATATAGTTTCTTGAAAGCGCACTTATGAGAAAATATATTTATTGAGAACCTTTTGAACCAAATAAAGCCCGGTATGTGCTGACTCTAGTTTTTTTCCTTTTGAAAATCAAATATCTTATTAAAAATTACTTGGAAAAACTTAATTTATAAAACACAAATAAATCCAAATCAATAGACTGAATTCATACATCTTAAAAGCTAAGTACAAAAAAAAAAAAAAAAAAAGGAAAATTTACTTGGAAAAAACTTTAATTTTATAAAAACACAAATAAATCCAAATCAAAGACTGAATTCTACATCTTAAAAAAGCTAAGTACAAAAAAAAAAAAAAAAAAAAAAGGTTAAGAACTCATTAAACAAAAAAAAAAAAAAAAAAAAAAAAGGTTAAAGAACGTCATTAAACAAAATGGAGATCAAAGCTCGAAGGCTATTGGCAGACTATGGTACTATATCATATGATAAAGCAATCCAAGCTCTATGGTGAGGTGTCATGTTAGCTTATCTATGCATCCATCGCAAGGAAAAACTAAACCCTTTGCCTTAATAATAGCCTATGATACAATCACTTGGAAATACTTGCTTACAATTGAACCATTTGAGAGCTTCTAGCATTGGAATTTTGTATCTTTGGTCCTGAGATGATTAACATTGAAAGTTATTTGTGAGTCTAGATGCAATAATAAAAATCCTTATTGAGTATATAGTTCCTTTAAATATTTATGATGGAGTGCTTTGACCATCTTTATGGGCCTATCCGCCGAACTTCGGACATCATTTTTAATTTTTAGCCGAGTACATAAGTAGATTTTGTTTACTATAAGCGTTGTATAATATTACAATTTCGTTTCATGAGTTTGACCAGCATTAAGGCATAATTAAGTTTATTGATAAGATAAATATTACAATTATGTGAACGGTGATAAACAATATATACCACTCCAAATAGTTGCATAATGGTATAATATTAAGCATCGGCAAACACATATAATCATGTTAAGTGGAGACTGATTAATAGATTACTCGCCCTTATATTGAAGGGGCGTCGTCTCCCTTATTTATCCAACTCATAGTCAGTTCACATGACCTATCTTCTCATTTTTCATGTTTAATAATTCTCATCAACACTTATGCATTAGGCATCGATCTTCTATACCTAGTCGATGAGCCTTTCTCTTAATGAAATTTCCAATTTTAATTTTTCTAAACAAAAAATTGATATAAATGTTAGTTAGTCCTAAATTTGACAATTATTACATCTCCATCCACTATTTTTGGTAATAAAAATATTAATTTGACATAAGCTTAACGTAGTTAAATTATTTAGTCATTCAATAACAAAATATTATTTTGTCTAGTGAATGTAAATATATAGACAATCTAGTCAAATATTTGAAATATTTATAGTAAAATTTGTATTTTTTCACCAAAATAAAATAGCGACAAGAGTCAAAAGGATTAAATAGTAATTATTCATTTTAATTATAATATAATAAAAATAAAACCCAAAACATCCATGTGCTTTCTGCGATCTCTCCTCTTTAGCTAACACGGCGGGAAACTGATAATTTTGGGGAAAAATCCTCCCTCCAAAAAAATTCCCAATCCAAAATCCTCGTTTCTGTCATTTTCAACTTCTAAACCCTAATTTCGTAATCTCTGCAAAAGAATCCCCAAATTTCCCCATTGTAGATAACTGATAACAACAGTGTGAGAGAGAACGAGAGAGCAAAAGAAGGCACCAACTCTTTTGCTCTCTCTGCACAAACAATCCGCATTTCTATGGCATTCCTCCATAAACGTAAACACCAACACAAAATCCAGCGGCCACCGCTTGGCCGTGATTTTGACGACGAAGAAGATACTAACGTCGATAACCACACTGACGCGCCATTACGATACGTACCGCTCGACCGTGTCTACTCTGCAGCATCACTTTGCGTTAGCGCTAGTGGATCGTGTAACGTTATGTCCAAAAAGGTTAAAGCTCGAAAGCTTCTTGTTGATGATGATCCTTGTCTTAGTAGACCTCCGATCATCCATGTATATTCTCGTCGAACTAAGAGACCTCGACATTCTTCCCCTACGCCGTCGTTTTTTGAATCGTTGATTGCACGCGCTGCCGAATTAGTTCCAAAAGTTGCTGTTAAGACTGAAATTTGTCAGTTTGAAGATTCTATTAATGATGATTTGAAGAGGAAGGAGAAGAGGAGGAGGATTGGGTGTAGTGAGTTGATGAAATTGGGCGTCGATTCTAGCGTTTTAGGAGTTCTTGACAGGCCGCGATTGAGAGATTGCCGCAATCATAATGTTAATAGTAATAATAGGAGTTTAAGAGGCAAGAAGCGTGGCTCTTTACAGGATTCTGACAAGGTTCTGTCGCTGCCGGCTACTGGTAAGAGATGGGTCAGGTGCGTTTTTCTTTTTTCTTTTTTCTTTTTTTATGGTTATCCAATTATTGAAGAAAATAATGTATCTGGTTTTGGGAGCTAGGATAAGTGGCAAACAAATAATTTCAAGTTGCTTGCTTTTATTTGTAGAGCTTCATGTTTTTCTCCTAGAAAACGCTTCAAATTGCGACTGCGTTTTGGCATTCGGAATGCTCAATCAATGTACCATCAGTGCAAAAAAAAAAAAAAAAAAAAAAAAAAAATCAATACCATTCAGTAGCAAAAAAAAACAAAAAAAAAAAAAAAAAAGAATTTAAATTAAAAAAAAAAAAAAAAAAAAAAAAAAAAAATTTAGAATTACAATTGGTGTGAGGGAAGCGAGCGTTCTTTTGTGTAGAATACATCTATTTTTTACTTAGTTGAGTAGAGAAAGAGATTACATTTGGGACTATTGTTATTTTCATTCCTTCACTTTCTCATAGGACAATTAGGGCAGTTTTACTTTGTGTTTATGATTCTGAAAGTTTTGTTCCACGGGTGTAAATTTTTTACTTGAATAGGTTGAGTTTCAATGAAGTTGATCCAAAAAAGTTCATTGGGTTATCATGCAAGGCAAGCAAACATTTCATTCTTTTAATTCTTGAAATTTTAAGTTTACTGTTATATCTTCCTATTTCAGGCATGTTTTTATGCATAATTAAACTGGTTATGTTCAGGTTTATTGGCCATTGGATGATGATTGGTATTCTGGACGTGTTGTTGGGTACAATTTGGAGACTAAGCGTCATCATGTGTGGTTCTGATGTTAAATTTATCTTTTTCTTTTTTCATCTTAAATTTGAATTTGTTGAGGCATCAAAGTATATCTTGAAAACTTCTGTTAATTAGGAGTGAAACACAATGTAGGTTGAATATCAAGATGGAGATGAAGAGGAGTTGACTCTTTCAAATGAGAAAATAAAATTTTTTATTTCTCGTGATGAGATGGAGCAGTTGAATTTGACTTTCAGTGTGAAAAGCACAGATGCTGATGTCTATGATTACAATGAGATGCTGGTGTTTGCTGCTGTTTTGGATGACTGCCAAGATCTTGAGCCTGGGGATATTATCTGGGCTAAACTTACTGGTCTGCACTAAATTTATCTGCTTTTTTATCTATTGAAGATTTTTAGCCTTTTTCACCAGTTCATACATATGACTTGGACAGTAACAGAAAACATAAAAAATCTCAAAGATGACTGAACTTACTGGTCTCCACTAAATTTATCTGCTTTTACCTTCTGAAGATTTTTAACCTTTGCCCATTTCATATGACTTGGATAGTAACAGATACATAAAAAATCTCAAAGATGCTATTCTGAAAATTTTTCAGCTCCTCAATATTAAAGACATGAGTAGTATCCTTTGTCATTTCCTTTTTTCTTTAAATGACCGTCTTTAATGCCATGTGAATAAATTGGTTCTTGGGTGTATTTATAATATCCCTGCAACCATGCTTTTGCTAGTTTTGATGTCTCATCTTTTAAAAGAATAATGATTTGAAACATTTGGTATCAAAGTTCATACTCTCCTTTTGGTTGGTTAGATAAGAAAAAAGCTGGTATGGGAATATGTTTATTAATAGGCATGGATACATACAGCCTTTCCAAATTTTAATGACAGCATTTTGTATAGCTTTGGTTATATTACTTGCCATGAATTGATTTTTCACCCTTTTGGTTTTACACCAACTATATCTTTTAATTGTTGTAGTGCAGGTCATGCCATGTGGCCAGCAATTGTTGTAGATGAATCACTTATTGGCAATCGTAAAGGCTTAAACAAAACATCTGGAGAAAGATCAGTATTTGTGCAGTTTTTTGGTACCCATGATTTTGCAAGGTTTGCTATTCTTTCAAGCATGAAGGAGATCTCATATGTGTGTTTCAGTGTGCACAATATCTTTCTTTCTTAGAGGCTCATATCATCTTTTTCTTGTGATTTTCAGAATTAAACCAAAGCAAGTGATCTCATTTCTCAAAGGACTTCTTTCATCTTTTCACCTAAAGTGCAGGAAACCTCATTTCACACGAAGCTTGGAGGAAGCAAAAATGTAAGCTTATTCACTGGGGATTAGTTTACCAATGTGGCATTAGAATGTGGTATTATAAGAGAACTATGTTATACTTTCTTATTTAATCAGAATACCCTGTGGCCATGTAGTTCTTCTACCTAAGTATGTATTTGCCTTTTCATTTTTTTATTGCAGCATGCTTTCATTACATGAAGTTTTTGGAGGCTATTATTTCAGGCAATCTTATATATTGTAACCATATTCTTGTAAATACAACTATAAGTTGTATATAGATGCAACAAATTAGCTTCCTTATTGATAAATACTTCTGGTCCAATCATTTAGTCACATGGCTAGAATTCGTGATTCCGTTACTTTGAGGACTGATGATAGTCAGCTGTTGAGGTTTGTTGGCTGTCTTTATCAGACATCTGCAGAATTAGTTTATTTGTATGGACTGGTTTCACTCTTGCTAACCTTGCAATTTCCTTATATTTATCATTCTTTGCTCTGAAGTTCCTCTAGATAAAAATGGTTGTAGATAACCGCAACCTAGTGATCTTTTCACTGAAATGGTCGCAATAGCTGTCTAGGGTTATTCTTGCTTGCACCAAGAGTTGCCATTTCACAATTGCTTGTTTTTTAACCAGGTATTTGAGTGAGCAAAAGCTTCCAAAAAGAATGCTACAACTGCAGAATAGCATGAATGCTGCTACTTGTGAGAGTGCAAGTAGTGAGGACGAAGGGAGTACAGATTCAGGTGAAGACTGTTTAAAAGATGAAAGCATGCAGAGGATACTGAGGGGCCTCGAAACTTCACCTTATGTGATTGGGGATTTGCAAATAATAAGCCTTGGTAATTTTTCAGCTGCTGGAAGTTGCTCCTACCTTCTTTATTATTAATAAATAGTTCAAACATGTTTAGACATTTAACCACATTTTCATCCGCTTGCTGATGATCTAATTATTGTTTAGATAACACTCAGCTGTCTGAGGGCATGGAAGTTCCTTTACAACCTCCAACCTTCGCCAAGAATATGGGACATGCATAGAAATTACGTTTCTGTTTAATTAGTTGACGGATACTTGACTTAGAGAACTTTTATGCACTATCTTTCTTTCCATCATTTTTTTTTTTTTTGGGTTTAACATGTATTTTATTACTAACTCTAGATGCATAGAAATTAGTAATTACTAGTTAATTGATGGGCATTGAGAAGAAGTCACTTATACTTAAAGGCATCTTCATGTCTCTTACAGGAAAAATTGTCAAGGACTCAGAATATTTCCAGGATGATAGATTCATCTGGCCTGAAGGATATACTGCCTTGAGAAAGTTTACTTCAATAGCAGGTGGTTATTTCTGATAAATTTTTCTTGGAATTTTGCATAATCTCAAATCTCAGATTCACAGTTTCCTTCTCATTTTTTAATGTTCTTGGTCCTAGTGGAATAATAAGATATATTTTCTTTTGCTTTTGTGTCTGTTGGTCTCAGATCCAAGTGTTCCTGCCATATATAAGATGGAGGTATTGAGAGATGCCGAGTCTAAGATTCGACCTCTTTTTAGAGTGACATCGGATAATGGAGAGCAGGTCAGCTGCAATGTGATAAATATAAAGCTATATTTATTCATGGCCAATTTTCTTTTCCTATTAAACTTTTTTTATCCTAATTGCAATTTTATTTTTTGGACTTCTGTCATACCAATTTTGCATATTGCTACTAAATGCTAAATCTTTACTTGCTGAAAAGAGATTGTAATCAAGGTTGCATGAGACTCTAATGACTCTTCTAGTTTGTATGTTGCTATTGTGACACAAGATAGAATGCCACCTTGTCCCTCGTGTACAGAAGCATTGGGTTTCTATGAACCCTGATGCACTTTTACTTTTGAGAACTTCATGTTTTAAATGTGAAATTCAAAAAATCCTATGGATAGATGATTCAATCGCTAGGCCAAAGTTATTCTTGGTAGTCTGGCAAAATCTTTTGTTTATCCTTGAATGCTGAATTACAATTGGTTTCACACTACCTATGTTATTGCTCAAATTACACCTTATGGTTTCAGTTCATTATTCATTCATGACAATCACATTTTCACAGATCAAAGGATCTACTCCATCTGTTTGCTGGGATAAAATATATAGACGAATAAGGAAATTGCAAGATTGTAATTCCAATAGTGCTGAAGGTGCAGTAGAAAGATTCTATGAATCTGGTTCTGACATGTTTGGTTTCTCTAATCCTGAAGTTATGAAACTTATAAAGGTATGCTATTTTCAGTTCCTTGCAGATAAACTCTGAATATTTGTACTTAGTTCATATTGAAGTCAACTTTTATCTTCTACTGTCATGTGATGGATTTGTTTTTTGAATTGTTCAATTTTCTCTGCAAATAGATGGCAAAAGAGTTGACTTTGTAAGTTTTCTTGATTTTGCAAAATGGACTTCTCTTCGTATTCCTTTTGTTACAAATTTTATTATTGATCTTATAGCATTTTCCTTTGAATTTTAAAATTTCTAAAGCTAAGCAAAAGGATAATTGCAAGAGATTTTGTTATTTCACTTTTTTGTACGCTTGGCTGTTCTCTTTACATCCTCTATCATGCAGATGCTGTGGTTTTCTGACAATATAACTTGCTTGCTGCTGCAGTAAGTCCGCTGGATTGAATTTTTGTTTAGGAGAATAGACTGTAGTTGTTTAATATAAAATCCTTTTTGTTAAATTTATTTCCTTACTCCTACGTAGTTTCTATTTTTTTTTTTTTTTTTTTTTCTTATAGCGAGTTGTTTCCTTTGAATTGTTAAAGGATAAGCGTAAGCGAAAAGGAGGTGAGATTGGCAAGGAAGAGTTGTTGGTTTTACTGGGTTTTTGTACGGGGGGGGGTGGGAGCTTGGCTGTTGCTCTTTACATCTCGGTAGGTAGCTGGGCGAGATGGCGGTGGGTGTTTGCTGACAATATAGGACTTGCTGTGGTGCTGGCGAGGTAAGTCCGTGGATGACATGTTTTGTGTTTAGGAGAGATGAGGACTGTATGTGTTTAATATGGAAAGAGTACTTGTTTGGTGGTTAAGTTTATTTCCTAGCTCTGCTAACGATAGTTTCTTTATGGTTTTTTTTTTTGTGTTTTTTTTAGACATGCCTTTTTTGCCGATTAGGGCATGTTTCAAATTGCTGGTATGGCAAGAGTGGGACGGTACTGGTGTCAAGATCCTAAATGAGTCGATATCTCCTTTTTGAAATGTGGAGTGGTCTTGAGTCTGCTACAGTTCTGGAATCCTCTGAGTCTGCTACATTCAAGCTGCTGAGTCGGTTTGTAGTGAGTTTGTGTCAAGTCATTATAGCGTATAGGCCAACATCAGAAGTTATTCTAAGGCAGTTTTTGCCAATCTTGGCTGTATCGAGACGGCAGAGGTTGTGAAGACATGGGGGGAGATATACTGGAAGCGTCTACTGCCTAAGCTCATATGGCTCTGTGTTGAATGTGCTCATTGTCTACTTGGTGAGATCGAATGAAAAGTCGTATTTTGAATTGATGTCTGAGTCTACTACATTCTGATCCTCTGAGTCTGCTACATTCCAATCCTCTGAGTCTTTTAGTGAGTTTTGTCAATCATTATAAGTATACCAACCATCAGAAGTCCATTCTACATTTTTGCCAATCTTGCTTAATCGAACGAGAGTTTGTAAAACATGAATAGTACTAAGCGTCATACTCCTAAAACTCATATCTCCTGTTGAATCATTGTCTAACTTGTGAATCTAATGAAAGTCGTATTGAGTTGAGTTTATAAGAAATCAAAAGTATACCGACCAAGGTAGACCAAAGTTTATGCCTAACAAGAAGATGCTAACATCGGGACTCAACGATGGATATGATAAGAACCTGTACTGCGAGTAACATATAGATGGACTACATTTCGATCCTTTGAATCCTTGTCTGAGTCTTTTAGTCAAAATTTTGTAAGCCATCAAAACTATATTGACCATGGTATATCTTCATCATTGCTGAGTACCGATACTTACAGTTATGCTCCTAAAAGTCATATCTCCTTTTTGAATTGATGTCTGAGTCTACTACATTCCGATCCTCTGAGTGTTTTAGTCAAAGTTTTGTAAGCCATCAGAAGTATATCGACCATCAGAAGTCCATTTTACATTTTTGCCCACCCTACTTAATTGAATGCAAGTTTGTAAAACATGAAAAGTACTCAGCGTCGTACCCCAAATGAGAAGATGCTAACATAGGGACCTAGCGATGGATCCGCCAAGAACCCGTAATGTGAGTAACTTTTAGATGGACTACATCCCGATCCTTTGAATCCTTTTCTGAGTCTTTTAGTCCAAATTTTGTAAGCCATTAGAAGTATATTGACCACGGTATATGTTGATCATCTGTAAGTACTGGTACCTCCAGTTATATTCCTAAAAGTCATACAATGTGAACAATAAACTTCAAATTAGTGAGATGCCGCAAATGTTGCAGAGAAAAAAAAAGTTGACTTTTGGAAATTGTTGAATGGTACCTCTGCACCAATAGAATGAGTAGAAGGGGAGGCAAAAAAGTGTTAGAAAGGGAATTAAAAGTTATAGCTTCTTGTTGGTTCATTATCATGATTGCTACCACAATTTGTTGCATTCAGAAGAATTGATATTCTTGGGATATTATACTTTAGGTGGTTCATGGAACAGATTTTAGAATTAGCATTGGAGATATTCAAAAGTGAACTACTGCTGTTTGCTTGGTATATGTAGCTGTGCAAATCTTTTGACCTTGTTGTATAGTTTCATGAATCTGTTCAAAGCAAATACCCTGCACTTTGATTGTATTCCTATAATATTTTCCAATGGTACTGACAGGGATTATCAAAATCCAGACTTTCTTCGAATATGTCTTTGTGCAAATCAACCTCTAGAAGATATCAGGACTTGCCTGTTGGTTATAGACCTGTCCGAGTTGACTGGAAAGACCTTGATAAGTGTAGTGTCTGCCATATGGATGAGGTGAAAATCAGTATTCTCTTTTAACACTGTTTTGCCAGCATGTTCATTTGTTACTCGAACCCTATCCTCTATTGAAGAAAGAAAATAGAAAAAGCAATTTTAGTTGAATGGTTTTATCATTGCATGACATTTATATGGTTTTGATGTTTGCAATCTAACTATGGTTATCTGCTTTTAGGAATATGAGAACAATCTCTTCCTGCAGTGTGATAAATGCAGAATGATGGTAAGTTTCCTATTCTATCTTTTGTAGTTTTTGAGTGTTGCATGATATGCATTGTGGATATTCAATTGGAACAACTTCACGAAATGTTAGTGCAGTATTCTAGTCTCTTCATTAGTTTTACCAACAGTAATGTATGCTCAGGTCCATGCCAGATGTTATGGAGAATTAGAACCTGTTGATGGTGTGCTATGGTTGTGCAACTTATGCCGTCCTGGGGCTCCTGATTCCCCACCCCCCTGCTGCCTTTGTCCTGTTATAGGTATGCTAATACTGTAAATCCTTCTTTTCTAAGAGCCAATGGATTTCATTCACACTGAATCTGTAAACTGACTTTCCATTAGGTGGTGCTATGAAGCCTACAACTGATGGCCGCTGGGCCCATTTGGCTTGTGCTATATGGATACCTGGTTTGTGACTGTATCACACATTAGGTTGTGCGACTATTATATTGAGTTTTGTTGACTCAGCTTATGTTGCAGAAACTTGCTTGTCTGATGTCAAGAGAATGGAGCCTATTGATGGCTTGAATAGGATCAATAAGGTTATCTACTTGTTTTTGTATCTTTGATTCCTAGTGCTATGCAATAGTTCCTTTCTGGAGTATTTACTCGTTTTTTGATTTTCAAAAATCATAGGAACTGGGCTGACGAAGCTTGATTTCATATTCATTTTAGTCAGATTCAAGTATTTATGTTTCCTTTAATCATATTTTTTATTTGAACAGGATCGTTGGAAGCTCTTATGTAGCATTTGTGGTGTAGCTTATGGAGCGTGCATCCAAGTAAGCCCATAATTATTCTAATAAGAGTATTCCTGATGGTTGAATAGTCCTTATAATTGTTTTTCACATCTTAACTTTTACATTATTGTTATATTGTTTTGTGTTCATAAAATTAAATTGATTTCAAATTCTCATTCAGTCTGACAAAAGTTAAAGTTCGCTAAGAGTTTCAGTAGCTCAACTGGCTGTGCTTCTTTTTCTTTGCGTATTTTTCTTCATTCATTCTTGTGGGGCTATATTGATTTATCATGTGGCTGACTATTGTTTTGCTAAAGCAATGTGAGAAGGAATAAAGAAATTGGGAAAGATAGTGAGGGAAAAAAACAGAAAATACAAGTAAAAGAAATGTGCTTGCTTTATTAGCAATATCAATTTTATGAGTGAGCCATTGTGTCTGAAACGCAATTGAACTAAATTCCAACTGTATAGAGCTTTTTTTTTTTTGGTACATTGGAATATAATAAATACAGAAAAACTGTATGAGCAGCCTCACCCCCTACCAAATCAGCTTGAACAACCACCTGAAAGAATGTACTGGATAATCTCAAACTGCCAATCCCAAAGCACAGTCATGACCCAGCTTTGCCAAATGATCGGCCACCAATACCATATGGCTTCTCGATAAAAATACCTTTGATGGCACCTCCATTTTTGACGAAGACACTCTCTGCAATCAAAAATAAGGGAAGCCTATGGATGAAGCCTATATTCCACTTCTGTAATAGGATGAAAAGCATGAAGAGGACCAGTTTCAAGATAGACCTGATGAAAAACCTCTATCCCAAGCTGTATTCAACCTCTGCTGTATGCCACACAATTCAGCCATCCTAATATCGCTATGCCCTAAATTTACTGCAAATCCAATCAACCAACCACCATGGATATTGTGCAGCTCACTTCCTGCAGTTGACTAACCTGGGTTAGCAAGATTACTACCATCAGTATTAAGTATAATCCAACCCACCAGTGGAATTGCATAGAAATAAGGCTCTAATGAGAAGGCAAGGACATCTCCTTGTCTTCCAACTTTAAATTATCAATAGCTAAATTCATTAACTGGAGTAATTTTCTCACTGAAGGAACTTCTGTACCTTCAAAAATGGCTATATTCCGTGATTTCCAGAACTACCGAATAGCAGCCAATAAAACATCTACCCACGGGATCCCCTGAACCCAATAGCTTTGTACCATTCCACAAAAGAGCGATTAAACAGACATAGCGAAAATCTATGTTTTCTAGTCAGTATGTTATACTAACACTTACAAACAGTATTTAAAGGATTTTTAGATTATCAAATTTACAAGTGAAATCTAAATATTTCTGAATTCGTTTTTCTTTACTATATACGTCACAAATTCCCTTTCCCCTGATAAATTATCCAATGCTAAATAGTTTTGTGTTACAATCACTGTAGCTAACCTGTCGGCTCTGCATCACATGTGACAAAAACTCATTGCTGCAAAGATGTTTGAAGGAATTAGAGCCTGTTTGGCATTAAGGTTTAAACTACTTTCCAAGAAATGAACTATTTTAAACTACTTTCTATGTGTAGAATGTTTGAAATTCACCTTAAAATTAAATTTTAGTGGCCTTTAACTAACAGTTTCAACATAATGCTTTTCTCAACAGCAGCTCAAACAATTAATGTCATATAGTCCCTGTCCTTTTCAATGAAGTGCTTAATGGAGTATCTGAAATAGTCCCTTACAGTTGTGTGGTTAAAGACTAGAATTGATTGTTATCAGTACACTCCTTCAGTTACTTGATTCAAATCAATATCAATATGATCTCTTGTGCATGCATTTACATGTTCTAGGTTGTTTACTTGTGCTTTCGCATCTTTGCTTATCTTTACCCCTTTGCTAATTGTAGCTCTCTTGAAATGCTTGCCTACAGTGTTCAAATAATACTTGTCGGGTAGCGTATCATCCACTCTGTGCACGGGCAGCTGGCCTTTGTGTTGAGGTATTCTTGATCCTTTGTTACAAGCATTTAGAGTGGTTTTGTAATTATACATACATTTCGATGTTTCAATACAGTTGGCGGTGTCAATTGCTAATATTTCCTTATGCGTTCCTGTATTTTATCTACTTTTGCATAGCTTGAGGATGAGGACAGACTCCATCTCCTTGCTGTAGATGATGAAGAAGACCAGTGCATTCGCCTGCTATCCTTTTGTAAGAAGCACAGGCAGCCATCCAATGACCGTCCAGTCATTGATGAACGAATTAACCGAATTACTCGCCGATGCTCTGACTATATCCCTCCATGTAATCCATCTGGCTGTGCTCGTAGTGGTATGGTTCTGCATATTCTTGTGCAGTTGTATTTATAATGCTATTGTTCGTAGTCTGTTTGTGGAACACAAATTTCATGTATTATTAATTTCATGAAGTCATTTCATCGTTGCTTGCAAATTTTGTTGCTTTCTTGTTATATCATTATCTTCTTAGTTTGTTGATTTGTCTGATAAAAAGGCTGATATTTTTTGGATTAAATCTTTCTTTTTAATGTGGTAGAGCCTTACAATTATTTTGGAAGAAGAGGGCGGAAAGAACCTGAAGCCCTTGCTGCTGCATCCTTGAAGCGCTTGTTTGTTGAGAATCAACCTTACCTGGTTGGTGGTTACAATCAACATCAATCATCAGGCAGTACACTACCTTCAAATGGAGTTGTGGGCTCTAGATTCTCTTCTAGCCTTCAAAGGATAAAAGACTCCCAGCTTGATGCTCCTAACAACATTCTTTCTATGGCTGAAAAATACAAATACATGCGGGAGACCTTCCGAAAGAGATTAGCTTTTGGTAAATGAATTCATTTCATGTAGTGATTCTTACAAGTATTGTTATGCAACTTCATGAAATATATTTCTTCCACATGGTATTTACTCCCAAAGTTGTATCATATAACTTTTTCGCACAAACTTCACTTAGTTATGCTAAAGAATAACAGGTAAGTTATTATTTGTTGTGGAGGTCATTGACAAACTTAATGTGTTAAAGTTGCTTTGACTTAAGATAGATACGAGTAAGTATTCAGGAGTAGGACTTAGCTTTTCTCTAAAATTTCATTGATTTTTGTGCTGTTTTTAAAGTAAAGATATCATAACTATGCTCAATTACCGTGTCTACTATTGATATCTTGGGGTGAAGCAAGAAAGTTGAAAAACTATTTTTTTTGCCATTATTTTTCCCCATTTAAGTTGTAGACGAGCATGTGTTGCACATTTGCCTGAAGAGACAAAAACATTGCACATTTGCATGCATATTTCAAGAAGATTATATGTTTGGCCTTCCTTTGCGTCCCTGTTATATCTTGCTATAGTTATTCAAATTTATATTTGCATTCAAATTTAGGATTTTTTGTGGTGATTTGATTTCCTCTGTCTGATTATTGAAACTATCTGTTGGTCTAGGCAAATCAGGAATTCATGGATTTGGCATCTTTGCAAAGCATCCTCATAGAGCAGGAGACATGGTAAATTTAAGTTGCATATGTAATATGATAGATCTTCTATTAAAAGTTCATTTGGTGTTGAGTGTTTATGAACATCGCGATATGCAGGTTATTGAATACACTGGTGAACTTGTTAGGCCACCTATAGCTGACAGGAGGGAACACTTCATATACAATTCGTTGGTGGTATGTTTTTCTCTCAGATGATATGATGGTGTGTTATTATGTATATTTTTATGGTGTAATTAAGTAAAGTTATTTCTGAATGCAGGGTGCTGGGACTTACATGTTTCGCATTGATGATGAGCGAGTCATTGATGCCACAAGGGCAGGAAGCATTGCTCATCTGATTAATCATTCATGCGAGGTCTGCTTCTTCTCTTCATGCTTTTCTCATCTGTTTGATAACTATAGAGAAGTTTTTTATTTTAGTTCATTTAATTTAGTAACTATTATTCCGTTTAACCTGTCAGTATTACTTGAATATGAATTTCTTGTTTACAATATGTTTTTGATATTCCCTTTTTTTCCTTTTCCTTCTTACTGAGGCTTAATTATATTGAATGTTAAAGGATTACTAATTTTACTTCCATTTTGGTGCAGCCCAATTGCTATTCAAGAGTTATAAGTGTAAATGGCGATGAACATATAATTATTTTTGCAAAGAGAGATATAAAAAGATGGGAAGAACTCACATATGATTATAGGTTCTCCTCATTATTCAAGTCTCTGTATGCAAATTCCTCTGTTTCTTGTTTTTTTTTTGATACTGATTCCTCTCCTTTCAGGTTTTTCTCAATTGATGAACAACTAGCATGCTATTGTGGCTTTCCACGATGCCGTGGTGTGGTCAATGATACTGAAGCAGAGGAGCAAGTGGCAAAGCTCCATGCCCCTCGCAGCGAATTGGTAGACTGGAAAGGAGAATAAAAGAGTAAGCATAATTTAACTGCTATTTTGTCCTTTTGTATCTTTTCTTGATTGTGGTGTTCAATATCTAAGTGAGCACAAGAAGATGTTTGACAGTTGCTTGTTTTCTGCTGTTACAAACTGATTTATCTTATGCAGAACCTAGATTAAGAAATGTTAGTGAAGTCCTGGTAAGGCACCTCGTGTCCCAACAAAGGAAAAGGGAAGGGATAAGAGAGGGAAAAAGATGTTTACTCGCGGATGTTTTTTAATTCCATAGATTGATCCTAGTGAGGTACCCTAAATTCTAACAATGGAAAAGGGAAGGAATTGGAGGTATGTTCCCCAAGTTTTTTTTAACACCAGAAATATAGCTGCTTTATATCTGGTGATAAACTTGGTCCTAAGCTGGAGCCTCAAAGTTTGTAATGAAATTTTTGATAACATGAGCTACTTGGACTAGTTGCAGCTTTAATTAGAGGATGCACTATGTGGTATAACTGAAAGCGAAATCGCACTGGCAAAATTCAGTTGTTTTTTGCAGTGAGGTATTTTGTTTCTTGTTTCGTTAGCATTCGTAAAAACATTGGCATTCGGGATTTAGCTTTTTTGCTCAAATACGGCATGTACGACTATTTTTATTAATTAATAATTTGAGTTGTTTTTTAAATTAATTATATATAAGTTATAAATCATAATTTTTATTAGCAACTGAACTAATTGAGTATTTCAATTGAAATATGTTAGAGGCTAAGTTTCAATGTCGCAAAAAAAATTCCTTCACTACAAAAAATTGGTTCTGCTACTAATTGCTTGTCCGATAGCTTAGGATAAAAAGAATCCAAAAACCTAGTTTGACTCCATTAGTGATATTATGGGAAAATTCACTAAGTACGCTTGGGATCTATCTAGTATTGTGGTTAGAGTTGCTTTCCTAAGTTATATTTTCTAACGCCCTGTGGCAGATAAACGGACTGCCATAGCTGGTTTGATGCTGAAGGGCTGATTTTGGCACTAACCATAGATGAGAAGCTTAGTTGGGAGATTGACTAGGCTTTTTGTTACTGTTGAGTTTTCTTTGACGTTTCGTTGAGCTAGGTGTGTGCATTATTATTTATTTTGGGAGAAGGATTGTTTTCGAAATTTCTATCTTTGCAATTGTTCTTTTTCTTTTTTGTCTAAATTTTCTGAAGCATAATAGTGGTTAAAGTTAACTATCAGAGGACTAGTTTGAAGCCAGTGGAAGTTGGGAAGGGTTTAGGGAAGGCTTAAGAGTCTATAGGTAGGGATGTTACTGAAGATCCTAGATGATTACAGATTAGATTACTTTATTCTTTATTTTGGAGGGGTTTCTCCTTGACAGGAATGTAGTGGAGGAAAATAGTCAGATATGGAATATCAGATTGAAACTGGTGGTAATAGCTTTTTATGGGAAGAGTCCTCTAAAGATCTTGAGATATGTTAGCTGGGATAATTGGTTGATTGATGATGAGTTGTGTGCCTTTTTGTGGGTTTTATTTTGAAGAGGTGCTTATGCTCTATCCTCGTTGCTAATGGAATTGAAATGATTTCTGGATCCCTTCAATTGGCTGCGGAATGCAAGTTTATAGGATGTTGCTTTTTTTGGGATTCTATGGCTTTGTTAATGTCCAACTAATTTGGGATTGCAGTTTAGTTGAGTTGAGTGAAACTTTAGTTAATAACAATACTAAAAATATTTGTGGAAGCTATTGTTACTTAGTTTGAAAATCTGCTCGGAAACAAGCAATGCAACTAAAAAAATTAGTCTTCTAATCATATCAACAAACAAAATTGGTGAAAACTGGAAGATTGAGTCAATTGGATTCCCAAGAGGGAATGCATTTCATTAAGGAATTCTTTAATCGCTGGTGATTGGCATTCCGCATGTATGGGTGCTTTCATCTGCAGTACCATGACTTCAATGTTTGCCTTCTAGCTCATCCCATTGATACTATTTTTATCCATTCTACATTCAGAGTTTGCTTCCACTTCTCAGATGTAGTTTGTTGTTCATCCAATCCAAAGTTATTCTCTTCCATTTTCCTTGTTTACATTGTTGAACCTCTTCATCTTTGTTTATTGTATTTTTTTCACAGGGGTCTCCTGCACGTTGTACTGATAATTCTTCCGATTTTCCTTGGTGCAGAAATCTTAGAGACAGATTGTTCCCTCTCCACAATTTTGTCATCATAGCATGCCATTTTGTCAAGACTGACGGGTTGTGGAGCTCTTGTTTATGTCTTCCCATCTTTGCCATTTTCTGATCTCATTGCCTTGCTTCCACATAATGGTTCAGCTTCTTTTCTTCCAGCTGGTTCCTTCCCTTGCTCTGAGCATATTAACTTTAGAAAAAGCAAATGAAAGTGACGTACTAATTTTAACCTCTTACTAATTCATATAACACTTCATTTTACTTGTAGCTAAATTTGTTACCCTGATATTTATTTATAAACCCTTTGTAAAAGCCTTTACAATTTTACAAATGAAAAGTTGTCTTGTCCATTTTCTTTTTCTGCAATGATCTCTTGAAAAACTAAAATGATCTCCTTATTTTTGAACCTTTTTATTCAATATTTGCTTGCCATTTTTTGCATTGGTTCATTGTAAAAATTAAAGTTTTCAATACATCAAGAACTCAAAATTGAACAAGATATCTTATTTGATTCACTTACTAAATGAATATATATATATATATATACACATTTTGTCAATTTGAGATTGTTTGAAAAAATTGAATCGAAACCTAAAGATTGAGGGTAGAATTGATAAAGATAAAAAGATTGTCTAAATTGATAATTCTTATGAACGCCATAGCTTTTTTGGTCATTGGGCCTAAAATTTAGGTTATATTTCAAAAATCCGTTAACATTCAGTGTAATATACGCTTGAATTCTCACTTTCAAAAGTGAAATAATGGTCCTTGAATATTTAAAAAAGTACAGGATAGGTTTAATTTGTCCACCGTTCCTCAAACTTATTACTAATACACATTGACATACCTAAACTTTAGTGTTGCATAAAATACATTGGAATTCGTTTAACATGATGCTAAAATCACTTTAGTACATTCTTGGTTAGTCTCTGTTCGAAGATAGACATGGGTTAAATACTTTCTACTCTCGTAGATACTAGAAGTTTACTCTTTGTTCTACTTTTGAACGTAACAGGTAACATATGTTATCACTTGATGTTTGCATTTCCTCAACTAAATAATATAAAACTACACCAAACTAAAACCATATATATATTTTTTTCTTTTAGCGATTTGTTCAGTATTATTAATTGTTAGTTTACATGTTGAGATGGCGGTGATATCGTTATAATGACAACATTGATGGATCATTTTATCAAAATACAAAAAGAAAAGAGAGAGAGAGAAGAAAGAAACATGAAGCTGAATGCCCTTCTGGGCAACAACTTTTAACATATCTTTTAGTTTTTTGACTAGGTCTAGACACCATCTTTTTTATTTATAGTATTCAGTAACATTGCGTTTACAATGATGTTTAGAGTTTGAGGGAGTAAATTATAAAACGTTATTCTCTTTGTTTGATGAAATGCTAGTAAAACAGCTGACAACTACTACTATTAAGACAATTGATAACTACTATGATAACTGACAACTATTAAAACAGTTAGATGTTGCCGAATATGGCTAAAAACACTATTATAATACTTGCAAATTGCAATTGTTGAGATGGTGCTTGATCGTATTGGTAGATCGTTTAACAGTAGTGCTTGAAGTAGTAGACTTGCCATTAAAACTTATATAAAGAGGGAAGAAAAAGATGGAGATGTTATGGCAATTGATCCACGCTCTTGCTTTCATTGTGTTGTTGAGGGCTAATAAGGATGTACTATGAAAGGAGATGATGGGTTACATTAAGAAAGTTGATGATTGGTTAAACTAAGAAAGTAATAAGTGAAGTGTTAGAGGGTTGTGGTGGTGGAATGTGGAGGTACAAATGGCTATCAAAGCAAAACCAGATTGGTACAAGAAGTCACCAAAAGCAAAAGATGGAGAGGTCTTTGAAGAATATGAGGAAGTAAAGATAAAAGCTAAGAAAATTATCAACAAAGCATAAGGTAATTTGTTGACTTGTACCAAAAGTTGAGGATGAGGGAGTGGGAAAAGGAAATGCATGAACTAGCACGATTAAGAGAGAAAAAGGATAAGGATTAGGGATGTCAAAACTGGTCACGTTGTCGAAACGAACATAACACGTATAACCATTTAAGGGTTATATAAGGGTTAGAAAACACAATACAACCTACATATCCTGTATATGATATTCATATATTTAACTCAAGCATGCTTAAAATACAATTAATGAACAAAATGCATATATTCTTCAAGTGTATTAAATGTGTTCTGTGAGTTAACACGTGACACTACTCATTTAAACTTGTATTTTATACGAGTCATCTGTTTATGATATGAATTCGTTTAATTTTCGTCTTAGGTGAATCTTGTTCCCGTGTTGTAACCCATTTTTATGCGCTCAGTAACCCTTTATCTAAGTGTATTAAAGATGATTCACAACATGTTTTGATAGGAGATGAGGAGATAGATGAGAGATGAAGATGCTATTTTGACTAGTTGTTCAACACGAACCACACGGATGACTTTGTAGACCTTCATACCTCCGAGATGGAAAGAAACCTTAATTAAACCTATAAGATTTGGCCTATTAAAGTCAAGGCCATGAAAAATATAAAGTTTGAAAAAGCATATGGCTCAAATGATATACCTATAGAGGCCTAGAAGAGTCTTGTTGAAGTTGGACTAGATTGGTTAACAAAGCTATTCAATGTTATATTAAGAGGTGGAAAGATGCCAAATGAGCAGCGACAGAGCACTTTGGTTCCTACATATAGGAACAAAGGGGATATTCAAAATAGTACAATTATCATTGTATTAAACTTACGAGTCATATGATAAAACTTTGGGAACAAGTGATAGAGCATAGACTTAGGGAGATTACAAAGTTATTGGAGAACTAATTTGGCTGTACACTTGTTAGATCTACATGGATGTTATATTTTGCTAAAAAGATCATATAAATGCCATAAGGATATCTATGAAAGGGTAGCTACAAGTGTGAGAACAATGGGATGGGATGAGAGGCAAAACTAGGAAAAACTTTAAGGGGGTGAAATGAAATCTTTTAGAATTTTAGGGTGCAAAATATAATTTTTTTATACTTTTAGGGATCAAATTGTAATTTTTTAGTATGGAATTTTTTTTTAAAACCCTTGGAGCTCCACCAAGTTCCACCCCTTGGATGGGTTGCAAAGGAGTGAGAGTTTAACCCTATAGGAAGAATAGAGGTGATGTGAGAGTAGATGTATTTTCGTATGTAAGTGCAACCAATTCAAATATTTAGGTTTTGTATTTGAGGATGGCTGATACATAATGCATAGAATTAAAATAGGATGAATGAAATGGAGGAGTACCATAGAGGTGCTATATGACAAGAAATGGAGGAGTACCATAGGAGTACCATGGAGGACTACATGGAGGAAAATCGTCTGAAAAGACCTATTACTTCTAGTGTAGACTAGAGTAAATAACTATCTAGTCTCTCATATTTGGTCATTAATCATAATGTCATCCTTCTTGTTTGATAATACATTGTTTAGTTATTGAGGTTTAGCTCTGTAAATTATTGAATCCTCCGTCTAAAAAATGTTAATTTTTTGCCATTAAGTGACTAAATATCAATTCAATAGTAATGTGAAGAACTAAATAATTTGACGGAGTTAAGTTTCATGTTCTAAACAATGTACTTGTTAACAAGAAGACACTGAAAAATTAAATGGTTATTTACAGTTATATCTTTTGATTGTTTGCTCTTTATAATTGAGGAGACAATTGAAGCTCATATAGTTGAATTCTCAATTTCTATTGATATGCATAAAATTGGCACAATATGCTGCGAGTATTCATGTAACTTCAAAATAAAGAATTCGAGAGCTTGATAACTAATTTCATTCCCATGAAGCAGTTTCTATTTGACTTCACTTTGCTCCATGTTGATATTGTCTTTAACAATCCAGCTGATCTTATGTTGTACTGAAATTTGATTCTTGATGCATTAACCATCTTATGGCAGATAAATATACGTTCTATGATTGCAGAATCAGATGCTTTGCAACGAATTGATTGGTAGGTGATTTCATATTCACAATCATGTCAAGTACTTCGCTGTTTACTCTCTCTCTCTCTCTCTCTCTATATATATATATATATATATATACATACATACATGTATATGAAAATTCAATTTAATGTGCCTAATGTTCATTACTGTTGCATTTGCAGATCATTCCTTTTCGACTCAACCAACAAATTGTTTCTTGATTTCAATGCTTGATTGGCTTTAGTAATTCAATTCCTGCAGAATTGGAGAAACAGTGTGCAGGTCTCATCTACTTACCTCGTCTAATTTAGTTAGTAGTTAGTAAAATAAACTACAAACTTGCAGGAAATGAACATTCAAAACTCAGAACTAATTTTTGTATGCATGTATTGATATTTGAAATTCTGAAAGAAAATGTAAAAAGCCAATTGGCTCGAGTAGTACAGATCATGTAAATTTTGAGGCTAAATTTGAAACTAATATTTGTTGTTTGCAATTCACTTGTCGTATATACGCAATTTATTAATTAACTGTTCGAGTATTTTTTTTTTAATATATAAAAATTAAAGATTTTTATTGGTAATTTTATTTATTTATTTATTTATTTTGCCCTTTTGTAATTGTAAAAACTGTATCGAACTGCATCAGGTGGCTGAGTTATAGTAATAAGATGAATGTTGGCTTCCTTGTAGGCTGCGTTTGGTCAACTAGATGTTTGATTATATTATACTATTATATTTTGATTTAAAATATTTATTATTTATTCATTTTGTTTAATTTTATGAACATATTGATCTAAAATTATATTAATTTGTTTTTGTTGTTTGCCTAAATTATTCTTCCAATCTATTAAAAATAATAATAAATGACTGTTGGATATTTAAAATTCATTATTATTATTATTATTTAAAAGGCAAATACTAAAAGAAAATACAGGATACGGCCCAAAAAAAAAATTCCATTAGGCGAATAAAATTCCACGTGTCGGTGATTGACGGTGTCTCAAGGGGAATATACTGAGTTGGGTTCCACCCAACCTGTTTCCTCCTTGCAGTCGCTTTGAATCAAAGTTACTAATCTACGAAACATCTGTCCTAGTTTCTACCCTTCGAAGATGCTCCACTACCCTACCACAAATTATTTTTATTTTAGCAACAAAAATAATTAACTAATAATATCTTGTTTATTTTCTATATTTTTTTATGTTCGAAATTAACTAATAAAAAATATTTTTCTGATAAAAAATAAAACTAAATCATTATATAACCAAATAAATTTTCACTTTTTAAGAGAAAATCTTAGATATTATTTTAAATTATCGACGTCTCTTTATTTCATATAAAAAGAGTATAATAATTGAAGAACTCCATTAATATAGTTAAATTTGGTGATTAGGTTTTCTTTCTCTCCTTTTTCCTAAAAAAAAAAAAAAATTAAATTTGTTTTCAAATTAATACTGAAACGAAAAGCATTTTAAGTTGCCTAAAAAAACTAATCTAATCCCTTATTTTTCTCAACAAACCTTAGTTTAATAATTACGGTGAGGGTTATTCACAGTTGGTATCAAAATTAATTTTTTTTTCCTGAAATATTATTTTTAATGTTTCTGAAATTCTCTCCAGTAGAATCCAACCTCGATCAATAAAAAAAAAATGTTGCCATTTCACAAACTAATTAAGATTAATTATGTAAAATCAATGAAGCCTCTTATATTAGCACACACTCAAGAACAGAAGAAGCCTCTTACTTTATTTTTGTACATGTGTTATACCTATTTCATTTATAAAAAGAAAAAGAAAAAAAAAAAGCACAAACAAAAAGAATCCAATCTAAAGTAAAATTGCTAACAACAACTCATCTTACAATCAAAGTGTTCGAAAAAAGAAAATCAAAGCAAAACACATAAATAAGATCTAAAACATGTACTTGTTTCTATGAAATAGCAGTTGAATCGATGGAAGTCGATTGTATTCTAAATATAAATTTTATCTATGAGATTAATAGTTCGAGAATTTTACTTGAATATTATCTCATGCCGAGATTAATAGTTCGAAAAAGTATTTAATTATAGAGATAATCAAAGTCCTGTGCTCCCAATAGCTTTAGTGAGGCCAAAAGTTATTCCCATAGCCAACCATCCTCCAATCAAAACCCTAAAACAAGATCTAATCACATTTGCATGCCCCAATACTGCACCAAGCCATCCAAACCCTACCAATGCAAGGCTTGCTATACCTATCACCACCCCAATCCTAACAACATAATCCACCACAAAAGCCGCCCCGAGCAGCGGTATCACCGCCCCTACGGCAAAAGCAAAGGCTGAAGCCGCGGCGGCTTGTAATGGACTTGGCAAATCTTGTTTCTTTGCTTCAATATCACAAGTCTGCATATTTCCTGATTTGATCTCTCTTTTTAGTTGAGCCAATTCGGTGTCGTATTGTGAGTAAACAGAAACAAATTCTCCGAGAGCCATACTACATGCACCGGCAACTAAGCCGGCGATGCCGGTAAGGACCATGGTTTTAGGGTCTTTACGTACAGCTCCTACACCCATCATTAATGAAGATGTAGAAAGCAGACCATCATTTGCACCGAGCACTGCGGCTCGTAGCCACTGTGCCCTTTTGGAGTAGTCGACGACCACCTCCATTTCCTCTGATTCTGTTGTTGTTTGGTTCTCAACATCATTTTCTTTAAAAGGTTTTGTAGTTTGGTTATAAAGATTGGTCAATTCTTTAGGATCTTGCGTCGTTTGGTTATCAAGATCTTTAGTTTCTTTAAAAGAGGAGAGATGGTTAAGTTCTTGAAGGGCTGCCATAAGGAAATGAAAGATAAAAGAAAGAAGCAGAGAACTATGAGGTTTTGGATATAGAAGAGTGTGGAGGGCACACGCCCACAGAGGTTGATATTTATAATGGGAATAAATTAGCTGAGCTGTAAAATAATAAAAAATAATTAATAAAAAAAAAAGAAAATAGGTAGTTGATGTGTGGAGGATAGCGAAAGGAAGAGGCAGATCAGATCTACTTGGGAAAATAATAATCTGTTGTGTTGGATAACTATTTTACTCAAGTGGGATTTGATTGGAAAAAGGAGATAAAAAAAACACAGAATAAAGAAAACGTTCAAAGAGGAATCTAATGCTTTCACACTTATATCATACAGTGGAATTTTGCTATAGGGCAGCTAATCCTCCAATTTTTTTGATTGATTAGAAAATTCAGATAAAAATAACTACATAATAAAATAATCTCCATCGACTCACATGGGTGAAAATATATATAGTCGAAAGGACTCGAATTCCAAACATCTTATTCTTTACATTAACGAGAGAATTTTGCTAGGAACAACTGATCCTTTTACTTTAATAGTCATTGCTATATTCCTCCACGGTAACAAATCATGGATTTTACTATGTGAATATATATATATCCTTTTACTAGTATCTGCCTATATTCCTCCACGGTACAAATCAATGCGATTTTACTATGCTGAATATATATATATATTATATATATTATATATATACTCTTTAGTTTGTTTCCATTAATTTTAGGGTTTTAAAAAGAAGTGCAGAGGGGTTCAACATTCTTCTAATGATAATGATCTTTCTACTGATAATTTAATCTTTCTCTCTCTGGAGCTAATTTGAAAATTAAAGATTTGTTCAGAGCAACGCAAAACCGTGCTCGTAGAGGCGCTAATTTGAAAATTAAAGATTTCTCAGAGCCAATGCAATTCCGCATGGTTCATGGAGGGTTCTACTCATGAGCAATTGCACGGGATGGAACACGTTTTGATGGAGAAATTAAAAAAGTTTGCATGAGTTGCTTTTCGTTGCAAGAACCCGGTGTGAGATTCTCTTTTTCATTGTGGATAGTATTTGTTAGTGATTTTCATATGTGTCATTGAATCAGATATACTCTTTAGTTTGTTTCCATTATTTTAGGGTTTTAAAAAAGAAGTGAGAGGGTTCAACATTCTTCTAATGATAATGATCTTCTACTGATAATAATCTTCTCTCTTGGAGCTAATTTGAAAATTAAAGATTGTTCAGAGCAACGCAAACCGTGCTCGTAGAGGGCTAATTTGAAAATTAAAGATTTCTCAGAGCAATGCAATCCGTGTTCATGGAGGGTTGCTACTCATGAGCAATGCACGGATGGAACACGTTTGATGGAGAATTTGCATGAGTGCTTTCGTGCAAGAACGGTGTGAGATTCTCTTCATGTGGATAGTATTTGTAGTGATTTTCATATGTTGTCATTGAAGCAGTATGGAAACTCCTCGCTATTTGTGTATTTTGAAAACATTTCTCTCCAGTTTTCCATATAAAATATTATCTTTTTGTATAAAAATTATATTTTAAATATCATTTCTCTGTATCGTTTTCATGTTTCTTTATTTCCGTTTCCCTGGAATATAAATAAAAGATTACATCAAGTGAAGCAGCCTTCGAGTGTCCTGTGTATGAGGTTTCAATCGGATTAATTAGGAGTGTTTTTAATTTATTAATGTTTAATATTTTTAATTTGTTATTCCCCTCGTAGAATTTTCATTCGTGGCTTTTTTATATTTTTACTTTTTAAGTTTGCTATAAATGTTGATAAATTTCCCAAATATTTATTTTATTCAAGCGACAATTAAACATTAAAAAGTTGGGATGAGGCCCATTGGTTATTTTATATTTAATTTTTTTAAAGCAAAAGAGATAATTATAATTGTCCCACTTTCTTTTTCTTTTCTTTTTTTTTTTTGTAAAGATCCCAATTTTATATTTTTAGTAAAATATATATAGGCAAAAAAAAAAAATTGACATAATATACCACCAATAATATATTTACACCTGTGCAAATAATTTAAGATGAAAGAAACTCATTAATAATAATAATTTCAAACTAACTCTAACTCCAATTTCCTGTGGACCTAAATTTTGCTACCATGTTTGTTAAAGTTATCAATGGGACATATTCTCTATTATTTTGAAATTTCATATTGCTCGTATGGCCATATACACACATTGCGCACTAAGTCATGACTAGTGATAAGTATATGTACAGACTGATAATAAATTTAATAATAAATTTAGATTCAAATTCAGTTTAAATTGAACCAAACCAATACTAAACAATGTAAATCAAAGTTTTTGGATGACAAATTGAATCAATTTGAACCAGACTAGTCAGCTTGACTGGTTTGGTCTATTTTTACCATGTTAATTCAATTTTAAGCCCAAATTAAATGATAAATTTGATTCAAACTGATTAATTCGACAAATCGAACATTTACTTAAATAACTGCCTGAATCGAATTGAAATAAGTCAGTTTGATTTTCGATTCAGTTGGGCGCTAGTTTTACTCGCCCTTATATATAAGTATGCAGTTCAAACTTTTCAATTTTTATTGTGTTTTATAGTATCTATCATGCTGATCAAATTGTAAAGTAGAACATCCTCTTTACCTTGAGGTACTCCATTTGCTTCAAAATCCTTAGTATTTTCTGCATGCTGCTGCTGCTCCTGTTTTCTGCTCAACTTTTTATGTGGTTTTGAAATTCTGATTATAGATTGCTTAAGCTTACTTCTGTATTGTTATTTTGTGTATTATCGGTATTGTGATTTGTGTATTATTAGTCAGAAATACCTTTATTTGAATCAAAATACTGTATATAATCAGTTTGATATACAAGTGAGTCCATACACCGGATATAGATAAATCTTTTATATATATATTTTAAGTATTGAAAAATGAAGGATTTAAATCTGAATTTATTATTGCGTCCTAATGCACATATTACTAGTTTATGGAGGTAAGTCTTATATATTAAATTCCATTCTAGGGGAGTGGGAAATTAGCTGCTCAAGAAAATGAAAGTTATGCAAAATGGTACAGAAAGCATGAGAAAATAATTCTCATACTGGGCTTCGGGCAACTTTTCATGTAGTTCATGGATATTATGCTTTTATCCCCTGGCCTGGCCCGGCCCGGCCCATGAACATTATCGAACCCATTCATCTTTTGATCCACTAGTTGGCTGGAGTAGAATTTATCGCGTGTTTACAAAACTATAAATATCTATGGGCGAGTATCTCAGCCATCCAATTGAATCAGTATAAACCAAATAAATCAAATTACTATTTAAAAAAAGCCGACTCGACCAATTATTTTATTGCAAATCGAATTGATTGAACCAAATTTCAATTAATAATTCATTTATACAAAAAAAAAAAAGTATATTAACATCCAATATTAAAAATTAAATCATAAAATTAGTCAAACAATTCGATTCGTGAAAAAAAAAAATATTTTAGATGAATAGTCACGAAATCTAAAATGAAATGAATCAAAACGTAAAAATTAAATATTTTTGTAATAATATCCTTACAGATAGTTTTAGAACATGATGATGTTTGTTTTATTTTTATATGGCAATTTCTATAAAACAGTATAATATAGTCATAGCCAGCTTTGAACATGAAGTAGTTGTAATGTTGCTTTTCTCTTTTTTGGATTCCTCTTTTTGAGAGGATATGATTTTAGAAGCTCATTATCTCTATGATTCCTAAGAAATTGGTGGGATTAGTTGATAATCCAACATTAAAGTCAACGGTTAACTTTTGTTTTATTATTATTTTTTTTCTAATAATCTATCATTACATCATGAAAATTTGTTTACATATAATTAGTGGAACATATTTAGAAGCAAAGTCCACTTAAAATTTGCTTATAGTGGAATTGGTCATGTTCCTCTTTGTAGGTCCACTAGCATGCATGGAGATATCTAGGAACCTCTTCTCTTTGGAAAGGATAATATTTTCAGAAATAAAAATAAAGTCTTAAAAAAAGCAAAATACATAATAATAATAATATTATTATTATTATTTTCTTCTCCCCTCTTTGGTTTGCGTCTCGCAACAGAGGGTTAATGTCTCTCCTTCTTCGATCGAACTTCGGTTATTGTTTAATGAGAATAAGGTGGTAAATATTTCTCTAATTACGATAAGCCTATTTTTAGTTACCGTTTGATCAATGGAGTTCTATTTTTACGAATTAAGAAATTCAAAATTTATTATTTTTGAATTTTCTTGTTGCGTTTTGTAATTCTAGCCAATGATGCTTGTCGAGATAAGTTCGAATTCATAGTTTTATATGAATTAAACTTGATTCTAGGTTGATTTAAAGATTTAGTGGAAGGATTTTGAGAATTAAAATTTCAGTTTAGGTTTGGCGAATTTGAGATTTTTGCTTAAATCAATAAAAATTATAGAAATTGATAGTATGATTGAGGTCCTCATGAGATTTTGATCATTTTGATGTATAGTGGGTAAGTTTATGGTTAGGTTTGATTTTCCGGTTATCATATACGATGACCGTTGCTGGTCCATCAACTTTCTCGATCAGTTCAAATTTTAAACCTGCACCATGACATTACCAACAATAAAAATGCATTTAAATCTCAATCATGACTAGGAATGGAAGCGAGCGGATACTTGTGATTTGGAACTACTTACACTATATTTTTTTAAAATTTTACAATTCATATCTGTTCTAAAACCGTTTAAATATCATTTTAAGTACTCGTATCTGAACCCATTTAAAATTTTGCTACCGTTTATGTGACAATCATATTTAAAGTACCCTTTAAATGGATAGGGTATCTATATATTTTAAACTATTCAAATCCAAATTTATTTAAATTGCATTTTTACTAATAAATGGGTAAAGTATTCGTAGGTATCCATTATCAAAACTTATTTATTATAGCAGATAGCAAGCAGAGGGTACTCAAAGTCTTATGCTCGTATCATATTTGTATTTGTTACGAGTAGTAATTTTATTACTAGTATCCGTTCTAAATTCATTTATAATTATTCATATCCTCATTAAACGGATCAAATCGGAGTGAGTATCCCAAAATATCTGTCTACTTCCAACCCTAATCATGGCATCACTAGCAATAAGAATGCTTTAAAGTATTTAAAGGCATTATAAACTTTTCATCTTATTTATGTTTTTACAATGTCGAATATAAGTTATACTAAAAAAATTTTTCTTCTCACTTATTTTCAATTTACTTGGTCTTTTCGTTAATGTAAAAACTGAGAGAGAGAGATTTCGATTTTCGCCTTAAGAGTTTTTACCACTATAGTAAATTAAGGAGGGACTATCCTATTTTCAATCAATTTAAAAAAAAAAATTAAATTTTGAGTTTGATTATATGCATTTAAGAAAAAAGAAAAAAGAAAAAAGAAAAAAGAAAAAGCAAAACAGAGGTGGAGGAGTCAATTTAAAGTAGGAAGGAAAGAAGAGAGAAGCCCCATGCCCCATGTTTTACTCTGATATTCCCAAAGCCGATCTTCTTCTATCAGAATCTTGTTGACCCTTTCTCTCTGAAACCTTTAACTTTCTCTTCCATAATAATTAAACCTCAACCCTAGATATTCAATCACCCTACCCAACCACCAAAGTTGCTCTCCAACTGAGCACCTCATTTGTGGCGTCAACCATGGCGGCTCCGGCACCGACCTGGCCGTGGACTTTCTCAGCTTCTCTAACTGTAACCCTAGTTTTAACCTTAGTTTCCGTAGTTTATGGCAACTCCGAAGGAGACGCTTTGTACACCTTGAGAAGGAGCTTGTCGGATCCGGATAATGTTCTCCAGAGCTGGGATCCCACCCTCGTCAATCCGTGCACTTGGTTCCACATCACCTGTAACCAGGATAATCGCGTGACCCGAGTGTATTTAAACTCCTCCCTCTCCCTATTTCTCGCCATGCACGCTTCCCAAAACTTGATTTGGATCTATTTAGAGCTGATTTTTTTTTTCCTTTTTTACTTCTTAAATTTGATAGAATGGGTTTATATTATTTCTTTCCTTTTTAATGAGCGAGTCGTTTTGTTCATTTTCGAAGTGTCTCATGCAATTGCGGTTGGTATAGAACTTAATTTTGAATTTTTTTCTTGTGGGGTTGATTGTGTTTGTGAAATCAACGTAGCTTAGCCGTTCATTCATATTTTGAGAACTAGATGACCTCAATTAGACTTTAAATTATGGAATTTGATACTTTGGTTTTCATTTGCTGCTGCTGGGGATATTAATAGGATCACCTGTTTCTATTTCCTGTTAATTTTTTTTCCTCAAAAATTTTAGGACGAAGGGAACCAAAAAGCAAGTTTCAGTTCTAGGTTCAAATTTGTAATATAACAGTTCTAGAAACGACACTAATACTACTAAGCTGAAATACCAATTATGCCAATTAAACTATTTACGTGTTTGAATTGTGTACTTCCAACCAAAACCTTATACCTTGATTTTGTTCTCAGAGAACTTAAGTGGGATTTATTTGTTATGGGGGACTTATTTACTGTGTTCTGGTAGATATTATAGTTTCTTTTTCTTTTAAGTTTTGTTTAGATATTGTAGTTCTGGTAGATTCTTTTTATGTATAACGTAAAAACAAATTTGGGAAATATGCTTACATTATGTTAAGAGATTGAAGAAATGCTTCTAGTTCCTCTAGAGTGTATAACTTTTTCCACAAATATATGCTGGAAAATGATATAATTGTTGGAACTGGGAACTGTGATCATTGTTGTTCGTGCAACCTATCAAAATTTATTTGTATTGTGCATAGTTTAGCAGATGGAGTTGTTGCTGGTTCTTGCTATGATGGATTGCCTATCATTTTTTTTTTTTTGTTTGAAATCCTGATCAGCAATGACTTTCTGGTCTTTTAATGCATTAGTGCATTGTTATTATGAAGCAATAGGAAGCATCATGCATTCTGATTTTACTGGGTAAAGTTGCAGGCAAAAGATACTTCTTCATATGATGCTATGACTAATTAGAGGAAGATCTTGCTTTTCCTTGCTGCAGTGTGTCGTCTATCACAATTTCTAATTATAGTCCTTGCGCTTTGATTTGTGACATTTGATTTTTTTTTTTTTTTTTTTATTTGATCTTTGCTGGGCTGGGTTATGATCACCTGACTCTCTGGAAGTTTGATATGTAATTTTTAATTTTATCTTATGCCTATTATAGCATTCAAAATTATCTCCTTTTTTTTCTTTTGTTAAGATCATTCGTGTTATGTGGATTGTGTTCTCATTTCTCAATCTTATATTTTGTACAGTGACTTGGGGAACTCAAACTTATCTGGACATCTAGTTCCCGAGCTTGGAAAGCTAGAGCACCTGCAATACCTGTATGTTTCTCCAGTTTGTTGTCTACCGATAGTATATGTCATTGGCAAGATTTTTATTTGCTTGTTTTTTCTTATCCAAAACTTATGACTTATTTAGGCTTATCTGTAGGTGCGATTTAGTTAGTATTGTAGATTCAGTTGCTTCTGAAATTTAGGCGTTGTATATTAACTTAGGGTCTCTTGGATTGTTCATGTTGCAGGGAACTCTATAAAAACAATATTCAAGGAAGCATACCTAATGAGCTTGGTAACTTGAAGAGCCTCATCAGCTTGGATTTGTACAACAACAACATCTCAGGGACCATTCCTCCTTCACTGGGGAAATTGAAGTCCCTTGTCTTTTTGTGAGTTTATGCAACTCTGATTAATTCATCATTAGAGTAGAGCAAGCCTTTGGTTTCTTTATTTTTCTCCTTTTGGTATTGGAGTGTTGCATTTATTTTACAAATTCATTGGCTCATTTTGAGAATAAAAATTATTTGAAATAGCTTACTCATTCAAGTTTGGCAATTTTTGTGCCGAATAACCTGTTTTCTTGTATCATTGATTAACTATGTGTCTTTCCAATATAGTTGGTTCTCACTTGGATTTTGATCAGAAATTGTTACTATAAAATTATTTGAAAAAATGTCTGATTAAAATGGCACCCTTCTGATAATTAGTTTATGTCATATTGCAAAATCAGTCTTCTCCATCTCCTCTGATTCATCTTTCTATTGGCAGGCGTCTTAATGATAACCGATTAACTGGACCAATTCCTAGGGAACTTGTTGGTATTTCAAGCCTTAAAGTTGTGTAAGTATTTCCTTCAGCATCCTCTTTACACACGCGCGCGCGCGCACACACACATTGCTTATTCATTTATGGAACTATGTCGAGTATAAGTGTTTCATCTTTCAACTAAGGTCAAGTTTTTCCACTTTTCCAGTGATGTGTCAAACAATGATTTATGTGGAACAATTCCTACCAGTGGTCCATTTGAACGTATCCCTTTGAACAAGTAGGTTTTTCTTTTATTTGCTCCTCTAGAATTGTAGATGTTATTTTTATGGTTTTTTGTATGCATGCGTTCATAAACAAATGTTCATGAATGTTACTTTTTATATGCTTACTATGAAAGTATCAGGTAGTGAATGGTAGTCCTTTTGAAGCAAAATCCTTTCCTAATTTATGGTGGCCCAGTTGTGAGGCTAAACTTGGGCTTTGTTGAATTGAGTGTTAATTTAAGTCAGTCCAGTCCAAGCGGAACCTGTGCTTTGATAGTCTCTCTGCCAGTTTTAAAGATTCTTTGATGGAATTACCAAAAAGAGAAGAAAACACCTTGATGGAGGTCCTTCCATCTCTTTTTTCCTTTTTTTGGGTGGTGAATAGTTTTAGTGGTTCTCCCCTTTTTTTGTGATGTTCAATTAGTAATGCAAAGTGCCAAGGCCCTGAAAAATCTGACAGTGCTTAAAAGAGTGAAAAATACTGGTAACGGTTGCAAGATCCAGCTCAAAAATTTTGAAGTCTGGTTTGTTACTGTCTAGTATTAGTAGGACGAAAACTTATAATGTATTATAAAGGGGATCTGCAAGTGGCTGTGCTTTAGGCATGAGAGCATTAATCTGCCGTTTTGGATCTTGCAGCTGATATTTTAGGCTTGTTTAGTGGGTCTGGTTAGTGGCTTAGTTTATGGGGTGTCAAGTATTCCAAATTTGCTTTGTTTAATTGCAGAATACAATAATTATGCATGTTTCTCAGCCTCTAACTTAGGGAAGACCATTCAAATTTCATGGTGTGATAACATATCTTGAAAGAAAGGAAAGAATGAGGTATTTTAACTCCTTGTATTCTGTCATTCTGTAGTCTCCTGGATGAGATGATGCCCAAGATCCCTAATGTGCTGGAAAATTTTAAGATCTTCCACAATGATAATAGATTTATCTCTACAATCAAATCTGGGTTTTATCTGCTTGCTCTGTATTATATTGTGGACCAGGACCACAGCTGGCAGTGCCATCTGTAGTTAAAGCTTCATCACTCCAAATTTTCAATGCAATGGATTGCCAGTTGAGGATGCAGGAAAAATTTGATTCCAGCATGGCCATTATTTTGATTTTGTCTGTCCTTGTTTGCAATGTCTGATGTTACTCTCATTGAAACTCCTGTCTGCATCCCCTTCTTTTCTTGCTCCTGGCAGCCTTGAACTTTGCTTGGAACTTTCAGATTATATCAATCAATCAACACTGACAAAACTTTAACTTAATCAGCTCCTATCTATCTATACAAGCAACTTCTACATATTGAATATGAACAACCAGGCTCTTAGATATTCTAACCTTCAATTTCAAATCAAGTGTTAAAGTGTTGGCAAATTTTTGACTATTTTCTAGTGACAGATATTGATATCAACTGTCTGAGATTTTAGTTGTACTGTGATAAACATAGCTGGTATTAAGGAAGGAATTCTGTTGTTGATGGTTTTTCGGTTAACCACACTAAGTTTCCTCTTTGCAGACCCAAGTTTTGTCAAAATTTCTGTTAGTAGTCTTAAAATATTAGTTCAGTGCTGTATCATCCGTGCAATATAATTGGCTTTGCAATGTTGAGTTGAATGGTCTTTAGCAACATGATTGTGCTATGTTATCCTTTAGATAAATGGCTTGACTGGATGTCTTTATTTTTGGTTGTCCGTTCCTTGAGTGGTTTGTAAATTGGGAGCAGATGCCACTATGAACAGGCAAGTTTGGACAATATACTCGCTATCCTTATTCTGCTTGGATTCTTATGTACCCATATGAACTATATCGAAACCGTTGCAACTTGGCAATCATTATATGTTCAAACCAGAAGCTTTTGCGAGGGATTGATAAATATTTATCTTTTATACAGATTTTTTCACATAGGGCCTTTTTTTCCCTATTTGTTTCCTTTCTCTTGTTTCATATCTATCATCATGTCCCTCTGAACATTGTGATATTTTATTGGGCATTCATATTTTGAGGATGGGTAAAATGTTCTACAAAGAGAAATCTGCTAATATGTTTTTGCAATAAAAGGAAATAATATCCTCACTTTGTTTCACTGTTGTAGCTTTGAAAATAATCCTCGACTAGAAGGTCCAGAGTTGCTGGGTTTAGCAAGTTACGATACAAATTGCACGTAAAGAGATCTTGAAGCTGTAAACTGCCCAAATTGTCTTCAATCTCGTGTACGTCAACAATTAAAATTGAAATTACATGATAGTGTAACAGGATTGGTGAAATGCAGCCTCTGGTATAAGTATTTGTAAATTGTTTGAGACCTGGTAATGCTTTAGCATTTGTAACTGCATTGTTGTGTTCTAAGATGAAAGACATGAATTTGTATTAATATAAAAGCTAGAGAAGGGTTTACCTAAATGTGGTTTTATACTCACTTCACTTGGGTCAGACGTGTCTATGCGCAGTATATATTTTCCTTTCTCACCATTTTCACTTTTCTTGGTTCTAAGTATATGGCTTAGCATCTTTGTTTGTTGATTTTGACCTATAGGCTACATAAACTATCAGATGCAACAAATGATTAATGGATGTCCAAAGTTGAAACTAAAATATGTACTTGCAAGGATGATAAAACAGGGAATTGCCAATAGAGGTGAGCATTCAGTTAGTTAATTAAAAATTTTACCAAATCAATTCAATTTCAATTATTTTGAGTTGCATTTTTGTAATTTGGTTTAGTTTGATTTTCAAGCTTATTAAACTTCAATTTATCTGGTTTGGTTCAAACCCATGTTGTTCCATTGCAACAAAAAGGCTGTAGATATTTTAATCATTAGACGGGGAGTGGCCTTAATTCATTAATAAAAAAAAAAAAATCATTAATAAAAAAAAGTGTTGATTATAGAAATAGAAAGAGATACTGGAAAGAACATCTCTTGTGTCAATGACACTTAAAGGGAATATTAAATGAATGGAATTGAAATATGGAACGAAGATACTACCAAGAAGTTCTGAGGATTACGAAGCAAAATTCAAGATCATATGACACTTAAAGGGAATATTAAATGAATGGAATTGAAATATGGAACGAAGATACTACCAAGAAGTTCTGAGGATTACGAAGCAAAATTCAAGATCATATGACACTTAAAGGGAATATTAAATGAATGGAATTGAAATATGGAACGAAGATACTACCAAGAAGTTCTGAGGATTACGAAGCAAAATTCAAGATCATATGACACTTAAAGGGAATATTAAATGAATGAAGATACTACCAAGAAGTTCTGAGGATTACGAAGCAAAATTCAAGATCATATGACACTTAAAGGGAATATTAAATGAATGGAATTGAAATATGGAACGAAGATACTACCAAGAAGTTCTGAGGATTACGAAGCAAAATTCAAGATCATATCGGATATTGATTGAGAACAAGAATTGAATTGTTTGAGTTCGAATTTCTTAATCTATTATATCATCTCGGATATTGGACTTCTCAATGAATTAAAGGGGAGAAAAAAAAAAAAGGTAGCAGATACTGCATACACTGCACAGCGCAGAGATTTGCTGTCAGTAACAATTGGGTATGAAGTACACAAAATCATCTTAGTTTCTGACACTCTACACAAACAGATTTACTGTCAGTAACGAATGCAAAAGATTTGCATTTTTTGTGCTGTTAAAAAATTAAATTGTTATCACTGTAAACTTCATTTGGTGGGTTTGCGACACATCAGTTGGGTTCCCACATTTTCTATTGCTGTTAATACATTTGATCCGTAGCTGTGTTTGTCTGATCATGGAATGAGATGTTAGGCTTACTTTTTCCTGAGGTCAACAGACATTGGATTAATCATAGATATTTAGCCCAACTAAAAAGATTGAATTGTCAAATCTTGCTCTGGAGTTTGTTGTTTGTGATTGTCTGCAGCCTGCACATGGCAGAGAGCTCCAAGAGTACAATGGAAGGCAGAAGAACAAACTTGGGACAAAAAGGATATGAGAATCTCTTCTTTTTCTTCTTCTTACTTATGAGAACCAGACGCTCCATTTTGTATCCGTCCAAAACCCTGGTTGGTCAATTGCAGTAGCTACCACCACTGCGCATTTTAAAATCTTGCATATACAATTCCAAGGCTTTAGTACCCTGGTTGTGTCTTTCTTGTCAATTTCGTTTGCGGGTATATATATATCTTGATTATTATCAAGAGTTTGAGCTCGAGCCACTGAACGAGCTAATGAGCTGAGCTTGAGCTTGACCCTGACCCGAACGTTTATCAAAATAAGTCTCAAGCAGCTCACAAACAGCTTGATTTATTTAAATTTTATCGGTAAATTCGTTAACTTTCATGCCCTCGATTTAATTACTTTTTGATTTGACTCCACTAAATCAGATTTTCTATTCCAAAACTTCTAATAATACCAATGAAATTTTAAATTTCTAATAACTAAAAAAAAAGTGCATGTTGTCTATTCATACGAATGCAGTGGTGGAAGTGATTGGTGGGTCGGTGACATTGTGGCCAAATGAATGCTCGTCCCACAATCGATGGCTATCAGTTGCTGACAGTGTTTTTGAACTAAAGCTGAAAGTGGATAATATATTCTTTCCTAGTAAATTATAATGTGAACAGAAAATAAATTGCTGTCAATTTACAGAAGAAGATAATATTCATAATATAAATTCAAGTGTATTTAAATAATAAGATAAACAAGCGATTGCATTTAACTAGAAAAATATAATTTGTCTAATCATCTCTAAAGGAAGCTATTTGCCGTGTGTAAAGGAAGTTGAATGATCTATTCTGAATTCAATAATATAAATAATTTGATTGTATTCGACAACAGGGTTTGAAGTAACTTTTAACGTTTTAATTAGAAAAAATTCTATCTCTATTAACTATTTTGTTCCGTTTAGGATAAACATTTCGTCAAACGTTACATATCCTAATATAACATTTAATGTTTTATATAAATTAATTAATAATTAATTTTCTTTACACTTATACCCATTGATCTTCCACGAATTCACAAGCCCTAAAATATAGGGATAACACATGACAATACTTAGAAAATAAATAAGAAATAATCCATTTTTTTATAATGAATTTACTTTTATGGTCATAAGTTAAAAATTATATATCAATTTGTCATTTTAATTTTAACCATTAATACAATTATTTCGATTAAATATTTTTATTTTAAACTGTTAACCATTAATAAAATAACTAATAATCAATAGACCAACAGTTATAACGGTTAGTATTACGGAATATACACGCTTACTCACCCTAAAATTACACTTCTCTACTGCTTACTTGCAACCAAATAACCAGAAATAAGCGAAACGGCTTTTGATCCAGTTCTGACCGTTATAGGCCTGAAACTGTTGGGTATCTAACGAAACTGCCAGTTTCCAATTCAGTGAACTGGCTGTCTGACTCACATTCTTCCAACAGCTTTTTTCCTTAGTTACTTTTTGAAATTAGCACAAACAGGTTTGAATAGTATAAGTTTGACTTCTAAGCTCGACGAATGGTTTGAAAATTTTTTTATATTTTATAAAATTTTAGATTTAAATAAACTTACGTAAATTTTTTAGCATATGAAATTGCTATTAATATGTAATATTGAAATGAAATATTATCATTAGATGAAAAAAAATATATATTGAAATTTATAATTTTAATTAGTTAATAGATTTGAAAAAAAAAAAAAAAAAGATTGAAAAAAAAATATATATTGAAATTTATAATTTTAATTAGTTAATAGATTTGGAAAAAAAAAAAAAAAAAAAAAAAAAAAAAAAAAGAGGTGTTGTGACAAAACCCTAATTAAAAATTAAAATAAAAGAAGAGGCATTGAATGGGAAAAAGAAGGTGATGGGTTGCCATATAAAGGGGATGAGACAATTTTTCTGTTTGAAAACCAATTTGATACGATTCTGATACCTTTGCCAATTGAATAAGAAAGATGAAATAAAGAAAAAGTTTTACCTCTTTAGATTTGATTCATGTATTTGGACATCAAGGAATTTTAAAGATTTAAAACACTAATTAATATTTAAAAATATTAAATTTTTAATATTTAATATGGCATCATTATTTAGTTTCTAATATTTTTTACTTTTTTTATTTTTTATTAACATTTAATGATTAAAACATAGTATTTTTTATGAAAGAATTAAATAATTTAATCGAGTTAATCTTGTGCATAAATCTATATATTGAAAATTTTTTTTAATTATTCAATAAGTGTATATTAAATATAATTTTATAAATTAAAGTGTTCGACGGGTGTAATTTCTAAATTAAAACAGCAAAATTTAAAAATTTAATATACAAAACAAAAATAGATTTAAGATTTTTTTATTATTTTCTTTTCCTAAATAACTATGGTATATCTTATATGTTATTTACAATAATATTTATATATTTATAAACTAAATTTTATATTAATTAAATAGAATTTTAATACAAAAATTATATTACCATACATTTTTTAGCAAATAAAAAAAAATATAATAGAAAAAGCCCCTAAGGAAGTGCAATTGTCTTCCACTTACATAATCTATTGCCATTCCCATCATCTGAAGTGCCCACATTATATTATATAAAACATAAATATTTCATTTTAACAAAAAAAATGATAATTAATTAAAAACGTGGAGAGAAAATAATTATTTTATATCAACTTTAGCTAATATGAGTTGTTTAACTTTTTATTTTTACTTTTTATAAAGAAATTATTAAAGCATATTGTAAAAGGAGCCGCTCAGTGAGTTGTCTGCTTATTTTTTCTAAAAAAAGAAAAAAAAATATTAATTTTCTTTTTCTTTAAAATAATAAAATGTATTAATTGTTATTATGTCGAGTATATTTTAAATTTTTGGTTACATATAATAAAAAAAATTAATAATTTTTAAACACATATAATGCCAAAGCATACGGGAGGCATTGATTAACAAATTGACTACAACTGATGATTTTCCTTTTGTTTTCTTTTTTTCTAAGACAAAATCATGGTTTTGGGACCTCTAATCCAAAACCACAAATTGTAAAATCTACAGCATTTTTTTAATTTTCATGTGAAAAATATCCATAAATTGATTAGAAAATAAATAAATAAATAAAAGACGTACCAATACATATATTTACTTCATAATTCATAAAATAGAGAATTTAATTTCCTATAAATTGCATTAAATTTAAGGGTTAATAAAGGATTCTTTGGTATTATTATTGAAATAATTTTTAAATCTCACTCGCAAGCTTCATTATCGAACTAGACTAAACTAAGAACTTTAGTTCAAAACTCGAATTAAATTCATTTAATTTATCGATTAAACTATTTTTAATCGAACTTAGAGTGACTCGCAAGCAATTTGATTCATTTATATTTTAATGAACCACTTACATTTTGATTTTTCTTTCTTTCTTTCTGTCTTTTTCTTTCTTTTTGGAAAAATTATATTTCTATTATATGCAAAATACCAACTCCCTCCATTAAAGCTTGTGCTTTTCTTGTAGTTGCAATTTGCAAATGGAATATCAACTTTCTGCAAATTCCTAGTACGCGTTTTCACATCATTGCTTCTTCTTGAAGATATTCTCTAGTAATTAATTAATTGCAAAAACAATTCATTTCCTTCTTTTCTTTGATGCTTTATTATTATTTTTAATGTATATAACTTAAATTATTAAATCTTATAATATATTTTTTAATTAATAATATTAAATGCGATAAAAAAATAAAAATTGATTTACTTTTGTATTTTACAAAGCGAGAAAAAAATAAAAACATTTTTTCTTGTATATTTTATGAATCATATCACCACGACATTAATATATTTTGATAAATTAATTTTTATGCATAGATAAAAAAATTTTATAGGAAAAAATTTATTATTTTTTGTAAAATAAGAATAAACTTTACATTTTAAAAAAATATTATTAAATAAAAAAATTTAAAAAGAGCATAAATGATTTGACAATTGCCACGTGGGCAGTTGGTTGCAACATGTTTCTCTTGTATAATTACTCACGCGGAAACATGAATTATTCGGTGGGGTTTTGAGATATAAATTTTTCCAAAAATAAAAAAACCTTAGAGATAAGGTTAGTCCATAAATGGTCCTGTTTTGAATTGGTTCTTTTACGGTTTATTCGCTTTTTATTTCTATTTCTATTTTTATTTTTACGGCTTGAAAAAGATTACACTTTCTGATTATATATATAAAAAAAATCAATGAAAAATAAATTTTTTTATTAAAATAACAATATTTCTAATTGTTCATCGGAGAAATGAGATAAATTAAGAATAAATTTTAAAAAATCTCTATTTTAATTAATTTAATACATGAGTAAATCGATAAATCACGTATAAATAAATCTGACTTTCGAAAAATATTGCTTTCACAGTATTGTAATTTTAATACTCAGTACATTTTCCTATTTTGTACTTGTGTATATAAATATTTTCAGATGAAAAAAAAAGGTTAAGAGCAGTACCATTTTCAACATCATTTTGTCTTCTATCAAATATAATAATAAAGAAAATCTATAAACTGTTTCATATGTACGAGGTTGACAATGTACGAGGAAATTTTTCATCTGGATTAAACATACACAAATAATGTAAGATGTACATATATGAATATTAGATTCTTCAACCTCAACACTAAACAAGCATTGTAAGATTTTTATCTTTGGATTCTCCATGTTGAATGGTTAACTTCTGATTTCTGGCACAGTAAGATTGGCGCTGCTAACGGTTGCCTGCCAGTTTATCGGTGTTCGCTAAATGCTATTTTTTACAATGTCTGGTAATATTAACGTTTAACTTTCAGCGTTTTATGAAAAACTATAAGTTACTCAAACAACTAGTAACTATAAGAGCAGCTAATTTTACCGAACAAATCCTAATTAATTATAACTGACTTATCGGAGGAAGGGGAAAGACTTACCTACACCCTGTGTATTTATCTTTCTATATATCAAACCAATTACAAAAAAAGAGGTGAGTTGGAAATGAAATATTACATGGATTAACTATAAAATATAGTAATATATTTAGGATTATAATGTTGGACTTACCATAAATTAATTGGTATTTTATGTAATATGAGTTTTAACGTACCTACCTAAAAGCATATCACTTGCCAAATGAGGTACTACGTAGTTTGAATGACAATCCAATTAATAGAAAATGATTATTAAAAATGAGATATATAAACTAAAATAAAAATATTTAATCACTCAATTCTCATTTTTCCTATTTTTAGTTTTAATTTGCAAAATTTATTTTTAATAGGTGTCTCATTTTAATTATATTGCCATTTTAATTTGTGAAGTGGTGATACCATTATTCTAATATATAATTTAGCCATTCATATATGGGTTTCAAACATCAAATGGTTTGGCTCATGTCACTCTGAATGACATGAAACTACAAATGCCTAAATAAAAAAAAAATATATATCAATTTTTTTCTACTTTTATACATCTCTCAATTATTTTTTTTTTACCTTAAAAAAATATCACCAACAAGTTGTCAACAAGAAATTTAAGAATTGATACTATTCCATGTGAGTTGATACCCACTCACATAGTGTATAAACTATAGATCAAGATCAAGAGGAGAAAGTTCAATAAATGTGTAACCACATAATTAGTTATAGGCGAAATGCATAAATTCACTTTTATATTTTATATAAAATATTCTGTAATATCTTTAAATTTTATTTTAATTTATTGAGTACTTTATTTTATAAAATCGCATTTATTAAAATTTTAATTTTTTTATTCTATTAAATATTTCAACTTATAAAATTATGCCAGTTAGATATTTATATTTAAAAAAATGTGAAAATTATTATTTTAAAAATTATAGTAACTACGGATTACTATTGTTGACTGTAACTGTTAATTAACTAATTCTGATTTTATTATAGTTTGAATTATTCCTGGATAGTTGTCCTAGTTTCAAGGGCTGTGATTAGTGATTTGTTATTATTCCTATTTTCTAGCTTCTGTTAGTTGTCATCTTTATTATATATATTGCTGAAGTAAATCAATAAAATATTGTTATTATATATGTTACCAAATTCATAACATCAGCCATATATATATATATTACACGATTCTATGTGCTTGTGATTTTTTTTTTTTTTTTTTTTTCTTGATGATTTTGGGTTTTTTTTTTTTTTTTCTGAAAAAAGGTGGAGCCAGAGCTCTATTGACTGCGTCACATTACTATATATGTGCCTGTCGGCAATCTTGTATAGCATAGCAACAATATGACTAGCACTAAACAAAGGCTGCACTGTTTTTATAATATTGCCTAACTCCACTAACTGATAAACATTTCTTTAAGTATTCTAGCAAATTCTCGTCAGCCTCTATCATATCCTCATTTTCTTTCTCTTTCTGCCTCCAATGGAACGAGCCACTGACCGGAGAAGCATAACTGCCAAGGCACCGGGCCATATTCTCCCGAAATGCGAGGATCCATTTTTTTTACATACCTGTCATTTGTCATTCTTCTTATCTTCTGATTAGAAACAACGTTAGCAACCGTTCAAGAAGGCATCTTTTACCACAATGGGAAGTGGAGTATTACTGTGTCGGTCACCAGACGGTGGGTATCAAAAATGTGCCGTGATGTGTACTCAACCCCGGCCGAGATTTCCTGGGCCGAGAATAAGGTGCAAAAGAGAGGGAATAACCAATATCATGTTGATTTTTTTTTTTTTTTTTTTGAAAAAAGGTGGAGCCCAGAGGCTCTATTGCTCGTCACATTACTATATATGTGCTTGCAATTGATCAAGCAATAGCAGCACTAGTACTGTTCTATAATATGCTCCATTGATAAACATTTTTAAGTTTCTGCAAATTTCTCTCAGTTCATCTCTTTCTCTTTCTGCCTCCAAAAAACTATGGACACCCGAAAACGGTATGATCCATTTTTACTACTTGTCATTTGCATTTTCTTATCTTTGATAGAAACAACGTTAGCAACCGTTCAAGAAAGGCATCTTTACAAATGGGAAGTGGAGTATATGTTCGGGTCACCAGACGGTGTAGAAAATGTCGTGATGGGTATCAACGGCCAGTTTCCGGGGCCGACGATAAGGGCAAAAGCCGGGGAAACCATTCATGTGGAACTCACTAACAAACTACACACAGAAGGGGTTGTTATTCACTGGCATGGGATCAGACAGGTTATTGCCTCTTTTTCTGCAGAGATTGACTCTTTTTTTTATACACTTCTTTTTCTTTTCTTTTTCAAAAGATAGGTTATAATTGAATTGGTAAAAAGCTATGTATATAAATATTTCTATGTAAGTGTAAGCTGTGAAGATAGCGAATCTTCTTGCATGTGAACTTCACGTTGGCTTTTCATATTTAGGTAATTGTTGGTTTCCCTATTCTGGTTTGTAATTTCTATCGTTTCCTTTTACAGCTTGGAACACCTTGGGCGGATGGGACTGCTTCAATTTCACAGTGTGTTATTAACCCTGGTGAAAAGTTTACTTATAGGTTCACAGTTGATAGGGTAAAATCTTTGTCTCTCTCTCTCTCTCTCTGCTTTTACCTTTCAAATTGTAACGGTAAAAAATTACTCTATTTATGACCTGAAGGTCATGAGTTGAGGATATGAGTTTCAATCACGAAAATAGCCTATATGCAAAAAGCATGAGAATATTTTGTTTTTTCATGAATTTACTATATTTTTACAGAATAAACTTGTGATCTAAGCAAATAGCAAAACATTAAAAAATAAATCAGTTCCGTGTTGGGACGAGTGATTCGGCACCAGTTACAGACGCAAGCTTCAAGTGGGAGGAGCCCTGAGCTCTCATAATTTTTTTTTTCTTTGAAATTTCTAATTCAATTTTACTAAATATCTTTTCATTCTTATATTCTGCCTCCCTCCTAATAGAGGGGTCCTTAATTAAACACACATTTTATAGCCCATGTCAAAATAGATGAGTCCCTGTAGTTTTGAATCCTGCATTCATCATTCTTTTCCAGTTCTCTTTGAAGTGAGGTCAGTCGCAAATGCTCGCTGGGTGCGCTTTGCCCTTTATTAGGTCACGAAGCGCAAACAAAATTTAATTTTAAACGGTAGGCTGAGGATAATTATGATTAATACTAAATAAATAAAAAAAAAAGAATAGTTGGATCTACGCTTCCTCAATAATAAATTTAAACACGGTATAGAAAGTGGTTTCCATCTTCTTTACTTACCTAACCTAGTATTTTAAGGTTATACTAAGTTGTGAAAATTTTTTTTATATGGTGCAGCCAGGAACATACTTTTACCATGGACACTATGGAATGCAAAGATCAGCAGGGCTGTATGGATCTCTGATAGTTGACGTCGCAGAAGGAGAGAAAGAACCCTTCCACTATGACGATGAGCTTAACCTACTATTGAGTGATTGGTGGCACCAAAGTGTTCATCACCAAGAAGTTGGCCTCTCCTCCAAACCCTTTCGTTGGATTGGTGAATCCCAGGTAACTTAACATATTATATATCTACTTAATCTATTTTTTCCCACCTCTCATTATTTCATTATAAAATTATAAATAATATTAATATTATTATTGGATTAATAAAAATGTTATTTGAATAAAAGTTTATTCATAAAAATTAATTGTTTTAATAGTTTATTGGGGTTTTAGTAGGCGTAAAGTTTCATAATTCGCTCCTTTAAACGCTAAATAATAGATAATAAATACAGTGTTTTGACCAAATCAACTAAATGCAGTCTGTTTATTGTATAGTCTATAATGTTCTTTTAGCGTGTTCGCCCTCCTAATGAATTAAAAAACATTAAATGCTACGTCAAAAGCAGTTGCCAAGCAGAGCTTAACAGGATAATATTTTTGCTAATAATTAGTAATTGAGCATGGTAATGTTTTTTTTAGGTGAATGATTGAATCAAAATTTGATATTTTAACATTTTAAATCATTCTCTTTTAACCCTTTCTTGAATCTTAGGACAAAAGCGAAAAAGAAGAGGGAAAAAAGCAAGAAAGTCATGTTTACTTCTTTTGGTGAATAATTGTATTTTCCTTTGAAAATAATGATTGATTTGCTTGCTGTATTTTCAGAGCCTGCTTATCAATGGAAGAGGACAATATAATTGTTCACTAGCAGCGCATTATAGCAAAAACCCTACGGTTAATGGGTGTAACTTAAAAGGTGGTGAACAGTGGGCACCAGACATTCTCAAAGTTCTTCCCAACAAGATTTACAGGCTAAGAATTGCAAGCACCACTGCTTTAGCTTCTCTCAACTTGGCCATTGGCGTAAGTACATTACTTATTATTTTGCTTATTATATTATTTTCTAGATACTTCCCTAGACCCGTGTCCGAAAGGACTGACCTAGGAGTGTTTACAATATCATATATTATTAGATATTATTATCATCTCAAACTGAATTCAACCAATTTTAATCGAATAACTAAATTTCGTAAAAAGAAAATAAAGGATTGTACATAAAAATTGAACTAAGAATAAGTTTAATTTGATTCGATTCAGTTTTTCAATTTTAATTTATTTTTGGGTTAAATTGATAATTTTTAAATAATCACCCACATGCAAACACTTTTATTGGATTGATAAATTTAATTCAACCGAATCGATTTGACCGATTTTTGGTCTGCCCATAGATTTTAGAATAATAATATGGTTAGCTTTAATTTGATGGTGAAAGAACTCATGGAATATGGGATGAATGGGCAACCACTTTTTAGGAAAGTTCTTATTCCTGCACTAAGAAAGTTGTTGGCAAGCTGTGAAAGGGAAATGTGCAGTGGTGAGTGTAGACAAATGTAAAGAGGTTTTACTTTTTAATAGCACTAGGGAAGAAGAAAGGGATAGAATAGGAATAAAAAAAGTATCATTTGATATCTTGAAGAATAAAGGTTAACAAGGTTGTCCAAAGCTTAATTGAAAAGACAAAAAGGTCAAAACATCCAAATTGTAATAATAATATTATTATTATACTAATGTGTGTCCAATGAAAATGATAGTGGGTTCCCCATCATTTTCCTTGGCATAATATGAGTCTCATGTTCCTCCTTTGATTGAGGAAGTCACCTTCAAAATTTTAAAATTTTCTTTTAATTTCTTTCTCAAAATAAATAATTTATATAATCATTCATTAGATATAGATAAAAATAATTAATATAAATCATTATTAGGATAATACTTTGGACAGTTTAATCTTGATTCAAAATTTAGAATAGACTATGGATAAGATAATAAGTAGGAATCCCAAGTTACAAGTTTCTTATAGTGGTTAGGATTTACAATAATAGCTCAAATATAAAACAAAAATAGTAAATTACAAGTACTAATAATTCATTTTGGGACAATAATAGAAAAAAAATAAAATGACAATTGATGTAGGCAAGGCGACAACACATGGTGGGTTTGGTAGCTAGTGAAAGAATACATATAAATGCACTTTTAATATACAATCTAAGATAGCATTTTCTTAAAAAAAAAAAAAAAAAAAAAAAAGGTTAAAAGGTTGTCCCAAACTTAATTGATAAAGACAAAGGGTCAAATCACATACCAAATTGTAATATATTATTATATAAACTAATGTGTGTCCAATGAAAAATGAATATGTTGGGTTCCCACATCATTTTCCTTGGCATAATATGAGTCTCATGTTCCTATTGACCTTTGATTTGAGGAAGTCACCTTCAAATTTTAAAAATTTCATTTTAATTTCTTTCCTCAAAATAAAATAATTTTAAATCATTGCATTAGATATGATAAAATAATTAATATAAAATCATTTTAGGAATAATACTTTTGGAACAGTTTAATCTTGATCAAAATTTAAGAAATAGACTATGGGATAAGATAATAAGTAGGATCCCAGTTTACAAAAATTCTTATAGTGGTAAATTAAGGATTTACAATAATACGCATTCAAATATAACAAAAATAGTAAATTCAGTACTAAACCACCAATTTTGGGACAATAATCCAAGAAAAAATAAAATGACAATTGATGTAGGCAAAAAGGCGACAACACTAATGGTTGGGTTTTGGTAGCTGTGAAAGAAATAACATATAAGAATGCACTTTTAATAAATACAAGTGGCGGATAAGAGTATTGCATTTTCTGAAAAAAAAAAAAAAAAAAGTAATATTATTAATGATATATAGTATATTGTATAATGTATGTTTTTTTTATAATAAAAAAATCCTCGTATAAATTTAAAAGTATGGTCTAGCCTCTATTTCGAACACCAGTACCCGTACTACCACCTCCCCAACCCCCTCCATTTCTCCCTCCAAAACATACACACGTTTTCCTTCCACCCCCCACATCTACACAAGTTTCACTCAAGTCCAGGGCATTTATTTGGCAAATTAACTTCCGAACACAACAATCACACCCACTAAAATAAAAATAAAATAAAAATACAGTAAATTCACAGCACCCTAATACCTCGACAAATTCATCTTGATCTTTAAAATATCGAAAAAAAGCAAAACATCATTTGACCAATTGATGAAAGAAGTACGGTAGGACTCCAAGAACATAATATATGGTATTACGTTTTGGTGTTACCACATTCTCAGGATACTGTGTATCTCACCCACTGCACATGAACCTTTGTTCAACACCAGGAAGAGAGAAGAGAGAGAAGAGAGAGATAACGCTAAAAATTGAGATTTTAATGTGTCCCTAAAATCTATTGACATCGATCTACATGACAACATTTTTGTTTTTGCATCACAAACCCACGGGCCAAGGAATTTGCAACCTAATTCATCAATCCTATCTTTGTATAGAATTTGTTTAAGTAATTTACAACTTCCATTAAATGGACGGCCTGCCACTTCCCATACCCTCATTAATTAGCTCACAGATATCTAAATAATTTAATAGCTGGTCTATCATTCAAAACTTTTGAAACTACAACTTGTATTTGTCATTATCGGTTCTTCGCAGCTACCTATTCGTTACACTAGCTTTGGATTGAATCACACACACCACCGCACAACTCCAGTCCGGCATTATACTTATATATATATAATATTTATAATTAGTTTTTAAAAATAAAAATCCTCGTAATTTAGTATTGTCTAGCCCTAATTGACAAGTAGAAATCCAAATTACAAGTTTCTTGTAAGGGTTAGGATTTACAATAACAACTAAAATAAAAATAAAAATAAAAATAGTAAATTACAAGCACTAATCATTCATTTGAGTCTAATGAAAAAAGAAAAATCATTTGACAATTGATGAAAGAGTAGGTAGACAAGACATATGGTAAGTTGGTAGGACAAGGATCTTGTATTTACATGCATGAACCTTTGTTAAAAGGAGAGAGAGAGAGAGAGAGAGAGATAACGTTAAAATTAGATTTTAGTCAAACATTGAATGATCTATGACAACAATTTTTGTTTTTGCACACGGAAGGATTTGGCCTATTATCAATTTCTTGAAGATTTTGTTTATTTACTTAAATGGACGGCCTGCCACTTCCCATAATTAGCTCACAAGATAATTATTTAAGTGGCAATATATCAAAATTTTGAACTAAACTGATTTGATTCGGTTCTTGCAGCTCTATTTTAACTCTTTTGGATTGAAAAATAATTTGATTCGGCATTATATGAATTGAATTGAATAAAAAATTGATTGGTTTTTTCTTTTAAAACCGGAATTAAAACTTGATTCTTTGAAACATCAAATTCAATAAGTTCGATTTGATTCAATTGCTTCAAACTAATACTCACTCCCTAGTAATATTAAAAATAAATTTAGATATGTTATAATTATATTTCCATTATAACTCATGTGACAACCACATCCTTTGCTCAGAAATTCTGCAATATTTGCTTTAATCTGCCAAACAAGAGAAGGTCTAAATGAGCTAACTAGAGCTTATGAGCTTGAGCTTGAACTGCACTCGTTTAAAAACAGCCAAGCTCCAGCTCAAGTTGATAATCTTATCAAACAAAATCGAGTGAAATCAAGCCGAGTCTCGAACTGCTCACAAACGGCTTGTCTCATTTACATCCCTAGTATCATATCAGTTCTTTTCAGATGGGTAGGGTGACCATTGTTGCTTTTGGCACAGCACAGTTATAATATATTGCCTGTTGAATATCTAATAAAAACTATTTCTGTAAGGAATCTTACATAAAATTATTTCTTTAATTGATCTTTCCACTTTCTTGTTTACAGGATCACAAGATGCTAGTAGTCGAAGCTGATGGAAATTATGTCGAGCCATTTGAAACTGCTGATTTGGACATTTACTCTGGTGAAAGTTACTCTGTTTTGATTTCCACAAATCAGAACCCAAAAAAGAACTATTGGGTTTCTGTAGGTGTAAGAGCAAGGGAACCTAAAACTCCTCAAGGGCTAACAATATTAAACTATTTACCAAACTCTGTTGAAAATTTACCTGATTCTCCCCCTCCTGTAACTCCTCAATGGAATGACTATGCTCATAGCAAAGCATTTTCTAACAAAATTTTAGCAACAATGGGTTCTCCAAAACCTCCCAAGAATTTCAGCCGTCGGATCATCCTGCTCAATACCCAGAACAAAATCAATGGCTTTACTAAGTGGTCAATCAACAATGTTTCTCTCTCATTACCTGCTACTCCTTACTTAGGCTCTATGAAATACGGCCTCCTCCATGCTTTTGATCAAACAAACCCGCCTGAAAACTACCCTGCACAATATGATGTAATGAAACCACCAGCTAACCCTAATACCACTCTTGGAAATGGGGTTTACAAGTTTGATTACCAAACAACAGTAGATGTGATACTTCAAAATGCTAATGCATTAAGTGACAATGTTAGTGAAATCCATCCATGGCATTTGCATGGGCACGACTTTTGGCTATTAGGGTATGGAGAAGGTAAGTTTACACCTAAGGATGAGGAGAAATTTAATTTAAAGAATCCACCTTTGAGAAATACTGCAGTGATATTTCCTTATGGGTGGACTGCACTTAGGTTTGTAGCAGATAATCCAGGAGTATGGGCATTTCATTGCCACATTGAGCCACATTTGCATATGGGTATGGGTGTGGTTTTTGCTGAAGGGATTGAACATATCGGCGAGGTTCCTCATGAGGCTCTTGCTTGTGGTTTGACAGGGAAAATGTTTATGGAAAACAATAAGCATTAAGGCTATTTTGAGATTTTTTAGCTAGTTGAGGCTTAAAATTTTTATGCATTTTGATGTGTAGTGTAATAAGTGAGGTTCTACAACATTTGTATCTGCATTGTGAAGTTTTACATTATTGTAATAAATTATGGAATGGAGATGTTCATATGACGTATCTAACTTTTTTTTTTTTTTTTTGCAGTTTTTGGGCTTAATTTCACCTATTTTTACCTATGATCATTGCAACTATTATTTATTTCAGTATAGCCACGAAACTTCAGCTAAACTTTTAGCCAATAATAAAATGAACTGTTATAATATAATTCTATAGGTAATAGAAATCTTCGCTATGGTTATGTTTGATATACTTCCAAATTGAATTTCACATTTTGATGTTTGCATGAATAAAAATGTCCACTTCACCCCATATCGAAACTAAATTCTGTTACTAATATATAAATAAATTCCACAGGTGAACCTATATGAAAGTTTAGCAATTCTGATTCTTACCAAAAATAAAATAAAATAGAGATATTTGGTTGATAATGATCTGAAATTCAATGACTATGAATAGATTTCACTCAAACACTGCTCATCAGTTAAAAACAAGAAAAACAAAAAACTGGCACACAAGGCTTTTGAGGCTACACATGTCAGATACCATCTCGATAAATGTAAATATATGACACATTATCTATTCCTTTCAAGTTCCTAAACCTGAATACTTAATACTTCTGAGGAAGGGGGAAAAGGAGTATAAAAAACATATGATCCCATTGCCAATGATAATATAGCATCTTCACATAAGGAGTCCTTAAGTTAACCAATTTAATGCATGCTTACTTCATTGTTAGAAGCTCTATCAATTTGCCGGGGAAGACTCGGAAAGTGGTTTGCCTTTGCGTGATCTTTTTCTTTTCCTGCTCCTACTTCTCACGAAACCATCAACAGCTTTACTTTCCTGCACAAGAAGCATTATCATCTTAGCAAACACTATTTAAGCATCATTTTAACTCGTGGAAAATGGAGCTCATGTGGAATGACATTTAGCCGTCACTACTATCTGAATAAACCTCGCAATGTTGCTCCAATATCCATTGGTAGGCAAAATAAAAAAAATAAAAAATTGCACCATATCAAAATGTGTAATTAAGCTTTATATTTCGTTATTGACTGAGATGAACCTAATAGCTCATATGGCATGCTAATTACATATAAACTAATCCACATAAAACTTGTGGCCAAAAATAATATCTTTTCATATATTTTATTTTCTTCTTTTTCTAGCATAGATTTTTCATTTTTGTTAACAAAAATTACACTTTCAAAAAGGAAAGAAAAACATATCTGCTCCCTAGTGTAGAACCCTGGCCACTACAACTATCAACCATTACTCTATTTGTTAGCTTGTTTTTCAAATTTTTCATTAGATTGATTTGGTGTACAAGTGGTTCAGGTTAAGTGTTTATCCATACAATGTATCCACATATGTGAGCTATGATCAATATAATCTCGATTTCTCTGGGAGAACTCTAGGGTTAAAATTATATGAGTTGAGAAATCAAACTCTATCAATTGTTTTACAGATCATTCCCCACATGCTATCATTCAACAACACTGATTAGAACCCACCATTATTGCCTGGACAAAAAAATCACAAAAGTCTAGGGTCATGCAAAAGCAATGTTGTCCTCACCTTCTCAGATGAAGGCTTTAGGTTTACATCCTTTTTTTTCTTCTTGCATGAAAGTGGATTTGGTCCCTGCAAAATTTAGGACATGAAGTTTAACCATAGGAGAATAGAGAAACACTTAAAAGAAAACAGTTAGCAAAGGAATGAAAAGCATGAAAACATGTATATTTTGTTCTTATTAATCCACTCAATATCAAGTAACTGTACTCAATTAACTACATCACTTCTTTGACATCTAATATATCGACATTCTTGACATCATCACATGTGCATGCTATTTGATGACCAAAAAAAAGAAAACAAAAAATTGGGCATGTAATGCAAAAAACATCACATAGGAAATGGAAAAATGTACTGGTTGGCAGCCACGGATCCATAATATTACAGGTAGAAATAGAACAAGCAATCTTCACATTCTACAGTTTTAGATGCAAGAATCATTTGCTGTTCTCAATTCCCTCAAAGAAAAACATCCTCACATTCTCAACTCATAACACATCCAGTTCTGGGCTCACTAAAGATCCACTATAAATCACCAAGGGGATGCAACCCAGAATTAAAAGGAGGGAATCAACAAAACAATGAAGCATACAGCTACATCCTCATCTAATCACAGAGTAGAGACATAATGATATATTGTGGAGGCCCAAAGCAAGAGAGAGAATTCCATCATGCTTCCCAGTAGATGTGTCTTGTATGTGTGTGTGTGTGTGTGTGTGTGTGTGTGTGTGTGTGATCATGCTTCCATAGATGCTGTCATGTAATGTGTGGATGTGTGTGTGAGTGTGTGTGTGTGTGTTGTTGTGTGTGTGTGTGTGTGTGTGTGTGTGTGTGTGTGTGAGAGAGAGAGAGAGAGAGAGAGAGAGAGAGAGAGAGAAACTTTATTATCATATAGCTAAGGCAACCATGGTAAAGAATATAATAAACTAAAAATTTCCCAATATATCTCAACAACTAATTGCCTGAATTGGTTATGAATCATATGCATTTGAGAAGAACAAGATGATGGACGCATGGTTGATAAAAATCAATCTACAAGCCAGAACTAAAGATTTCAAGATTATATATGGAGAATATAATATTTTAGCTTAGGATTTCAAGACAATTATACCTTGACTTTCTTTCTTTTAAATTGAGCTCTATCCTTGACATCCATTCTCTTTCCAGTGCCTTGCTTCTTTCTAACAGGCTGCATTTCCAAATCTTGATCTCTTGGACCTTCATTTTCATCAGAAGAATGTCCAGATTTCTCTTTAGTCAACATACTCTTGGTCCTGTTTTTTAACATTTTATGTTCTAACTCGGTCACACGTGAGCGTTCTTCTTCAGAGGTCTTGACAAACTCATGTTGAAATGCAGATGGTGGCTCAAGGAGGACCGCATTTCTCAGACCAAAAATGAGGGGGACACCTGGAACCTGCACAATAGCTAAATTTTCAGGAATGAACAAGGGCGTCAAAAGGGTATTTTTCTAGTTGGGTAAAGTAATTTTCAAATTTGAATTACAGAACAAACAAATTCATTGGGCTTATGCATATAAACAACTTTTCCAACTAGTATGCACATCACTTAGATCCATTTGGTATGCATTCAACAGGGTCAAGCCAAGATGAGTCAAGACAGGGTATCATTTGATACAAGTATATACTGATTTGTTTCATAATTTCACTTGTTAACTAACCTTCTAACTATAATGCTAAAATATGTGTTTATATATGATGGGAAACAATAACCCCCATACCCAACTTCAACTTCGAATGCCAAAGCAAAGCAAGGTAACTACTTTGGGCATCATCACTTCTCAAAACTAGATGATGCCAATAAATGGAGAAGATTTGTTAGCACATTTCTTCTACAATTGAGACTAAACTTGCTCTGTTTAATATCTGTATCAAAGAAATTGATATATATGCAGACATTCCTCATGCATTGTAAAACATAACAACATCAAACAGAGCAGTTTCAATACCAGAATAGAGAAAAAATTTATAAACCAACAAATAGTTACATAATTGGTAAAAGAAAAGAGATAAAAATGGAACCCACAGAAGATGAGACAGACTAACCTCCCGAAACTTCTTCCTCATAACAAAGTCCTGGGTTGCCACAAAAAAATGCTCAGGATTATTTTCTCCAATAATCTCCACAATGCAAGCTTCAGCACTCTTTTTATTCTCATGATCACATCTGACATTGGAATTGAATCACAGTATCCATCAGGAGAAATGAATTATTACTGAAATATTTTTAGATATATATGGCCCAGAAAAGAAAATAAGTTCATAACAAAAATTTCCCAAACCAAATATTTAAATAACTAAAGAGAACCAGGAACCAATTTAATGAGTAAAGACATACTGAGGATGGTAGGGCAAGTTAGAATATTTAATGATGAAACATTTCAAAAGCCCAATCCAATCATAGTTTTCATTTTAAAGCCACAAAGAAATTATGAAAAGAAAGAATATCAAACATATATCAGAATATGCTTACGTCTGACATGGATTCAAGTACTCGATACATAAACACATAGACTAACATAACACATTTTAAGACGCACCAATATCACTGTGACAAGAAAAGGAAATCATAATTCAAATTTTATGGCTCAAGAATTTTAGAATCATGGTCTATGTTTTCTAGGATTTATATTTAGATACATATTTCTAGTTCACCTAGAGTCATATAAATAAGTTACTAGTCAAGAACCTTAAGTCTAAGGGGCAATTCTATAATTTCAGCTTTGTTGGAGTGTGTCCATATTTATTTAGGAATATTTAAGCTCACTTTCAGTATTTCTTGGTTTAGGATAATGCTACTCGTTTTTAGTTTATTTTGGAAGTCCAAAATATTCTCAGTCCAGTGTCACACTGAGAATATGCACTTGCAATGCTCAAGTCTAGCTATTATGTTCAATTCAATCATTGCATACGTCCATGTAAACACCTCAATAAGAACAAGTATTGCAGCCACAGTATAAGCCAAAAAAGAAGTGGACAACCATGTTCCTTTGCGGACTAGTTAAGACCGATCAAGCTAAAGATCTAAGTAGCTTCAATTAACAACAAATTCAGGAACCATCATATATTGCCCTTAACATCCCCAGTTATCAATCACTCAAAGCAAGACCCATTTCATTAGTAATTTTTTTTTTTTTTTTTTTTGATAATACCCATTTCATTAGTAATTGAACTCAAATATCTTAAACTTTATACTTATAATATCCTGAATCAACACAACAGACTCAAATTAAGAAGAATTTATATGAATTTTGCAAGATTAGAAAAATACATACAACAATTAGACTAATTACAGTTCACCAACTACAAAAAGATAACATCTCTGTCAAGACATAGAGAGAGGGCATTACCTCGCAATCATGAGTTTATGAGCAGCTTGGAGAGATTCAGAATAGGAATTACCGAGTCTTTTGAGCTCCCCAAGGACACATCTACAAACCGAACAACAGAAACAAGTACCACTCCATATTAAATAAAAACATCCTTTATATTTTAAGGAACAGCATAAAGCAGAAAGAGATATTGATGGAAAGCAAGCAGGGAGACCTGGTGGTGAAGAGCTTCACAGGGCCACCAAGTATATTAGACAAAGCTTTATCAGCTGGCGCAATGCTATTTACTATAAGGTGATGCACAAATGTTCCATCACACAGAATCTTAAACGGTTGCCTGAACCCAAAACATGCTGTATAAAACCTCACCGCCTTGCGGTGGCGTCTTTGCTTCCTCACTCTCATACTTTAAATCTGAGAACGGGCATATATACAAGTCAAAGAAAAGAAGAAAAAAGAAAGACACAAATAGTTATTATCTATAAACTAAGTGATGAAATATTGCAATTTCCCATTCAAAAGTAATTACCTTGACTACTAGTGAGAGTCGTCGAGACCCAGAAGGAGACAATGCAACAGATAAAGAAAAAAGATATTGAGGCAAGATAGGGCTCAAGGGTTTTCTCGACAGAGATCTTATTGGGTTTCCATTTCAAGGTTCCGATGGCTGGAGTGTAGGAGCGCGATAGTGGAAGATGAGCTCTTGCCTTTTATGCGTGAAATAGGAATCTTTAGCGACTATAGATATATATATATATATATATATAGTATGTTGACTATTAATACGACGACGTTTATATAGCCGCTCATTTGAGTACAGTAGACTACTCTCAATCTTACCCTTTCTTCAACCTTTCGACTTGCAAGAGATAGAAGCAGCAGCCGAAAACACCATGGTAGAAGACAAAGCAACTAATAGACAAGAAGGAACTGAAACCGAAGAGCAAGATCAAGTAGTAAATCCATGGGAAGTTTCGGCCAAAGATGGGGGGAAAATCGATTACGACAAACTAATTGACAAATTCGGATGTCAAAGACTGGACCAATCATTAATCGACCGTGTCCACCGTCTTACCGGCCGTCCTCCTCATGTACTCCTCCGCCGCGGCGTCTTTTTTGCTCATAGAGATTTCAATGAGATATTAGATGCTTATGAAAAAGGCCAAAAATTTTATCTTTATACAGGCAGAGGCCCTTCCTCAGAATCCCTGCATTTAGGCCATCTTGTGCCTTTTATGTTTACTAAGTAAGTGGATACTAGTAACAATAATCAGCTAACTTAAATCTTGTAGTTACAATTTTTTTATTATATTATAGTTAACTTGTTGATTACTGCTTTGTAGATATCTTCAAGAGGCATTTAGGGTTCCGCTTGTTATACAGCTCACTGATGATGAGAAATGCATGTGGAAAAACCTTTCAGTGGAGGAGAGTAAAAGATTGGCTCGTGAAAATGCTAGAGATATTATTGCTTGTGGATTTGACGTCACTAAGACTTTCATTTTCCAAGATTTTGAGTATGTTGGTGGGTAAGTAACTGAAATAACTGTTTCAATGTCCCATTAGATGTTGCTAAAGCCGGAAAAAAATGATATCTTTTTGTATATTTCTGTTTGGTTATTGCTTTTAATTGTTCTTGTTTAAATTCTGTGCAATTTCACAATAATGCTCTTGAATGTTTTAAGCATATTAGATTGATAATAAGCATAAAAAATCTTGCGTGGGTGTTTTGAGCTTTAAGAATTTATTATCCAAGGCACTATTTAATGAGGAAGATTGGTTGTTGCTAAATGTTTCTCTTGGTTCTTCTTATACAAACCGTAAATTACAAGATCCATTAGGAAGTTAATGAAAAAGGCGTTGTTATTTAGGGGTTGTAGAAAGTATTTAATTGAGTTGTTACTTTGTTTTCCTGTCACATTGTTGAACTCATTAGGCTGCTTCAGAAAAGTGATCACTATTCACCTTCTGGTAGCCTTTGCAATACTTAAATCTTTTCTGTTTTTATGGGAAATTGTTTGGACTGTATCATCTGCCTATGCCATATAAAGATTTTGTTGAGAGGAGACTTTTCTTATTAATCTTTTTCTTTGCTCAAGTACATGTATAATGAATTATTATAGGTGGAGTGATTATTTTTCTTTTTGCTAAGAAGAGTTCTTCGATATTATTTATGATGTTATTCATCAATGTTTATTGTACATGGCTTTCTAAAGCTTTATTCCTGTTGGATTTAAAGAGATCTATCGATTCATGTATTATGAACTGCTTGCTAAGATTAGGTGCCTCCAATCTTAATTTTGGTTCAGTGTTCTCAGAATGCACATGTGCAAACAAGAATGACCTCCACAGCTCCAACCCCTTAAAGCATTCTTTTCCAATAATGAAATTTTAGTTATTTTTTGCATAAATGGACTTCTTTTTTAGTCTTAGGAGGAGTTTTTCCTCTAACAATATGTAGTATGTATAAATGGATGATTATTCTGATCAAACAAATATCTATGTATTTGTTCTGTTCTCAGTTTTCCGTGGATATTAATTGAAGCATGTAGTTCACAAATCATGCATGAATTTACCTGTATTATTGTACTACCAATTGATTTTATTCTAAAATCGTTTGTGCAGTTCCTTCTACAATAACATGGTGAAGGTTGAGAAGTGTGTTACATATAATAAGGTCATTGTTTTTCTTACTTATCTTTACTGTTTGCACAAGTATGGAGGTCTGTCTGGGATGCTTGAATTCCTCTCCAATTGAACCAACTGTTTACCACATTTATCTTAAAATTTTGCTGCTTTGCACAGGTTGTGGGTATATTTGGTTTTACTGGTGAAGATCATATCGGGAAAGTTAGCTTCCCAGCTGTGCAGGTTAGTTTTGTGATGCTGTGTACTGATCTGAAAATGTGTTCACATGATTGTAGTGTTGAGCCTGCAAGAGTTGTTTTCCCTTTAATGTCTCATTGCTATGTGGCTGCTACTTTGAGCGTTTAATTCCTTGTAACTTGACAATTATACTCACGGAAACAGAAATTTGAAAAATCACGATAATAACTATTCAACTGAGTTTTGATTGGACTGAACCCATGCAGAACAATTTTATGAAAAAACATATTTTGTTAGTATTTAAAGATACTTGTGCCTTTTCAATAAGCTATTGTCACCTTGTAAAATAATTATACGAACATAGTTTTGAAAGTATAAAAGACCTTGTACATGTCTTTATTTTCTCGAATCTCAACTCTATTTTCATCATCATGGACTGCTATGATGGCTGTGGGAGGTATTTATATACTTTTGCTATTGATGCAGGCAGTTCCATCATTTCCCAGTTCATTTCCACATCTGTTCTCTGGCAAAGATAACCTTCGCTGCTTAATTCCATGTGCAATTGACCAGGTAAAACCCCTCCCAGTCCTGAAGGTTTCTATGCTATTTGCATGTAATTAATGTTGATGAACACATACTGCTTTATATGGAGTATAAATATAATTCCTTGACTCTTGTTTTGTTTGATAATTTCATTAGTACTAAGTTTTTTGTCCTAGTTTGATTTTTTAACTCCCATTTTTTCCATTAAGTTTCATATAAATTTTTTAAAATGCTTCATTCTTTCTTTTTGGCGCGGCGGCACCACCAATTCTTCCATCACCAATAAAACCACCATTTTCACCACTGCCACCATCATTGTTATTTTGATTGTCTTAGTTGTTTTTTTCCCCGAACTTAGTTGTTTTATCTGTCATCAAAGCAGCAATGAATTTATTCACAACTTATTTAATTGTTCACTTAGTTCTTATTGTTAAGCTTAAAAATTTCAATCACATTTCAGCTCTTAAATCTTTAGTACTAAAATTATCTCTCAATCTTTGTGCAAAGTTTTCACTTTTATCGTGCCAACTGGTTGGAACATGAGGTTATTTTGCATAACATTGATATTGAGTTTGTGAGATGGTAGCAAGTAGATGTCTTCATTAGAAATTTGCATTTATCATGTTCCTTTTATTATTTCTATTATGAATGAAAATTAGAATGATTTCTTGCCATTCATTGTGACATACCATGGATGATTCCAAGGAGAAGTTGCCTGTTATTGGAAATAGAAAAGTAATTCTCAAACAGAGGAAGGTGTTGTTAGTAAATGCTTTTGGTGGCACTGTGAATTTAAACATATTATATATTGAAACAGTACCTCCAGGCTAAACTGCGGAAGTGGTGTAACTTAAATATTGCTTTGGCTTATAAAAGTATAGGAAGACATCAAAGCAGCTGTAAAAATATGGGATGTTCCTAGGTTATTTTGTTAAACTGAATCTTCTGAAGTGCTTAGGAAAGACAGATTTTTGAATTCTTACTAAGATATGGTGATGTTGGTGGTCTTTGATGGAAGAGTTAGATTGATGCAAGTAGATTTGCCGAGTTCCATTTCATCTTGTGCTCTGGAAATTCTATAGTGAGAAAAAGGTATATAAATCTAAAGTTACTATTTGTTGAAGGTTGCCAAGTAATTGAACTTTGTGAATAAAATACTTTTCACGGTACTTCTTGGTACTAGCAGACTGTTTATATGGATTATCACTGGGAAGGTGCAGGCCTACTTTGTTTGTTTTTATGTGACTTGTGGCTCCATGCTGGATAATAAATGTTTTGAACATAGTGGAGATAGAATAATATATTGCGAGCCGGTGTTAAATGTGAGATGTGTGAAAAAGGAATGGGAAAAAAATGTCACCAACTCAGCCAAAACATGAGTTTGTCATATAATGTTAAAAAAGAGGACTACTATCATAATTGCTTGGAAGAATAAGAGCAACACTGTTCAAGGGAAATTTCCTTCGTGCTTTGCTTTCTCTGGAACATTTGGTGTAATTTTGAGCATCTTGTTTGATGGCTGATACTTTTTCCTTCTTTTTTCAAGATTGGTGGACATCCAATTGGATGAGTCACCAAATGTAAGCAGTTAACCTATGATATTCATTACAAACATGTAGATGATTTACGTTTAATTGTGCTTTGATGTTTGAACTTTAGATCTAGTTGTTCTTTATTGTTGTTTTTGATTTTTGATTTCCCAGGATCCATATTTCAGAATGACACGAGATGTTGCTCCTCGGATAGGATATCACAAACCTTCATTGATTGAATCATCATTCTTCCCTGCTCTTCAGGTACACTTATATATAGGAATAGAAGCATCTGTTAGTTTATATGCAGTTGTGCTTAGTTGTTGTTATTTCTACCAGTATCTTTTTTCTCTAAGTTTCTTTTCTCATTTGACCAAAAAATTGTGATGTTTTCATCAATTTAATTGACTCCAGATATAATAGAGATGCTGTCTTTTCATATTTAAACATCGTATGTAATCTGACTTCAAAAAGATTGTCCAGTTTCAGTAAAACTCTGTTGAGTGCCATTTTGGTGTAGCACTACTCCAACAATCTGCCTACTGATGCGTAGGATGGGTAGTAAGGGGTGTTCAGTATTTAGTTCAAACTATAAAACCAAACTGGAAAAAATTGAATTAAAGCAGTTTGGTGTGGTTTAAAATTTTTTGATTCAGTTCATTAAAAAAATAAAACCAACCAATTTATATAAACCATTTTACATATATGATTAAATTATTTATTTATCATGTTTATTCTAAACTATAATAATTATATTTAACTCCAAAAAATTTGCTGTGAATATTTTATTTTTTAATGTGGATATGCGTCAATTTTACTTGTAATCAAGAAACTGTATTATCAGTAAACACTGATCGTTGTGCAGCTCAGCCAGCCAATGAAATCTTGATTGATTCCTCCATCCGGCCCGAGTCAATTGCTTATGAAGACTATTTCACTTGATATAGTTATATTAAATATATATTGGATGTATTTATTTGCTTAGGTATAAATTTTTTATTTTTTATTTTTTTACTAAACCGCTTTAAAGTTTCTCCAAATTGCACCAAATGGGACCAATGAGCTTGAACTTGTAAATTGTAGTTAAGGTTATAAATTCAAAGAGAAGGAACTTCCTGCAAAGGATAAAGAGTAGTGTTTGGAGAAGCTGAAAGTGTGAAGAAAAGTTAGCTTGCAATTAAGAGAGGGAGGGAGGGAGGGAGGGAGTGCACATGTGCCTTATGAAACTAAAGGCTTTTCCAATGCAAATTAAGACACTAAACCGTTATTGCTGCCAAGAAAAACAGAGTTTGTGTCTGTATAAAGATTAAGCATTTCATTATTGTGCAATCCCGAAGATTCCAGCATTATATTAAGTAGAATTATTGTTGTCAGATTTTCGTATTCCCTTCCTGACATTAATAGTACACAATGATAACAATTTCTGCATCTAAATTTTCTCATACAGGTTTGGTTTTTGCACTAGCATAACTGATTTCTATTTCTGCTGCAGGGGGAGACAGGAAAAATGTCAGCCAGTGATCCAAATTCTGCTATATATGTGACTGATTCGGCTAAAGAAATCAAGAACAAGGTATGGGTCCTGAAAAATGAGACACTCTCTCTTTCAAACACGCGACTGTGAATTACATAAACACACATAGATACGCGCACACATTTATTATGGTTTTATTCTCTCTCCTTTTGGCTACTGTTGACCAATGTCTCCATTTTTATCATTTATGACTCTTGTTTTTTTTGTATGAGGCTGATTTTGTCTGGTCATACTCTGATTGTATCATCTATTATATGCTTGGGTCTTTTATGTCTCTTAAAAGGAATGAGAGGGAAGGTTAAACAAGTTGGTATACTCCAAGTAAATACAGGCCTGGGCCCTATAATGGTTATCATGCTTAGAAATGCAGATGATTAGGTTAATAGGTTAATGGCACGTTTGTCAGGTGCTTTGCATGAATGCTTTTCTTTCTGGTCTTTTTTTATACTAATGGTAAGTTGTGATGCTGGCAACAGATAAACAGGTATGCATTCTCTGGTGGGCAAGATTCTTTAGAGAAACACAGAAAATATGGAGCAAATCTTGAGGTACTAAACCTTTCTGCTGAAGTTTGATGAAGGGAAAAAGACCCCCGCACACATCATGGAATGGGATGTGGGTTATGATATATATTTTTTATGTGTTTGATTCCTAATAGAATGAACTGTCATGATATATATTTTGTTCTTCAGGTAGATATACCAATCAAATATTTGAATTTTTTCCTGGAGGATGATGATGAGCTTGAACACATAAAGAAGGTATAACTTCTATTTCTAGTTTATTTTGCCATTCATGTAGTGAGGATTCCACACAGCCCTTTGTCTAACTTATTGTTTACATTACTAATTTGGATTATCCTAAGAAGAGTATCAACTTTCTTATTTTAGTTAAAAGTGAACAAGTCGAAATGTTATTTCGTCAATAATTTGCTTCAAATAATTCTCGACCTTGTGACTTTTAGACTAGACACTCGTTTTGGGGTAGGGAGAGTGCAATTGTTTGGGACCTCGCTGAAAATTGATTAGCGAAAAGATCTTCCTTGTAATTTTGAAGTTGTCCTTATTCAGGAATACGCTGCTGGACACATGCTAACAGGAGAGGTGAAGAAGCGCCTTGCTGAAGTTTTGACCGAATTGGTGGAAAGACATCGTTTGGCACGGTCTGCTGTGACTGATGAAGTAAGCTTTTTGCATACCGTCATTAAATCTACGCTAATAGACAGTAGATATAGAATTTTATATACATGATTATATTCAAATGAAGGATGTTGGAACTAATATTAGTTCTTGCTTTCTTTCAGATGGTGGATGCATTTATGGCAGTGAGACCTCTTCCCAATATGTTTGACTGAAGTTGAGGTAATGCTGGTGTTGTATTGAAAAGATTTTGCAATTGCTTTAAAAATTCTGGGAATTGCTTTACATTGATGTGGCCATTTTAAATATTACTAGTTCTTTTTACTTCCTAAATTACAGGGGAGAATTTTATTAGCAATTGAAAGAAGAGGAACCAGAAAATGGAAATTGCATTTTTTTTTCTTGTGGCATTTTATCATTGTATTCTTGAATATTTTCTCCAATCACAGAGTTCCCTTTCCATGGAGTTGAAAAGATTGGCTTACTACAGCTACTATAGATCTTTATTTATGTATAGGTAAAATACATCCGTGACTCTAAATTTTGTCATAATTAACACTTTTGTCCCTCTACTGAGTAGAGAAATGAAAATGTTAATTAGGGCATAATTAAGGACCCAGATGTATTCTATCCTAGTTCATATGATTAAAAGGTTATTGTAGTCTTTTTATTTTCAATTGGTGGTGAAAGTTCACTTTTTGTAAGGAAGGATCCGGTAGTGAGCCAGAAGTAATAAGTTAACAGACATCGTAGTTATTTTTTATGAATAAAGAGATAAAAGTGTTGATTAAGACATAATCTGAAGTATTAGAAAATAAATGTGATCTATAAAAGAATAACTTATCAATTAGAAAGACTATTAAGGTGAGATTTAAAATATATGCAAGGAAATATGCTTTTCGATATTTAAATTGATTTTCTATATGAAAAACAAAAACATGCTATGATTTTATTTCATGGTTCAAAGCTTTTTTTTTTTTAATTCTTTTGATTTTTGACATGGTTTTGTAGGCTTTGCAATCCCACATCCTATTGTTGATTTTTTTTAAATTAAAAAAAAAAAAAAGAAAATAAACTTATCAATTGTATGTTTAAATTAGGAAGAGATATAAATAGAAAACGTTAGGAAATTAAAACAATTAATTGCATGAGTGATTATAAATTAAATTTATACAAATAACAATTATAAATTTAGTATTTACCTTGCAAATCCGGTTTAACTCAATACAATGTGAACCATTCAATTTGATGAATTTAAAAATATAATGAAATTAGACCAATAAATTCACAAATAGTGTGAATTCACGGATTATTACTTCCTTTCTTAATGACTTTTCAGTCGCGCCTCTCTTCTCATCTCTTTTCAATATTGAAAGTTTTTTTATGTATTGAGAATGAAATCCTTGATCGGTCTTAAAGTCTCCCAAGCTTTTTACTTGTCTTGACCACCAGGGGTCAGGGCTTTGTGCAATAATTGTTGAACAGAGAGGTGCTTCTTTCATTGCAGAATTTTGGTGAAAGAGTCGTCTTGTTGCAGATGATTGTATTAGCATTAGCTACGTTGTTCATTCACATGCACTAATGTCTTTATGAAAGCATTTATCGCCTCCTTTTTAAAAGCTCACAGAAAGCTAATATTGCTTGAGGGTTACTGAGCCCTTAGTAGCTCCAACTAAGGCAACTCACTGGTTTTAACTGACCTGAACAAAGTATGATATTATCATTTCATTATTTAAACAACTAACACAAGTCACTTGTTTTAGTAGACTTGCCTTAGTTGAAACTACTATGGATAACCGAAATGGAAGCAGTTCCAACCAAGGCAAGTAAAAATACGTTATTCTTTTAATTTCAACTCATGTCCCTCTCCACTTTTTACGTTTAGCTCATAAATGTCATTACTTGACATACTGTCAGCTTATAAATATAGCGCAGTATAGAGCTTCTAAAGTTAATACTTCGATGATTTTGAACGATCAATAGGATTGACTTTCCTTCAGTATTAGAAACAAAACCTTAAAAATAAACATTTTGATGAAACAACAACTGTAAGTCTCTCTGTGAGAAGGGAAGCAATCGAAAGAAAATCTAAGAGGAAATCAGGTGCAAATAAATGAAAGTAAATTCATTCCCACTAACAAGGGATAAGTTTTGGTGTAACGTCAGGTGTTTATCAGAGGACACAGACGGAACAACACGGGGCCCTGGCCCCCTTCAAGCCCTCCCTCCCAGCACGTACACTTTCACTTTCTTTGTCTTAAATCATCTCCCTCCTCTCTCTCTCTCTCTCTCTCTCTGTCCAAACGGACTTAACTATGGTTCAATTGAATTAACCTCATCAAACATCACATCTTCTCTCTCTCTCCTTCCTCATGCTTTTGGCTAATCTTGTTACTTTAGTCCCACCGCCGGCTCCGCACAGTCGCCAATAATACTACTCTCTTCTGCATCATCCCTCAAGTTCCCATTTCAAAAGATAATATTTTGATTAGTGAGTATTTCTCTTATTTTCCTCTTTCTTTGTCTTTCTCTCTCAAACTTGAAATATAATTAATTAAGGGGAAGGAAAGAAAAAAAAAATAAAATAAAAGGGTCCGTCGGTGTTGTTTGATTGACCTTGAATCTATCTGGGAAAGAGGTAAATTGTTGTTTGATTTTTTGTTAAAGTTCAGTTTGAACTCTTTTTGTTCTTGAATTTTCTATTTTTGTTCTAGCTTTTTGCTATTTTCTTCTTCTTTTTCTCTTTTTATGTTTACTGGATCTCTCCGACTTGGAATCTTTTAGGTCTGGATCCTGGTTTCTCGTTTGGGTTTACTGTTAGATGTGGGTTATAGGATTAGACCAAGAATTTTTGTGTTCTTTTTTAGATCCAAGCTACTTGACCTCTATGTTATTACCTGAACAATTTCTTTTCTAGGAAAGTTGAAAACTTTCCCGGGAGGTACTTACATTCTGTCATAAACGGTGAGATCTGGGTGTTTCACTTGATTATCTGTTGGATGATAAGATTCATTTGATTTATAATCTAGTCATGGGCTTTAATATCAAAATTGGCTTTAATATCAAAATTGGTTACTTTAATCTCCTGCTAGTAAATCTATTCATATCTTTCAATAGAAAATAATTCAAGATTAATTTTTTTTATGAATTGGGAATATAAAATTTTCTGTTATGGAATTGATGTTTCATCAAAGTTTTTTAGTGGAATTAACTTGTCTCAATCAAAATTTGCTGAAATGATTGATATTTGAGATTTTGTGCATAAATATTCTGTAGTAAATAAGAAAATCTGAAATGGAATTTCTATTGAATTATTATACACAGGAAAGCATTTAGTTTTTTGCTGGGTTTTAGTATGTATTAACTTTTGCTGTTCTTAGCAGGCTTGAAAATACCGACAGAGTAAGATAGATAGGGTTTAAAGCCATTAGAGATCCCTACAAATTCAAGATGATGATGTTCGATGAGATGGGATTTCTTGGTGATATGGATTTCTTCTCTGCGCCTTTTGGAGAAGATGTGGCTGCTCCGCAAGCTGAGCCGGAGCCTACTGTGGAGGATGATTATAGTGATGAGGAGATTTATATTGATGAGCTTGAGCGCAGGATGTGGAGGGACAAGATGCGTCTTAAATGGCTGAAAGAGCAGATCAAGAGTAAAGAAGGTATTGATATTGCTAAGCAGAGGCAGTCACAGGAACAAGCTAGGAGGAAGAAGATGTCAAGGGCTCAAGATGGGATCTTAAAATATATGTTGAAGATGATGGAAGTTTGTAAAGCTCAAGGCTTTGTTTATGGGATTATTCCTGAGAAAGGAAAGCCAGTGACTGGGGCATCAGATAATCTTCGAGAGTGGTGGAAGGATAAAGTAAGGTTTGATCGAAATGGTCCGGCTGCCATTGCCAAGTATCAAGCGGATAATTCGATCCCAGGCAAGAATGAGGGTTGTAATTCAATTGGTCCAACTCCACATACCTTGCAGGAGCTTCAAGATACTACTTTGGGTTCGCTTTTGTCAGCTTTGATGCAGCACTGTGATCCTCCTCAGAGGCGGTTTCCATTGGAGAAAGGTATTCCTCCACCATGGTGGCCCAATGGAAATGAAGAGTGGTGGCCTCAATTAGGCTTACCTAAGGAACAGGGTCCTCCACCTTATAAGAAGCCTCATGACTTGAAAAAGGCATGGAAGGTTGGGGTTCTTACTGCAGTGATCAAACATATGTCTCCAGACATTGCCAAAATTCGCAAGCTTGTGAGACAGTCAAAGTGTTTACAGGACAAAATGACAGCTAAGGAGAGTGCAACTTGGCTTGCAATTATTAACCAAGAGGAGGCATTGGCCCGAGAGCTTTACCCTGATTCATGCCCACCCTTGTCATCGACTGGAGGGAGTGGTTCATTAGTGATTCATGATTGCAGTGAATATGATGTTGAAGGGGTTGAAAATGAGAAATTATTAACCAAGAGGAGGCATTGGCCCGAGAAAAGCTTTAACCTGATTCTGCCCACCCTTGTCATCGACTGGAGGGAAGTGGTTATTAGTGATTCAAATGATTGCAGTGAATAATGATGTTGGAAGGGGTTTGAAAAATGAAGTGGAAGGTAAAAAATACGTGGAGGGAACAAGAATGCGTCTAAATGGAGGGACAAGATGCGTCTTAAAAGGCTGAAAGAGCAGAACAAGAGTAAAGAAGGTATTGATATTGCTAAGCAGAGGCAGTCACAGGAAGAAGCTAGGAGGAAGAAGATGTCAAGGGCTCAAGATGGGATCTTCTTTTTACTTAGTAAATTATAGAGGAGAATTTTATTAGCAATTGAAAGAAGAGTAACCAGAAAATGGAAATTGCATCTTTTTTTTCGTGGCATTTTATCATTGCATTGTTGAATATTTTCTCCAGTCACAGAGTTCCCTTTCCATGGAGTTTAAAAGATTGGCTTACTGTAGATACTATAGATCTTTATTTATGTCTAGGTAAAATACATCTGTGACTCTAAATTATGTCATAATTAACACTTTTGTCCCTCTACTGATTAGAGAAATGAAAATGTTAATCAGGGCATAATTAAGGACCCACATGTATTCTACCCTAGTTCAATGATTAAAAGGTTATTGTAGTCTTTTTATTTTCAATTGCTGGTGAAAGTTCACTTTTTTGGAAGGAATAACTTATCAATTAGAAAGACTATTAGGGTGAAATTTAAAATATATGCAAGGAAATATGCTTAACCAAAAAAAAAATATGCTTAACCAAAAAAAAAAAAAAAATTTATATATATATATATTATATATATATATAATATATATATATATGAAGGTTTATATACAAAAAAAAAAAAAAAAATAAAAAAAAAAAAAAAAAAAAAGAGATGAAGGTCAAATTTGTCTTGCCATATTTTATTTTATATACCAAATGCTGAAAAATAATTTTCTTTAAAAAAGTACTTTTTGAGAAGTATACTTCGGGATAAATAATAATTTTTCTTTATTTTATTTTTAGATAATGTTAAAGATGAAAAACGAACTTTGAGGAGTGTCTTGATGTGGTCATTTGGGGAAACGCACTGGAGAGTTGATGACGGGCTAAAGTGGGCCTGAAACCGGACCAGGTTCAGTTGGCTGTTTCCAACTATGAAATAGACAATAATAGCCTCAAGACAAGGCTTACTGTTTACGTGCTTTGGTAACATGCACATGTTTGGTTTTCTACAGAACAAATCCCTTTTTCAGAAAAATTAATTATTTTATTCATTAATTATTTTACTGGCTGTTAATTATTTCAGTTGGTTGTTTTGTCAAACCTTATAAGCAATAACATCTAAAAATTATTATCTCAGTTTTATGATATTTGTTATATTGGAGAAATAATTTATTCTAAAATATTTGTTATATTTGTGATTTTAAGAGTAATAAATTTTTTTTTTTTTCATGTCTACCATTTGTATAGGTCTAACTATCATAACTTCAATTTAATAATTTTTTTTAAAAAAAATTAGTATTTAACGTCTGATTTATCAATAAACAGATTTTGTTGGTAGTTACCTACAAATTAGAAATTTTTATTGATAAAATTTATTTTTAAAATTAAAAAAGATCATATAATTTTAACGATCGATTATCGACAGAATAGATTACCAACAGAGTTTACCAATAAATTTAAATTTTATTGGCAAAAAGTGTGTTATAAATTTGCGCGTAGGTTGATAATTTATTAACAAATTACAAATAGATTTTTATAAAAATTTTAAATTTCAAGAGTCATAAATGGGCGGGTAAATGATGAAATTTGGCAACACTAAAATATATAAATTTATTTATGAACTTTTTCGAAAAAAAAAAAAATAAATGGGCGGGTAAATGATGAAATTTGGCAACACTAAAATATATAAATTTATTTATGAACTTTTTCGAAAAAAAAAAAAAGTGTGGATATAAATTTCAGGTGTCATAAATTGCTCCAAATAAGGCAAGTCACTAATTCTAACAGACTTGATGACATCTGCCTAACAAAGTAGGATATTTATCGTTTGATTATTTAAGCAACTAACGGAAGTCAGTTGTTTTAGCAGACTTGCCTTAGTTGGAACTACTAAAGGTTACGGAGAAGGTCATAGTTTCAACTGAGACAAGTAAAAACACGTTATTAAAGAAAACGGCGTCATTTCTTTCTAGTAATTCCAACTCATGTCCCTCTTCACTTCCTACGTTTAGCTCATAAATGTCATTACTTGATTTCCAATTTGAATTTAAGCTCAACTCATTTACGATTAGCGAGCCAAGTTCCATTTTTAAATGAATCAAACTCGAAATCAAGTATATCATAATCGAATGGAGCTTAAATTCATCAAAACTCGACTTTTCGATCAGTTCAGCTTGATTTGACTTATTTACAACCCTATCTAATCTCATTCTGTTTCGAGGACTATGATATATATCATGCTCCTCTTCCTTTATCAACGTGCTAGTCCAAACCAAGTTTGCTTCGTACTACTAAGAACTTATGGAGAATAACAATTACTCATAAATAAATATTGCACTTAAATAAACAAATGCTAAAGCATTTCTCATTCTTTATAAATAGGTAAGACTTAAAGAACGATTGTATTAACAATTTTACATTTTTTTTTTTGTATAAATGACAAAACAAAATTTTGATAGAAAAATTTAAAAGATATTATTTTTCTTAGGAATTTAGTAATTTTTTTAACTTGATATAATTATTGGGTATATTTAAAAAATATATATATATTATTTAAGGCCACAAAAAGGAGGTTAAACTAATTTTGGTTTAAGGCAATGAAATATCAATTAATTTTGGTTCGATTTCGAACTAAACCAAGCTGCAAGAACCAAAAATCGAAAATACATTTTACTTGAAATCGAACCGAACCAAAATGGTCAATCCGGTTTGATAGGTATGAATTCAGTTAAACGATTTGGTTTTACACATTAAATAAACGTTTGGTATAACCAATCCAAATACAGAAAATTGAAATTATGAAAAAATTTTAAACATAAGCCTAGACCAAAAACTGAATAATTGAACTAAAAATAAAAAATAATTTGGTTCGATTCGAGTTTTGATTTTTCCTAAAATCTGCTCACCCCAGTCAATTAGATTCCTAACCCATCACCAGATGTCCATTTTAATTTCGTGCGTAGTGCTTGGCTTACGCTGGCAGCTGTACAATTGACCAAATACAATTTATCTTGAAACTTTTAAGGATTATTTTATTTTAATTTCATGCAATTGGTAATTAGTTTTGCCGCAATGAAATGCTGCACGTGCTTAAAAAAAAAAAAGTAAAAAAGGTCTTTGACTTGATAAACACAAAGCATTTGATGTCACATCCCCAAGTCCGTGGATAATACAGTTACTATTAAACCCACGAAATGTTCCACAAATAAAATATAAATTGGAAAACCAAGTTAATATTTTAGTAGATATCCCTAATAATTTTTATATTTTTTAACTATTTAACAAGTGTTGAATTGATTTAATTTTATCAATTAAAATATTCGTTGCATTAAGTTGAAATATTTATTAAGTGTAATTTGTTAAATTAAAGTGCTTAATAAAATAAAATTTAAAAGTGTTACAGGAGATTTTATAAAAAATGCATATATAAATTTATTATTTCGCTCTAAAAATATAAAAATAAATTAGATATATTATTATTGAAAATATTTTATCGGAATATCATTTTTAATCTGATCGTAAAATTACGTTTGTGAAATAAAAACCACATTTATAGCAAATTAAGTTGAATTATACTGATTTGACAAAAATATTTTTCAATACAATCATAAATATTATTAATTTTATAGTGTTCATTTTTATTTTAGAAAAAAAAAAAAAACATTGAGGTTTCTCTAGTTGATGAAATATCCATCTACGGATAGTTCCACCTCTAAATATGGCATGGGTACCTAAAAATTTAAGATTTTTATAATTTCTCACCCTTTTTATTTATATTTAATTGATTTATGCAAATCAAATCACCAAAATTCTTACATGATATGATCTTTTTGAATTAAAATGTGTCATAACTTACAAAATAATATATATATATAAACAACTTATAAAATATATAAGGCTTGTTTTGGCAATACTAGCTCTTTTAGTAAGAATTTATTCGGCAATATTAGTTATTTTATAAGCTCTTTAAACTAGTAGTTGTTTATATAATAATTTAAATTAAAAATGCTCGATAAAAATAATTGTTTTGTTTAAAAAATTAGGATTACAATTATTAAAAAAATTATCTGAATACCACTTTCATTCTGAATATATATATAAATAAACCACAAAAATTAGTGTTTATGGGAGAATTAATTACAATTATAGATTTTTCATTATTTGTACAGAAAAACCTAACACATCCAAATCTTTCTTAATCACTTTTGATTTGCAATATCATCATCTTTTTCGTCTTCTTTTTCTAGTTTCACCTTCATTGTCTTATTGCTTCCTCGATAGGTGCCACTCGAACTTTCTTTTACCTTATTAGCTTAACTATTTCTGCTTTAATAAAATTCAAAATAAAAAAAATTAAATTCCAAAAAATATTAAAAAGTTCTAGAAGTATATAATAATTTTTTAAAAATATATTCCATTTCTTCAAACGAATAATAAACACTATAAAAAGAATAAAACCTATTCGAGTTGGTGGGATTTGAATCCTATAAAAGCAAACCACATGCATAAATGTTGACACGATAGCTCGCGGTATAAACATGAAAAGAAAAAAAAATTCTGTAAAAAGAATAAAATAATAATAATAATAATAAATTAAATTTAAAGCTATGCTCAAAAGAGAGATTAATAAATTTAGAAAAATATATATTTATTGAAAAAATAAAAATAAAAAAGAAGAATTATCAATAAGAATAAAATAAAATAAAAGGCTAGTAGTAGATATCATATAAATTTTTTCAAATTAATTGAAAAATAGACTGATATAGTATTAGGTCTAATTTAAGTAGTCTTTATACCCATTTAGGCAATAAAAATATATATGTTAAATCATTAATATCTTATTGGTATTTTTTTAAATTCCAGTGGTAAAAATCAAGTCTGAAATTTCCTTATTTACTCATTAAAAAATAAGAAAAAGTTCAAATTTTCATTCTAAATTTCTTCAATCAACGAAAGTCCTGAAATGGAATTCACTTTTTAAGTAAGGGATTTTTTAAGATTTTTCATTTACTTTATATTATTTAATTTCAAATATTTATAAATTTTAGTATTAATTACAAAAGATTTTCACAGACATTGTAATGTAGTTGGAAATTTTGATGTTTGAACGCTTTTGCCAAATAGCGATATAAATATTTACTCCCTCTATCTCAAAAAATTTATCATGTTTACTCTTACACGAAGTTTAAGAAACAAAATAATTACAGTGTAACATATTCCTTTATCTCAAAATATAATTCGTTTAAGGTTTTTGTATAAGAATTAAGGAAGTAATTAATTCTTCTTGATTATAATAAAATTAAAAGTAAATTGATTAAATAATCGTTTATATTAAAACTAATAGGTACTTGTGAAAGTTTTTGTTGTATCTAATGTAAACAACGGTAACATTAGAAAAATATTATTTATTTACTCATTGAAATATTCAAAATGACTTATATTTTAAAATAAAATAATTATACAAAAACGACTTATATATTGGGACAGAGGGAACATAAAATATTTGTGCTTCCAAAATTGTGATTCTTTTAAACAAAATGGTTATTTCTAAAAATTTGCACCAAAATCAGTTATAAAAAAAAAACATAAAAGGAAATATCAATATCTCCTCGATTAATTGGACAAACATTTTGAGACATTTAAAAATCAAAATATGGATTAAAATTTTTTGGTACGGAATGAGCATTATATTTTGTCATTGTTGATTATAAATTAAATTAACAGAAAGGGATGATACGTTTAGAAAAAAATTATTTATAAAAATTGAATTTTTAAGAAAACTGATCAGAAGTCATTAAAAATTGTTTAAAGACTAATAATATTTAACCTATAAAATAATTTAGATTTTCGTATTTATTTTTTTTTCTAAAATTTTCAATTGTTAATATAAGAAACAAAACCTTAAAAATAAACATTTTGATGAAACAACAACTGTAACTCTTATCTGTAAGAAGGGAAGCAATAGAAAGAAAATCTAGAGAAAATCAGGTGCAAATCAATGAAAGTAAATGCATTCCCACTAACAAGGGATAAGTTTTGGTGAAACGTCAGGTGTATATCAGAGGACACACACGCAACAACACGGAGCCCCTTCAAGCCCTCCCTCGCAGCACGTACACTTTCACTTTCACTTTCTTTGTCTTAAATAATCTCCTCTTCTCTCTCTCTCTCTCTCTCTCTCTCCAAACGGACATAACTATGGTTCAATTGAATTAACCTCATCAAACCTCACCTCTTCTCTCCCTCTCTCCCTCTCTCTCCTTCCTCATGCTTTCTTATATTTTTTTTGGCTAATCTTGTTACTTTAATCCCACCGCCCACTCCACACAGTCACCAATAATACTACTCTGTTCTGCATCATCCCTCAAGTTCCCATTTCAAAAGATAATATTTTGATTAGTGGTTATTTCTCTTATTTTCCTCTTTCTTTGTCTTTCTCTCTTAAACTTGAAATATAATTAATTAAGGGGAAGGAAAGAAAAAGAAAAGAAAATTAAAGGGTCTGTCGGTGTTGTTTGATTGACCTTGAATCTATCTGGGAAAGAGGTAAATTGTTGTTTGATTTTTTTTTTTTTTTTAAAGTTCAGTTTGAACTCTTTTTGTTCTTGAATTTTCTATTTTTGTTATAACTTTTTGCTATTTTCTTCTTCTTTTTCTCTTTTTACGTTTACTGGATCTCTCCGACTTGGAATCTTTTGGGTCTGGATTCTGGTTTCTCGTTTGGGTTTACTGTTAGATGTGGGTTTTAGGATTAGACCAAGAATTTTTGTGTTCTTTTTTAGATCCAAGCTACTTGACCTGTATGTTATTGCATGAACAATTTTTTTTCTAGGAAAGTTGAAAACTTTCCCGAGAGGTCCTTACCTTCTGTCATAAACGGTGAGATCTGGGTGTTTCACTTGATTATATGTTGGATGATAAGATTCATTTGATTTATGATCTAGTCTTGGGCTTTAATATCAAAATTGGTTACTTTAATCTGCTGCCAGTAAATCTATTTATATCTTTCAATAGAAAATAATTCAAGATTAATTTTTTTTATGAATTGGGAATATAAAATTTTCTGTTGTGGAATTGATGTTTCATCAAAGTTTTTTAGTGGAATTAATTTGTCTCGATCAAAATTTGCTGAAATGATTGATATTTGAGATTTTGTGCATAAATATTCTGTAGCAAATAAGAAAATCTGAAATGGAACTTCTATTGAATTGTTGAATTATGATACACAGGAAAGCATTTAGATTTTTGCTGGGTTTTAGTATGTATTAACTTTTGCTGTTCTTAGCAGGCTTGAAAATACCGACAGAGTAAGATAGATAGGGTTTAAAGCCATTAGAGGTCCCTACAAATTCAAGATGATGATGTTCGATGAGATGGGATTTTGTAGTGATATGGATTTCTTCTCTGCGCCTTTTGGAGAAGATGTGGCTGCTCCGCAAGCTGAGCCGGAGCCTACTGTGGAGGATGATTATAGTGATGAGGAGACTGATGTTGATGAGCTTGAGCGCAGGATGTGGAGGGACAAGATGCGTCTTAAAAGGCTGAAAGAGCAGAACAAGAGTAAAGAAGGTATTGATATTGCTAAGCAGAGGCAGTCACAGGAAAAGTGATGAGGAGACTGATGTTGGATGAGCGCTTGAGCGAGGATGTGGAGGGTAACAAGAATGCGTTCTTAAAAGGCTGAAAGAGCAGAACAAGAGTAAAGAAGGTTATGATATTGCTAAGCAGAAGGCAGTCAGCAGGACCAGCTAGGAGGAAGAAGATGTCAAGGGCCTCAAGATGGGAATTCTTTAAAAAATATATGTTGAAAGATGATGGAAGTTTGTAAAGCTCAAGGCTTTGTTTTATGGAGGGATTATTCCTGAGAAAGGAAGCCAGTGACTGGGGCATCAAGAATAATCTTTCGAGAGTGGTGGGAAGGATAAAGTCAAGGTTTGAATCCGAATGGTCCGGCTGCCCAATTGCCAAGATATCAAGCGGATAATTCGATCCCAGGCAAGAATGAGGTTGTAATTCAATTGGTCCAACTCCACATACGCTTGCAGGAGCTTCAAGATACTACTTTGGGTTGCTTTTTGTCAGCTTTGATGCAGCACTGTGATCCTCCTCAGAGGCGGTTCCATTGGCGAAAGGTATTCCTCCAACCCCTCAGAGGCGGTTTCCATTGGAGAAAGGTATTCCTCCACCATGGTGGCCCAATGGAAATGAAGAGTGGTGGCCTCAATTAGGCTTACCTAAGGAACAGGGTCCTCCACCTTATAAGAAGCCTCATGACTTGAAAAAGGCATGGAAGGTTGGGGTTCTTACTGCAGTGATCAAACATATGTCTCCAGACATTGCCAAAATTCGCAAGCTTGTGAGACAGTCAAAGTGTTTACAGGACAAAATGACAGCTAAGGAGAGTGCAACTTGGCTTGCAATTATTAACCAAGAGGAGGCATTGGCCCGAGAGCTTTACCCTGATTCATGCCCACCCTTGTCATCGACTGGAGGGAGTGGTTCATTAGTGATTCATGATTGCAGTGAATATGATGTTGAAGGGGTTGAAAATGAGCCGAACTTTGATGTGCAAGAGTGCAAACCTGAGAATCTGAATTCCAATTTGGGAATGGAGAGAATGAGGGAAAGGCTTCCACTTCGACAACCTTCTTATCCGATTAAGGGAGAGATTGTCACTAATGTTGATTTTATTAGGAAGAGAAAACCTCCCAGTGATATAGACATGATGGTGGATCAGAAGATATATACATGTGAGTTTGTTCAATGTCCTTACAGTCAACTCCGTCTTGGTTTTAATGATAGGGCTTCTAGGGACAATCATCAATTAAATTGCCCATATAGATGCTCTCTGGACTTTGGAGGATCAAATTTTCACTGTAATGAAGTGAAGCCTGTTATCTTTCCTCATCCAAAGCCAGCTCCTCTAATGGTGAATGCAGCTCCACCTACTTTCGATCTATCAGGAGTTCCGGAAGATGGGCAAAAGATGATCAGTGAACTCATGTCAATCTATGACACTAACATCCAAGGAAACAAGAATACAAATGCTGGCAACAATGGGGTCAATGTCAATGAAAGTCACAGTCTTTTCCAGCCAAAAATTCACCATCATCATCAACCGGACAACTACTTCCGAGGTCAAGCGAATGTGATAGAGGGAAATATTTTTGAAGAATCCAATATTCATAATAACCATCAAATGTTTTCTCAGGATAGTAATCAATTTGAAAGGTTTAAAGCTTTGAATTCTCCATTTGAGAGCAACCACCACCCCACCGCCGCCGCCACCAACAACAGCAGCTTTAAGTTCGGATCTCCATTCGATTTAGCTTCCTTTGACTACAAAGAAGACTTGCAAGGCTTGGTAATGGATGCTCTGCCAAAACAGCAGGATGTTTCAATCTGGTTCCAGTGAAGAAATAAACACACAGATTTCGAATCACTCTCCATATGAGAGATGAACTATCTTTTATCTTGTTTAGGCTCTGCAAAATCCAGTGAAAGCTTCACTGGCTTTTAAGAACTGTTTTATCATTTAAATGTATTTCCCTTATCTTTGTAGTTCTAGAAGATTTAGATAGCTATAAGCAATGGCAAGCAATGGGCTAATAAAGAAGTTAGCAAAGTCCCAAAAATCGCCTCTTGCCGTTGATTACTATAATTATATACACAATATAAGACTGTGAAATAAATAAGTAATTAGTGTTTTGCTGTATTTTATTGTTGTGGGTTTCATCAGTTCAGCCCTTGTGGTCAGGAATCTGATGGCAAGTGTTTGTTTAAGTTGTCTTGTAATGGAAAGGGTTTGTCATTTTATGGATCTTGTTGGTCTGCCCATGTGAATTCTGAGACACACAACAGAGCAGTTAGGTTTGAAGATGCCAAGTTGACTAGCACTTGTTTGTGTGATGGCATGTTTCGCATTGTGGATCATTATTACTTTTTTTTTTTCTTCCAAAAATAGATATCTTTTTATAGAAAAAAAAATGGAAATAAAAGGTTTCAAACTAATTTTCCTTTCATTTCTTGTTTTATTTTTAATTTAATAATTTATTATAATAATTTATTAAATAAATTGCTTGTTTTATTTTTAATTTAATATATTCAGATGGATTCAAATTAATTATAAATAATGTATAAAGAGTAAATATGAAAAAAAAAAAAATTAATACTTTTGAAACAACAATGTCGCTATTTTTGAAAGAAAAGCAGTGATAGGAGGGTGGTGGCGGTGTAGGGTTTTTATTTTTATAATTGAAGAGAGGAGATGCGATAGGGTGGCGGCGGAGGAAGCGGTGGTGGGGAGGTTGTGTTCAAAGGTTCAAGAGGGGCGGCTGGGTTTGGAAGCTTTTGGGGATTTTTTTCAAGCTTTGATGGCAATGTTTGGCCAGTTGTCAACATACTTTGGCGTGTTAGACTAAAAAAAAGTTCGGAACTTATCACTTCACTATGTGTGGGTCCCATTTTTTTCCTTTTTTTTTTTTTTTAAATAATACAATAATCGGTTGAAAGTTGAAACTAGACGTCGCTTTTACAGGATGGATTTTAGTGTTGACAACTTTTGCGTGTTCTCTATTGTTATAGCCGTTCGATCAGCATATGTGATTTGTGATTGTGAACATCTCCGCATAAAAATAAATTTTTTTTCTGAAATAATAAAAAATAAATTTTTTTTCTGAAAATAATAGAATTTTATATATATATATATATATATATATAATATATAAGAATTAGGCATGTTCGTGGTCGTTGCGAACGAATTTTTTAATATTTATATCTGCTAACTAAAAAAATATCTATTTTACTATTCGTGATGTATTAAGGTAAATCACGTTGGAGTGATGTATTAAGGTAAATCATGTTGGAAGACGAATTAAGTCGGATTAAAAAATAAAAATAAAATAGCTTTTTTTTTTTAAAAAAAAAACATGAATAAAAGTATATTCATGTAGAATTTGTATGATTAAATTTACACGTGTTCTTTTGAAATTGAAATTAATATATACATTCTTATGATTAAAATGAACATCCTTAAAAAATATTAAATGAATGACGATATTTTTTAATTAAAATATTAAATTAAATTAAAGTAAGGTGTTTTTTTTATGAATTTTCTGATTTTTAATGTAAATGGTAAAAAAATATTTACCTTTCGATTTAATTTCATCATTAAATCCTCAAGCAAGATGAAAAGTAAACAGCACGTGAGAAGTCTAAATTTTATTTATTTATTATAAAATATTTGAACCATATCCAAAGCAAGTACTCCAATTATTTGAGGTCTATTGGCAGTCATAAGTTATTGATTTTCTTTTTTTTTTTTTTTTTTTTTTTTTTTATAATATTTTCTTAGGAAATTAAAATAACCACACGTTATGGAAACTTTAGTTTGTCTCATCTCCTTTGGTTTTTTAGCGGCAGCCGTGTAGCTTACGGCATGTTTGGAATTGTTTTGCTTTTCTTAGAATGAGTTCATAACATCTGACTTCGTTTTTTTTTTTTTTTTTTTTTTTATAATATTTTCCTTAGGAAATTAAAATAACCACACAGTATGAAACTTTAGTTTGTCTCATCTCCTTTGTTTTTTAGCGGCAGCCGTGTAGCTTACGGCATGTTTGGCATTGTTTGCTTTTCTTAGAAAATGAGTTCATAACATCTGACTTCGTATGAAAAATATATTAAGCTTAAGGATGACAATGGATCGGATTATGGAAAAATTACTCTTATTTAAATTAAAATAACGTATAATTCATTTTCAAATCTACGCAAATAAATAGGTGCTTTGCAATAAATAAAATTTTAATTTTTTAATATATAACGTGGTAAGATAATCAAATCATTTACTTGATAAAATCTCAATTGAAATTTATTTTTAAACAAAGCAGATCATCTCTGACCATAAACTAAAATTCGATGATTATTGATGAATAAACTCAAGCAATTTTTGGACGAACTCGAAAGTTCTTAAATAGCATGAAACAAAAATAATTAATATATCTATACCATAAACATAATTATTTCTTTTATATTTTATAAAGTTTTTTATGAAATACAAAAGGTAAAATAAATTCTTAATATATAAAATAATTATGAATATATAATATTGAGTTAAAATGTTGCTATTAGATATAAAAAAGTATATTAAAATTTATAATTTAATTAATTAAATAAGCTCGTGAACAAGTTTGAGTTCGTTGTGAAAATTAACAAATCGTGGTTGAAATAAATTTTGAGCTTCATATTAAACTAAAACTCAACTTGAGCTCGAATTACATATTATCAAATAATGTTATACTCAACTCATTTATAATCGTATATACGCATCGTGTATTGTAGTACATATATTAATTCAACTCTAATTGGGGATTTAAAAACTAAAAATTTTAGTTGGACAAACATCGAAAAAAAGGAGTATTTATTAAACGTTGTTGTCACTTAGGTTTAACCATATACATACAAAGCAACTTAAATTCAAATAAAACAAATTCCATAAAACAAAATAATTAATTTTGTCTCTTTATTTTCTTTTTATTATTTGAAAATTTCAATGCTAATTACAATAATAATTTTCTACTTTCAATTCTTCAAATGCAAACGCCTAGTGATTGCTTCACCGGTTTGACAAATGCAATCAAATTCTTGAATCATTTGTGCAAGATTTGGTGGAATGGTTCCACCTCCCATTCTATTATCTCTACAATTTACCACATTAATCTTAGCACTTGTTAGGGAAAGATCTATGTTTGAAAATTTCTTAGTGATCACACATGTTTTCGATACTTGCATGGCATTAACCGCAATAGCAAAATATATTGAACAAGATGAATATCGGGCTTTCAAGACGTGATCTTTCGTCGATTGATCGAGCGATGTAGTTATGGCAATAATCTCTTGAAGCTTAGTATTCGCCGTGTCGATTACCATTTGCGCTAAACCGTATAGATCCATTGTTTTCGTCTCGGGATGTGATGATAGAAGATTTATGCAAAATTGAGCGTTATGCTCGACTTTCGAGCATATCTCCATAATTTTCTCATCGGTGACGACAACATGAGCCGCAGAGGAATTAGCAATGGTTAGAACTAGTAGGGAAATACAAAGTATAGTAGAAGCAAAGCCATGGGAGGATAATGCCATTTCTTTAATTAGGTTTTCTTTGCATTGGAGTTTAAGGATTTAGGGTCTTATATAGTAGTTATAAGGTTGGTAATACTTGATCAAGCTTTTACCACGCTAATTGCCTAAATATGAAAACTTATTTATAGTCATGACTATAAATACTTTTTTTCCATTATTTGTGGCTTGAAACTAGAAATTAATAGCTACAAATCAACTCAAGCTAATATTAATAAACTATAAGTCCGCATGACTTTTAGAGAAGCTAAATTCTTAAACCCATTAGCTCGAGAAATTTTTAGTTAGACTTAGTCTACGACGTCAGCTATAGACCATCTAATGAAATATAGTCATATCAATAATTTTTTTTAGCTTATCTCTGTTAGTTCATTCACGTTTCGGCTTTTATAACTCTTAAGGAAACTAAACTATCATAATACAAAATTGCCTAATATATCATACTATTCCGAGCTTTTCGGCTTCTATAACTCTTAAGGAAACTAAACTCTTAAACCTATTATTAATTAGCAATATTTAAAACTATCATAACACAAATAGTGCAATGTATCATAATATCCCAAACCTTTCAAGCTTTTGTAACTTTTAAGAAAACTAAACTTTAAATTTATTAGCACCACCAACTTAGCAAATAGCAACGTTTAAAACTAATTAGCAATATTTAAAACTATCATAATACAAAATGACCTAATATATCATAATATCCCAAACTTTCAGCTTTCGTAACTTTTAAGGAAATTAAAGTACTCTTAAGCCTATTAACACCACCAACTTTACAAGTAGCAACATTTAAAATTAATTAGCGATATTTAAAATTGCAATCGCATAAAACGACATATTTTATCATAATATTCCGAACTCCGACAAAAAAACTAAACTCTTAAACCTATTATCATCACCAACTTAACAAATACCAACATCGAAAACTAATTATACATTATAAATTGGTACATCCCTATAGGACACCCAAATTATAAATTGGTACTAGAGTAAAAACCCTAAAGTTTTTAATTATTCTTTTGTTGATTGTTTATTTTACCTTATGTAGGTCACGATATAAATTGCTATCTTGTGAATAAAAGATTGTAAATAATAATTATCAAATCAACCACCACTTTACAATATGGAGAGGCAATTATAAATTCAAATGACATTGTTCGTCGTATGTACCATTAGACCGACACATTTTTTCTTTAATTTTTTTTTTATTATTTTTCCTTTTCTTTAATGTATAAAAACAAGCATTGCAGACCACCAAGAACATGCCAAGATAGACACCTTGCACTAAAAACAAAATCCCCACTTATTGAAATGAAATTAGATTATATCTTCTAAATGAAATTTATCTCCAAACAGAACATTTTAAATTTTATGCTCGTGGTTATTGAAAGAACTTTATTATCTTAATACGTTATCCCGAATATAAAAAAAAATTATATATTTTTAAAGAATTTTATGAACAAGGTGAATATATAAACACAAGATGATTATCAAATATAATAAACTAAAATAGAGAGATCCTTTATGGTAGGGACTCCAAAATTATTTTTTTAAAAGGAAATTAGCAAAAGAAGAGAAATACATGAACAAAGCAGTTAGAACAGGTATGACAGGTCATAAAGCTAACCCTATGTTTCAAGAAATTGAAACAAATCTTTCCATTGACCTTAATTAAATTAAAAGCTTTTAGTTTCATTTTTTAGGCATTAGTCTATGTACTTGAGGCTACACTTCTGGCATAAGAATATGCAAAATGACAGCTACAAGTCTTATTAATAATTTTTTAATTAGCTGAGTTTTTTTAGCCAATAAATCAATTTTTAATTCTAATTCATAGCATAAATATTGAATATTAATAAATTTTTTTAATTAGGTGAGTTTTTTTTAGCCAATTAAATTCAATTTTTAATTCTAATTCATAGCAATAAATATTGAATATATATATATATATATATATATATATATATATATATATATATATAATATATATATATATATATAATATTAATTAAAATAATAGAATGGTCATCCTCAAAAATGCCCTAATCATTATTATATTTTGAATTGACTTTTCATGAATCTCGAAAAAAACATTTGGTGACAGAACCCTTTTATATATATTAAAATATAGATGGTCATCCTCAAAATGCCTATCAATTATTATATTTGATTGACTTTTCATGATCTCGAAAACATTTGGTGACATGAACCCTTTCATTTTATTTTATGACAAAGTTTCTTTATCTAGTTGACTGCCCATGAATTTTCTAGGGACAAAACAATTATTCAAGAGTCGACCGAAAAAATATAATCATTAAAATTTATTTAATAAGCTTGATGAGCTAATTTCAAATTTGTTTATTAAGTTTATTTAATAAATGAATCAATCTCGACTTATAGTTTGAGGCTTTTTTATAATTTTTTTTAAATTATAAGCTAGCGAAACTCATTTATGTTGAGTATACGTAAACGAGTATTAATAAGTTTCAACTAATTTTATTTGTTTAATACTTTTTTAAAATAATATTATATGATTTGTTTCATATAAGAACAAATAATTATTAAATAAATTATTATTATTTTCATTTTTTAAATAACTAAATAATTTATTATAATTAATTAATTTTCTTTTATTTTTCATAGTTAAATCTAAAACCCTATTCTAGGAACAATTCCGAAAAGATGGGTCAAATTTATGCGTAACAAAAATAAACAGATTGGGCTTTGTCAACTTTATGGGCCTTCTGTTCTATGGACACACTTATATTATATATTCAGAAGATGAGCCTAATATTTGTGTACAAAATGGGCTGGACTTTGATAAGATAGAGGGTCTTTTGTCCAATAAGTACTCTCTAAATCCTACTTGGGAGGTGTTTGCTATAACATTAATGCTAAGTAAAACTTGTGACTTAGAGAGTTGATACACGTAGCCTATTATTGCTTTTATCAAAAGGTTATTTCCGCAGCTCAAATCTATTTTTTCAATATTATAAATTTAACTATAAACTCGCAGAATAAATGAATATATATTAACCTTTAAAAGTATATTCGCTTATTATAAATTTATAAAATTTCAATATGTCAGTAATTCAATCGGATTCGAGCAGAATTTAGTTAATTTAAGAGGCTAAAAATACTTGTCTAGCTAATGAAAAAAACAAAAAAGAAAAGAAAAAGTTATCAACCTTCGGATTTAAAAACTAAATTTGTCCAATAAAAATATATTGATAATATAAAATATAATCCAATCCTTATTTTTATGTAAAAATATTCTTATAGGAGCTAATCTCTAAAATTTATCTCTTGAAAATTTAAACACATAATAGATAGTTTGACAAATAATAAATATATGGATCATTAAATGACTTGCGTATTGGGATCAGTAAGATGTGGTAGAAAGTTTGTAAAAGACAAGGAGAAGAAAAACAGGTAATTACCAGTCAAATCCCCAGCTAACTCAAAATCAATATTTATATATCCTTAGCATTTAACACTTACCCACAAGTGAATCTGTCCTTTTCTTGTAGAGTTATTGCACATTGCAATTTGGCATAACAATAATAGTGTAACAAGCTAACAGCACTCACCTACTCCTACTGCTGCTAGTGCTGCTGCTGCTCACTCTCTTTCTGATATGACTGTACTTTCTCTCTGAATCTCACTGGTTTTTGCATTCTTTGTTATGTTTGTTTTGTCTCTGCTTCTTCAAGAAGTTCACTTTCTTTCTTGTTCTTGAGTACGCACTTCCATTTCATTATCTTCTTTTACTTCCAAAAGCTTTAGTTCCGCTCATTTCAAGAAATGCTTGAAATGATAGGTATTTGTGGAAAGTTATTCTTTTGCTAACCATTTGTGTTTCCTTTACGTTCTTGTTCTCTAGGCTGCTTAACTGAAAAAAGAAATGTAGATTCTTGTGCTTGTTTCATTTCTTTACTTCTTGCTGATTTGCTTAGCTGCTTTTGTTATTTATGTTAGCTATTGGGTTTCTATTTTTCTTCTTTTTGTGACGTACTTTTTGTTGCAGTGAATCTATTATTTCCATTTATGAGAAAATGGATTTATGAATTTAGCAGTTCTTGAGCTGTGAAGTTCAATTTTAGTATGTTTTATTTTTTATAGTCTTTGGTTCAATTTAGTCTTCCACTACTCCTTACTTTTTGACCAATGCATTTGAGTTTTCCTGTAGATTCGCGTAGGCTGTGATTATATTGTTGATTTGTTACTTGTATAGTACTTCCTTCTTGCAAATTGGGTCGATTTCTTTTCCCCTCTCAAACTGGTTCTTTTAATCCGGTTTGGTGTATTCCCATTATCTCTCTCGTTGAAATTTGTGATTTTGGACCCTTGTTGAAGCAATGCAGATAACCAGTTTGATGTTGTTCTTATTAGTAGTGAATGCTTTTGGACAATCAGATTTTGAAGCACTGTTGGAACTCAAAAAGGGTATTGAGAAAGACCCATCTGGGGAAGTTCTTGTTTCATGGGATTCTAAGTCTCTGGCATCTGATGGTTGTCCACTGAACTGGTATGGAGTTGTCTGCATTGATGGTCACGTAGCTTCCCTTACTCTGAATGACATAGGCCTTGTTGGCAATTTTAGTTTCCCAGTTCTTACTGGTCTTAAAATGCTTAGAAACTTATCAATTTCGAATAACCAATTTGTGGGAACTGTTTCAAATGTTGGTTCTATCGAGTCCCTAGAGTATTTTGATATTTCTCGCAATTTGTTTCATGGGTTCTTACCCTTTGGCATAGTCAAGTTAAAGAATTTAGTGCTTTTGAATCTTTCTTCAAATAATTTTCAAGGCATGATTCTTTCTGGTTTTGGCAGTCTTGAGATGTTGAAATATTTAGATTTGAGAAGTAATAGCTTTTCTGGTGATATAATGGATCTTCTTTCCAAGTTGGGCAATGTGCTTCATGTCGACCTAAGCAGCAATCAGTTCTCTGGTTCTTTGGATTTGGGACTTGGGAATAGCCGTTTTATTTCGTCAATTGTATATTTGAATATAAGTCATAATTCTGTGGTTGGAAAGCTCTTTGCTCATGATGGAATGCCATATTTTGACAGTTTAGAGGTCTTTGATGCCAGTAATAACCAGATAGCTGGTGAAATACCTCCATTTCAATTTGTTGTCTCTCTTCGGATTCTTAGGCTTGGAAATAACCAGTTAACAGGATCTCTTCCTGAAGCTCTTTTACAAGATAAATCAATGGTATTGTCTGAACTGGATCTTAGCCTTAATCGACTTGAAGGTACCTGATTCCAACAGTTCACCGTTTCCCTCTCTTTTCCCTTTCCTTTTTTCTTTCTATTTTCTCATAGTTCTGGTGAATTTATGTAAAATGATTTTTTGTTTTTTTCATGCTAGTTATTCCTGCATTAAACTTGCATTTGAGATTAACATTAACATTTGAAACTATTATTCAATTAAGAGTTGCGATAAGAAACATATGCAGCTCTACTCTTGCAAATTTGTATCCGGTATAAAAACTGATTGAAAGGCAAAAATAGCTTTACCTATCAATTTAAAGTGAAAAATGCTCACCTTTATAGCATATCTTTGCTAAAGCTATTTAAGAGTTTACTCTATCATTGATTAGAGTTTGTTCAGTTTACTCTTTGGAGTTTTGCTTGATTCTATAATATGCTAGGTTGCATCAACCATTGTTAATATTTTAGGCTCTAGATATAGAATAACATCCTGTCATTTTTCCTCAAATATAATTTTAGCAACTTTGGCATGTGAGCAGGAAAAACGTAGCCTTCTACAGTTTATGTTTGAACGTGGAAGTAAATATAAAAGCCCACCACATAGTGAAACAGCAATCATATCAAAGAAAGTGTATTGCAATGTCAGTTTCCTGAAAATCATTATCATATAAATACATATCATCGCAGTTAGAAAATTCGAACTGATTCAGGATGTGAAGAGATCTCTATCATCACAGTTTTTGCAGGTTTTCCATGTTGGTTGATGTAGTCATTATCTCTCAAAAGTTGCATCTGCTTTGAATTTCAGTTTCTCAACATGCCATTATATCTATGCATATAAAATTTTAAAGGATTAACATGTTTTGCAGGTCCACTTCGAAGTATCACTTCTGGAACTCTGAAGAATTTAAATTTGTCTTCAAATAAACTGTCAGGTTTCTTACCTGCCACTGTAGGATATTGTGCTGTTATAGATCTGAGTAATAATCTGTTTTCTGGGGTTTTGTCAAGAATGCAGAACTGGGGAAATTATGTCGAAGTTATCCAGTTGAGTAACAATTCATTGACAGGAAGTTTGCCTAACCAAACTTCTCAATTCCTGAGGTTGATTTCTCTCAAGATATCAAGGAACTCATTGAATGGTGAACTTCCATTAGTGTTGGGTACATACTCACAACTGAAAGTTGTTGATCTTAGCCTTAATAATCTTAGTGGGTTCCTTCCTCCAAGCCTCTTCAACTCATCAACATTGACTGATCTCATCCTGTCAGCCAACAATTTCACTGGGCCAATCCCACTTCAGGAAATACAAGTTTCCACCCAGAACCTTAACTTGCAGTCTCTCGATTTGTCATATAATTCCTTAGATGGAAATGTGCCCCTTCAAATCAGCAAGTTCCACAACTTGGTGATTCTTAACTTATCCAACAATAAACTCAAAGGCACCATCCCAGGGGACCTTCCAGATGGATTGAAAGAATTTAATGTGTCTTCTAACAATCTCTCTGGTGTGATCCCTGATAACTTAAGGCGGTTTCCTGATTCAGCTTTCCATCCTGGAAATTCCCTGTTGATTTTTCCTAATTTGCCACTGTCGCCTGGGGGTGCTCCAGAGCTGTCTTCGAGGGATCATAGATCTCAAATGAAACCTGCTATTAAAATTTCTCTTATAGTTGGTATCGTTGGCATTGCTGCTCTAATAGCTATTTCATGCATAATGATTCACTACAGGAATCATAGGCAGAATAAAAATCTTAGAAGTTTGAAAGGAGATGAGGGAAATGAAGCAGTTACACAAGAGCATTCTTCCATTTCTCATACCCTAGCAAGTAACAAAAATTTGGACCAATCATTATCATCATCTAGTATCCATCAAAGTCTTCATCCGTCATCACATGTAGGGTCAGCATATCAACCTGGGGACACATCATCAGCTATATGGAAGCCTAATGATCCGGAATCAATAAGGAAATATGAAGGATTATCTTCTCCCTTGTCTGTTTTGTCATCTTCAAATCCATCACCCTCTAAAAGCCAGCTTTCATCTGAATATCCTGGTGGTCTTCAGGTATATTCTCCAGAAAGATTGGCTGGGGATTTACATTTGTTTGATGGCTCCCTAGTGTTCACAGCACAAGAACTTTCACGTGCTCCAGCAGAAGTTATTGGGAGGAGTTGCCATGGTAGTTTATATAAGGCAACACTTGACTCTGGTAATGTGTTGGCTGTAAAATGGTTAAAAGAGGGAATAGCCAAAGGGAAAAAGGAATTCTCAAGGGAAGTAAAAAAACTTGGGAACATCAGACATCCAAATTTAGTTTCTCTTCAAGGTTACTTCTGGGGCCCAAAGGACCATGAGAAGATGATAATATCTAAATATATAAATGCACAATGTATAGCCTTCTATTTTCAAGGTAAGATACCATTTCTGAAATGTGAATTTATGATATTTTCTTATTCTGGATCAAATTTGTGTTTTAAATTGTGCATTTACTTGGACGGTTTGCACTAGTATCCAATTAATTTCCACACTGAATATTTTATGTTTAGAGTGATATGCAATTTATCCCTATCAGACAAATCTATCTATGTTCCATGCACGTATTAATCATTTCATATCTAGAAAAGTGGAAAAGGATCTACTTACACTAGTGAAAAATCAATAAGCCTTTTAGACAAATAATCTGATATGATTCATTATTTCATTTGTAATGCAAGAATTTTGCTTGTAATTAGATTCAGAAAAAAATTTGGTTTCAGAAAATTCTTTGGATGACAAACTTTAAATGGTACGATCTATATAATAGATTGTCACTTTGACTGCATATGATTATTCCTCACCCATCCTGTTTTTCCTTGCCCATCTTTTGATTCTGGAATGTTTCATCACAATTACTCCACTTGACTTTTTGTAATCTGATATTTTGGCGTAAGAGAGGGGGAAGCTGGGATTTAAACCCTCAACTACTTGAGGCAGGTGCTTGACCACCGGACTACTGGCGTAATGGTTTTTCTGCGATTTTTGTATGCATTTTTTAAGTCATCTTTTTTTTTTTTTTTTAGTTCTTGAAACGAGTAACAGCGTTCTTTAGCTTTCTTAATTGGGATTTTTTAAGATATTGGAGTGCCATAGAGGAAGAGAAACAGAATTGGCAGGAGAGAGATTATTTTCCATCAAATATTATTTGCCTATTTGTTCTATAGGTTGTTCAGCTTTATGGTCAATATATGCCTCATGGCTTCTAGTTGTGACTGAATTTTAATCCTATATCCTCTTTGCCAGAAGAGAATCTATATTTCATAGGGATATTGTGTTGTCCTTTTCTTCCTATTTCATGCATTTTTCATTTTAAAAAGGAATTCACTTTTGCAGATACAGAGCCAAGGAAACTCCCACCTTTATCTCTCGATAATCGGCTCAACATTGCTGTTAATGTTGGTCGATGTCTGAACTACATGCACAATGAGAGAGCAATACCCCATGGAAATCTCAAATCCACAAACATTTTATTAGAACCTCCAAACATGAATCCATTGCTTACAGATTACAGTCTCCACCGCATACTGACATCAGCTGGCACAGCAGAACAAGTTTTAAATGCAGGTGCTCTTGGTTACCGACCCCCCGAATTTGCTAGCTCCAGTAAACCCTGCCCATCATTAAAGAGCGATGTCTATGCATTTGGGGTTATTCTGTTGGAGCTCCTAACCGGAAAATGTTCAGGAGAAATTGTTTCTGCAAACCCAGGAGGAGTTGATCTGACAGAATGGGTAAGGTTAATGGCTGAAGAAAACCATTCAGACAAGTGCTTTGATAAACTGCTTGTAGATGGACCAAATGTAGAGGCACCCAGGATTCTTGGAGAAATGCTGCAAGTGGCTTTAAAATGTATCCTACCAGCAGCTGAGAGGCCTGACATAAAATCAGTTTTTGAAGATTTGTCTATGATAGTTTTATAAAAGGCCTCTCTTCAAGACATTCTAACTGCAGCCTCTGTCACTAACCCCTTTTTCTTCTCCATTTATTTATTGAAGCTTCTAATTTGTTTCTTTACAATGTTAATGTTTTGAATCTGCTCTTGGTCCTGTGAATAATGCCATTGGATAGGGTATTGTTAGCTAGTGGGAAGGAAATAAATTTTCCTTTTTTTCTTTTTTAGATTGTTGGGTTAATTCATTCTTTTTAGCCCTTTCCTGTAATGTAATCTCCATTGATGATACTTTTACCATTCAGAAAGAATATTCATTGAGGCCTATATTTAAGATTACATTTGTTTATTATAGTTTCGAGATTGCTATGCTAAATAGATAGCATATAAAATCAATCAGCAAACATATAAATAATATTAAATAGAAAATCTAAAACATAAATCTTTTTATATAGAAAATTTTCAATTTTTTTCCAAGTTACAGTACTTCAAGAATTTATAATGTTTAGTTTTGCCTTTTTCTTCTTAATGGTTAGTCTCCAAAAACCTATAAATCCAACTGCTGCTCAAAAATGGAATTTGACCGGCCAGCGATTATGGGTACTGCAATTATTCCAGCAAACCTCCAATTGTACCAATACAACAGATTAGAAATAATTGTTTATATTAATCGATTCCAACGAGTGGATTCTCTGACTGTAAATTCATTCCATACCGGAACACACGCTTAACATTTTCATTATTGAAAAATGAAAGGTAGAGGCAAATTGGTAAAAATTAGAATACATAAATTGAAAATATATAATACAAATTTACTTGAATTTGGATCAACAATACTAGAATGTTAATACTAACAGATTAGAGTTAATGTAAAAAGTATGAAAATGAAAATGAAATTGAAACTTTGTCGGTTGCGTTTGCCGAGAAAGGATAACGCCAACTGCTTTGACTTCTGTACGCGGTACAAGGAATTCCGAACCTGACCCCTCCATTTTTTGTTTTTTAGCATTTAATCAAAATTTGATTAATGAAAATTTAGGTAATTACAATGACGATAATGCCCTTTTTATAAAACATGTGTATTAAAAAAGTAAAAAATTTTTATAACATGAAATGGAAATTTAATTATTAAAATTATTGATAATGTTTGATATTTTTATTTTTTAACTCACATAAATAAATTAAATAATTATTTATTTACATGTGTTAAAAATTAGGTATCAATTTTAAATTTTTATATTACAAGATAATTGAATTCACTTCGGTCAAGTGTATTGAGAAAATTTTTTAGAAATAAAATTTTCTGTGAAATTAAGGTTCAAAACTATTATTTATTTGAATTTTAAGTTTTTTTTAATTATTTATTTATGTTGATTTGTTTGTTTAAAGTTTTACTTTCTTATATTATTTTCTGATTTTGCTAGCTAATGCATTTACTTTAACTTTCCTTTTAAAAAAAAATCAAAATTTAAATTCATGAGATTGACTACCAAATTTACAATTAATATATAAAAAAAGCTGGCTAATTAGATTTGGTCTGGTTAGTCTTTTCAATTAAGTTTAATATGGTTCGAGTCCACTCAACTATTAAAGTTTTAAAAAATTTTGTGAATTAAGCAGAGAACTACTCGTGTTGTACAGTGTTATTTCCTGTCATCTAGCCTCCTGACGAATCAAAAAGGCTAATTTGGTCAATTTATAGAAAATAGTGTGCTCTCGTCAAGAATCAAACAACTCTTGAGTGTCTAGGTACCAAACATTCAGTAAAATACAAACATAGGCCTCCAAATTCATTCATTTCATTTGACTGTTTCCACTTCTCAAGGCAGTATATTTGATTTCCCATTATTATTTATTGACATCAATGAATGAACTGTATTCCAAAATCTTTTACTTTTTCCACTCCTCCACACACTTATATGTATATATAATATCTTTCCTTCTATGCTCTTCCTCTCCTCAGCTTCCTAGCATACTCTATCTCCCTTTTTTATTTTAAATTTCTTAGAGCAATCTTTTGTTTTTACTAATTCCAGGTACACGATCTCGCTCCTTAATATATATAAACACTTCGATTAGCTTATTGTGTATTTGAATTTTTATTTATTGGATTAATATTTTTCAATTAATTCATAAATTGAAAATTTCGTATGAATTTTTTTTCCTGTTTTAAATTTTATTTGTTTTTAATTGAATTATGGTTATAATTTAATTATCTTTTGATTGCTTTGTTAAAAAACAAAAGATCATATTAATAATATTTTCATTGAATTACTTATACTAAAAGCTAATTGCTAATGCCAGAACATATAAAAAAAAAAAAAAAAAAAAAAACCTAATATTTTTCAATTAATTCAATAATTGAAAATTTCGTATGAATTTTTTTTCCTGTTTTAAAATTTTTAATTTGTTTTTTAATTGAATTATGGTATAATTTAATTATCTTATTGATTCCTTTGTTAAAAAACAAAAAGAATCATATTAATAATATTTGTCAATTGAATTACTTATACTAAAGCTAATTGCTAATGCCTAGAACATATAAAAAAAAAAAAAAAAAAAAAAAAAAAAAAAAAAAAAAAAACCTAGCTAATATTATGTGATATTTTTTTCAAGCAAGAAATGGTTTGCTGACTAGGTCTTAGCTGTCAACGACACGTCACCATCCCCTTCACCTATTTTCCTTACTTGGAAAATATTTAATAAAAGTAATGTACAATTCCATATTTACCCCTACAAACAGATACTATATTCATTTTTGTACGAAATCGCCATTTCCCTTACGCGGTTTCATACTCTCACTTTACCTTACTTAAGAGCCTTACAGCCCCAACTCTGGATGCAGCCTCTCTCTCTCTCTGTTTCAGACCGCAACCATTTGTAAGGAACAGAACATTTGTTTCTCATTTACAGTGTTTCTGATCTTTGTTTTTCAGTGTCTAAACAATGGCTGAACGAGTTCACCCGCGTGACTCACCTCCTTCATCCACTGAGTTAAAGAAGACGCCGTCTGCCTCACCGGATCGTCCCTTGAAACCGGCAGCTCCATTGCTGGAGAAACCTGTTTCTCCACCACCGGCTGGAACTTACGTCATCCAAATACCAAAAGACCAGGTCTACCGAGTCCCGCCACCAGAAAATGCTAAACGTTATCAACAGCTCTCTCGCCGGAAGCATCGCCGGAGCACTTGCTGTTGCTGCCTCTGCTGGTTCTTTGGCCTCCTTTTTACTTTCATTCTCCTCGCCGCCATCGCTGCTGGTGTCTTATACCTTGTTTTTCGGCCGGAAGCTCCTAAGTACTCAATTGAGTCTGTCTCCATTAAAGGTTTTAATCTGACGTCATCTGCTCCTCTTTCGCCGGAATTTGACGTCGCTGTTAGAGCTCACAATCCGAACAATAAGATCGGGATTTATTATCGGACAGGAAGCTCCGTTAATGTTTATTATAATGATGTTAGGCTCTGTAACGGTAAACTGCCGGTGTTTTATCAGGGGACGAATAATGTGACGGTGTTTGTAGCGTCGTTGAAGGGGTCTGGAATTGAGTTAACGAGTGCGGTGCATAAGGCGTTGATTAGCGGCGAAACCAAAGGAGCGGTACCGTTTAAGTTGAATTTGAGGGCGCCGGTGAGAATTAAAGTAGGGTCTCTGAAGACGTGGACGATTACCGTTAAAGTAGACTGTGATGTAACGGTGGATAAATTAACGTCCAAATCTAAACTTGTGTCCAAACATTGTGATTATGGTGTTGAACTGTGGTAGGAATTGGGGGTGCTTGGCTGTAGAGTTAGGGAATTTCGGTGGGTGGGGATTTGATTTTTTTTTTATTTATTTATAATTATATTGTTTTATGTGACAGACAGAATATTAATATAAATATAATATATACATATACGATTCATTATTATTTTGATTTTTTTGTCATGTCTTACGTGTTGGAGATTAGTGTATTGCACATTACTTACTTAATATAATGTGATTTAGGATTTGGTTTGTTTTATAATTTTAGATATGTATTAATTAAGAATATCCCCTAATTAATGTATGTGAATGTGAAATCTAAAATCAATTTTGAAGATCTTAGAATATTAATTAATTTTCAATCCAAATATAGATGTTGCTATTTGCTTTAAGTTTTCAGATTTTCAAAACTTTGTTTACTTTTTTTAATTTTAATTTACTCAAAAGATGGTATTAAATGGTTACTATCAATTTGGCAACACCATTTGTCATGCATTAGACTAGTTCAAGATTTGGTAGAGAAGGATGTAAAAAATATTACTTTGGAGCAGACACTGAAGTTAAGTTCATTTCTTTTCACATATAATTTTTTTTTTTTTTTTTTTAAATTACACTGAAGTTAAGTTTCATTTCTTTTACATATAATTTTTTTTTTTTTTTTTTTAAATTCTAACAAGAAACATGCAATAGAAAAATTCAAATGTTGTGACTTGGTCTGCAAAGAATCTTGTAAGAGAAATATGATTAGGTAGTTTTTGTTAATTACTTGAGTTCTGATATTATGAATACCTAACCCACCCTCAAGAAATATGACCATTGAGATATGCAGAAAAATATAAATATTTAAAAAATTAAATTGCTCTGCATAATCAAGATATTAAACAGGGTGGAATTTGATCTTGAGTTCCTATCCTGTATGTGAGAAAAATTGAGAAGGATTAGGCAAAAACTACACAGGATCCTGTTGCATTCAAAAATCTCTATTTATCACCCCCAGCAACCAGATGGTGATAGCTTTTCTGAACTGCTAAAAACCCACACCATTCCCTTTGTAATCTTTCCATTACAACTTTATATCAGCTCCTTTATTTTGTTCTTTACCAATAAATGGCTTCCACTTGGCTTTTTCTTTCTTTCTTTTTTTTTTTTTTTTTTTTGTTCTTTACATAAATGGCTTCCACTTGGCCTTTTCTTTCTTTCTTTTTTTCTTTTTTTTTTTTTTTTTTTAATTCCTTTCTTCATGTACAAATGCCATATATGTCCAAAATGCTTCATGTATGAGATTCTGAATACTGCTGCACAGGTGAAATTCTTCCCTCCCCACTGCAACCAAATTCTTCTGTTCCATTTTCTTTTTCAATTAAACAACTTGTGATTGGAATAGGGTTTGAGGTTGGGGATTCTTGGCAACTTGAATGGCTTTTTGAACTTCTGCGTACATTTTCACGGAACGGTCTGAGAAGTTATTCAATTGGCCAAGAAATCCCTCCAAGCTTGATCGAAAACGCTCAAAACCTGGAATGAAGTCATCTAAAGCTTCATCTTTCAACATATTAATTTCTGAATCACTGCCATTATCAGCCTTCCATGATCCTAAGTTTGCACTTTTTCCTTGATTCTTTTCTTGGCGGGGTAAAAAGTGAGCAATTTCTGCCGCTAAACCCTTTATAGCCTCCACAACATCCTTTGCAGGCAATTCATTGAGCTTCTCCAACCAGACACCACAGATGGCATATATTGGAGGACCTTTCTCTCTCAAAGTTAACGAAGGTGGTGGTTGTCTCCTTTTCTTCTTTACAGGTTTTTCAGGAAGAATGACACATTTGAAAAGCCAATCATTTATAGCCTGCAGATAGGACTTCTGAGCACCTATCCACTTTGTAAAACATGATGACAGAGAGTAAAGTTCATTTTCTAGATGCATGGTAATCTGCCGATGTGACTCTGATTGTATTGAGAATTTGGTACTCCTATTGTTGTATGCTATCGAGATTATGTGAAACTGAGACTTGTGGCAGTCAAGCATCACCTCCCACATCCGACTTAGCCTGTCATTGACAAAAAGGGTAATGAGATCATGTCCGGAAATTAGAAGTATTTACCAAGAAATGTTGAAATTTTAAATGCTAATCAAAATCAGACAAAATTAAAAATGTCTGTTTAGTCATACTATGAGCATATAATATCACCACTGGTGATTAAGAAATTAGCATACAGTTGGTAGGCCAAGTTCTGCAAAACCATGGAGCTGATTATGGGAAACATACACTTAGCTAAGTAAAATTAAAAACACCTGGCCACAGAGATCCGATCAGACAAAAGATTCTTTGGATACAGCTGCTCAGAATTTGGGAATAATGTACCCACTAATGTCCAATCCCATCAGACAAGGAAGTCTTAATAGCACTACTACCAGCATTGAACAGCTGCTCAGAATTTGAGAATAATGTACCCACTAAAACTTGAGAGTAATTGACAATCAAGATTATATTTTTCTTTTTGGCTCTCAAACAACAGATTAATTTTGCTTTTGAGACGCAGACACACACACACAGTGAAGATTCTAATAATCAATTGAAACTTGAGACCCAAAAAAAAAAAAAAAAAAAAAAAAAAACTGAAACCCAAAAAAAAAAAAAAAAAAAAAAAAAAGATAGTCCATGGAAACCAACTCAGGAAAGAACAAAATGCTCCATCTAGATAACTCAACCTTTGAATACGTAAAAATAAGATACATCCCTCAATTCTTTCCCTGAAACCAGAATTAACAACAATTTTGAATGTCATAAGTAATCAGAGAATTTTGAGAGGAGGAGGTTTCCTTTTGGGCGGAAAAAAAAAAAAAAAAAAAAAAAAAAGATAGTCCATGGAAACCAACTCAGGAAAACAAAATGCTCCATCTAGATAACTCAACTTTGAATACGTACAAAATAAGATACATCCTCAATTCTTTTCCCTGAACCAGAATTAACAACAATTTTGAAATGTCATAAGTAACAGAGAATTTTGGAGAGGGAGGAGGTTCCTTTTGGGCGGAGAGGTGTGAGGCTTAAACACGCACTAGGTCCTAAATTGAAAAGAATTCTAGGACCAAGTTTTGTTTCAAAAAAACATTTAAAATTCTATTTCCTACAAGTACATGCCTGCCCTTAAAAGAAAGTGCTGTCAAAGTATCCATAACACTGAGTTGAGGAAAAATGTTGGTGTCCCACCCAATCAGCATTAGCGAAGTTCACAAGGATTTGATTTTATTCATCAATTACTTGCATGGCAAGGTCAAGCACTCTAACGACAGTCAACTATAGTACCTTCTTCTTAAATAAAACAACTGTTCCCTTATCGTTGTTATTTCATTTTATCTCGTTTCAGTAAATGTTTATTTGGGTGATAAACTGGTAGACAGTTAAGGTAATCATTCTAATTGATGATGTCTTCAGAATTAGGCCAGGCGAGAACAAAAATAAATCGTGTTACTTAAAGCAGTCTATAGCAGTCATGATATGTTGTTGATTCTATAAACATATTAACATAAAATGTTTCTTAGCTCTACTGTGTTGCAAGAAGAGTATATGGGCTTTGACGTTGAACATTATCATGCCCAGGTTGTATTAGCAACTCGAATTAAAGAAACAGAAAAAGGGAAACATACCCATCAATCAATTCCTCAAGTTGCGGTTGAAGCTCTTTGTCACGTAATTCCTCGATTCTATTTGATATGGAATCAATTCTGTGAATTGCAACTCTGATTCTTGAGTGTAGATCCTTAACAACAGCACGAGTTTTATCAATTTGGTAGCTATTTTGTCCTTTAAATTCCAGTTGCCTAAGAATAGTTCGCTTGGCATCATATTCCTTTCTGACCGCCTCGCTAGCCTGAATTTGAGAATATAAATAAATATATTTGCAATTGAAGGGGATATAAATACACCATATAGAATTCATGTGACACCCAATTATACATTTTTAGTGTCATCACGATAGTTCTATTTTGCCAGCTCAAAATTTGCAACAAACGTTGGTCTGCATTTTAACCCAATCACGTTTATCTAATGTTCTATGCTTTCTAGATATGCTATGTAGTCAAGCAATTCCTGCATCTAGATTGACATGATATCTATAGATGCGAATCAGCAGATGAACAAATTAAACACATTATAGAATTAAGCTAACATTCACATTACATACTTGAGACAGTTTTCCACTCAGCAAAGAGGAAAAAGAAAATTAATGCAGTAACAACCCACCAGCAATTCAATTTTTGATCTTTCTACATCACATCAAGTGAGATAACAGTCTTACTAGTTGGGTAATCATCTAGATGTCAGCTATTTTCATCTTCAGATTAAGTTCTTATTCTCACCCAAATATAGATTTTTCTAGAAAACCCGAATGTATGTCCTCGTCCCAAAACCAACATTCACTCCTATATCTGGCGATACCACCTCACCTACATATGTTGACCATTGTCTTGACCACTGCAAAAACATCCAAAATTGGCCAACAGCCACTACTCAACTAGTTCAAAATCCATGCGAATAGCTTCTCCAAAACAGGCCTCCCTCAAACCATTTAAGAACTGTTGACAAAATGAAAATACCAATAATTCTCATCAATAGATGCAAACACATCACGCGCTTGTAAGGAGGTCGTGGAATTATGGATGGTTCAAGAGGTAGGGATTTTTCTCCCATGGCAGCCAGTCAATCTTCTATCTTACTTTTCTGATACCATTTCCAATTGTCATTTAAAAAACAAAAAATCTTATATGAACACTTTAGTAACTTCATCACCAACCCATTTATTAGTTGACAATAGGTATCTTGGTTAAAGTGGATGTTGCCAATATATAGTTAGATATAAACAGCAAAAAATCCACAGAGCAAATGTAATAATTATAATTCACTTACTCATGAAATTGAGCAAACAAATTAGGAACAGAGTAACGGACTAACAGGGAACAGTGCACCACTGTTTTGAACTGTGGAGATTATTGTAAAACAAGAATATATAGAATCAGAGCATCTCTTTCCTTTGAAAAGTAACTCAGCTGTGACTTATTCTCAATCCTATTTTTTTCTTCAATTACTTAATTCAGAGCTGCATCTAAAGTAAAGTTTATCATTGCTATATTCTTTTCCATTACTTCAGCTAATTTATGATAGGGCTGCCTCTTATTATTCTATTCAAATTGATTGTTAAAAATTCAGTTTTGAGTTCATATGCCAAGTGAATAAATCGACAAGCAAAAGTTTACATATATAAAAATAGAGAAGGAACATAAAACCAAAATGAAACATGTTATTCATCCTAAAGTTGAAAAACAACTGAAGAAGTGCAAATTAACATAATCAGCTAGTAAATCACCTAAACTTTAAAGCATAATAAACTGACATTCAGATGGCTTTCCATAATTTGATTGCAACCAAAATATGAATTTAGAGCAATTTGACAAGTAAAACAGCTAATAGAGAGAGGAAGTGAGAAAAAATTCATATGATTTATATACCTAAAAAAAAGATGCAAGCACTACATAACGAAAAGGTCATATCAAATCATTTCCACCTAATTTTATCAACTTCTCCTTTCATATGAAAAGGTAGGCAAAAAGTGGAAAATCTTTCTGGCTTTCATTTGAAAAATATGTTTAAGAAAGTCCTGTAACTATATTAAGAAACCACAATACCTTTACTTCATCATAAAGCTTTCGCTCCCAAGCATATAGCCTATCCAAGGTTGAAGCATGACTGCCAGAGATCATGCAAAAATTTTCAAAAATATTACTGGTAAGATCCTCATTGTCATCCCTAATATTTGACCCGAGAGGATTCCTAGATGAAGATGATCGTGAAGATGTTGTCCTATGCCAAGTTAAGTATTTCACGTCGTTTTGAGCAGGCTCTGAGCAAACATTAAACGAATTAGTAGAGTAATTAGTCCAAAGAAATGAAGGATATCTTAAGTGCTAATATGAGAGCAAGTATAAAATTAAGACTATGCAAGTTATACAAGTTAAGCAACTCAGCTTTTCAAATATTCATGTCTACAGTCATGCTGTGTTTGTACATTTGTCTTCACCTAAGTTATGATATATTTACAGATCCCCGAGTCTAAAATTACGAATGGGAATTTCACTAAAATTTTAACCGATTAATATTCACGAACAAAACTTTTCACTCTCTTCTTGCTTCTCCATTTCCACATCATTTTAACTGATTTACTTTCACTCCAAGCAGTCTACATTGCTAAAACTACTCCAATACATACTTATATCACACATTGGAGTCCAATAAATAATGGACCGTTAGATGGCATTTACTTTTGGGGATCACAACTATAAAGACAAGTTAAAGATAAATCACCAAGTCATCCAAACAGCCAAAGTTCTTAGAACCACATGATCGTATCTAAGTGATTGACATTCTGAAATAATGCCCATATAAATCTAACCCCAGGATGAGAAGTGACCATCTTATGACACGAAAAAATAACTCAGCAAATAGATGAGCAGGACTACCTTCTTGGACTTGACTAGGGTCTTCCCCACAAGAGAAACAAGCTTTGAAGAATGTTGATACCACTGATCCATCTGCCAGAGAAGATTATAAATTAATTAAATGCTTTAACTCAATTATATTAGGAGAAGGAACCTCCATATAATTCCCATGCAATGAGATGAAATAGAAATATCTTTCTTGAGCCAATAGAAAATGTCAAATTCCTCAATCATTTTATCATTTTCTATAGAACTCCACAATTACATGTCAAAGTTCCAAGCCAACTATACAAACGAGCTTCATCCAACAAGACCAACATAGTCTGTTGTTGGTTATTATGATTCATAGAGAAGACTAAAAAGTAAAGTTGTCCTAAGCACCAAGCAAAGCCAACCTCCAATTAGATACATTGGTGCTAAGAATGATAACAGAATCAAAAACATAACTTGGCAAAAAAATTTGTCCACATACAGTCATGTATCACATTCATACATGCACAGACAGGGCAAAAAGAGACAAACACACACACAGACAGAGAGAGAGAGAGAGAGGGAGAGATCATACTTTCTTTTCCTGGGACTATTGGACGGAAATGCAACTTATTTGCTTCAAGCATCCTTGGAACTTCTTTCCCAGCCTCAGAAGCTTTTATAAACAGGTATTCAATATCTTTTATACTCGAAAAGAAGTCCTTGGGAGGAACCTTATTCTCAGCTCGATCTTCTTTAACAGGAGTTTTCTTTGTGTCAGAAGAAACAGCCACTTGTGAGGATGGAGTTCTCAATGGTGACAAATAAGGAGAGTTACTTTTCTCCCCATGCAATAACTCAGTTTCAGAAGCTACACTTCCAGCAGAAGGCATGGCTGGGGATGCATTAGGTGCAACATGATCTTGAACCCTATTAAGATTCTCAAAACTTCTAACCAAAGTATCTGCTGGAGGGTCATCAAACTCATCTTCTGAATCCCCAGATTCTTCACTTGCATGAAATGAGTGTCTCTCTTCCTCATCTTCCAGTTCAGGAATTCCTTCCTCTTCTCTAAGCCGTCTTAAATCATCAGCATTATCCAACCCTGGCTTCATTTCTTTTCCTTCTTGAACAGAAAATTGATGGTCAATTGGATGAAAAAGTCCAAAGTAATCCCATGGTGGAGTTCCTGGTGGGACTGAAGAAGCTTCAAATGGTGATGCTTCAGGTTTTTCAGTGGAACGAGGTGTAGTATTCTGTGGGGTACTGGACGAGGTCACAGTTCCTGTAACAACTACAGGAGGCTTCTCTTCAACCTTTTTGGAAGAAAAACCCCTAAATTTCATGTGATTTGTTTGAAACCGACTAGAGCTGGGAGGAGAGGGTGATGGAGAAAGATTTTCAGTTGCATCCACTGGTTGTGATAGAGACGGAGAGGAAATGGAGAAATGTGAAATGGACTTCTCAGTTAAAGCAAGAGGCTCTGGTGTTGCATTAGTGGAAGTGTACAATGAAGATTCAATTGGAGCTTCAGTTTCAGCGAACTTTCTTAGAGCAGTTCCTGTATTTCTCAGTGATTGGACATATATAACATGAGCTGCTGCTAGTGAGCACCTGCCGTCAAGAGCCTGCCTAACAAATTTCTTCCTTTCACGACAAAGCTGCAAAGCCTTATCTTCTTCTATTTTTGAATTTGCAGCCCCCATTTTCCAATGTTTCAATATTCCACTAATTCAACAATTTAACGCATGGGGTTCTTCCTGAAAATCAGCCAATTACAGATCAAAATCAAAGGAACTTCAAAAACATATATATTGATATATACAGCTCCTCTCAAGTTTTGATGTTACTTTTCCCTTATCACTTAATAGGAGATAAACAACCACAAATTACAACTATAACTAAGCAGCAGTAATGATGCTAAGAGAACTGATTGGTTCAATTGTTTTAAACTTTAAACAAGCTAGCTTAATTTCTAGATCCATGAACCAAGACTTCTAGCATTAAAATAAGGGTAAAAAAATGGGAAATCATAAAACAAATCTCCATCTTTAATCCTTAATTTTAAATCAAAATGCTCTGGAAACCAAGAACACAAAAGTTGCTATATTTCGAAACATAAGCCTAAAAAGAAGAAAACCCAAAAAGAGAAGAGGGAAATATCTATTCATATTCATCTACACAAGCTCCAAAGTTAACACACAACCACAGCATCAAAACTAGCCATCAAAACGCAAAGATGTCCAGATGACCAATTTCTGGATTATCATAACCTATAAACTCCAACTGCCAAACAAAGCTCCGCCCCACATATCCAGTTCCTTCCAGTAAAAATAACTAAACCATATAAAAATAATAAAAAAAGAAAACCTTTGCAGATTATACAACCGTCAATCTCTGTTAAATTTATTAATTAAAACTAAACTAGTAAAAAAAAAAAGCCCATCGAGAGAGATGGATGGGATGGAGAATTGCATAGTACCTCAAGATAGAAGTGAACTCAGTAGACCGAGTACAAATAGCATAAAAAGAGATAAAAATCAAGGCCTAGAACTCAGTAGAATCAATCAAAACATCTGCAAAATGAACAAAAAAGCAGAAAACAGTAAAGATGATATAAGACACAGAAAGATACAATATTAACAAAACTGCAAACTAAAATCAATAAAAGAAGTTGAAAAACAACAATCAACAATTAAAATCAAAGTAAAACTAAAATTAACAACACTAAATCTACTATGGATTATTATATTTAGAAGTGAAGAGAAGTGAAGTTAAGTCAAGAGAAAAGAATATGACCTGAGAAATTGAAGTAAAAAGTAATAACAAGCGTGGAATTCAGGGAATTAGAGACTCAGATTTTGAGCAGAATTATTCCCATTGGTTTTGGTTCATACAGAAAGAAGAGAACTTTGGCTAGAGAGGGAAAGAGAGACTTCCTAGAGAGAGAGAGGAGTAGAGAATCGATTAAAGAGAATCCGATCGAGAAGAGAGAGAGAGAGAGAGAGAGAGAGAGAGGAGGCTGTGGTCTGTTCCATGCAAAAGGCAATCTGGCAGAAGAACGCAGACACATTACACGCTGTGCCGCTGTGGACTGTGGACCCCGCCTCATTCCAGTCGCCACCCCTCATTAAGAAACCTCCAGGCAGCGTCATTTCCACGCGCTTCATCCGTGACTAAATAAACTATATTATTATTATATTAATGAAAGGGTAAATTACTCTCTAGGCCCTGAGATTTAACTAAAGTTATTACTTCATCCCTACTGTTTGAAACAATTACTACAAATTTCTGAGGTTTTAAACTATTTAGCTCTTTTATATTTTCATTGTTAAGTGAGAAACTAAATAATAATTCACTAATAAATATAAGGGATTAAATAATAATAATAATATATTAAATAGGCTAAACATTATATAATATTTAAAGCTAAACATTATATAATATTTAACGGTGAAATAATATTTTTGGAAACGATGGATTAAGTAATTTAAAGGGATCAAATATTAAAGACATCACAATAATTTTTCTGGGAATGAAATTTCGGTAATGTAATATTAAATATAAAAAACTAAATAAATGAATATATCTTTACACATTATCTATATATGATTAAGGTGAAACTATATGAACATTAATTTTCTTTTTTTATTATTTATTATAACTTTAATAAGGTTTTTCTTTGAAAAAAGATTTTAGTTGGACTAGTATAAATTTTTTTTTTTTGCTAGATAAAGTTTTCAAAAAAAATATAATTGTAATGATATGATAAAATTCTTGAAAAGTAAGCATTAAGTGGATTTAGCTAAAAGGCAACAAAGTAATGAGTAAACAAACACAATGAATAGAGAAAAATGTGGAAAGCATCTCCTTTTTCTTTTTTCTTTTTTTTTTTCTTTTTTTTTTTAATTTGTGGTTTAAGAGGCTACCTTTTGGACAAAGCTTTATCTATCTCTTTAACCTACTTTTGGATTCTCTCTTTTTCTTTTTTAAATTAAGACAATAAAATTTTGGACACTTTTATTTATTCCTTGTATATTATTTTTGTTTTATACATTCTTTTTCTATTTATAAATCATAATTGTTCTTGTCCTATATTCAAATCCATTTTAGACTTGCTCTAAAATAAAATGAGGAGAATATCAAAATAATTTTAAAAATTAGAGCTTGATTTATTAGAAATAATATTATTGAATGTACTAAGTCCACGAAAAGGAATTTGGGTTTAAAAATAATATTATGAGCAAATTTAATGTCAATTTGTATAAGTTTGATTCAAAATGAAAATGGGTAAAAAGAAAGAAATAAGAAGAAAAGATATGTAAGTTAATGTTGGGGAACGGCTTTTTAAATAATCTTTTAGCATTTTGACCAGATAAAATATTAAATGTTATTTTTTATAGTGTTGGGTATCATAGCGTTTTGACTAATTTTTAGATGTTAAGGTAGCGTTTTATGCAAGTTAATCCATATAAGTGTTTTATGAAAAGTTACTCGAACAGTTAACAACTAAATGTTACTAAAACAGCTGTTAAAACAACTAATTTTGCCGAATAAACCCGTAGTATGGTTTTTTTGTTGAGTCTGTTAAAGAAGAAGTGGGGTCTATTCCTTATTCCAAGACTTTGCTTTTCAAATTTTTGAAAAAAAAAAAAAATCAATGACTTAGAGGTTTTCTATTTGACCACAATTAAATCCATGTACAAAACTCACTCCCTAGAATATTTATAGCAAATATTTATAGAACAATAAAGACCCACCTACCCTTTTTAATGTTTAAATAATTACATTTCTCCAATACATAAAATTATTATATCCACTTCACTTATGTTTTGTCTGTTGCATATAAGTAATTATTTTAATTCTTGAAAATAGTTATTACTCTTAAATAGATGTCTACTTCAAGGTTAGTGAGCTAGAATGTCAAAATTAAATAATTCAATCTTGAAATCATAGATTTTGTAATCAAGTCATTATATTATTTTTTTTGTGCATTGAAATTTAAATGTAGAATATATAAATAAAGGTATATGTATATTTCTAAGTCCAAGACTTCTATTTCTAATTGAATTTTTAAATGATTAAATTAATTTTGTTGGTTATTTCTTTAATATCAATGTTTTAACATTAAAATAAAGTAAAAATCTTAGCATTTTGCTTTTTTTCTAATTGTAGTCAAGAGATGTACAAACCAAGGGCATTTTGTATGAAAACAGTCAATTATTAGTGTTAAATAAGCACAAAAACACTAGAATTTGTCATTTTTTTTAATTTTAACACTTTTCATTTAATACAGAGATCAATCAACTAATTTCATCCTTTGATATTTATTATTAATAGTTTTCCCTTCTTAGTTTTACATCCTTGCTTCACCCCTAATGAAGATGCACAACAATACTGCAATATGAGCTGTCAAGCTTATAATTATTTTTTTTTAGTAATAAACACGTAGAATATATTCGACAATATTAATTGTTTTAATAGTGGTTAGCTGTTATTAACTATTAGCTTAACTGTAGTTGTTTATGAAGTTTCGATAAAAATAGCTGTTTAATTTAAAATAATAAAAAAATTACATTAGTTATTTAATTAGTTGAATTTAAAAATTGATACGATTGCCAAAACAATTTAATTAATTTTTGCGAAACACTATCATTAAAGCGTTTAAATACAATTAATAGAGATAGAGATTTAATTTATTACAGTAGTTCTAAACTTTTAACTCATTATTATCTAGGGCCTACTCTGCAGCAGCTTTTCTATTATTTATAGTGTTCGATTGCGTAACTTTATTAATGTTTAGAGTTTGATAAAGCAAATTATGATTCCCTTTAACGTTTAATAAAGTGCTAAATAAAACAGCTAATAGTTACTAAAATAACTAATTTTATCTATCATATCCCTAATCTATTTCTAAGATGAGTCGCATAAAATAGCGAGGATGTGAATATTTTTTTATTTTTAAGAGAAAAGAGAGAGATGCGTGGGTGAAAGGACAAGCCAGCAATAATTGTAATAACAATAACATTCAAATCATAATTCAGGTTATGATCTTCAATCCATCATCTTTTGACAATGACAAAGCTGCCTGCTATGCAAGAAAGATTTTGGCCTCATTTTGATAGCAAAAAAAGTAGCATCACATAAGGAATCTATGAGTGTCTTTACACATGGGATGTTGATGATCTCCACTTGGTGTTGCCAAAATATATAAGAAAAAGTGTATCCACACTTTATTTTGATTGATCTAAAATCTAAAAGTTGGCTAATCGTTTTTATTTTATCTTGTTATTCAAAAAAAAAAAAAAACCAATTAATAATAATTATACACATGAAATTATAATTATGCAGATGTAAATATAACAAATGTGTCAGCAAATTATTCACATCAAACATTTAAACTAAATAATCCAATGAATTCATAAAAACACAATATAAATCTTCTAAAAATGGCACCATGTTCACTCTTTAGCCATTTGGCTTCTTGATTAGAAGAAATGATAATCTGAACTTGAAAATTGAACAGAGAAATTCAACCAGCATATAATCTCTAGACCAAACAATAAAAATTACACAAAAAAAATATGCAACAATTATGAATCTACTCATTAATCTAATATATAATGGCGATTCTGCTGGTTAATGGTCATTGGTTACCTTGCATCCGAAGTTAATAGCAATCTTGTGTATACTAGAACCTAACCGCCATTGTTAGTCAAATCTATCCAAGCAAGTTTGGGGCAAACATATACAAGAATATTCCTAATAAGAGCTGCTTTTCCCTTAGCTAAATCTATCCAAACAAGTTTGGAGCAAAAGATACAAGAATTTCCACCACTAATGAGTTGCTTTTACCTTGTTCGAGCAGATGACCGAGTAACTCTTCTCAAATCAGATACAGATTGTGATGCTTGAGATGAGGTGCATCCAACAGTATCTGCATCAGTATTTCTGTTTGCTTTATGTCTCTTTCTTTTGGATCCTGCAGATGGGTGGCTCTCAATTTGTTCATTTGGCTCATCCTCTCCTTCTACAGCTTCACATTCGGGAACTTCACAATCCCATTGAATGCCACAAGTTGGACAAACTATTTTACCCTGCAATGCCAAACATTTTGCCAGTCATTTACATGAGAAAAATACTTCATGCTTGATTTCTGAGAAAATAAATTCATCAGAAGATTCAAATTGATACCCTTCTTTGGGAAAGTTTTTTCTTCAGGCAGTAATGATGAATTCGAAGCGCACAACCTTCATTTTGGCAAACTTTTGCCTGCCAGAAGTAGTCAGAACAGAATCAATGGATTTGATAGGAATACAAGGATTCATCAGTTGGCCCTAATTGTTATCGGTTGCTGTGGCAGTCATGGGTTATTTAATAAGCATAGAATTAATTTTATCTTAAGGTAACTGGTGAGAGTACAAGGATATTTAACTTCTAAAATTACATGAGTCTGCACACATATTCGGCTTTGATGCTGCATGAATGTTGATGTACTTAATCCTCCTAGTGGCAACCTCATCTTGCAAATAATTGTGATTTCTCAACAAGCAGTAGGAGCTGTACATAATGATGGGCTAATTCATGTAGTTCAACCGGGTCGAATAAGTAGTAATCAACTACAAGCTACAATTTCTTTGAAATTTTAGGCAACGACAAAAATAGAGGCATTTGAGTAGCAAAGCAACAAAACCTTTATTGCAGCCTCATTGCATACTTCACATGATGGAATGCCAGAATTATGAAATAAACTTCGTAAATCAAGGTAGGATCTGACACCTAGTCCAATGTGACCATCTGGGGTGTGACAAAGCCACTTATCGCGCACAAGTTCATCAAGAGTTTTTTCTTTCTGTGACATAGAAAAATTCCTTAACGCAGGAGGCACTTGAGATAAACCACCTTGTGATTGTGATCCTGTCCCACCATGAACCTGAAAATAGACCAAAGTAATATATACATATGAACATCTCTGCATACAAGAAAATGAAGAAAAAAGTTCGATGAAGTTTCTGGTCCTATGAAAATAAATTTTATATAACCAGCATAAACTTGTCCGCCTATAAAAATAGCTTAATCTGCAAGTACATAAATTCCGCAATCCTTTGTCATTAAAATACTATTGGCAATTTTACTATCAATCAAAGGAGCATGTTCTAATTTGTAACAAACCACAATGATATAATTTTCAATGAATGCTCTTTTCTAGGAAAAAGTAAAGTATAACTCCAAGAATCACAAAGCACAAGTGACTTGCAAGAGATAAAGCATTAATTTTTTGAAAACATAGAAAAAAAGGGCTTTCAATCTAGAGGAGTGAAAATTATAATTTGTTGAACTTAAGAATATCAGTTGTGTGCTCTATATGCATAATAGTAACTAGTTGCAATGCATATTACAGAAAAGGTAAAAATAATTCCATTGTTAGAAATCAGAAAATAGGATTTGCCTAAATGAATTGTTCCAAACAAAGACTTCTTCTTCCTTAGATTCAAACTTCTGAAAGAATTTTCATTTATCCTGTTGTTTCAAAACCATATATTAGGGTAATGAACAAAAGCATTTTTTTATGGAAACAAATTATTAATGAACTCTAATCATAGAAGACACTTGTGATTCCTAATTATATATCACTTGGATTTTTCTCTATACCACTTAAACAAGGCAATTAGAGTACAAAATTTTTTTCTGCAAATACAAAATGTCCTGGATTGTATTAGCTGAAATACAATGTAAACAACAATATTAAGTATTATTATTTATCACCAGTTGCTGGATTAGATCAATAATTACTGAAGCTCAGGGAAAAAAACTTTCACACCTGACTCTCCAGCCGTATGTTGAGAGCATCAATTGTGGATATGCTACCTTGGGCTGTGGCATCCTGCACTATTGCTTCTATCTGGCACATAAACAGAGCAGAAACAAAAAGGACTATATAAACAACATAAACTATACACCATAATAATTGACATAAGAACATAAATGTGCACAAAAAGCAGGAAAAATCAACAACTTCTTTTTCCTCCCAAGAAATCAAAGAATCGTGAAAGATGCACACAACACAACAAGAAGTGATTTTAACTAAACTAGCGTAGTAATAAAAGCCCATTTCAAATAACATGGCAAATATCTCTCACGCTGTGTACTCATAATACAAAAGGTATAACCAGAAGTGTATATTCTCTTCATTGCTAGAAAAATATTGTTAATGCCAAGCTAGAAACATGAAAAGACATGAAGGTGCTCCCTCAATTGTCGAAGGTGTATTCGACAGAGTTGATCTCTTATAAAGATATCATTCTCGGCCATAGATAAATAGAAACGCATGCTATCTATATTTCAAAGAAACTGATACTTCCAGTGTTTACTTCTAAACATTATAAACTTAGCCCAAAGCCTTGTGAGAAACATATTTGCATTCAAGTTTATTTCATAATGAATAAACTAAACCTCGAATTTGGAAAGGAAATTAAGTAATAAAAGGAGAAGAGAAATAAGGGGAAAAAAAAAAAGAAGAAAACATATATCATTTGCATAAAAAGGTAAATGTAATTAAGTTTATAGCAAGACTTACAACGCCCTTATATAGAGCAATTTGGGGAACAGAATATTTAGTTCCAAGCTTAGATTGTTCATCAGAAACATTGTTAACAAGCCCATAACAAACTTCACCATCATTTTGGTTTCTGCAAAGCCTAAGCTCCATTTGAACATAGGAAAGTTCCTTGTTAATCTTTAGAAGGAAATCATTGAAATCGCGCTCACAAGAGCCTGAAAATTCAACAATGCTTATAAGCCTGGATTATCAGTGACCAAAACAGACCGAATAGACTAAAGTGCAATTAAATTAAAGAAAAGGGAAAGACAAATTATTACGTGGGTGTTTTCCGGTGACGCCGGTGAAAATCTTCTGGAATTCGTTCTCCTTAAGTGGGCCGCGCGTCATCAACACTTGGATGAGAGTGTGGTGCTTCCAGTTCAGCACCGCCATTTTCGTTTTTTTTTTTTTTTTTTTTTCAGCACCGCCATTTCAGTTTATTTTTTTTTTTCTCTTTTTTAATTTTATGATAACATCTATGTCTCAAGATTTTAACTTACACAGAGAATGCGGAATTTATCCTACATAGGCCATTACAGAAAACGGTTCGGACTAAAGCATTTTCCTTTTCTTGTTCTTTTCCTCGATTTATTTAAGGGCTAGCTCCCTCGGTCCTAATTATTGTGAGACGCATCTCCAATTTCTAGTCCTTATACAAATTCAATTGCCTGATTTGTGGGATTAATAAATTTTCATTAATTGAGACAAACGTTTCATATAATAAATTTCGTTAAACCGTCCTAATCAAGATTGCAAAATAAGTCCATGATTGCTAGAATTTTGCATGTATGCACAGTCGGCTCAAAAAGTTCGTTTTCCGTTTTTATAAGTGGCATCTATAAACCGAATTGTGTTTCTTGAGTTTATCTTCTAAGCCGGAAGTATACTATTTATATAACAAATTTTTTTTTTCGCCTTCCCTTAAATTTATAATTCTTTATTTTTTTCATGATCATTATAAATGACAAATTTTAGTTATTTTATTCTAACTTTACTCTTATTTATATTTATATAAATTATTATCTGCATTAACAATAGAAGAATTAATTTAAAAGATAATCCAAATACTTTTTTTTAAAAAATTAAAGTGGTTCCCAGTTTTTTTTTTTTTTTTTTTTTTAATTTTGAAACCCTAAGATTTTATCGAGAATCAGTTTCTAAAGCCATTCGACGGTCGGACAAACATTTCCTTTTCTTTTTCTTTTCTGATTTTTAAAGGGCTAGCTCCCTCCCAATATTGTAGCTCTCCATTTGCCTTAAAATCATTGCCGTTTGATCAAACTTCATATTTAATCGTAACCGTCTAATCAAGATGATATATCAGGCTGAATTTGCAGTATGCAATCGGTCAAAAGCGTTTTCCGGTTTTTATAAGTGCATCTAAAACCGAATTCTGTTTGTATCCTAGCCGGAAGTATACTATTTATATAACAATTTTTTTTTTCGCCTTCCTTAAATTTGATAATTCTTTATTTTTTTCAATGATTCATTTATAAATGACAAATTTTAGTTATTTTATTCTAACTTTACTCTTATTTATATTTATTAAATTTTATCTCAATTAATTGAGAATTAATTAAAAGATAATCAAATACTTTTTTTTAAAATTAAAGTGGTTCCAGTCAGAAAATAAATTATGTTTTTTATTTATCATTTTACTTACAATCAATAATTTTTTTATAAATCACCAATATCCGAATCTTATTATCAAGAACCGTATAATCCGACTCGAGGTTTAGTCACAATTAAAACTCTCCGCCCTTTCCTACAGGTGCATTTAGTAGGAAATCGAACCCAACAACTCAAATCACATGTCCAGCCTTCGTTGTTAGCTAAGTCATAACCCACAAGTTACAATTAGTAATTATTTAATCATAAATTTATCAAAAAAATTAATTTTCAAAGCTTATTTATTGATTCATTTTTTAGGGAAATGGCAGTGTTATTATTGAAAATAATAGTCTCAAACTGGCAACGCATAGGTTTAGGCATACAGCTATAAGGAATAAGGCTCAATTTGCCTCGTGATGTTGAGAGCAATATACATTTTACTCAAATTGATTTTACTCAAATATCAATTTTTTGTACAATTTACTCCTGAACTTGCACCAAAAGAACAATGCCCAATTTTCTATCCGAAAATTATATAGAAAGTTAATTTTTGAGTAAATTGTACAAAAAGTTGAAGAGCTTTTTATTCTTTACGTATTAGGGGGCAAATTGAGATTTATTCCTAGCTATATATCAACTATGATAACGATATATGTATTAAGGAGCCGACACTCACCAACACAAGCACTATTTGGATCAGAATCAGAATGTACATTAACAAAACAACATCAATACTCATTTAGGCACAATTAACGGTCACAGCCACAGCCTTCTTGAGCCAGAAGTGGGTAACCTATAAACACTAAGATATACCAAAATACAAACTGCAAGATAGTGTGAGCACTTTCAAAGAACAATGATTTTTCTATGCAAATGATCTCCAGTTAAAGCTTCATCTCCACCGTGATCGTGATCATGAAAAATCAAAGTGAGGATTCCTACCAAACATAAAACTGAACCCACGAGAAGTTTGTCATACCTCTCCACCCAGTGAAACTTCAGCTGACTAGCACCATAAAATGATAGAGCCACGAGTAATGTCATCACTGTGATAGTGCTGCCAAACAAATAAAAACGTGTCAAAACAATACACATACACAATGGTGGAAAATGATTTTTCAATTGCATACCCTTTTCATTATGCAACAAGTTTCGTGCATGTTTTGAGTGATGGTAGAAACAATCAAGTCAACAAGGTTGCTTAGTCGACTGGAATATCCAGCCAAGCTAACATTCAAGTTTGGCAAGTTCTTCTAATTGACGAGAAGAAAAAACCACTAACTAGACCAAATATAGAATAATCTAGTCAGTTTTGAACAGATCCGATCTTGAGGAAGCCACTAGCTAGGATGTCATTCTTAAATTTGCTCAGTTGAATTTTTTGCTTTTTCTTACGATCAGAAAAGAGCTAAATAGTACCAACGAATATTTGGTTTGTCATCTCCAGAGCTATGAGGTTTCAAATTCAAATTCCAATCTCAATCATAGCCAAATTAATTTAAATAAATAAATAAAAAAGGGGAAAAGTAGCAAATCAAAAGTGGAGTTAACTAGATTACTTTACAATGCCAAGTCTGCTTTTAGAAGAGATGCATCATCTTGACAAGCCACTTGGATGTGGTTTCAATATAGGCTGGGCTAATTTTAATGTAATGTTGCCTTCCAACCAAGAAAATGTAAGTAAAAAAAAGAGTGTCATGGTACATCCAGCAGTGATTAATTATACAGACTGAAAAATCTACAAACTCAGAGACAGAAATTTGGCTCAAAATATATTCACTGGTCAGCCAAGGGGCAGCTTTTAGGCAACATCAAAAATTAAATGCAGAATGGCTTTACTTCAAAGTGTAATCTCCAAAAGACAAGGATGATTGAATAGGTAATAACTACCAAAATTCTGAATTATGGCTTTATTAATACCTGAATAGCAGCACTATGATAGCAAGCACCATCATGGAGGATGAATTCCCAACAGCAAGGAAAACAGGAAGTGTGGTTGCACAAGGGGATAATGCAGGTACAAGGACAAGCCCTGCAACAGCCATTTTTTCCATGGGTTGGTTGTGCGAATGACTGTGTCCACCACCCTTCCCAGAAAGAAAAAGTAATACATAACTACCACCGAGAATTATGAGAAGAAGTGATGCAAGCTTGTGCACTGTTTCTTCTCCAGCAATAGTGTTTGCCATGGTGATTGCTGTTATCCCAAGAAGTGAAGTGGATATCACATGCAGAACTGCCCCAAAAGCCGCTGTATAAAGAGAAGAAAAAAGTTATTGAAGAATATATTTTTGCTCTATATCCACAAAACTTTGAGATTACAATGCAAAATTCAGCTTCCTATTCCAGTCTCCCCAGTGAACCAATTCACAAACAATAGCCTGGCCCAATAATGTGCCAAATATTTGATGAACTTAATCAATTAACAACAGCATGTTGAAGTCACAGCATTAGATCAGATTACCCAGATTAGCATTAATCCAATTCGAAACCAATGAACTAAAATCAAAGAGCATTTGGGTATCAACACAATCAATCAGCTTAAAACAGAATAAAACATCCCACACAAAATCCAACAGAAACAGATTAACTTTAATATTCCATACATATACTAAATGCATACCATTCAGCAACATACATATAGAGTCATGCTCATCAATGAACTGCCATGCCAGACTGGAACAAAGCTAAAATATGCAAATCATAAAACTGGAACTAAATAAGGAAGCGCTTTCCTAAACCAAGCATAGCAGAAAATTCCACCTCATTGAATCAAGTTTCTCTAATCTTATAGCCCCGAAACAAATTCCCCACAAATAATTGCAATTTATTCAGGTTCAAATTACACCAAACTTCAAAACTCTATGAAACCCAGTAAATATTTTTGCCATTTAGGGCCAGATCTAAATTGCCACGCACAGAAATAAAGAGAGAAGGTGAGCACATACTGACAAGGAGGGTTCTTGAGAGAGTCCATTTCTGTGCACGGCCAACAATGGAGAAAGGAAGCCAATGCGTAGGAATGAATGAATGAAGAAGCGAAACGGTAGCTATTCCTCCAATAGTAGACAGATCTTCGGCACTGAAACTCTTCTCCATTTATACAAATCTATCTATATTTAAATCAAATATATAACATCCAAAGAACAATGAGAAATCAAAAAGAAAAAGGAAACTTAGATGGATTGTTCAGAGATTAAATTACACAGTTATGGTAATCTGGTATGAGTTTTGAGTGGAGAAATTGCCATATTTGAATTGCTTCAAAGGTTTGGTGTGGGAAATAAGAAAGGTTTTTGTCAGATCCAAAACGAGTTGGGACTGATGCTTTTTAACAGAAGAAGTAGAAGAGGATTTTACTGATAGTATACGGATGGATGAAGGCCTGTATGCGAATGGCAGTCAATTTCATGGAATAGGGTGAAAAAGTTTAGGGGTAATTATTATATAATCCTTGTGTTTTTATCAAATATGCTGGTAAAGATCTCAGCATTCAAAATTATACTATTTAGTCCATATATTATAATTTTTTTTACTATTAAATCTAATGGCTAGTTTTCGTTGAGTGGTTGTGAATTTCACCTTGATGAAAATTACAATGTAAGGTATAAATAATGTAAAATTATAAAAATTGATATATTTACTTATGTTATCAAACTATAAGAATTATATAGTAATTAAAATATTTTTGATAGGTCATGGACACTTAATGAAAAAACTGAACAGTTAAACATTACAGTTACAGTATAACTGATTTATGATTTATTATGTGCAAACTAAATAGTATAACTTTAAAAATTGAGATCCTTACTAATATATTTGAGCAAAATGCAAGGACTATATAGTAATCACCCCTAAAATTTATAAGTTAGAATTTTTATAACTTAGCATAATAAAATAAATAATAGAGTATTGTTTTTTTTTTTTTTTACTTTTTTTGCATTTTTTCTATTTTTTTTAAAGGGTTGATTATAAACTTGGTGTTTGAACTTCTTAAAAGTTCTATTTTGATATCTCAACGGAAAACGTTTGTTATTAAGTGTTACAATCCATTAAAATTTTTCAATCTAATATTGCCTGATTATGTGGTACACCGAAAATATGACTAGGACGACAGGCGTTATGCTGAGTTGGATTTTTTTTCATGATATGGAAAATTATGTTGAGTTGTCCGCCGATGATTGGGTATTCTGAATGAATAGAAAGACCATTACAAAGGTTACGGTATATCAAATGGCTTTGCAATTTTTTATTCACTCTCATCCTCTCCTTTCTCTCTCTAGTATTATCAAAGCATTTCCTGCGAAACAAACAAAGCTCCTTTCTCTCTCTAGTATTATCAAAAAATTTCCTACGAAACAAACAAAACAAAAGAGAAGAGCACCAAAAAATTTCATCTTTTGGACATGAAACTAAAAAAAAATACTAAAGACATGCTCAATCGGCAACAAAGAAGAGTAAGGAAGGGGCTTATAAAGCAACAGACTGATTCGACTTCAAATTTAATAATGGGCCAGTCACTTGGATTACAATTGGAGCTACTAAACATAAAGAATTAGACTCACAGTAAAAAAAAGTTCAGAAAGTATGTTTGTAATGGCAATAAAGGGAGGTAAGGCAAGAGATGGGACAATGAAGGTGTTGGAAACGGTGGTTGCTGTAGGAGCGAAAACGAAGCACAGTGAAAGAGGGTGAATGCGATGAAGGGGCCAACACAGAAGCCGTTGACTCAAATCTCGCTCGTGAGATTTGCGTCTTTGGTGCTATGTGGATTGGTGATGTTCTTTCATTGGGTCTATGTTGATGCCTTCGTTTCTTTGTTTGGTTATGAAGTTTTATGTGGTTAGGATTGATTGTACAATGAAGAACCCTAATTTTTCAAGTCTCAATCTGTTTTCTCTATTTCCTTTTTCAATTTTTGTAAACTACAATTTCTAAATATCTCAACTCGATGCTCTATTAACAATAAAAGGCATAAACATTTTAAGGTTATTTTAATAACTTCAGTTTTTATATTCATTCAGAATACTTAATCATTAGTGGACAACTCAGTATAATTTTCCACATTAGTAAAAAAATCCAAATCAGCACAATACCTGTCGTCCTAGTAGTATTTCTGGTGTGTCACGCAATCAAGCGACACTAGATAGAAAAATTTAATAGGCTGAAATATTTAATTACAAATGTTTTTTTATTGAGATATTAAAATATAATTTTTTTGAGAAGTTCGGACATCAAATTTATAATTAACCATTTTCTAAATAAACTTTAGATGCGAAGCACTTAGATTTTTCTTTTTCTTTTTTTATTTATTTCTTGTGTTTTGTTCTAAAACATTCCGCTTTTAATTTTACTTCCTAGTTTTTTTGTAGTTTTTATATTTATTAGATTTGCCATACTGCCCAATTGAGACACTAAAATATAATTTTTTTGCAAAATTCAGACACTAAATTTATAATTAACCATTTTCTAAATAAACTTTAGATGTGAAGCACTAAGATTTTTCCTTTTTTTTTTTTATTTCTTGTGTTTTGTTCTAAAACCTTACGCTTTTAATTTTACTTCCTAGTTTTTTTTGTAGTTCTTATATTTATTAGATTTGCCATACTGGCCTATTTATGCTCGTCAAAACATTACAGTGGAAATACTTATTAATAAATGCTTAGGTCAAATCTATGGTCCTATTTATAGACTAAATCAATGAAAATAATAATTTTTTAAAACTTACTTTTACTTTATTTTTTTTTTTAGGATAAAAGTACCTTTATTTTGAAAAAAATTTATATTTTCATCAATTTAATGCATAAGCAGAACATAAATTTGGTATGGACAAATCTATTTCTAAAATTGAAATCTAACTTCTTTTTTTTATGATAATGGAATAAAAAATCCGAGTAATAGAAAGCGGTTCAATTTGATTATTTCGAATCGAATAAGTATTTTCCATATAAAAGTAAAATAAATTTTTTTTTTTTGTTCTATAAATTTCATGTAACACTTTTTTTATTGTTTATATTTATAATTTTTACTTTTTCATTTTTCTAAATTTAATAATCTTTAGATGTGAAGCAACTTATAGATTGTTCCTTTTTTTTTTTTTTTATTTTTTTTTAACTTGTGTATTTGTTCTATAATTTACCTTACGCTTTTTTAATATTTTACTTCTCTTACGTTTTTTTTGTAGTTCTTTTATTTTTATTTTTTATATTTGTCCAATACTGGCTTATTTTTTTATTGCTCTGTTCAAAACATTATCCTTGTTTTGGTGGGGAAAAAAATAAAACCTTTTTTTATTTTTAAATTTTAAAATTTGCTTATGTGTTACAATATCTATGGTCCTATTTATTAGACTAAAATATCATGAATAATATTTTATTAATTTTTTTAAAATCTTATAACTGTTTACTTGTTTATTGTTTTTTTTAGGATAAAATAAGTATTCCTTTTATTTTGAAAAAAATTTATATTTTTCATCAAAATTTAATGCATAAGCAGAACATAAATTTGGTATGTGACAAAAATCTATTTCTAGAAATTGATTCTTAACTTTCTTTTTTTTTATGAATAATGGATATAATATAAATCCTGAGTAATAGAAGCGGTTCAAATTTTGATTTATTTCGAATTTTCGTAATTATAAAGTATTATTCCATATAGAACAGTAATAAATTTTAATTTGAGTACAGTCAATTAATAATAGTTTTTATATAGTAAGTCTGAATCCAGGATCGATTAATCTCTGACCATCATCAATAGATTGAGTGTTTAAGATTTAAACAAAATGATCTTATCATATTAGTTCATACTTTTTGGCCATATATACCCAAAATAGTTTATAATAAGTTTTTACATTGTATGTTACTATTATTTAAGGCCATGAAGACTATATCATGTTCTTTGTTACTTTTTTTTATTATGTTTTCTGAGTGTTCACCATCATATGACGTTGGTGCTCTAAATTATATATATATATATATATATATGAAATCCAACGATTATCTCTGACCATACAATAGATGATTTAATTTAAAAAGATCTTATCAATTTAGTTCAATATTTTGGCCAAACCCAAATAGTTTAATAGTTTTACATTGTATACATATGGCCATAAATATTTCTTTATCTTTTTTATTAGTTTTATGTTCCACATATGACTGTTGGTGCTCTCAATTGTTCATGTGTTTTGTCACTTTCATTTTAATTTATCATCATCTGTAACTATTACCAAATTAGTGTATATGTATTTATAAATAATAAAATATATACTGTATACCCTTACGAAGCGTAGGAGGCACCCAGTTGCTAATAATATTATAAGCATTTATTTTATTTTTTAAAATATGATTAGAATCATAGCCAATTTGGTCAATTATTATTAAATTTAAATTATTGTTAATCAGTCAAAAATCAATTTAAAAATATAATATTTCAAGTATTTTGGTTATAATTTTTAACATAATTGAAATATTTAAAATATTATTCTAACCAATTAAATTTACTAAATATTTTTAATTAATAAATATATATACCAACGATAAATGTTGATTTTCACTTGCTCATCAAACTCATTAGTGAATAAATAAAGTTACCTATAGTAAATGCTTATTTATCTTTTTTTTTTTAAATTCTAAGCTTGTAATGAATGTACAAATTATTATTATGCATCACTATAGCATTATCTTAAAATAAAAAATATATATTTATTGTGAAATATTTCACGATATACTTATTTTTGTTACCGAAATTTAAACTATGTACGTATCATCACATTTTAACAATATATATTTCATTTGGAATTTTTTAATATTTTGAGATAGTGGAGAAAACTAATTTTTTAATTAATTATTTAAATTGTAACACAATAATTACAAATTTTAATTGGATTTTCATCATGCACTAAAGCTTGTATGGAAAATTATAGGATAACGTTTCTTTCTATAAGTTTTTCATATCCATATTTGATTTATTTAGGATTTAATCATTTTTTCAATATTTTTTCTATTATTTTTATTTAAAATATTACATATACTATCTAATTCTGTGTAAAAATAAAATTATATAATTATATCATTTTTTAAATATTATTTCTATTATTTTTATTTAAAATATTACATATATACTATCTAATTCTATTATTTAAGTGATCTAATCATTTTTTCAATATCTTTTTCTATTATTTTTATTTAAAATATTACAATATACTATCTAATTCTGGTGTAAAAAAGATATAATTATAATAATCTATAGTGCCATCATTTTTTAAATATTATTTCTATTATTATTTTATTTACAAAGCCTATCTTTAACATAATACACTATTAATTCTAATGTAACACATATTATAAACTTTATATAATTATTATTATAAAAGAGTTAATAGAGTTTTATGTTTTAATCATATAATATTACATATATACTATCTAATTCTATGTAAAAAAATAAAATTATATAATTATTAATTAATAAAAGAGTTATAGAGTTTTATGTTTTATATATAAACTAGTTTTACACTAAATAAAATTCACGCGATACGATTTACGCCTATTTTGACCCAAACCTTCTAATTTCATCATACTTCGCTTTTTTGTTCTTCTTTTGTTCTTATTGCCTTCTCTAATTTCTAGGGTTTCACCAAAAATTCAACCTCATAACCGAAACAAACAAATCCCACAAACCCAAAATGGCTGAAGTCATTAACATGCCTCTTGATTCTCTCGACCGTCGGGGCCGAGACCGCAAGGAGAAATCCTCAACTGCCGACGACCCTCAGTCCTCGCCGCCACCTCCTCCTCCGCCTCCTCCTCCACAGAATGCACCCCGACGACGGGACAGAGACTCCAGAGACAGAGAATTCGATAGGCCACCGAATCGACGTGATTACTACGAAAGGAATCGGTCTCCTCCACCGAGGGAGAGGGAGAGAGAGTATAAAAGGAGGAATAGTTTGAGCCCTCCTCCGTTGCCTTACAGAGATAGGAGGCATTCGCCGCCTCCGAGGAGGTCCCCACCCTACAAGAGGTCGAGGAGAGAGGACGGAGGTTATGAAGGGAGGAGAGGTAGCCCTAGAGGTGGATTTGGACCTGGCGATAGAAGGTGAGTGAGTTTAGTGTGATAAATTTTTATTGGTTTATTGGGTTTTTTTTTTTTTTTTTTTTTTTTTTTTTATTGGTTTATTGGTTTTTCTTTTTGGTATTTTTATTTATTTATTTGAGTGTTTATGAAGGAAAAATTTTGATAACTGATGTAAGCTTGAATGCAACTGGATTTTCTATGTGGCTTTTATTTTTAAATTGTCCTGCTTAATTAAAGTATTTGTGTTCACACCGAGCTATTTGTAGCTCTTCTCAGCTTTTTCTTTTATTGAGAATCTGTTCTTTTGGATTTTTCCGAAAAACAGTGCGAATATGCTACTAAATTGCTAACACTAGAGATTTATTAACTTCCATTGAGGTAACCTTTAGATTTATAGAAGAGTTTTTTTTTTTTTTTTTTTTTTTTTGGTGTTATGAGGAAATTTGATAACTGTGTAGCTTGATCACTGATTTTTTCTATGTGGCTTTTATTTTTAAATTGTCTGCTTAATTAAGTAATTTGGTCAAGAGCTTTGTAGCTCTTTCTGCTTTTCTTTTATTGAGTCTGTCTTTTGGATTTTTTTCCGATAAAGTGCGAATATGCTACTAATTGCTACACTAGATTTATTAATTCCATTGAGGTAACCTTTAGATTTAGAGAGGATTGCCAAGTTAACCTTAGATTGAAAGAACCATCAGTATAAGGTAGATGGTCGCAGGAAGAGTATATGAACTCTCTCTACAGAATTGGTTATACTCGGACCAAATTTCACATAGAATTCTACATTTTCCTGTTGGAGTTCGAAACTGAACTTAAAACTTAAAGAGAGTATAAGTTGCTCAACACTTACGAATTCTAACTACAAGCTTGTGAAGCTATACAGTTAATCCAAATATGAAAATTTATTTTTAACTGAATTTTTTTAATGAAAGCAAATGAAATGAATTCCATATGGATTTGTTCTAAACACTACCTTAACCGTAAATTTTGCCAAATTTAAAATTTAGGACTTGCCTATAAGATGGAAATATGTGCTATTGCAATTTCTGGGGATGATTAATGCAGTATGTGGAATTATGAAGTATACCTGTGTCGCTAAATTTACATGCTATCTTTGCCATATGTCCAAAAGAAAGAAATGTTTTACGGTTTCCAGCATCAAATTACCCACGTATGAGTAAGATAGGAAAGACCATTGAAGAGCACACTGGAAATTCTATGTTCATTCTGTTTATCCAGTCAGTTTACTTTAACATTTACCTATCTGGTGTTGGATTTAAGTTCTGATCAGATGTTTCATGAGGTGTCTTTGAGATAGATTGGTTGCAATTGAACTTTAACCTGAATTTGACATATTTTCATGGATTAATTTGATTGTAATAATTCGTATGAGCATTTGACAGGTTGATATTGCATTATTTTGTCGGTGGTTGGATTACACTTCATTTTAATAGTGTCAGTGCTGTTTTCTGTCAATTTTTTGTATTTCATGCTACTTTTAGTTGATGGCATTGAAGTGCTAGTCATTGTCCTGTTTTAGCTATTTATAGGACATTTCCTTGCATTACTCTATTTAGTTATTTTTTGTTTGGGCCTTTGTTGGCTTTCAATTTTTTATTTTTAAATTGAGCCCTTCAAAATTTGGTCAGTGTAGTAAAACATGATCTTTGATGTGTAGGTTTGGATATGATTATGCTGGTGGATATGAACGTGAGATGGGGGGTAGGCCTGGGTATCCTGACGATCGTCCTCATGGTCGTTACATGGGTCGTGGTGGTGGATATCAAAGTGGTCCCTCTGGTAAGTGCTCAAGTTCTTTGAGATTTGTTGCATTGATATGATTTTGGTTTGTCGAAAAAGTTAGTAACGGATCTGAAAGAATGAGTTGAATTTGAACCCCCAATTCCAACTTTGATTCTTGACACTCTGATGTCATCTTTAATGTGTTGGATGTTAGTAACTTTGGTTGTTTACAAGATATTACTACTTATATGATTTGGAAGCTTCCCGGTAATTTCGTTTTCTGCTAGATGTTTTCTATTTAAATGATCAAAGTAGGCACTAACAGTTGTAAAATCAGGATGACCAGTTTATCCTTTCTTTCTTCAACATATTTTTTTATTAACAAAGGACAGGCAAATGAGAGCCAAGCTTGATATGCCAACATGTGCATGTGTCTTTATGCTGGCCGAACCCTTCTGCATTTTGCAAGTCCTACTATCATTTCAATTCATTGCTAAACATGTTTTTCATGCTTCAGTTCTGGCATAATCATAAGCATCTTTTGAGGCCCCCATCCTTACCTGCATGCACGCCCAGAGAGAAGAGAGAGTATAAATCAAGAAATCAGTCTTTACATTTAGCTTGTATGGAATGTGAGAATCATTATAAACTGTGCATTCTGAAGTGATATTGATTTGCTTGACTGTCGATTGTTTGATGAGCCAGATGGAAATGCTTAGATGATATATTAGGACTCAAGAAGATGCATGCTCATTGTGCTTTAGTTTGAAGTGGACTGTATGGTACAACTTCTAAAGCCAATGCAAGTTCTTGTCTTTTGTGAAGACAGGTCCCTGGAATGCTTTTAGGATCTGATTTAGGAAAGCCTGTCTACGTCTCAATACTTTTTTGGTATCATGTCCTCTTTTATTTACTGATGGTATTTTAGTAATAATAAATTGGTGGTGGCATTCCTGTTGTTTTGGTGAAGTTATAGAACCTCTGGTTATTGAATTACCTTGGTGGTTATTTTGTTTTATAATTATTGCTGCTGACATTTATGAAACGTTTGGAGACGGTAAAGTAGTGAACTCACAGTTCTGCTAATAATTGCTGGTTATTGACCTCATGGCGATAGTTATAACTGCTTGATGGAGGTCCTTGGGTCCTTTGACTTATCACTTTTCCACTAATTTAACTTACCTGGACATTTCTAAATGTCGGAGCTGGGTTTGTTGAACTTGCCTTTTTTTCTAGTTGCCTGTTTCAATTGGTTTTAATTTACTTATAAGAGTTTTAATTTTCTTATAAGTATTAATTTTATATTACATTTAGTATCTGATTAATTTAATTCCTTTTTTACCTGGTTCGACTTGGTTAAAGTTTTGATTGGTGGCCCTCTTCTTTGGCCAGTTGGAAGGCTAGGCTGTCTTAAAACCTTAATTCGGGACATATGTTCTGCGTTTCAAATATTTGAGCCAGACAATAGAGTTAATGTAGCAAGTTCTCTGGTTGTCAGCAAATTTCTATGCTGAATTTTGTATTTTGGCTACGGCTTTCATTTAATCCCCTTTCTGTTATTTGCTGAGGTAGAACTTACTGGATTATATTACTGTTGCAGACTGGGATTCTGGACGTGGTGGTTTTGTTGATGCTTCCAACACAGTGACTGCTCAAAGGTTTGTATTTAGAGTTCATTCTTTCTATTTACCTGATAATTTCATATTGTTTCATCTTATAATTAGCTATATATGTGGTTGGTGGAGGGCTGCAGATTATGTCTTAGCATAATCCATTTGTTATTGCCATCTACCTTTCACAGCGAACCATGCTTTCTTGATAGTTAAAGTTTTGGATGTGTGAACTAATAACATTAATACATACGGGCATAGCGCAAAGTCATATATGAGTAGTTAATGACTTGGGAAGATATCCTAGCGAAATTTTGATATTTGAATAGGTTGAGCAGTACTATTGATCAGAACTTACATGATTACATACAGTCCCTCTCTCTCTCTCGTTCATGCATAGGCATTGCCATCCTTTGTTATGGCTTACAATAATACAAAGTGGCATCCTTTGGTGTAGAATTCGTTTTACTCTTCAATTTGACATGTAAGCTAATCTTTTTTTCAGAGAAGGCTTGATGTCATACAAGCAGTTCATTCAGGAGCTTGAAGATGATATTCTACCAGCTGAAGCTGAGCGCAGGTACAAACTGTTGACTGTTTGGCACTTTAAAGTTAAAGACTCGAACTCATGACTTGGAGTGTGAAAGTGATCATGGTCTTATTTTTGCAGGTATCAAGAATATAAGTCAGAGTACATTTCAACTCAGAAACGGGTTTTTTTTGAGTCTCATAAAGACGAGGAATGGTATCTCTCTTCTCATGTGCGATATATCTCTTTATTTTTAACTTCATTGGTCTAATTGAATTTTATTGCATGTAGGTTGAGAGACAAATATCATCCAACCAATTTGGTTGCAGTCATAGAAAGGTATGCTACTTAGAGAATTCTTGGATTTGTGTTTTCTACAGATTTTCGTTTTTTAAACAGTCTGGATGCAATGTCAATCACTTAATTTCCAGATTTATCATAATTTGTTGGTGTGGACTATATTATTCCTTGGAATTCTTTGTAGGAGGAATGAACTGGCGAGAAAGGTTGCCAAGGACTTTTTACTTGACTTGCAAAGTGGAACATTGGACCTGTAAGTTGAACAGTTTTTTTCTGCAATCATGTTGACTCAATTGAACCTGCATGCAAACTAATTGCTCTTTCAATATTCAACTTGTGTTTTCATTCTTAATGCCAGAGGTCCTGGTATCAATGTTCTATCTTCAAACAAATCAGGACAGACAAGTGATCCAAATTCTGATGATGAAGTAGACGCTGGTGGCAAAAGAAGACGGCATGGCCGTGCGCCAGCAAAAGAAACTGATCTTCTTTCAGCTGCTCCTAAGGCTCACCTAGTCAGTTCAGAACCCAGAAGAATTCACATTGATGTGGACCAAGCTCAGGCCCTTGTACGCAAGCTCGACTCTGAAAAAGGAATTGAAGAAAATGTTTTAGGTGGATCTGATAATGAAAAAATGCATAGGGAGAAATCCCATAGCAGCTCAAGTGGTCCTGTTATTATTATTCGAGGCTTAACCTCTGTCAAGGGTCTGGAAGGCATTGAACTATTGGATACACTTATTACTTATCTTTGGCGTGTACATGGTTTGGATTATTATGGAATGATTGAAACAGCTGAAGCTAAGGGTCTTAGGCATGTGAGAGCAGAGGGAAAAAGTTCTGATGCAACTAATAGTGGGAATGAGTGGGAAAAGAAACTGGACTCACGTTGGCAAGAAAGGTTGAGGGGTCAAGATCCTTTGGAAATAATGACTGCTAAGGAAAAGATAGACGCTGCTGCCGTTGAATCATTGGATCCCTATGTCCGGAAGATTAGGGATGAAAAATATGGATGGAAGTATGGTTGTGGAGCCAAGGGTTGCACAAAGCTCTTTCATGCTGCCGAATTTGTGCACAAGCATCTCAAACTGAAGCACCCTGAGCTTGTGATGGAGCTGACCTCCAAAGTGCGGGAAGAGCTGTATTTCCAAAACTATATGAAGTACTGTCATATAACATAACTTCTTCCTTTTATCCTTAATTGTCCTGAATTTTGTAATTTTTCTGATAAATGCATTACTTCAATTTCCAGTGATCCAGATGCACCTGGCGGCACACCCGTTATGCAGCAGCCTTTACCGGTATTGTCCATCAAATCCCATACTACCCATGATCCACATGGCTATACACAACATATATGGTTGTTAATAATTTTGGCTTTTGAAAGCTTGAAATTCAGCTTCTGTTTCATGCTGCTTCCTATGTTGAGTATAAGTTGGCAGGATGGCACTTGCTGAAATTATTTAGCGGTCTGCATATACAATAAAGTTCCTAGATACATTTACAGACCATCTAATTTGTTTTTCCCAGTCTATTATTACCTGTAGTATGAAAATGAAGTTAGGCAGTCTTGTACAATAGTGCGGGGGTTGCCTAGCTTCATGAACGTATTTCCCTTTTCTTTCTCTTTTTTGGAATTGATACTTTTATTACTTTGATATGAAAGATTCAAAGTGAAGATCCTTGAAGATTTAAAGATCAATACAGCTTCTTTGGATATTGTGACTCTGATTTATCCACCAAATAGTTGGATGTGGATGTCTCACATATGTTAGCTTGCTTACTCACTTCATGAAGTTGTATGTGTTGTATTACTGAATCATATATAGATGCCTTTGTCAGCCTATTCGTCTGTACAATATCTTGTCTATCTTCCATGTACTGTGAGACTAGTGTTTCCTTAAATGTTGAGCTACTTGGTTGCATTCTGATTCACTGCCCTATACTCATAAAGTGAGGATCCATTATGGCAATGTTGAAGACATCAACTCATGTGTTCACTTTTGTACTGTTGGTCTTCCTGATGACAGTGTCAAATGCTCTCATTCCTTACCCGTTTGACTTGCATTAATTGATCTTTTCTTTTCAGAAAGACAAGCCACAGAGACGTAAGATAGGTCAAGAAAATCGATTGAAGGATGAACGAGGTGGCCGTAGAGATCGTGAAAACAGAGCAAATGGCAGTGAAAGATATGATAGGTCTGAAAACCAACAGTCAGGTGATTTTCAATCAAGTGATGGGCCTGATGCTGTCAACCATGATGATCCTATGTATGACAGTTTTGGTGGTCAAGGCATGCGTGTTCCACCTTTCCCTTCAGATATTCCTCCTCCACCAGTATTGATGCCTGTACCTGGTGCTGGGTAGGTTAATGTGTTGCTACTAAAAATATTGGTTTTAATGGCAATACTACAGGTTCTTAATTTTCGTGGCTTTTATTAATGGAAATATGTTGTTCTAACAGTCCACTAGGGCCTTTTGTCCCCGCTCCTCCTGAAGTTGCAATGCGGATGTTCAGAGAGCAGGGTGGTCCTGCTCCATTTGAAGGTGGTGGCAGAAATGGAAGGCCTGGGCCCCAGATAAGCGGACCTGCCCCCATTCTTCTATCTCCAGCCTTTCGACAGGATCCTCGTCGAATCCGCAGGTAATTTCTTTTTGTATCTTTTCCATGAACATTCACTTTCATTTGTGTGTGTGCACTTGTGTATATGAGCTGTTCATTTGGTGTTTCTTGTTGTGTATGGATGTTTGAGGGAGAACAGGAGAGAGAAATGCCCAGTCCAAAGACAAATAAAGCAGGGCAAATTATAATCCTGTCCCTGTATTTTGCCAAAAATAGCTACTTTGCCCGTCTTTGTAAAAATAAACTAATTTATCCTCATATTTTGCTCCTATTAAACGGTTTCCCTTCCGTCCACAATTTTGGATTTTAGACTATATGTCAAATTAAAGGAAGACGGTCAGATGAGATGGAAGAAATTAAAAATCCCAAAATATTCATGACACCCATTTCCATCCCCTCCCTCTCTCTTTGTCTCTCTTCATGTCTCTCCATCTCCACTCTTCCTTCTGTCTCCATTTCCTTTCCAAACCAAGCAAATTCTCTACCTTTACGAACTCATAACCTAGCTCACCAATTAATCTTGTGTCTTTTTCCTTAAATTCTACAAATCAATACCCCATCTCAAAAAAATTCATGTCTAGATTTTTCATTTGGGTATCCACCAAAATACCCAATGGAAATCTGACATAGAAAGCCATCAATAACCTATCCTTTGCAAAAGAAATATGATATGTGGTATTGGATTGCAATGACTGAGACAGGAAATGATGCAGCGGCTTGTGGTGGAGGTGGCTGTTGGTGGTTTGACGAGAGGAGGATGAATGTTTTATGAGAGGTGGCTGCTTGTGGTGGAGAGTTTCAGAAAGATGAAGAGAAGTGGATGAGATTTGTATAGAGAAAAAATGAATGCTTGGAAAATAGAAGTGGAGAGAGAGCGTGGAGTTTGTGATTGTGAAGGGAAATATGAGGATTTAGAGGAAGAGGAAAAAGAAAAATAAGAGGAAGGATAATTGTGAATCTATACAAGGTTATTTCTGTGATTTCATATGCACTTAACGTTTAAGACCCAAAATTTTGGATTGAAGGACAACATTGGAATGGTAGCGAAATGTGAGGATAAAGCAGCTTATTTTTTAAAATGGCGGACAAAATAGTTTTTACAAAATACATGAATAAGATTATAATTTTCCCAATAAATATTATTGTTCCGCTAAACCGATTTATACTGCTTTAGCTTATTCTCAAGGCATGTTTAGTAAAGATATAGAATCAATTTAAAGTGGGGTGAAATTAAATAAATGATGCGGATTTCATTACAAAAAAGTAATTGTTGAAGTCGATGTTGATTATGGCATGAATAACTTTGTGGCATTTGTTGTATTAATTCCCCTGGTTATGATTTGAACTCTTTCGAGTATTGAATTTTTTCAGCTATCAAGACTTAGATGCACCAGAGGATGAAGTCACTGTTATAGACTACAGGAGTTTGTAGGTGCCACTATTTGGAAGAGATTAAAATTTCAAAGCTGCAATTTTTTGTTCTGAAGGGAGGCACTCTTGTCTAGTCAGCGTTCAGCGCTCCCGACGTTTATTGGTTTAAGTTAATCCAACTGTAGAAGCAATCATCCTTTTGAGGTTTTCACTGCTCGTTGGGTGCTGACGGCTTTTTATTGCTAGTGGATATCAGTGCAAATTGTGTTTAGTGATGCCAAGTGCTCTTCATTTTTTTCACCCCCTCCTTTTACCTTGAATCTTACTCTTTAAGCATATAGGGGTGGGAATATACAATCTTAGAAAAATTTGTACCTGTAAAATGGACTTCTATGGAAAACAGATTTCAGATAGCTGTCCATTTGTTTTTTTTTTTTTTTTTCTTTTAACTTTTAGACTTACAATACTGAGTAGCCTTATTCTTTGTTGATAATAAAGAAAAAGAAAAAAAAAAAAAAGATTGGAACATTTGCGAATGATACTCTCTTGGAGTTTGATTGTAAAATTGGTTTCTTTATTATCAGCAGTCTCGAGTATAACAGTGGCAGTCAAAACTTTAATTAGGGATTAATATTATTTCGTAAAAGTAGAGTTCTAAAATTGAATCAACACAAGCATGTGCCCTCGCTGTTTACAATTTATTACGTTTCTTTGTTGGTGACATTTTTGTCATGGATGGTACTGATGAGGTAAAATAGTGAATCCTGTGTGGAGTGCCCCATGGAAAATAGGCCATACGTTTAGGCCATAATTGCATCAATCTCACTGTTTGACGTAAATGGAAATGACATTTAAGATATAATTTTATATCAAGAAAAATGGTCTATTATAGAAGAAAAATAGTATTTTATGCGAAGAAACAGATACGGAGAAAAGCTAAAGAAACACGAAAACGCCATTGCTAGGAGTTTCCATGCATCATAGATCTCTGGTGAACATGCAACAAAAGCAGACCCAGGAGCTACCGGAGCTTTATAATGGCTTTCCCTAAAAATATTGATCAGATCAGACGGAATGCCTCCCTAACAAAAGAGCATGGAAAGTTCACTGGAAAAGCCTTCAAACCTAACCTGTCTCACAATCTTGACTTCCAAAAGGTGCTCTTGCGATATGCAAAAGTGAACTAAAGTTCAGAACGTCACGGCTATGTTAGACTCAGATCACATCCAGAATTTACTTCTTGACAAATGTTAAAGAAAAATATTTAACAAGGCACATTACAAAGAAAGACTAGATCAAAAACCTTAACTTGATGCCTTTGATTTTTGAATTTGCAACACTACATGTACAAATATGTTACACAAGTTTACACAGGGTTATTGAGTGGATGGTAACTTTGGGTGGGGGAGGAAGATCGGAGGCACAAATAGAAAAATGCTAGCCAGATCAAAAGCCCCATGAAGAGGGAGGATTGGTGGGGGTTCCCGAGTCATTGGGAGAAATGACAGAATTTCGAGGACAGCAACAGAGACAATGACAGAATTTGGTTAACAAACATTTGCTATCCATCTATGCAAACTGATTGCACCTGGGGGAACAAAACGGGCAACAAATTCGATGCCTTTACTTCCTCGGCTTCTTTGATAGAGGCTCTGGCTGGGGCTCAGCCTGCGCATAAAAGTTTCAATTGATCAGAATAAAATTTTAAATAAGGGTTGAATTGAGAGGAGAACCCAGTTTTCTTGCAAAAAGAATAGAAGATACCCCTTATAGATCTGATATACTCGATTCATTATTATCTTTACATTTTTCATTACTATCTTCACAAAAATGAAATGTCAAGCGCATGGTCCTCAACAACAGATATAGAACATGTCAATAGAAGAAAATTGTAAAGCAAATATCAAGACATTTCTGAAGGATCAAGTAATCAACTAGTATTCCACCAATTTAATGAGCACCTTATAAATTCCCGATGGAGATGGCTTATTATTAATAGAATTCAGCCCCTTCAAATTATTTAGTGGACTTAAAAAATATCTTTGCTTGTGATGCAATGATATTTAAGTTGTAGAAGTGATCCGGCCTTGTTTATTGCACTTCTATCAGTCAATGGACATTTTCTTAATTTGTTGTATTCCTCTCAATTAATAGTTCAAAGCAAATTGACTCAAAATCATCCCAACTGCCATTACCAAAAGAGTTTGATATTAAGCAAACCACAAAGAGCATGAAGCAGTCCACTATGCCAGAATCAAACAGGACGAAATTCAGCATTACTAACTAGAGATTTTCAGAGTCTAAAAATGAGTGCAGTTTCCACCAAAAAAGAGAAAAAAACGCCATATTTATATAAGGAAAAAAAAAAGGATCATTTCAGTTCATGAAGCAAAGTCACATAATCATAATAATATATTTAATTTAATAATATATTCAAATATAAAAGTAATATAATTAATAATAAATAAATTAATAATAATAATTAATAATAATAATTAATTAATTAATTAATAAGAGAAGGAAGAGAATGCTCACAACATTTGAGAGCTGCTCGCGGATGTAGGCCATTGATCTCAGCATGGCACCTAATGTATCTCTAGACACCTGAAATTTGACATCTGACTCTCCTGAAGTTGTTTCAGTATCTTGCAACTGAAACCAGCAGAAGAAAGGATAAATTAAATGGTGGACAATAAATTGACAACACAATAATCGCTGTGATAAACTAAACGAGGCCACAAAGTCTAAGACAACATGATAATCACTGTGATCATGACTAGACAGTATATTGAATGAAGATGTATTTCCATGTAAATCCTATATAATTCCATGCTTCATTTACCATAAGAAAGTGGACTGCCAGATGAATAATATATTGAAATATCAAGGAAAATAAGTCCTAAAAAAAAGCAGAGTGCTATTTAATAAGGGATCCCAAAATTAAAAAAATGTACATTTATTTCCAAAAGAGCTTTTAATTTTCAAAAGATACCAATTTTTGTCAGTTACATTTTGTGCAGCTTCTAGTGGGGTCTATCACTTTGTACTCCCATAAGATAGCTTTAATTTTCCATTTTCTGGATAAAGAAATACAATACCATTTAAGCTTGATCATGATAGATGACCATTCAATTTGCAATCATAACCTTGACAATCCTCCTTGCACATGATAAACCATCCCATCTCATAGCATATAATACACAAGATGTAAAACAGCACTATCTATTTCGTCGATGAAATCATATCTGGCTTGGGCAGTATTTATATCTACATGGTGTAGGAAAGCTTGAGAAGTTGAACTTTTGCGAAATTGGATTTGTAGAAATCGAAGGGCATAAAAGTTAGTATGGCAGATCTGAATTTCTTTATAGAATTATGAGCATCATATTGATAGGATCTAGGACTAATCCTATTAACTATCAAGAAATAAATCATAGCTGGCTGGAATTTACTGGCTTTACTGAAAATTAAGCCTTACAAGAAAGCATGAGTATTTATAGACACCAAAGAAATCCTAAAGCTTGAAGGTAGAGGAATACTGAAAGTGGCCGTTATTCTTCAAGGAGTTGGAACTCTTAAAGAAGAGTAAGACAAATAATTTTATCCTCAAGCAACAAGGAACTAAGATTCTAAAAATAGAACTAACAATTCCCAATCAGGACAGTTTTCCAGCAAAGTTGGACATTAAAAAAGTTGCTTTTTTACTTAAATTATTTGCCCACAACTAGTTTACTTACTACATATATAAAAAAGATTCTAATAGGCTAGAAATATACCATAATATCTGAAAATCAACAATAATTAAGTCTTAATTCCAAGTTAGTTGGAGACATCAATATGAATCATTTGCTTTTATTCCACTCCATTTATGGCTAAATCCAAACTAATGCCAAGAAACAGTGACCTTTTTGAGACATATTATCTCTATGTAGTTTTTCCCTTTTAACATCTTCCATAATCAAGGTACTGCACTTCCAAAACAGGCACGTTGAGGTCTAGGTAGGACATGACCAAACCACTTTAATGACCTTCTCTCATTCTAGCCCATTCTTTGTTGCTTGCACCTTTTGTCATATCAATTCTAATCTCATACAATCTTGTATGATTATTGATCAATTTTAACATCATTTCTACAACATTCATCTTGTGAATATGATAGATCTTGGTAACCCAACATTCACTCTCATATAACATTGCTGGTCACACAGTCATTTTATAGAACTTGACTTTGACTTTGTTAAATATCTTTTTGTTGCATAGCACACCTCGTAGCACTCCTCCATTTCATTCGTCTTATCTTAATCCTATGGGTCACATCTACATTTATCACTATATCCTTTTCGAAAACAGAGCTTAGGTATATGAATTGATTGTGCTTAGACACCACAACATCATGCTACCTAACTCACCTCTATTAAAATCACAATGCATGTTTTTTGTCTTCTACTTAACCTAAAACCCTTTCAAGAGGTCTTTGCCGTAATTTCTTTTACTTGACTAAAAACAAAATCGTCTACAAATAACATACACCATGGAATATCATCCCATATACTACTCATTAGTTCATCCATAACTAGAATAAGTACAAAGGAAAATCCTTGATGTAAACCCATAATTAAAGGGAACCTCTCCTTGATGCAAATCCTAGACAAAATTTGGAACATAGTTCTAAAATTATATATTGATTTTCTTGATTTCCCTAATTCGAATAGCTATATAGTATACAATTAATTTAAACAAAAGTTTAAAGAGAAACTAACCAAAACTATGATATCCCCAACAAAGAAGCTATCCAAAAGAAAACTAACTAAAAATAATTTTTATTCCTGAAACTTAACCAAACTAATTCATCCTACAAAAATATATCCAAATTCATACATGGTATCCTCTATAAGCTGTTAAAAAAGAAACTAATCAAATCTTGGGAGTCCTTTGAACATTATAACTTTTTATGACCAAAATGTCTATTTTTAAATTTTGGGCAGCTGTATTTGAATAAGACCCTATTTTGAAATTTTTCCCAAACAATAATAGCCAATAAAGGAAGAATTAGGCTAATCCGTAGTACCATAAGCAAGGAGATTAAGCCAAAAATATGCAAAGAACAAGGAAAAACACGCATGGCCCAATGTGTGATTGTGTAGGAATGTTCACAATATCTTTTATGCCATCATAAACTGAGAGCTCTCAACTAAAACATGAAACCTTTAAAATAAAATCCATATCAATAGAGAGAAAATGAGGAGTGAGGGGGTCTCAAACCAAGGCAAGGTAGATTTCCTTGTCGCAAAGTGAAAAATGTTGCTCCTACTAATGCATTCAAAGTAACCATTGCAATGCTAGTTAACAATACAAAATTTACTTGACCTCAAGTCGATTCCAAAGAGTTCTTTATCATAATTCTAGGTGCACTCATTCATTTATCTCTACCATCTCTCTTTGGCTCCTCTTATCCTATAATTTGATTTGTATGTTATTTTTGCACTCATTAGGTTCTCTTTCATTTTCTATTTAGTACACGATCTGGATTGAAATTTATATAAATACAATATTTGCAATCAGATTTCTAGTATCTTTTAATAAATTGATGGGAAATATATCCATAAATGTATGAGTATTACTTTTAATTAATTTTGAAAAAATACAATGAATCTAACAATATTCTCGATTCGCGGTTCTAAAATAAAGAATTTCAATTCTTGATTTGACAACTATGCATATTTGAAACAGAACTCTGAATCAGCTGTGTAAAACAAGGATCATTCTCTGTATTCCTTATATTAGGATTATTCAGTGACTTACATAATGAAGGCAAGCAATACTATGGCTTCTTCAATTGAACACGAAGCAGTTATGAAATAAATTCACAAGGAAATTATGATTTCATACAATGTTTGAATTGAATTATACATTAAGATCAATAAATTTAATTCATAATAGACAGTTTATTACTGTAAAACAAAAAATCACTATTTTGCTAAGTATTCAATTTTTAACGAAGAGTCCGGTTCTAATTAGTGTTTAAGCAATGGAGAGGAGTAAATTCATTAAATTCATAGTATGCTATATTCCTCACCAAGCCTAGGCTAGGTGATCTGAGTCCAGCTCAAACTTAAGTCAGGCTCACAAAAATGCCAGATGCAGCCCCCATAAATTTCAGAAGGAGCAGAAAACACAGCTCTTTCTAGTTAGAACCATATTAGCAAGGCATATGGACATCTCTAACAGTTAAATTTAATAAAATGGAAGCCTTAATTGCATTATTCTCTCTGGAAGAGCTTCCAAATATCCTATTATTGACTCTCATAGGTGCATAATCCCAGTTTTTCTGAAACATAAGTCTAAAATTTGGACAGACTTACCTTTAAATTAATGACAGCAACCCTGTTAGCTGGTGTAGAAAGCTGCTCACTAATATACGCCATAGATCTCAACATGGGCTCGAGCGTAACTCTTGATAGTTGAAACTTAACCTCTAATTCTGTTGAAGGATTCTTGTTGTAATCTTGCAACTGTAGCAGGTATAAACAAAATATAAATATGAGCAAAACCCAAACCAGGTTTGAAATATATAAATATGAGCAAAACCCAAACCAGGTTTGAAATATCTAAATAGAGAATAGTAGAAGGTATCAACTTAATAGATGTAGGACAGGTTCAGTTATTTGCCTAACAATTATGTTTGGTTTGCAAATTTCAAAGTAATTAACAAATCTAATGGCCAGGATTAAAAAGGACGTCCACTTTCAGAAGACTGCATTACAGCTGTTGAGAAGAGAATTAGGTGGCTGATGAAGCTGTCTTCAGTAACTCAGCAGACAGCCTATGTAAGAAAGAAGCAGAAGAAAAGGAAGATGATAGACAAGGAGAGAAAGACGGAAAGCATACTAGCCACACTAAACCCTGAAATACTCATAGTAAACCTGTACTTCATTAAGTAATGTAGAAATTTATAGGACTGCTGCAAATTCTAAATAAGAAAATGTCCAATAATAACTAGGAAGCAAACAACCATAACAAAAAGAAAAATCCTCAGAAGGATTTAAACACCAGAATTCTAAACATTACTAAAATCATGAATTTCCTAAATAGCAAGATCTTAAATAGAAGTTACATTATACTCCTATCTCTGAAGGGTGCATTTATGGGGTCCTAAGGATGCATTTGGCATGTGCTTAAAGTATTGAGGCAAAAAAGTCATAGAAGCAAAAGATAAGTGTATGACAGCCATTTATAGATGGAAGTCAGAGTGCGGCTTGTATTATAAACAATAAATACTTTAAATTGCTTGTATTGTGATAGCAATGGAGACTTATTCCTGAAACTTGCTCTGGAGGGTGAGGGGTGGTGGTGCATATATGTGAAGGCATAAGGAATTTTCGCTCTTTAGTTCTTGACCTCCAATTCCACTCTCTTTAAGGGAACAAGTTAACATTTTGAGGGTGGTGGCAGGGTTACCTTATAAGAAAAATCTAAACTATTAAACTTAAGAATCAAATCAAACTAGCTTCTAGTTTCTGTTTTGTGGTTACAGAGGTTTGATAATTAAATTACTTCTTCAAATAATTTTAATGCATTTAAAAAGGTGACATGCAGACAATGGCATTTGGATTGCTGATTGTCAGGCAAACCACTTCCTGATTTGAGATGCTTGATACAGTTTCAAGTTATAACTCAATAAGTGTACCTTCAAGTTGATGACAGCAACTCTGTTCCCTGATGTTGAATTCTTATTCTCCATCACCCAAGTCATCGATTTGAGACAAGGAAGAACTGCCTGCGTAAAAGGAACATATAAATGTGCCAAATCAACTACTTCCCTCATTTTAGAACCATCATAAGTATTTTAAAGAAAAAGACTTAATAGAAAGCTTTAATTTGCCAGGTCAACATAATTTTCCTTGATTTTATTATATATTAAAGAACCCACAGAGACCCGATGTACATACGATGTTTCCAGGAGCACCTTCATCCCTCTGAAGGGACACAGGGGCCATGCGGGGAAGATTCAGATCAGCAACAGATTGAGCTGGAGCACCAGCGTCATTTAGATTAAATCGCCGAGTAACTTCATCTTGCCTTGGCCACAACAATGGGGTTGTATCTGATGCTGATGTAGAGCTTTTCCTGTCATCGTAACCAATCCCACCAGCCTGCGAGCTGGGAGGAGGAACTTTGGCAACATTTTTCTTTGCAGCAGCAATTCTCTTCACACCTTCTCTAAGAGCACTCATTGCAACATTGTAAGTATCCACAGCTATTGCCCCTTCCTCTGCATATTTGATGGCTTCCCTACACAAATTGTTGTACCGCAATGCGAGAGACTCTTGTCCATGTAATTCACCACCACGTTCATCTACTCCAACACCAGTTTTGGCATTTCTCGTCCATCTTTTTAAGATGTAGTGAGATGGCAATGTAAGTACATTTGTCACTGTGAAGACTGTCAAAACGTGCCTACATAGAATGCCTGAATACTCAAACATTTGACAGCTACAGTTTGCTTTCATTTCTGGATAGTTCAATGTAACAATATATGCTTTATGGTCATCCTCAAATTTTGCAACCCTGAATGTGCTGATATTCCCATCACCCTCAATTTTATTAGCAGTATAGACAAAAGTTTCAACTAACTCTTCTTGAAATTTTGCAAATATTTTCCTTGTGTACATACTTGCTGCTTGTTTTTCCATTGGAGATGGTGTCCTCAGAACTGGTGTAGTGCAAATTGTATCAAAATCTGCTTCTAACTCTCTTTCAAAACAATTTTCTAGAGCTCTTTCATATTGTCTGAAGAACAATGGTAATGTTGTTTGTTGGTTCACATAGCCATCAAAAAAGGAGCCATCAAACCCTTGATTTGGAGATATAGCAGCAAAAAAGGAATCTCGAAAATATACTGGGACCCATTGAGCACGAGCATTATACAATAATTGCAGCCAATCATGTCCACTCAGATCATATTTATCAAGGATAGAACTCCAAGATGAATCAAACTCCTCAATAGTCTCAGTTAAGTTGATACAGTTGTACAATTCCACCTGAAAATTAGGATGTGCATGACACACATGAGCCAATTTTTCTTGGCCTTCTCTTAAGACATGCCATTTGCTAATACAGTGTCGGGACTCAGGAAACACCTGAGACACTGCTAGCTGAATGGCCATGTCTTGATCAGTGATAATAGAAACAGGCTGCCGATCATTCATTGCTGTGAGAAATGTCTTGAAAAGCCAAACAAAAGAAGCCTCAGAATCATCTAGAAGTATTGCACAGCCAAATAAAATTGTTTGACCATGATGGTTAACACCAGTAAATGGAGCAAATGGCACTCTATACTGATTTACTCTGTAATTTGTATCCAATGTAACTGCATCCCCAAAATGGTTGTAAGCTGTCCTCGACCTTGCATCTGCCCAAAAAACATTGGCCATGCGATTATCTTCATCAAGTTGTATTGCATAAAAGAAACCAGGGTTTTCAGCCTGCATTTTCTTGAAATATTCTAACAGATTCTGAGCATCCCTCCCTAGTGTCCTTTTTCGAAAATTGGGCCTAACGGTGTAATTTAATGGGAAAGCATTCTTACTTACACGATTTGCTTCTGCAGCAGGAGAATTCCTAAGACCACGATTAGCCTCTGCAGGTGCATGGTTTCCATCCATGGAAACAGACATTACCCCACTAGGTACAATTCCCCCTCCTTGGTAAGTTTCAGCGATGCCTTTTGTAGCACCAGCAAAATGCCTGCGGGGTCTAAGGTAATGCACTTTGCTGGGACTCACCATAGAATGGCTATGCTCCTTTATGAATTTTGTTACAACCCATTTGTTTTGACCCTTAAGCTCTACCCTAAGCATTGCATCACAACTATCTGCAGACCTCCTTTTCAAACCCTCTCTGCCACATGCAAACTCACGAACATTGATCCCATCAGTTTTAGTACGGTTAAAATGAACAACTTTGGAGCTAAAACCTAGTCGTCTCGCATACTCATCATAGAAAGTTTTTACAACATCCTCAGAATGAAATTCCATACCCACATATGGCTCGGGCACTACATCTTCATCATGTGCCGAAGAATGCTCCGCATTATTTACTTCTCCACCCTCAATGGGTTCAGCATCACCATCATAGGCCATTACACGGTGACCCATCCCCTCCTCTTCATCAATCACATGAACATCCATAGCAACCCACCACTCAAACCAAATTCTTAGGGACAACTACGTTGCACAGTTTGCATGTTAATTCTCTATTTAAGTGGGAATTATGCAGGCCGTAGCGGAATTTAACAACAAAACGGCTGATTCAACACACTTGGCATTCAAAAAGAAGAGAAAGAAACATAGTCAGCAAGAAATCTTAAAAGAAAAAATTAAAATGAGTTTTGAGACACAGTTTGACTGAAAAAGGAACAAATGAATTACTACAGAGAAATTTCCCACTGATTCTAGATAATCAAATATTATAAACCGAACAGCCAAATATATTGCAGGGTTTTACACTTCACAGCCCCTACAAACAGAACATGTAAATAAACATACAAACTAATAGAGGTAAGTCTTTCATAAGTCCACATAAAATCAACCAAAGAAAGCACTCAACTCAGACAATGTGTGCAGCAATAAAAAACATGCAGCAACAAGAACACAAAAAAAGAAGAGGAACAAAAACAAGAAGCACATCAATTGTAAATTAATCAAAACAATGAAGCTTAACAAATTGAGACCCAATTAAAGATTGAGCTGTCCAATAAAACCCATTTAAGTAAAACTCAAAATCATTTCTAGAGGGAGAAAGAGAAACAGTGATCTTCAAAACATGCAGAAATGAAAACAGGCGCGAGAGTAACGAGAGAGTACCTAGAATTGGAATTGTGCGAAATTCGTAAAAGAAAGGACAGGTTACGTGAAAAGGGAGAGAGAATTTAGGGGGAAAATAGAAGTGAGAGTAGCAGTAAAGGTAGGTTTTTTATTAAATTTTTGATTTTTTAGGAGATAGAGAGTGAAACTGGAACCCTAACTTTACCTGTTCACTTTTTAAAATTTTACGAGGATTATTTCGAAAACAAATATTACGAAGACACCCAAAACCTGTTGGAGATTTTTCATTTTGACCTGACACTATCGGGTCCGGTCCAAAAGTCAAACCGGTTGAGACCGAGTGTCCTTAACTAGGCATCCCCGGTTCAATGAACCGCGGTTCCAACTTATGGAACCGGCTGTTTAAGATTTTTAAAATATTGAGCCTAAATTGGCTCTTGAATTACCGGTTTCGATCCGATTTCGATTTCGACCGACTTCAATGAACTGATAGTTTTAATCACGGTTTACGACAATTTGTGTATTAATTTCTTCTAAAACATAAAAATTTGATTACAAGGCATATTTCTTTTCAAAAAATTAATGTGAATTTAAAAATATATATTGGTAAATTTATTTTAAATAACTCTTAGAATGTTCATACTCATATACGCAATAAAATTAATTAATTTTATAAAATAATCAAATAAATTATCATTAAGTTTTGTCTAAATGTTATTAATTAAATAAATGTTATAATTAAATAAAATTATGAAAAAAAATTAATTAACATGCTTCAAGACAGGGATAAATTTTTAATAAAAACACTTTCAACAGAAAAAAAAATGTTTAAACTCCATTTATTAAACAATATAAGTAATACTAAAATTTAAAAAATCCCGAAATCTTTAGTTCAAATTTTTTATTTTAAAAATTACGGAAATATAATCATAAAACCCAATGATATGTGGATACCTATATTAATTTAAAATTAAATAAATTTAATTTATCCTACGAATTTATTTAGCAAAATTAATAAATATATTTTTATAGTATAACCAAACCCGTAAAAACTAAAAATTTCAAAACCCAATAGAAACCCAAAAAAAGAAAAAATTCAAGCAAAAACCCGAAATGAGCCTTTCAAAAATTTTTTATTTAAAAATTTAATTAGTAATTCTAAACCAATGATATTGTGGGATACTATATTATTTAAAATTAAATAAATTTAATATCCTACGAATTTATTTAGCAAAATTAAATGTAAATATATTTTTATAGATAACCAAACCTAAAAACTAAATCAAACCCAATAGAAACCCAAAAAAAGAAAAATTCAAGCAAAACCCGAAATTGAGCCAAATCCTCCCTGAATCGGACCAAACCATCCCATAATTAGAAGTGTCTAGAAGTGCAAAAATCTCATGAGGTCCTAACCCCCTTCTCTCCTTCCCGTTAACACCGACCCCAGCAGCTCTCCCCTCCCCTTGGTCTCGTTTTTCCAACGACGCTAGCCTTCAACCGATGGGCGCAATCTCTTCCTCTGCTAAGCAACAGCTCTGATCACTGCGTCCCTTATCTCCAGCTTGCTAGTCTTAGCGCAAAGATGAGAGAGATAGACCCCAATTTGGTATCACTGGCCAACCTCGAACAATTTTCGACTACTCTTCGATTAGAAAGTATATTCTTCTTTGTCCCGGCTAAAATTCTGTTTCCTTCACCGCATAACTATAAAAGTAATTTTTTAATTCCAGTAATTATTTAAATTGTGAGCATTATGTGTAAAAACTTATTTATTATTGTCTGATATTGAACCCTGCAGTTGTAGGGCTATGATAATTCATATTATAGGATCATGATAAATTCAATTATGTACGAATGCAGTCATGTTAACGGATAACTATAGGTTGATGATTTAGAGAACTACATGTGCATATACGGACTATTAGCCCATATCATAGATAATGTGTAATGAATTGAGCCCAAGTTATGAAATATTTGAAATAGTGAATTTGGGCCAAGATATAGTATAATCATAAGATTTTTTATATAAAATAATATGAGCTTATTGTTCTTGTGATCTAATGTAATGTGATTGAATTTAGTGATTCAAGCTTACTACGGGTCTTGAGAGCCTTATGCTCACCTAGGCCCTTGTGCCAATTCGGTCTATGATTTCGGGTTGTGACAAAAAGTTATAAAATATGTTAAGTGATTATAATTTTTAAAAAAAAAATTTCAGTTCGAACCGGAGCGGAACCCCCAATTTAGGTTCAAAATTTAACATTCATCTAAACTTTAAATCACCCTTGAACCGTCAATTTCGATTCGTCTACAGTATGGTTCGATTTCAATTCAGTCTGAACCGGTGGCCATAATTGTCCATAACCTTTTTTTTTTTTGCAAATCTAGCCGAATTTTGAAAAAGAGAAATATAAATAAGAAAGGAAACTATAGCTTTGAAAAATAAGTAAATGAAGACTATGAAGTAAATAATTAATTTTTATTTTTCAGTGAAAAATTTTAAATAAATATAGTTAATTATATAAAAATTATTAATTTAATTTTTAACTAAAAAACTTTTCCGCTTAAATATTAAAATATATAAAGTTAAAAGAAAGTTGAAATAGGAAAATATAATTAACTCATAATTTTATGAAAACATAGTCAGAATTAAAATTAATGCAAGGAAAAATAATTATTTCATTTATAAGATTTGACACAATTAGTTAAACGGTATTTACCTTTTATGTAAAATTTAACACATACTTGCTCATTTTTCTAAAAGTCAATCGCACTTTTTACTGAATTTTGACCGTTAAAATTGGCTGAATCTTGAATGGGAAGTGAGGGGCTTATTGTAAATGACATTAGATACTCTTATTGAAATTAGATAAATAGAACTCTTAGAGAAAAATTTTATCAAAGTAGTCGAGGAATGAAAAGGTCAATAGAGAACAAGAAAGTTTTGGTGTCAATACAGCAAAAGAAAGTTTTGGATATTGACTACGTGTCAATCAATGGTTTCTTATTTTTTAGTCCATTATATATATTTTTATAAATTTAAAATTTGAAAATTTTGAATTTTAAATCTTCATCGTTTTATTTATACTACGACTTCAATATGTAACAATTGAATTTGAACATTTTAAAATTATATGAAATTTTTTGCATCAAAATAATTTAGAAAGCATGTAGTAAGTGAAGTTGATCTTCGGGGAAGAAAGTGACTTGTCGTTTTTCCTTCAATTGCTTGTATATTAAAGAAACTGAAATTCTTTGATTAGCCGACATTAATCAAGGTTTCTAGTTTTTTCAGAAATTTGACGGCAAAATCCAATAAAAATGGACGGATGGGCTTTTACGAGTGACGGAGATAAAAGTGAGGGACGCATTAAATATTTACATAAAAAGTAGGGAGTATTTCGATAATTATGACAAATATCAGGGGTGAAATAATTATTTTCCCTTACGAACTTAAAAAAAAATTCAGTATTATTTCAGGTAATTAAACTCTCATTTCTGTTCGCAAACAGGAAAATTATATTCCTTCTTCACCAAAACCGAAAGAAACCCAAGGTGAAGGTGAAGCTATCCCTCCGAAAATTGGCACAGAATTCAGAGCTAACAACTTAGCAGTAAAAACAAAAAAAAGAAGCAGAAGAACAGAAGAATAATGAAGAGCATACCTCTGATTCTGATGGGCTGTGGAGGTGTCGGGCGTCAGCTGATTCAGCACATTGTCTCATGCAGATCTCTTCATGCCAAGCAGGTTTACTTTGTTTTTATTTCTTCGTTTGTTTCTTTGATTTTTATGATATGTTTTAAAATTGAAAATCGTCTTCTCTTCAAATGATCAGTCCATTCTATAATTGTTTTACTTCAGAGAATTCACATTTCCATATAATACTGAAAATTTGGCTGTACTTATTGCGAACAGTACCTGTGAATAGATTTACCAAAATTATGTTTGTTATATACTTGTATTTTTTGTATGCTGTACAAATTTTTGGCTGTGGCAGGGAGTCCACTTGAGAGTGGTGGGTGTCTGTGACAGTAAGTCATTGGTTGCTGCATCTGATGTATTTACCAGGGAATTGAATGATGCATTTCTATCTGAAGTTTGCCGCGTCAAGTTGAATGGTTCATCACTTTCAACACTTGCTGATTTTGGTGAGTTACCTGATTTAGTGAGAGGGTCGATTTAAAGTTTATTCACCACTGTACTAATGATTCTTTCTTTTGTGTCTCTATATAGATGAATGCCTAGTCTACTCGAATTCTGAGTCAAAAAGAAAAGTTATAGATATTGCAGCTCTTCTGGGCAAATCAACAGGTTCTACTGTTTGTGCCTCTCTTGTTTTTATCTTTTAATCCTTTAAAGTTATTAGATATTTAGACTCCACACTATTGCTTTGTAAATGATAAATTGCATTTCTAGTAATGAAATTATTTCACTTGTTACTTTTTATGATTTGAACAGAAGCTGAAATGTGGCGTTCAGCTTCTAAACTTTCTGATTCTGGGATGACCTTATTTTGTTCCTTTATGTGACAGGTTTGGCTTTTGTAGATTGCTCTGCAAGTTCTGAGACTATTGGAGTGTTAAACCAAGTGGTCGATCTAAGATGTTGCATTGTCCTGGCAAATAAGAAGCCTCTTACATCTACTCTGGTAATGAACTCTTGTTGCTATTCTTGTTAGCTAGTGATAGAAAATAATCAAGGGCTTATAGGCGTTTGGATGTCCCATATGGATTGTATGGTACTTGAATGGATCTGTTTTGGAATGATAACAACTTTATTGTAAATAGAAACTATTTCCTGATTTTTGGGAGGGAAAGGATAAGAGTGACTGTAAAGTGAAGGCTGAAGAGTGGTATCTTTTTGGTTATAATTTGTGAATAGCTGGCTTCAGCCTTTGAGTTTCTGGTCCAAGGGACCATCATTTTGTGAATATAAGACTTATTCTAATTCACTTGGAATAATTTCCTATTATATGTGGACCACTCGTTGTCACTTCTCAGGTGCCCTTGAATCCAATCTTTTATTTTTACTTTTAATAAAGGGTTTGGCAACCTCAGTTATGATAGAAATAATAATAGGGTACTGAAGAGAAGTGAACTTTGATATCTCTAACTGAGGTTGGTAATGAAGAAAGTAATCAAACGAAAGGAATATAAGATTTCTCTCTTCACTTCTCATGTAAATATTTGGACAAAGGAAAACTTTTTGCTTCACTCCTCTCATCCAAACAGATCTCCTCTTGCTATTATTTTTTGCAGCAGCTCAAATGTTTCTTCCATTACAGATCTGCTGTTCAACATATTAAGAACGTTTTGTACTCTTTCTTGCAGGAAGATTATGACAAATTAGTTTCCTATCCACGCCGCATTCGGCATGAGTCAACTGTAAGTCAAATTATTTGCTGATGCATATATCAGAGTTCTTTCTTAAACTTTTCAAAAGATGAACACAAAATGTGAGTGGAGTGGTAAAAGAAACTAATAATGGAAGCTTCAAACGAGCACACAGCATGATTCAAGACTGAAATTTGTATTGGTGTTATTACTGTATTGAAATTTGTCTTCATTCGTTTCACTAGTACATGTTGGCTCAACTTCTTATATTGGGTGTTGCTCCTGCACATAAATGCAGTTTAACATTCTATAATCTCGACAACATAGAACTTGTTGTTTTCATGCACCTGATCCAATGGGTAATTTGTGTCAAATTTTAGCCTTGCAAAAAATTTTTGGAGGTTTATTTGGTGGCTAAGGTGTATGTTCAAAGGCAAAATCATTTGGTTTGTTAAGATATATCATTTTGTCCTAATCCAGGGAAAAAATTCTAATTTAGTCACTCTTCAACCATTTATTTTGTTTTGGGTTTGTTACATCTCATTAATATGCTCATCGGAATGCGATACATATGATTCTTTTGGGCCCATTTCTAGATTACTAACGAATATAAAAATTTGGACCTCAAAAGGGATGATGCTCTTATATTCCCATGCTTGGTGACACATCCTCTTAGCAGTTCTAGAATAGATTTTGTATGCGAAACGGTATGGTAATATAATAATTGATTTCTACTGACTTGAAATTGTTTGGGCAGGTTGGTGCTGGCCTTCCTGTTATAGCATCCTTAAATCGCATACTTTCATCAGGAGATCCTGTTCACCGTATAATTGGGAGTTTAAGTGGTAAAAATTTTTGGCAAGATTTATATCTATGCTTTCATTGTTAGGTTATTAATTGTGCCTCCTTTTATTTATATACGATCATTATATGCATATACTCATTGCTTGTTCTATGCGGTTCTTGTAAAAATGTTGTAACAGGTACGTTGGGATATGTAATGAGTGAGGTTGAAGATGGAAAGCCTCTGAGTGAAGTTGTTAGGACTGCTAAAAGTCTGGGCTTCACTGAACCAGGTGCATTTTTAGATTCTCTTAGATCACTTTCTTGACAGCTGAATCTTGTGGCATCTTCTAAGTGTGCATTGGGATGCTGCATGCATTGGGCCAAGAGAGAGAGAGAAGATAAAAGTAAAATTATGATGGGCATTGCCTGGTCACTTGAAAATTAGTATTTATAATTTATGTTTATTTTATGGAACACTTCTGTTCAGCTTCTTTGTGTCCCATATTCTTGCTATAATATTTAGTTTTTACAACTTGGTTTTTAAAGTTAATATCCTTGTTGCAGATCCCCGCGATGACCTTAGTGGGATGGATGTTGCAAGGAAGGTTTGTATATAAACATATATCTATTGAACATCAATGATTGGTTGTTGTACGTTTTAAGTTCACCTGTGTCTGGTCGTGATGCAAATGAGCTAAAATGTATACCATCTATCTAATAAATCTATTTTTTCATCTACGTATGTTCTGTATTCTTGACCTGATATTTTTTTATTTTATTTTGATGATTCAATATTCAAATTAATTTTGTCCCATTATATTATTATGATAATTTAATTGATGTTGTCCAATAATTTTATTGTGATCAACGATATTTTTTTTTCCCTCAAAAATCTACAGACCATGTAGTTGCAATTACACACTGGTCCACAAGTTCATGAAACCTCTTAAAATAGTTTTTTTTTGGCTTGTTATGTGTGAAATATCTAGAATTATGATATCCTTGGTCTTTAAATTTGCTTATTCTCCCTGTAAAGTTGGAAATCTGTTGCAGATGTCTTTTGTCACAACAAAAAGCAAGATGTTATATAAAATTGGCTCCTATGTACTGTGCTTCATTGTTGAGATCAGTTGCACTTGTTTGAGCGTGTGATAAATGCTTACAACATCATACTCCATTCTTTTGGACGTCAAACAGGCTTTGATTCTCGCTCGACTTCTTGGAAGGCGCATCAACTTGGATAACATTGAAGTCAGTTCCAACTCATATTTTCTACATACCCAACAAAGTTACTATCATTCTTGGTTGAATGCTAAACCATTACTGCATTAATAATAAAGTCATAAATTGGTGGTGCCCCTTCAACCCTGAGTTTCCTTTGTTATGCTTGTCCTGTTTGTAGATCGAGAGCTTGTATCCTGATGAAATGGGACCTCATGCTATGTCTGTTGAAAAATTTTTGGGTAGTGGTATTGCATTACTTGATAACAACATCCAAGAAAGAGTTAAAAAAGCATCCTTGAATCAGAATGTGCTCCGCTACGTTTGTGTAATTGAGGGCTCAAGGTATTCTTTCTATTTTCATCATTGGCTTTCATTGTTATTTTTTCATGAGGATAAACACATTGCTGAATGTCATATTCTAGCATTTTTGGCAGTCATTGAGAAATAAGAGACATGCAGTCACATTAAGATGTTATTGAAAATTTTGGTTGCATGTCTTCAGGGCCGTGGAAAGAGTTGCTTATTTTCATGTTGTTGAACATATAAATGACAGATCTTTTGCCAGACCACTTTAATAATTGTATTAGAATAGCATGAATTATTAATATTGGGACATTTTACCATGTAAAAGGAGGAAAGATTACATCTGATTGATGGAAGTTGATTGAACTGCTGATTGGTATGGTAGTTCAGGGAGGGAAATGGGGAAGTTAGTCCCTAGGTGATGTAAGATTCTTGCAGTAAAAGAAAAAAAAATAACGAGTTTATTGTACACACTTATGCTTTTTGCAAAAGAGCATATTGGGTATTGGTCATGTGTGATATCTGACATTTGCAAGGTCTAATCCATCACCATTTAAATTTTGTGACAAAAAAATGGAACTGTTGTATGCTTCTCTTCTTAAAAAGTTAAAACTTTTCTTGACATGGTGGTGTTAGTACTAAATATTTTCTTGTCAGGTGTGAAGTCGGAATTCAAGAACTTCCTAAGAACTCCGCTTTAGGGCGATTGAGAGGAAGTGACAATGTGGTAAAGCGCTTTTTTTTCCCTCGATTCACTTCTCATCATGTTTGCCATTTCTTAATGAACTAAACCTCACACTATGTTATCCAGCACCTCATCTTAGATGATTCTGGTCTAATGTCTTCAACCATATTGACTTAATTGAAGAGACTGAGTTGACGTTACCAATTTGGTTATTTTGACATTAAAAATTGTGTTTACTTCTCTCTCATTACAGGCTCTTGCAATCGACTGCTGCCAATTAGTCAATTGGTTCTAGTATATTTCTCTTTATGAACTGCTTCTAGCATCCTAAAAATGTATTTTAGTCTGCTGAATATCTGAATTTAAAAATAATAAGGGGAAAAAAAATTAGTAGGTATATATGGTCCATGGTGGCCTTCTGTATAAATGTTAATTTTTTCCTCTTTTCTTCGTGTATCATGATAGCCAACATTTCGGGGGTTTCATCTGAAAATTGACAATGTTTCCTTCATTGCTTTTGCAGTTGGAGATATACAGCCGTTGTTATAATGAACAACCACTGGTCATTCAAGGTGCTGGAGCGGGGAACGACACCACAGCCGCTGGTGTACTTGCCGATATCCTGGATATTCAAGATTTATTCCCTTGAGAAAGTGGGTAATTTGCGCTATTATGAAAGGGAGAGAAGTTACCTGACGGACGGTGAAGACATGAAACAAACTGATGCCAGTTTTGAAAAGTAGTGTATAGTGGAAGCTAGTAATGCAGGTGGCCCTAAGTTTTGTGGTGTCAAAGTATGCATTTGCAAGTATCATTTAAATTTTGAAGGAAAATTATATCAGTGAGTGATTGACATTACTTATACAACTGAATTCCAACTTAGGGGCAATAGGCTTTAAACTTTGTTTTAAAGTTTGGATATGTGACCTTATGCAAGTCTGAAGAAAATCAGGAAGTTTTAATTCCGAGTCCATTGGCAAGTTCAAGTTTAGTATTCTGCTGCAGCCGGTAGTTGGTAGTTAGTACTTAGTTGCAAGCAGTTTGGTAATTCAGTGATTACTATAGAGGTCACTATAAAATGATTAATAAGGATGTTTGTATTTTCATATTTTCAATTCTCTTAGACATATTTTTGTCCAAATATTAAATAAATACTGAAGTAACAAAAATGAAATTTAATTAATTGTTCCCTTCGTTTTTAGGGAAATTTAAAACTAAATAAACTAACATTGAATATTGAAAGGGAAAAAAAAGGGGAATGATATGACCAAAAAAAAAAAAAAAAATTGTTTTGTACTTCATATTTTTTCATCTCTTAGGGAACATATTTTTGTCAAATATTAAATTAAATACTGAAGTTAACAAAATGAAATTTTAACTTAATTGTTCCTTCGGTTTTTAGGGAAATTTTAAAACTAATAAACTACATTGAATATTGAAAGTGAAAAAAAAGGGGAATGATATGAACCAAAAAAAAAAAAAAAAAAAACTATATGTATACACAAGTCAAATTCTAAGAAACCCAAAGTCCAATTCTACCACATATCAATCATGTGAAAATTTGTACATGCATTTATGAAGATATTGGCAATTTATCAGCAATCAAAACTGATTTTATCATCATAAATGGTAATAGATATTATAGAACCTATAATTCTAAAAATATTACATTTAACAAAAATGGCTGAGATAAAAATGCACCAGCATCTAGCAATGACATGATACTGAACTAGAAGGCTTTGGGATTACTTCTCAAAACAAATTCATGCCAAAAAAAAAAAAAAAAGGAAAACAAAAAAAAAAAAAAAGGATAAACAAAAATGTTTTCCATATCCAAAATGATTCACATTAAGAAACATGATTAAAAACCCAGAAACTATTTGCAACTTGAAAAAAAAAAAAAAAAAAAAGGATAACAAAAAGTGTTCATATCCAAAATGATCACATTTTAAGAACATGATTAAAACCAGAAACCAGTTGCAACTTGTAACTAAGAAAGTATAGAATCAAAATTCTGCAACTTCTGTTTGATCAAAATAACAACCAGTAGGGCCTCCATCTGGTAAAAGAGCACACTTCACAGGACCTTTAGCTCCATCTTCTACAGGCATTGGCCCTGTGTGCCAATTGATATCTGTGTTGACATAGCCAGGATGAACACAGTTTATAAGCATATTTGGATATCTCTTAGCAAGAACTCTAGTGTAGGCATTAAGAGTGGCCTTGGAAATGCCATATGCTGGCAACATTAATGACCATCCACCTGCTTGAAGTGAATTCTCTTTTAGATCTCGCAAAAATCTCTTCAATATTGCCTCCAGCTTCTCTTCAGTTAGTGTTTCTATATCATTAAGTTCATTTCTCAGTTCTTCACTTGGGATTCTCTGCAAAACAAGAACACTTTGTTAAAATAGTTCTTTTCCACTTTCTATATTCACTGCATTTGGTAGATGGTTTCTTTCACCATTTGGAAGTTGAAAAGAAATGCTAAATGTCTTTATGTGCTTAAACTGAGCCTTTGGGTGAAATTTTAGTACACATCTTAGATCCTAATAGATTCTAAATGTATGCATATAAGGCCAACCATCAAATCAGTATGACCATCACTGTTATATTTAACCCCTTAATTGAAATAAATGAACTTGAAAGTAGGCATGGCCAACGTGCCGGTTTGGACCGGTACTGGCCAGATTTTGCAGTCCCAAAGCTGGCCCAGAATAGCTGGTTTTAAGAGGATTGAGGAAATTCATTTGTTGCATAGAACCTATATTCTCATATCCAAAATACTAAAATTTAACAGAAAAACCAAATATGTTTTCAGAGACAATTACCTTATCAAGGTAAAATAAATTTGCTAAACAACCTAAAGAAATATAAAATTATCTATTATTAATTTTCTAAACTGAAATGGTAAAGAAGGAAGAATGCAGATATGAACATATCCTCCTCAAATCAGACTTTGGGTTCACTATCATGACACAGGCAGATTCACTTAACTAAAACTATGTTATATTTTAATAGAATTTGTTCATTGTTGATATGAAAAACTCAATAATAAATTATGAGAATGAATGGATTATAATTAGAACTTCATCTTCGTTAAATACTAGCTAGTTTTTTAAATTATAAAAATTATGAGAAAGAATGAATATTAGGCTACACTTACTCTTAGCTCGCCCCTCAAAGAGGAGACATTAACTATTCTAGCCCCTGAAGTGGATAGCTGTAGAAGTGGAATTAGAGCTTCTGTTACTCTTCTAACTCCATAGTAATTAGTGTTTAAGCATTCTTCTGCCTTCTCGTAAGTTGTTATAATCACCTCTTGAATCATATTGATTGCCTTCCCTGAAAGCTACACCAACAAATATGGTTTAAGGATTCATCACTCATCATCAGTGACTTTGTACACTAATGTAAACCATTCTTTCATGCTTTGAAATAATGCTTAAACTTTTACCCAAGTTTCAGGATCTATATTTAAAGCTCTTAGGCGATCCTCATCAACCACAACTCCAGAGGCTCCAGCATTGTTAACCTGTCAAAAGTTATATCAAATCAAGCTAAAGTCTGTTTAACATTGAGGTTGAAACTGCTTTTTTAAAAGCAACATTCGGATGCTAGCAAATAAGATTGTTTTTTATTGTTCAAGCTAACATGATTGACCTACTAGTCAAATGATAGAGCACCTTGTATGCAATTCATAACAGCAACAAAAGGTAACCCAGTACAAGAAGCTTCCCACATTTTTGGAAGCGACTCAAAATTAGTTACAAGCACCAAACCCCAATTCATAACAGCAATAAAAGATATCAAAAAACCAAAATTTTTCAATTAATTGAAAACTAATACTTACCAAGATATCAAGCCTACCAAATCTGTTCTTGATGAAGTTAGCCAAACACTCAGTACTAACTGGGTCCAAAACATCAAGTTGATGAAAAACAACATTGGTTAAACCCATATTGTGAAGCATAGACGTCGCGTCCATCCCTCTTTTCTCATCTCTAGCCGTTAGCACCACCGTGACTCCTTGAGAAGCAAGCTGCCTCACTGTCTCAAGACCAATGCCCTTGTTTGCTCCAGTGACCACCGCAAACCTATATATTACAATATAGCCATTAAAAAGACCAGTAGACTAGACAATCAAGAAATGCCCTGATTTAGAGCTTATATTGCAACCCAAAATCAAGAAACGCAAGATATTAGCTTTAGCTTACTTCTCTGGTGACTGCTTTCCATTGTTTTCCATATTTGTGCAAGATCTTGATGGATTGATTATCTCCTTTCTCGTTCTTTGTTGGGTTTATGAATCTGTTTAAAAACTAAGCTATATCAACCATTTCCAGTTTTTCGATCATCTCTTGTCATGTCATTTGACCAACAATATAATTATTAATAAAAAAAATATATTCTCATTAAAACAAAAACAATCCTAAAGCAAATTGAACACACTGCTAGAAGAAAGTCTTTGGGAAATGATGATGCTGCGTCGCACTGGACAAGGCGGCTGTAAGAAGACAAGTTAGCATTAGCGAGTGAAAATGATTGCTCACTACTATTGATATTTTTTAAAGATGTTGCCCTACAACTCTATTTTATGGTATGGTATTTTTTAAATATCTGAAACGTCTCCTTTTTGCTGTTAGTTAAAATGTTTTTTCAGAATTGTAAATATAAACAACTTATGAGAGATTGATTTCCATGCTTAGAAAACCAACATGACTATAGAAGTCTATATGCTTTGAAGAGTATGAGCTTCTAAATTTATTTATGTTTAAAGATTTATTTGTTAAAATTAATTCAAACATCATGTTATCGAATACTATAAAAAATATCGTTTAACATTTTAAAAATTACTTAAAAGGTTATCGTGGAACACATCTTCAATCTATCTAATAGCAATATTAAATCTAATACCAATCAAAGTTATACAAATACTCATAATCAAACCGAACACAAAAATGCTTTTACATGCTGAAAGAATATGAACTTTTTTGCTTCAAGTAAGTTGTTTTGTAATTAGGGTTAATTCCCTCCTTTGCATTAAAAAAAAAAAAAAAAAGAAAAAAAAAAAAACAAAGTAAATTCCTTTGCATTAAAAAAAAAAAAAAAAAGTAAATTTCATAAAATTTCATGAAATGAAAATTTATTTAGATTTTATATTTACATTTTACTAAACATTTATTTTCAATTTTAAAAATAAAACTTAGTGCAGCTAAATTTATTTCTATTTTTTATAAATTACTTTCACCTGTTTAAGTTTGCTAATAGTAATAGTAACAAACAAAGTGGATCTCTCCCTCCGTTGTATCCAAAAAAAAAATATTAACAAACAAAGTGGAAAAAACTTATCGGGTCCATGGTCCCACTTATAAACCAAATTAATGAAATTTATAATTTTTTAAAAAGTGTTCTAATTTTTTTTTAAAGTATATGGTTAAAAATACTCTCGTTTCAATAAGGATCCTAAATTCGTTAATTTAGTTCATAGATGGGGCCATAAACCTAATTTAGATAAATTTTTCCAAACAAATCTAATAATTCTCTCCAACATGAAAACTATACATATATTTATAAAAATTCCCATTGTGAGTTGCCTTTTGGCATCAGCTAGAGATTACTGACCACAAAAAATTAACAACCCAACGTGTGAACATGTGATGGCATTAAGTTTTATCCCTTTCAAGTTTTAACTCACTAAACTTTCATAAATGCTTACTTCATTCTTCAAGGCTATCAACTTCCAACTCCCAAGAGTAGAAACAATAAAACAACCATCACTAGTCACTGCCATACTCTGCAAAACAAAACCTTGTGGACAACATCATTGTGGGCCCAATTTCGGTTGTATAATAGCATTATGTTATAATTCTAATTAGCAATTTGTAGATCTCGCATTTAGGGTATGTTGAATAAGATTAAGGGTTAGCGTTTCACTGGTGTTTAACTTTTTTAGAAATTAATAATTATTTGAATAACTTTTTATAAAAAGCTAAAAGTTAAACGTTACTCAGATTGACTTTTCATAAAAGATTGTTTTATTCTTTAAAATCTAGTTAAATGCTATGTTATCGACACTCTAAAAAATAACATTATGTTAAAACGATAAAAATTATTTAAAAAGATGTGTCGAATGCAACCTTAGTGTCTACCCATAATATACAAATGAATTAATTTGAAGTTTAATCTCTCATAGTTGGCAATAGTTTAATTAAATTAATTTACACATAAAAAGTGACTCATGTGGTATGACACACTTGAATCAAATAGGCAATCTTTTGAAGGTTAAAGATTCAATATTTGGAAAAACACTTGTAAAGAGGGATAGCACTCCAAACGAGATTAGCATGAACTCCAATTTGAGTTGTATATTAGTATAATGTTATAAATCTAATTATTAGATCTCATATTTTTTTTTTTTAATTTATTAAGAGATCAATGGACCGAAATAATAGAACGAAACTATAAAAAATTTAATTACTTTTATGTCCTAGTTCAATTCCAATGTTTATTAGAAATCATGACTTCAACATCTACTCTCTTACTTCTCCACACAAGAATAAAGGTTTTAATCCAAAAAAGAACAAAGAAACTTCAACTTTTCCCATGGACAAGGTTTGATGACTCATACAACAAAGAAAGGCTTTTTCTCTTTTTCCTTCTTTCTTGTGACCTTTGCATTAATGTGTGATTTAAACAAGTAACTAACAACAAAATTGGTTAGAGTTTGCCAGGTTGTAATTCATTTTTAATCTAAATATGTAATACATCTTAACTATAGTTTTTAATTTAAGGATAAATCATAGGTGTAATATTAATTATTAATTAAGTAGTAATTGATGTATTTTAGACTTCCCTTTACGCATCTAATTTGTACAAACATATCTAAACAAACAATCTAAAAAATCTATCATAATCAGATATGGTCTAATTGGTCTTTCTATTCTCATAGAAGATGTAAGAAGTGAGAGATCTCAAGTTCGAATCATCTTCGATTATCACCAATTTGATGAATGTTATTTAAAGGGGAACACTTATCTTGCTATTTAGCCCACAATGATATTCTGATATATTGCCTAATACTATCTTGAGATAATAATTTTTATATTTTTCAACTATTGAATAAATGTTTAATCAATATAATTTTATAAGTTTGAAATAAAATGTATTGCAGTAAATATATGCATCAAGCCAGTAAAATTTAGATTGAGTACTAGAATAAATGTAAAAGAGGGATTGATTTATCTCGACCAGATCCATAACTCTACTGATATACCAAGCTAATAAAAATTAAAAATTTTTATTTTTATTTATTGGGTTTATGGGCAGACATATGTACTCGGTTTAAGCATAATTTCCTAAATGTAAATACTTTGAATGCATTTACACCATTGGCGGTGCAGGCATAAGTACATAAAACAGATATTTGGGACTTTGTTGGTGGTTACGTATATTTATTGATTTATGCTATTGCTAGCTCAGCTAAGTTAAAGCATACACTCTCTCAAGTTCCCCTTTCTCACTCTTCTCATTTATACACTCCTTTCCCTCCCTTCGCAAGCCTAACAGCTCCACCAAACCAAAAAGAAACAATGCTCGCTCACCGTTTCGCGGCGGCCGCCGCCTTCTCTCTCATCGCGGCTATCATTTTTTCCACACCATTTTCTACAGTGTCAGCTCAAGCGCCTTCTCCTGCTCCGTTTTTATCACCTGAACCTTTGAAGCCGTTAGGGCCATTGGCGCCGACACCAGCAACGACAACAAACGACTGTATTACGCCGTTGCTTAACATGTCGGATTGCTTGAGTTATGTGCAGGAACCGAGCACGGCGAAAGTTCCGGACAAGAATTGCTGCCCGGAATTGGCTGGATTGGTGGATAGTAATCCTATATGTTTGTGTCAGTTGCTAGGGAATAGTAGCTTGACGGAGTCTTTTGGTATAAAGATTAATATTAACAGAGCTCTGAAGCTTCCTTCTGTTTGTGGTGTTGAAACTCCTCCGGTTAGCACGTGCGCAGGTAGTTTTGAATTCTGTTTGTCACTTGCTTTCACCCTTACCGCCAGACTTGATTTTAATTTTTTTTTATTTATTTAACATTGCTTTATTTACGTGTGCGTGAATTAAGCGAGCAGAGAAAATTAGAAAAAGATTTTTTTATATAAGATAAAATAAAAATTATTTTTTCGTCAATTACTTTATTGTTATATTTTTTTTTTGATATTCTCCCCAATTTGCAAAGAAAATTTTCAAAAGAAATTTTTTTTCGTCAATTAGTCTTTTTATTTTTTACGTTTGAGATCGGTGAGAAGGACCTGAACGAGTTGCATCCGATTTACTGATTTATCAATTAGTTGCATCCGATTTAATTTTTTTTTTTTTTTCGGAAAAGAAAATTTAAGAAATTTTTTTTCGTCAATTAGTCTTTTTATTTTTTACGTTTGAGATCGGTGAGAAGGACCTGAACGAGTTGCATCCGATTTACTGATTTATCAATTAGTTGCATCCGATTTAATTTTTTTTTTTTTTTCGGAAAAGAAAATTTAAATAGTTTATAAATGGACTTGGTTATAAATAGCCGCATGGTGCAGAGGGAAGCTAATTTGGTTCACATTTAAAAGGCCATTTATGATTCTTGGTTTCTTCTTACCTACTCAACTTTCTCCTTTTTAATAATAATAATAATAATTCATTTTAATTTTAGTTTTCATATATTTATTTTTGTCACAGACAAAAAAAAAAAAAAACTAATTTATTTCTTTGTGTTTTTATATATACTATATATAGCCGTCGGATATCCGGTACCAGGTCCAACAGCAAGTGCGCCAGGTAATATTTCTCTTCTCAAAATATTTATTTTTGTTCTTATTTTAACATATATGTTTAAATTAATTATCTTAGAAATAAATTTTTCTATTTTCATCTCATAGTCGAATTTTAATTTTTTATTAGAATATTCTTACGATCAATAAAATTTTCTCTACTTATACGAACCCTATTGTATAATACTACTCTTCGAAGAATTTAGGATAGATATTTACGTAAGTTTTATTGAAATGTGGTTTTTTTTTTTAAAAAAAAATATATATTCCAGGTGTTCAGCCACCAGAAGGCATTGCCGGCATTCCATCAGCTGGAAACAATGACAATAGAGCTACAAATATTCCAGGTGTTCAGCCACCAGAAGGCATAGCCAGCATTCCATCAGTTGGAAACAATGACAATGGAGCTACAAAAATTGCAGGGTCAGCTAAAGAATTCCTTATTGGCTTGGCATTTTCATTTCTTCTAACATTCTTTTGAGGTTTGATTGATGACTTCTTTGGGTTTCTTCTCCATTATTGAAATGTTGTAACCAGATATGGTATTTATGGTAGCATGAATAATTTATATGTTGGAGATGTTATATTTAGTTTATCTAAAATGTATCATTATTCTTTCGAAACAGAATCTTAATTTAAATCTTCTAGTCTTTTCTATAATTTGGTTTATTTGATAATCTAATTTTTGTTAAGTTACATACTCAATTCCTTTTAAGTTAAACAGCTACGGCTAGCGGCTAATAAGAGTGTTAGGTCAGAGAATTTAAGTATGCGAATTTAATTGGAAAAAGTAGAAATATCGAATTTCAGAATTCCAACAACTACTTAGATAACAAAATTACAATGTTATAGAAGATCAAACATAAAAAAAAAAAAAAAAAATCTTCTAGTCTTTTCTATAATTTGGTTTATTTGATAATCTAATTTTTGTTAAGTTACATACTCAATTCCTTTTAAGTTAAACAGCTACGGCTAGCGGCTAATAAGAGTGTTAGGTCAGAGAATTTAAGTATGCGAATTTAATTGGAAAAAGTAGAAATATCGAATTTCAGAATTCCAACAACTACTTAGATAACAAAATTACAATGTTATAGAAGATCAAACATAAAAAAAAAAAAAAAGAAAAAAGAATAGTAGTGAAAAAATATTAGAGAGTAATAACATCAGTCATTGTGATCTCAGTATAATCAATTTCATTCTCAGGATTCATAGCCATTTTACTTAGCCTAAGAAGACTTCCAGTAGCCAAAATTGCCTTAGGATTTATATCATGCAAAGATCTTGCATATAAACTTCTTATTGCTCCACAAGCTGCTTCAAACAATTCTTTATCTTTCTGAGGACCCAATAAACAATGCCCTAAAATTCTTAAAGCAGGCTGCAATAAATCCCATGGAAGTGCAATTCTCCCTTCCTTTTTTCTCACCTTTTCCTTCTCAGTATTATCACCATCCTCCTTTAGTTTCTTTCCACTTTCACTATCTCCTCCTCCTTCTTCTTCTTCTTCTTTCTTTTCCTTGCATATATAACCTTCCTTGTACATTTCACCATCTTGACCTGCCCATAGCTCACAAAATTCACAGAAATCTATTTTTGACCCAATTGGCATTAATGATAGTTTGCTGAAATATAATTCTAATGCAACCCCAACAATTCTTGCTCTTCTTGTTGATCTAACGGTTCCATGAGGCTCTAAGCTTGGAGATATCACTGCTAAGTTTAAATCAGTCGCGTTGTTCTTTGATGTCTCTTTGGTTTCATGATATACACTAGAATTTGATAGATCAGGTATGTTTACTGCTATAGCTTGGCCATTGCGCGATGTCGTTTCGTGCGCGTAGAGAGCGAGCAAAACTGCTTCGAATCCGGCTAAAGGTTTTCTCAGTGGGACACGCGAGAGGTAAAGACCAGCGATGATTGGGACAAATCGGAGAACGACGAGTTGGAGTTGAGGAGAGGTGGATTGGAATGTGTCGTAGAACCATCTGCAGAGGTTGTTGTCTCCTGCGCCGGAGTCAGGTTCGCGGAGGAGGGCGGAGATTGCGGTTGAGACGTTGGAGTCATGAAGGAGAGAGGAGGCGGGATCTTGGGCAGAGAGGATGGTGGAGGGAATTTTAGTAATGGAGGTTAGGGATTGGATGGCAGATTGGATTTTGGCAGAGAAATCAACTGGTATAGAAGAGCGAGAATGTCTATGTAAAGAGTTGTAGGTGGAGGTAGAGGAGGTGGCGGTGGTTGTATTGGTGGTGTCGGCAGCGTTTTCTGAAGGTAAGCTGTCTTGAGACATTAGTTTTGTTAGAGGAGAGAAGCATAGGAAATGGAAGAGATGATGAAAACTAAAGAGAGAAATTTTGGAAGTAGAGGATGATGAGGAGAGAATTATGGAGGGAAAATAGGATGGGTTGTTTAAACTACTTTTTACATATATTTAATTATTTACTTTTTACATTTAATATATTACTATTATTATTATTTAATTTTTTATATTTATTATTGAATTACTATCTAGCCTTCCGTTTCATAGTAAAAATATACTTTTTTAGACAGAAAGAACAAATAGTTTAATGAAACTATATATTAAAAAATTTGGAATAATTTCTCCAAATAGTGAAAATAAAAGGTAATTTTAATAAATCTCAAAGAATCTATAGTAATTTGGCTTTAAAATTTGAGAACGTGGGAGTTTTTTACAATTTATGCAAATAATTATATTATTTAAATAAAATACAAGAATGCTCAAAAAAAAAAATGAAACTATTTCTTTTTATTTATTTATTTTTCACCAATTAAAAAATAAAAAGCTTTAGATTTATGTAATTTATCAACTTTTAATTTATAAATAAATAAAGCCCTAATAAATTGCAAAGTAGGGTCCTGCACGACGCACGCCACGTAATGGCTCTAATTCCACGCCACAGACGATATAGTATATACCGACAGCATATTGATCTTGCGGTTACTATCGTCCTGTGTTCTCTACTCCTTTCATATTGGCCGTCAGATTACTACCTGTGATTTTTCAAAACATTTTTCTGCATTAGCCTCCTCCATGAAAAAGAAAATAATAATAATATATATAAGCTTTCCTTTTTGTTCTTGATCTCTCCTCCTCCTTCCAAATTCCATTAACCTGAGCTACATCGATTTTCTTAGTTCTGTGCTTCAAAGGATCGTCTTCTAATCGATAGAGGGTACGTAATAGAACCCAATTTCTTTCTAGTAACTTCTAGTTTGTCTTTGGTCAATTTTTTTCCTAATAGGATAATTTTATTAGCTTTACATTGATTTTAACTTCCTTTTGTTTCCTTTTGATTTACATTCATCAACTCTGATCTTTCTCGCATTTGATTTGATTTTCATTCTATTTGTTTAGTTTGCTTCTTCAGTAATTTGGGTTTTCTAGGTTTTTAATCTTAGGGTTTTCTTCTAGTTTTGCTGGGTTATTCTTCAATTATCTTCAAATTGAACTTGGCGTTCAGTTATTACTGGATTTTAGTTCTTTGAGGTTCTTGCATTAGGGGATTCAGTTATTAACCCTCTTCAATTCTTTGTTTAGGTTAACTATTCTTTTTTATGGCATTTGAATGCCAAGGAAACACTGAGGTGTCAGAACAGTACAATTGTGAGAAGAATTCTAATTCTAAAGCTAAAAAAATTTCTAATCCAACATTTGATTGCCATCCTAAGGAGAGAGTTTCAATCATTGATAGTTCAAAACAGTTGCCTTGTAATGAGATTTTGCCCAATTGTCGCCGGTCAATCACTGACCTTCCTCCAGCCTTGATTTCTGAAATTCTTGATTGCCTTGACCCTAAGGAGCTTGGTATAGTTTCATGTGTGTCGAAGGTTCTTAATAGGCTTGCATCTGAGAACCAGGTTTGGAAGGAAGTCTATTGTGAGAGATGGGGTCTCCCTTTGGTTCCTGCACCATTGGGCTTGGGGCTTTCAGATGAGAAGTCATGGAAGGAATTGTTCGTGGAGAGAGAATTTAGGAGTAGAACTTTCTTAGGTCGTTATAGCATTGATGTTTTGTATGGTCACACTGAAGCTGTTCGAACGGTTTTCCTTTTGGCTTCTGCCAAGCTTATTTTTACCTCTGGTTATGACACGGTTGTGCGAATGTGGGACATGGAAGATGGATTATCCATCGCATCATCAAGGCCTCTTGGATGCACTATTCGAGCAGTTGCTGCAGATACAAAGCTCTTGGTTGCTGGTGGTACTGATGGTTTCATCCAAGGTTGGAGAGTGGTGGAGGGTCTCCCATGTTTGTTCAATCTCAAGGGTTCTGAGGAGCCAAATATTGAATTTAGAATTTGGGAACATGAGGGGCCTATAACTTCTCTTGCCTTGGACCTTATGAGGATTTACAGTGGTTCTTGGGACATGACTGTTCGTGTATGGGATCGTTCCTCATTGAAATGCTTAAAGGTCTTGAGGCATAATGATTGGGTATGGAGCCTTACTCCACATGATACAACAGTTGCTACCACTTCAGGATCAGATGTGTATGTTTGGGATACTCATAGCGGAAATCTCTTAACTGTCATTAATCATGCTCACGTTGGTAACACTTATTCTTTGGCGCGAAGCCACACGGGTGACTTCCTTTTTACTGGAGGAGAAGATGGGGCTATACATATGTTTGAGATCATACGTCACAGTCACACAGCTTATGATTTTAAGGTTGCAACTTGGGTTCCTCACTCTGGTGCTGTACATTCAGTTGCATTTGAGTTTCCTTGGCTTGTTTCAGCTTCTAGTGATGGGAAGCTGTCACTAATAGATGTTAGAAAACTACTAAGGACTAGCAGGCGATCTTTAGGAAAGAGTGTTTCAAGGGTGAAAAATGTGGATTGTAGCAGTGTGGAGCCACCCCAAAGAATGCTACATGGATTTGGGCCGAATTTATTTTCAGTGGACATTGGGGCTGACCGTATTGTATGTGGAGGAGAGGAAGGTGTTGTTAGGATGTGGAACTTCTCACAAGCTTTGGAAATTGAGCGTAGAGCTCGTGCCCAAAGGGGAATACGGCTTGAGAGTAGGATGAGGAGACGCAAACTCCACATAGAGACGAGCAAGGGTAGTCGAAATGACCAATGTTCTGTGGCAGCCAAGAACTCCATGCACAGCGATAGGAGTAATGTCTGGCACAGTAAACGTGGAATGAGTAGCAAGGTGAAGGCATAACACCAGGCTAAGATTACAACATGCTTCTAGGTTTGTCAATTCTTATTACTATATGGATGATTATGTAACGAAATTACACAACAATGGTTCAGAGCATGCCAAGTTACTGATGTAGTTAGTCTTTTCTTTTGCAATAGCATTGGAATTTTAAAGGTTAGTTTAATTTGATGGGATTCAAAGATTGTTTCTTTCTTATTGCAATTGTCAGTTGATATTTTCTACTGCAGCTTTCGTTGTTTTTCTTTAATATAGAATTTACCTGTAAGAGTTGTTAGGCTGATAAAATAAGAACCACTTCAGCTTTACGACAATGTTCTTGCATATGATATTATTTCTTGATCAATTGAATTATCCTTAGTACCACTGTAGGGGAAGTTATTTGAACAAAGTTATGGAAAGAAAATTCCATTTTTTCTCAGAAATAATTCATAATTTAGGACTCTTGACCCCCTGAAAGGCATGGTCTGTTGGTGATTCTGATTTATTTTATTTTTTATGTTTGAACTATGTTGAATTTTTTTTTTTTTTTTTTCTGATTTATTTTATTTTTTATGTTTGAACTATGTTGATGTTGAATTTTTTTTTTTTTTTTTGTTTTTTCTGGAAGTATTTTTATTCGATGTTTTAAAATTATAATTAGATATGTCAAATTCATTTTTAAAAGTAAAAAAAATTCAATTTATCCATCAGAGCACCATGCAAAAGTGGCAAATGTAAAATAAGTTGAAAACATATTTTGTCTTTATAATTCATTGTGGATAAACACTCCCGATGAGATTAGTTTATTATTTTTCATGTTTGCACGTTATATTAGGAGTAAGTTGAAAATCCAACTCTTTGAAACCCTTTTTTTTTTAAGTATAAGGAGAGGATTCGTGTCTCCATCGATCGAACTCTTTGAAATCCAATTAAAAGAAGTTCAAATGATGATAATAATGAGAAAAATTATAAAATTCTTTTTTAAATCCTGAAATTTTATAAAAAAAAAATTACAATTAGGAATATTTTATGCAATTGAACAACAAAATTCATTTATTTATGTACTTGTGGAAATGGATAATTGCGAACATGGAAACGACAATAATATCATACCAGAAACAGACTAATATGAATTTTTTTTTTCTTAAAAGAAACATATATATACATTTAATAAAGAAATTAGACATAATAATAATAATAATAATAATAATAATAATAATAATAAAAGAAGTGAGAGGAGTGCATTTTTGGCGGCAAACCCAAAAGTAAAACATTTCATCCCAAGCCAGTACAGAATCTGAAACCAACAAATAAGTACCAGAACAAAGAACCAACACAGCAAACCGTCTGTTATCAAAATTTACACATACATGAAATGAAAAGGGCAAAAAACGCGGTTCTTTTCAATAAACGATAGCGCAGTATCAGAAAGGAAACGAGAGTGAGAAAGCAATCTTGAGCGGAGTTTCATCTTCAAGCACTCCGTGATTACAGTAACCCCATCAACAAGAACAATGGTTGTTCTTTATCTTCTTCTTGCTTTCTTGACGAGCATTAATGGGCTCTTTGTACAAGAAAAGTCTTCTGTAATGGCAAATGGGTCGCATGTATCTGCTTTCTACATAATGGGTGACTCTTCTGTTGATTGTGGAGAGAACAATCCCTTGTACCCTTTCTTTCACCGCAATTTTTCTTTGGTTCCTTGTAGTGATTCCGATTCAATGCTTCTTCCTTATGTTCTTGGTACTCTCTCTCTCTCTGTATGTGTGTATAATGTACAATTCTATGTGCTTCTCTTTCTTGGTTTTTGTTTCCTTTTGCAAGCAATAGTTTAGGGCTATTTTGTTAAAACTGATGGAATTATTCTTGTAATTTGTTCAAATTGATCCAAGAAATGGAAACTTAGATTTTCGGGATTAAATCTTTCTCTTTCTTTTAATTCAATTTGTAACTCATACGGTTGCTTGCAATGTTTTCTGTTTTGTTTCTTTTTCTGTTTCATTCTGTTTTATTTGTTTAATAAAGGTTTATATGAGAAAAACTAGTTGCATTGAATCAGATAGAAGTAAAACTATTGGATTTTTTGCAGAATTGCATTTGGGTTGGAGGAGACATATGGTTCTTGTAGAAGTCAACAAGAGAATTTCTGATTTCTATGAGTTTGAGGTTTAGATGTAAATATATCATCATCTAAATGGCACAAAAATGACCAACTAGACAAATTAGCATATCTTTTTGCACTATCAAGCCTCTGACCGGGAATCTTTAGAACATGCAAGTCTGAATTTTGAAATGGCATAATGTTTAGGCATTGATTGAGTGTTAGATGTGAATATTTTGTGCAGTTTTTGCAGGTTTTAACTAGAGCTGCGCTTCTAGCAGTCAATTAATGTGATTTTATATGGCTGATGCAGCTAAAAAGATGGGCTTGTCAAATATCTCACCATTTTATGTTCAGAATGGGTCGATTGAAGTGCTAAGAAGCGGTTTGAATTATGGTTCAGCACATGCAACAATCATGAAACCTGGAAGTTTCCGTGAGCAGTCTCTCAGTGAGCAACTACGTCAAGTATTTGAAACCTTTCAATTGTTGCAGCTCCAGCTCAGTGAGGAAACTGCACAACAGTTTATCAAATCCTCTTTATTTTACCTGTCATTTGGCAGAGATGACTATCTCGATCTCTTTCTTAGCAATCCTTCTGGTATAATGCTCAAGTACAGTGGCCGAGAATTTGCTCAAATTCTGGCCAACCAGATGGTTCTTGCTATTAGGAGCCTCTATGATGCGAATGTGAGGAAGATCATATGCGTGGGGATATTGCCTTTGGGATGCACACCTCGAACGGCATGGGAATGGCATAATGCAACTACTGTTGTTGGTGTAAGGGGTTGTGTGCAAGAGGTGAATGAGCTAGTTTTGCAATACAACATAATAATCAATGAGCATATTATTGCGCTCAACAAGGAGTTTCCTGATGCTCAGATCATCTTCTGTGATGTCTACCAAGGAATCATGGAGATCATATCAAATCCAATACAATATGGTATGCAAACTTTTCATTGTCTTTGTTTTTAAAGAATGTAGCTTCCAAGTTTCAGAATTCTACAGAGTAATAACCTTTTTGAGGTTCTGCAAGTTCTAAGCAGAATTACACAGGAGAATTCTGACATCGGAGTTCACTTGTTTTACTAACTACACACTCTTGCTGATGATATGGTCATAAATTTATTTGGGGTCGGCTATATGAATCATTTGTTTCAAATACCGCTCTCATCAAGTTAATCGAGTCTTTTGTGTTTGAATGTGCACTTGGTAAAGTGTCTGATCCTGTTGGTCATAATTCATTGCTATTGCACCTTGTTTTGTTCCTGGGACTCTTTGGAAATGAGGGCCAGTTATAGAAATGATCATTATCCTTATGCGAAGTTAATATTACTGGTAGAGTATCAGAATTTACAATTATTTGCAGGATTTGAAGATGCGAAGAACGCTTGCTGTGGGCTTGGTCTGCACGGTGTGGCTATAGGTTGTCTTTCTGTAGAGATGTCCTGCAACCAACCTTCAGCTTATGTGTGGTGGGATCTCTATAACCCTTCAAAAGCAGTGAACTCTTTTCTTGCTGATGCTGCTTGGTCTGGCTACACCTTGTCTGGTATTTGCCATCCTATGACAGTCCAGGATCTGGTTCATGCACCAGTTGCATATCTGACTTGAGGCTAGACATGCTTCATCAAATTGTTGTCTTGCCCTTTTTAGCCGTTTTTTGTATGGTTAGAAATTTCTTTTCGTTAGAATTTTATCAAATTGAATATAAAATTCTTTGTTAGTATACCACTTTTTACTATAAAATTTGTGTTCATAATTCGTCTATTTATAAATACTGTCACATTTAGATTTTCAGGTCTCTTAAAGAAAACTATTCAATTTATCTAAGTTATAATAAATTATTATATCAATTGATTATAATATTCTTAATTTGTCTAAATTACAATAAATTATCGAGAAAGTGAAATGATCATTATTATTATATATAAAGGGTAAAAATGAAAAAAATAATTCATTATTTATAAAATCTGTCAAAATGTTTGGGAATATTGCTTGGAGAAATTAATGCATACAGTTAACAAAAACGACATTTGAACTATGATACGACACACAGTTCGAGAAAAAGAAAGTATGATAAGAAACTAAAATATTCAAATCCCACCATGCCACTTCCACAAAACCTAAAGCTATCACTTTCTTCATCTCCACTATCAGCACTCTCAGTCTTCTTGCTTCTCTCTCTGCTGCAATTTTCACTCTCTAAATCATGTCTCTAACACAAACCCAACATTTTAAACCAACCTTCTTGTGTCCTCTCAACACCAGAACAAACTCAAAACGACGTAATGTCACCATCGTTTCCTCTCTTTCAGGCAGGAAGCTACGCGCCGCTGTGATCGGAGGCGGTCCAGCTGGCTCTTCAGCTGCAGAATCACTTGCTGCCGGTGGAATCGAAACTTTCCTCTTCGAGAGAAGCACTTCCACTGCCAAGCCATGCGGCGGCGCCATTCCTCTTTGCATGATAGACGAGTTCTCTATCCCTCTCCACCTCATCGACCGTCACGTCACTCGGATGAAAATCATCTCTCCGTCTAATCTCACTGTCGATTTTGGCTCCAAAACTCTCAAGCCTCACGAATCCATCCCCATGCTCCGCCGCGAAGTACTGGACTCCTTCCTCCGGTCCCGCGCCCAATCCAACGGCGCTCAGTTAATCCCCGCTCTCGTCACACATCTAGAGGTCCCTTCTTCGTCAACCGAACCTTACATCATCCACCACACGATCAACAACACCAAACAAACCCTAGCCGTCGATGTAATCATCGGAGCAGACGGAGCCAACAGCAAAGTAGCCAAATCGATAAACGCCGGAAATTACACTTGTGCCATTGCATTTCAAGAGAGAATCAGACTCCCCGACGAGAAAATGGAGTACTATCAAAATCTCGCGGAGATGTACGTCGGCGATGACGTGTCACCCGATTTTTACGCGTGGGTATTTCCTAAATGCGACCACGTGGCAGTAGGAACTGGTACAGTTTGCGCAAAACCGGACATTAAACTATACCAAAAGGGAATTAGAGAAAGAGTAAGACAAAAGATAAACGGTGGAAAGGTGATCAAGGTGGAAGCGCATCCAATACCGGAGCACCCACGTCCTGTGAGAGTACGAGGACGGGTGGCACTGGTGGGAGACGCGGCGGGGTACGTGACGAAGTGCTCCGGCGAAGGGATATATTTTGCGGCGAAATCAGGAAGAATGTGCGGCGAGGCGATAGTGAAAGCATCAGAAGGAGGAGAGAAAAGGGTGAAAGAGGAAGATTTGAAAAGAGGGTATTTGAAAGAGTGGGATAAGAAATATTACAGTACTTTTAGGTTTTTGGATTTGTTGCAGAGGGTTTTCTATGGCTCTAATATGGCTAGAGAAGCATTGGTTGAGCTTTGTGGAGATGAGTATGTGCAGAGAATGACATTTGATAGCTATTTGTATAAGAAATTGGCTAATGGGGATAGATGGGAAGATGTGAAAATGGGTTTGAATACTATTGGGAGTTTGGTTAGGTGTAGGATTCTTGGTAGGGAGATGGAGGCTTTGAAAGTTTAGGCACTTGTATTGGTTCCATTTTTTTTTTCTTTTCCCTTTTTGTATTTTTATCCTAATTTGCAAGTTGAGTTTGAGGTTAATTGTGTCCTAAAAATTGATTTTAACAAAATTTTACTCCAAATTAGTTCTCAATTATTTCAAAGAAAAAAAAAGAAGTTTAGGATCAATTCAAGATAATGAATAATGTCTTTTTTTTCGGTTGAGGTTTCGGTGCAATAAAAAAAATAACTCACAAATATTAAATTAATAAATAATTTAATAATTTATAAATATTAAATTGATAAATAATTTTCATTTCGTATTATTTTTTAAAAATTTTCATGATTTGACTTGCATATAACTTAGAAATTTAGTTAACATAATTAAATTATAATTTTTACTTTATTTCTTTTAATATATCCTTGTGTTAATACCCATAAAAATTAAATGATCCATGTGAGATTGTTCTTAAAATTAATCAAATGTTTGACTAAATAGAATTTTATTAAAAGATTAAAAGTTTGATATATGATTTAATTAACAACAATATATTAATTTCACTATTATATTTATTGATAAAAAAATATATTAAATAAAGATAGAATAATAAATTTCAAATATTATTTATTTCTAACTAAATAAATATACAATATAACAAGTAAATATATATAAAATATCTAGGATGGATGAAAAGTGAAAGTAGGACACAAAAATTATTTGAAGGGAGAGATAATCAAATTAAAGTGATCAACAAGGGCGAAAAGATCAATAAAAACATTGTTTTATTATTAAGTAGAATAATATATTTAAAAAAGAATAAATACTGTAAATCTAAAGGAGGAGGCCAGCAAGATGGAGTTTAAATTTTTTTTTTTTTTTTTTTAAAAAAGAAATTTGAAAATCTACGTGAAAGATGGTTCATACAGTCATATTCTTAGTTGAACCTTCCCTCTCTTTCATTCCATAGCCACCATATATATCAATTTAACTCACTTCGTCTGAAAACCATAAACTCACAGAATGATCCAAATGTAAGTTCATACAACACTTAACCTAGAAAATCTCTGTCCTCTTTATTTATCCAAAATCCAAACAGAAGTACAACAATGGAGTCTTCAAGTCTCCTGTCCAGAGCTTCCACCACCTACTTCCCACCTCACCGAACTCAGCTACACCCTCGTATGCATTTACACTCCTTCTCTTCTTCTTCATACCCATCTTCTCAAAACCCTAACAACAAATCTCAAATCCATAAATGCTTTATCTTTTGCATCTCTTTCCTTTCCATTCCCTTTCTTTTCTACCTCTTTTCTACAGCTCGAAAGATTCACCATTCCTCCAAATTTGCCGAACCCAAATCCCAATTCTTCTCCGTCCTAATCGATTCGGGTCCGTTCGGGTCTCGTGTTCGAGTCTACGAGCTCTTGGCGGAGGGAAGCATGCCTTTCACCAATGGTCAAATGCCTTTGATTGCGGGGTCAATGAAAGTTCGACCCGGATTGGCCGGGTTTGTAGAGGATCCGAAAAATGCAGGTGGGTTGATTCATGGGTTGGTTGAGTTTGCTAAAGGAATAGTGCCTAAAAAGGAATGGGGAAATACTAAAGTGCAGTTATTGGCTAATGGTGAGGAAATGGAGGGCTTGGAGTTTAAGGTTAAAGAGATGATTATGGAGTCTTGTAGATTGGTCTTCAGAAAGTCTGGGTTTGCTTTTAAGGATGATTGGGCGAGAATTATTGAAGGTTTGTGGTTCTTTTTATTCGTTAATTACTTGGAAAGTTTTTATCTCTCTGTTTGTTAGTTTGATTGTTTGTTAAACAATATAATCATACTTTTCATATATATATATATATATATATATATATTCCAGTTTGGCAGTGATGCTTAAGTTTCATGATGTTTGACTATGTTGTGGCACTAGCTTTCTTTTTTTTTTTTTTTTTTTTTTTTTTTTTTTTTTTTTTTTTTTATGCGGTGCTTACTTGACATACTTGAATATGTTTGTTGATGTAAATGATTAAACGCCAATTGACAAGTAGGGTGCAGTTTCGAGTTATTTCTTGCATCTCCTAAAAAGCAGTTTTGAGTTCATTTCTTGTGATCCAGGATATTGACAAGGTGTATTCCTTTCAGGTCAGAATAATAGTGTCTGTAATTATAGTCTATAAACCTCTCTCGTTTTTGACTTGCAACCAAAGGATTTTATATATGTCCATTAAACAAGCTTTTATCATGTGTGATTGCCTCTACATCATCAGGCGGACTGCTGTTGTTTGCTTTAAGGCTACTAATGAGATGTTTGACATGTTAAAGGTTGCAGTTGAAACTCTAAAGTATTCCTTAGACCTTTGTTGTCAGAGGTTAGAAGCCCAAACTAGGTTGTTTGCTGCTACTAAGCTTCATAAGTTGCAAAATTTTAAAATGGAGTGCTTAGGGAGGTGTCTTTTGTAATGCTTTAGGGAATTACATTTGCCTTATTCATTGTTGTGGTAAACGAGCTTTTAAGTGGACTCATTAAGTTAAGAAGGAAAGGATGACCTGTCAGTTGTTATATCATAATAGCTAGCCCTAATTAGTTTAGTAGCTGGTAGCAGACCATGTGAATACATTAAATTGGTTTATTGTCATTATCTTCATTATGTTGCATGCTAAAATTACCACCCAAAAATAATTGTTATGTAGTTTATTGCAACAATTTAACCTTTGATTTTTTTTTTTTTTAACTTCTCTTTCCCTTTTCTTTTCTGGTATTAAAATAAGGATAGCAAAAGGTTTATATCTCATGCCTTGAATCTTTCTTCCCATGCACTAAATTCTATGTTATATTTTGATAATTACCATTATTGCAAAAGAAGGTGAATTGCCTTCACTTTAGACAATTTATGATGTGGTCATGTTGCAGATGGAGAAAAGGGTGTTTACACGTGGGTTGCTGTAAATTATGCTCTTGGAACCTTGGGAGGTGATCCTCGGGAAACCACTGGGATAGTTGAACTTGGTGGCACTTCTTTACAGGTTCTTTCCACTAAAAAGCTTTAACAAGAACCGTAAATTGTTGAATTCCATGCATCCAATATTACTTTGCACTCCATGCAACTTCAAATAGAAAATCTACTTGCCTCTTCCTTTTTAATATTTTCATCTCTACTTCCTTGAACTTCTGATGCTTGGATTCCGTATGCTCCTGCCACAATGTTTTAGTTTTTAGATGTACCAGCATCTTCCCTCCATTATCTACTTGAAAATTGAGTTGACAAAATTCAACTGCACATAACAAAATTTTGGTTTCTTTAAATTGTATTCTTTTCTGGCCTTCTTTGCCTCCTAATATCCTCCACTCAATTGCACGGAATTAATTTTATAACATCAGCACTAAATATTAATTGATGCACAGGGATTTACTATGGAGCATCATACCTATATGTATTTGCTATTGCCTTTTGGATGTATGCTATCTTAAATTCGAATTTAAACTGTATAACTGACATATGCAGGCTACATTTGCTTCCACAGAAGTATCAAAAAGGCAAACTTTACGAATGATCAAATTGGATGGAGTTACTTACAATCTTCAGACATCAAGCTTTCCAAAATTTGGTCAGGTGTTTCTCATGTATATTCCTGTGCTACCTCATGTCCAATATCTTTCCAATCTTTCTGATCAATATTGAAATTTTTGCTTAGACACCAATTTGCATTTGTGCTGCAAATAACAGTTTAAAGTTTCTTCTGCTTCTACTATTGCTTGACTGCAAGAAATGGTATCATGATGTGATTCATGATATGCCATTCTATTATTGAACTTGAGATTTCTCATTGTAAATCTTACATTAAAAGTTATATTTTCTTCCCGTGCTTTTTGGAGTGAATTTGTGACTTCACTTATGTAAACCTGCTTGCACTCACAAGCCTCTCTAAGTTAAGTGATATGGAGTATGAAGTGTTATATAAGGACCAAAGGACAGTTATCAACATGAGATGGATCCCAAATATAATAGAGATGTGTGTGGACCCTGAATTTTTCTTTTTTTCTTTTAATTATTATTATAAGATCTCCTTCTTTTGTGTATTTCTAGTTAATCAACTTTTGCGAGATAAAATATGATCAATTAATCATGTCACTTGTACAATGTACATTCGGAACCATTAATGATTTCATAAGAAGAAAGTTGAGAATTCAACACAGAGATCTTATTGGACAAGTATTTTAATCTATTCAAGTCATTTAGTTATTTGCAATCAGTAGTTCAGGAGTTAAATCTTTTTGCTACATTTGTTTGTTGTCATGAATAGACTGCAATAATTTGCACTTTATTATTCAACTGAATTGTTCCTTATTTAATAATTGAATACTTGAAGACTTGTGTTGTGTGGATTGCACTGAAATCATATGCTATATACAATCATCAAAATATATACAGAGTTCACCATTATCAAAATTAAAGTCTGGGGAAAAAAATGAACAGTGAATCCAATTTTCTCAAAAATCAAAAAGCAGACTTTTGGGATGTCAAAGTTGTTAATCTTCTTTACAAATTGCTAAGTTTGATGAAGTTCACCAATTAATGAATGTAAAGTTATTAGTGGTATGGATGTGTGTATTTATTACCATCAAATTCTTTTTTATTTTAATGAGTTAAGGCCAAAGGACAACACCCACCATGTCGTGTTTTATTTATGCTATTTTTTCATGTCAGGGAAGTATTTGATAATGTCTTTCTGTTTGAATGCTCCATTGTATTCTCTGCAACTAATTTGTATTATATTGTTCTGTTTCTAAATATTAATATTTATAATATTGTGGAGGGTCCTTAATCAAGCAATAGCCATTGTTCTTTTGTAGGATGCTGCATGGGAATCTTTGCAAGAGCTGCACAATTCTAGAGAATTAATCTCCTGTGAGTTCCATGTTGACATTTTCTTTGCCAATACAGTAGGATGGAGGTGGAGTTGATAGGCTATGAATTAGGAAAGCATGCACTGTCATGGTTGAATAACTTTTTCACTTTTTCTAGTAGCATACTTATTTATTTCATCACTTTGGTTATCCCTTGTAACATTACTTTGCCTTATTTGCTACGGGTGGTTTTACATATCAGTTGCATATCTAGGCAAAATTTGATGGCATGCTTAGCGAATGTTTTAACATCGATTCAAATTGATATCCTTTAGCTTTTCTAACTGTTACAAGTACCGGTAAAATGATCTTGCAGCACCTGATAGGGAGGGATCATTAGGTAACCCTTGCCTTCCCAAAGGATATGAGTCAGCATTCAATGTTAGCTATTCGGAACTTCTCTTTTCCCATCCAGCTGGAAACTTTACTGAATGCAGACTTGAAGCTTTGACATTATTGAAGAGTAAAGAAGGTAGCAGTTTATGATCCTAAGTTTTCATGAGTTTTTGAACTTTTTGTTGTTGTATAATTCATTGTTTCCTTTGACTTGTGTTTGATGAGGACTTTCCAAAGTTTCTCCAGTTAATTGTCTTTCTGCAACTGTATCTGGAATTCACAATTGAAAATAATATTAAAATTATGCATATTATGTGTTGTATCATCATAGTTCAGAGGCTAAGAGAATTCTTGTTATTTTATCTTCCTATACAAATAGTACTCCTTTATGCTAATACTAGAATATAGAGAGTTGAAATGAAAGAAGAGAGGAGAACAAGGTGTCATTTAGTAGGACAAAATGAATATACTGCAGTAGAATCAAATGAATTTTTAATTTGTTTAAAAAACGTGAACTAAAGATGAATTTGATCATTACATTACATTCTAATTACATCATACCATACATAGGCCAAGTGTCTTACAGCTGCTTGGTAGGTGAGAATGGGTGCGTTAGACATTAATGGTCCATAATGATTGTATTGTCTCATACTGGTTGTTGGCACTGTGATCATATGACATCTGGATCATAATATTGAGTTTCTCGAGTATAAATTTTATTATTCCTGAGTGTCTTATCATCTGCATCACTCCCTTAACATTCTATCTCTGTGCAAGTGATAGTACATGCTAGCAAGTTGTTCTTCTAATACTAATATTGTAGTGTAGATGTCTTCTCTCACCACAATGAACCTCTTGATTTTTCTTTAAAGCTATTGAGAAATGTTGATTCTTGAATTCCTGAGAAAATATTTGTAGCAACAAATTCATTTTTATGTTGTCTTTTCTGCAGAGAAGTGCTTACGTCCACCATGTAAAATTGCACCGTTTTTCTTCTCAGAGATACAAAGCAAGCTTGTTTCTCAAGAAACCTTGTTCTATACTTCTGAGGTTTGTACATAGAGATAAAAGTTGAAATTTAAGGCTAATATTTCAAGTCATGAAATTTAATTTATTTTATCCATGGGCTACACATACCTATCATAAGATGCCTTGCTGTTTCTTGAAGTGAATGGTTAGCTTCTTGACAAAGGAGATGCATAAAACTTCACTAAAGTTGATACTTATGGGTCCTTTGCTCAACAATTACTAGATTTCTTATGTAAGATGCTTAAGTGTTGTCTTTTAAAGGAAGGATATAAATATAAATATTAAGGAAGCAATGATACAGGTGCAATTATCTGAATCCATTGATAAATGAACCAGCTGAAAAGGGGAAAAAGGAATAAGAAAGAAAGAGAGAAATGGAAAAGAGAAACTTCATGTCTAAATATGTAGTTTCTTTGTCTAAAAACCATCTGCTTATGCAAGATAGCCTAAAAACCACAATCCAGCGTCCAAAGGAACATCAGACAAGATCACAATATCCTTTGTTTGAACTTTATGTGAGGGAATTGAAGCAATTAGTCAAGCTAAACTGGACTGTAATGTACGGCATCAAAGTTTTAGCCCCCAATCTTGCAAATTAATTCGTGTTTTAGAGCTTGTAGGTGTTCTACATTGTTTCTTTGTCCTGTAATTGGCTATTCTAACTTTTCCTCTTTTTATCTCTAATTATTGAACATTCTACAGTTTTTTGGTCTGGTTCCTAGGACTACTTTATCTGAATTGGAGTCAGCTGGGCAACATTATTGTGAAGGTGATTGGAATAACCTGAAAAATCAACATCTTGGCATGGATGATTTGGATTTGTTGAGATATTGTTTCTCTTCTGCATACATGGTAGCACTGTTGCATGACAGCCTTGGAATTCCAATGGATGATAAAAGGTATTGTTGCTCTCTTTGCAAATTATGCATTTGGCTGTCATCTTTTTCACAAACGTGCATGTAAATCACAGTGACCTGGTTAGTAAACCTACATGTAAATCATAGCTGTCTTTGTAGTTTTCTATGCTCCGAAGAAGATCACCATATAGTGGAAAAAGTAGATCAATTGGTCGTGTTAAAAATTTTAGTTCCATTCAAGAAATTCATTCTGCTTACGAGGAAAACAGTGATCCATTATCATCCATTGAGTCTATCATTTCATGTTGATTTGTGGACGAAAATATGTTTTGGATGGAATGACTTGGTATGTCCTTTATAATAAAAAGTATATAGACATGCATGGTTGAACCCTGTCGTATTAGGCTGGTTTTTCTGCTTATGTTAGTCATCTCTTTTCTGAATGCGTAGCGTAGATATGCATTTGCATGTCCATTGTTATAGCACAAATTTTCTAGTTTCTCTATTGTCAAGCTTAAAGTTGAGGTCTTGAAGAAAACATTTTTCTTATGTATTCTATCTTTGGTATCCATCCATCACATGGACACGAGAAACAGATGTCTATTTTTGTTATGGTTTCTTAATTATTTTCCAGGAGAAAAGTTTTGCTAATTAAATTTATACTAACGAAGTCGCTTTTTTTCACAGAATTGGTTTTGCGAACCATACTAGCTCTCACCTTGATTGGACTCTCGGAGCTTTCATTCTCGAATCAACACTGGAGCCCCTTGATACAGAAATTGATAACCTGGACCAAATTGTTGGAAATGAGTGGGTGACGTATTTCTCATTGTTAGCTTTTCTTTTAATAGCTTTGCTTGCTGTATTTTTTGTGCTGCAATGGCGAAAACCACAGTTAAAAACAATATATGATCTAGAAAAGGGACACTACATTGTCACAAGGGTACCCGGGTAAATTTTGTCTATCACCCGACATTCTTGTTCATGTGAGAATAATCTGTAAATTTTTGTTGTATCTTTATGGATTCAAGCTGCAGATTTTTTTTCTTTCTTTTCAAGAAAATATAGTGCATTCATTTAAGAACAGAAACTTGGTACACTTGCAGTGGATGCTGTTCTGTGCAAATACCACTTCAATTGCAGATTCTCCAGTGTATAATATTAACGATTTTGATTGGTATAAATGAATTTGAATTATATAATTCATTTATAAAATGATAGAATTTGGTTTAGTAATCTTAAATTTCATAAAATTTAGGTCAATAGTTAATTATCATTTAAAAAAAAATCTCACTCTTTATTACTAATTTTTATTAGATTTGCTTAATATATAACATGAATGCTGGATTTCTTAATTTAGGTTTTGTCAGGCAATAGTTTTTCATATAACGTTTATTATTTACAGTTTTTCAGAGCATATTTTATATTAATGTTTAAAATTTGAGAGAGCGGATTATGAAACATTATTTCTTTTAATATTTGATGAACACTAGTAAAATAGCAGAAGCTGGCAAATAGAACAGTTAATAGCTAATTTTACCGAACAGGCTTTAGGCATGATAGGAACTCTTAAATTGAAGGCATGCCATGCGATTGAGATATTTCACCATTAATGCCAAATAGATTACATTACAGGGCCTGAACTTGTGTATGAAAGATGGCAATAATTACCCCATTTCATGTGTTTGTTTCTATTGAAAGTGAAGCATGCAGATGGAACCACCAATAGGGCTAGCACTATGATTTTATGAATTTAGGTTCATTACATGCCTGGCCGATTAAAATGAAGTTGTCGGCTGATGATTTGCAACCTACTAACAATTTTCTAGTACTGGCCGTCGCACAAGCGGAAGCACACTTCCAGGAAGAACTGAACCACAGGCTTCCGGTAAGAGGAATAGCTATTGGAGAATTTGATATTGATACTGAAAAACTATATAGGTTTCTACTTCTAAAGAGTATGGGTCAATTTATAGTCTTTGGGTGGGGTCCTGTTTTGACGGATAAGAAATTCGATGTGAATGATCAATTGGCCATGCATTGGAGTGATGATACCTTGTTTTTCAAGGTATTCAAACATATTAATAACTCGTAATAGAAGATAGTATGTTTCTGAATATCTGCTCCTTTTTTGTTTTTCTTAAGTTCCAAAACTATGTCATTTTATCATTTGAACACAATGTTTAATTTGTTTTTCCTAATATACCGACATTTAATTTAGTTTTACAAAACAAACTCATGTCATGAGCCACTAATAGATCTGGCGTAGCATTACTATTAATAAATGAATTAGATAGTGATGACAGTTCTTGGAATACTGAACCCTTCAAGGGTATTATGAAACTTTTGTCAGCAAAAAAGGACAGATGTTCAGGAACAGAGAGAGTACACTGCAATGTCTCATCTACCTATGTATTCTCTTTAAAAAAACAAGATCACAAAACATTATAATTATGTGCTCACCTCTGCTTACTTATCATCCTATTTTATGTAACGTGCTTATAATCCAATAATTTCAAAACCACACATTCACAAAGAATATGTATGGATCACAGGCAACAAGTGCATTATGTAACTCTGAGTTTAGCTTCAACGTTTTGGCAAAAAATCTTGATTTATATCTATCTTTAACATTTTACATAGAAAGTAGAACAGTGGAAAAGAGAAGAGAGTGTATTATCATCTGCAGTTTCAATAGTAGTATATTTATCCATGTTCTCAACCACAAACTGTGGTAAAACCAAATGCCTCTTCCATTTGTTATTGGAAGTAGAAGAGCAATATCAAGCTAAAATTCTCTATCTTAAGATGAAAACTATGAAAAACTCTTCAACCTACATCACGATCGCCAATTTGTTTTGTACTCTGGATAGAGAAAATAACAGACCTAAAACTGGAACTGCATTTGGGAAGTGTACCCAAGAGCTTCTAGGTGAGCAGCCATGGCTTTGTTCATTGGTGGAGGCCCACACCTTAATATCTATAGAAGGACAATCAACGTTTGTCATGGAAGAGAGATAGAGAGAGAGATGAAATTCCGAAAGTTACCTGAACATCTGGTGCAGGTGCAGGGCAGTGCTTTTCAATCATTTCTTTGGATACAAATCCTATGCCACCATCCCATCCTTCAGGAGGCTGAAGAAAGCATTTTGTTATTAATATGCACATCATATCGAACATAATCCTTAGAGACAATGACAATATTAGGATGTACGATATGAACATTCAAAATAAAGGTAATTTTTCATAAGAAACTGTTTTTATCAAATACTTCATGATCATTTTAAGAAATTGAGCCGAAATAATTCATGGGAAAGGAAGAATTGCAGATTTACAATAGAAAAGGGACAAAGTAAGTGTTTATAAACGTACCTGATTCAGAACATAATAGACACTGAAGCGGTTAGGAAAATTATTAGCAAGGTTATCCAGCTCTTCCTAAAAACAGAAAACCAAAACAAAGTTATGATTTTTTTTTCCCACATTTTGTGCAAAGCATATGATTATATTTCATTTCATGAATCCATTTAACTCTTTTAATCATCTCTTCTTTTACAGAAATTTGCTTCTCTTCTGCCTCTTACGATGTAAAGTAACAGCACATTTCTCGTCCAAATATTATGCTTTAATGTTTTACATTTAAATATTGTCTCATATTTCACATTGAACAAATTCGTATAACTTAGTAGCTACACATCTATTTTTCCAAAACAATAAAGAATCAGCAGGAAGTCTTTAGTTCTCAGATATGACATTCCTCAACAGAACGTACAAAAGACAAAATGGAGATAGGGAGAGAAAAAGAGGGATTTACCTTCAAAAGAATGTCTTCGTATGTGACATTGGCATAAATAAGATGTATGTTTGTCTTGTCATTGGGATTTTCTAGGATAGCCCTAGTAACCTGACCAAAAAGAGACATAAAAGTAGTCCTTAAGTAAAAAGGATGACTGTGTATAACTGGAAAATAAAAGGCCCATTTTCAAAATTCATACTTGGAACATTGGAGTTATCCCAGTACCTCCAGCAAGCATCCCAAAAACTCTAACTTGGTTGGGTTGATACTTGAAACGCCCCTAGAAACATCACATATTCAGCCATTGCACGAGTTTTTTGAAGAGACTGATCAACTGTAAATTTAAAACTTTTCCAAGACTAGAATAACCAACAACCAGAAGTCTTAAAAACCTCCTACTTATTGTAAATTTGATTAAAGCAAATGCATCGATATGGCTCACCAAACAAATATGGGATTGAGGTTTAGTGGGGTTAAACTTATATGGAACCACAATAATTAGCATTGACCAAAGTGCAATTGGGAAAACAAATGGTATTTAAAAGTTCAAAGGTATTTAGTAATATGAGAGATGAAACTGCTTATAGCTTCATTCAAACACAAGCTGCTACAAAAGAACCACATATTTTAGATCATGCAAACATATGCTGCTACAAAAGAACCACAAACGTATTTTAGATAGCTTGATTGCTTCCTAGTTGATCAAGCTAACATGATACAACATGGTTTTCATAATATTTCACTTTGACTCACCAATGAGAAATTAGAATGTGATAGAACTTAGCCGAGACTGATGAGGTTTCTACAGCTATTTGGTTGAAAAAAAAAGGACACAAAAAAAGAGTGGCAATCAAATTTTTATGGCACTGAGGAATTACTCCAGTAAGTTGCAAATCAAATTTCTAAGGGAAAAAGTCAAACAGCATATAAGGAAGTCCAATGACAATGACATGACTCAATGAAGGAAATAGTTTTACCTTAGGTCCCTTCACGGCCAAGTAATCACCTTCTCGCATCTCCCTGAAGTGGTGGGACATCCTTCCTTGTGGATACATCTATATATTTGAAATTATAAAATAAGGACACCAGAAGGAACTGTGCCACAACCAAATGAAATATGCAAAAACAAAACTATAAAATGAATTGACCTTTATAACTAGTTCGAAGTATCCAAGATCAGAATCCAAAGTTGTGGGGGTATACGGCTTGGCAACTTCTTCACCAAGACTGTCTTTTCCTCTGTTGAGAAAATGGAATTTACTAATTATGGTATTGGCATGATAGAGCATCTAAATTATTAACAGCATACAAATTACAGAATAGAGGAACAGGCATTGTTATATCCTGGAGAAGTTCAAAACAAGGCAAGCCAAAAACCAAACCTGCAGCTCATATGTTGTCCAATTGGTAGTCCCAAAACTGAAGTTGGTGTGGGAAGAGCAAATTTAAACTTAGCAACATTGTGGCTGAGTTGGGTGCGCTTAACAAGTTTGAATTCCTTGAAGTTTTGAGGGTCCAAGCAACCTATAAACGCATGTGAAATTATTATTGAAGTTGCAAAGCAGCCAGGCAAGAAATCTCTGATCTATATCAGAAGATTTAAGATTTAGGCGTGTCTAGTAGCAAGATAAAAATATGAAAACAGAAACTTAAATGTTTGAATAGAAACCATAAGTTCATAACCTGGGATTTGGATAGCTAATATCTAGAAAAAGATTCATCAAATATTACATTTAAAAAGAGAGATGGAAAAGAGTAGACCTTTGGGTTTCTTGGAGGTGATATAGAGATAATAGGCGGTGCCGGCGCCAATGGCAAATAGTGCGACGGCGATGCTTATCATCTCCGCCTTGTGAGAATGTAAACTCTCCATTTCTGCAACACAGAGATAGAAACGTTTCGGTACCAGTCTTTCCCTTCTCTTTTTCTATGCCTTTGTATGTACACGCCTTTGACCTTTTGGCGGATTCAATTCCACTCTATGACACTAGCACTGTTCATACGAGTTCACAAGCACCCTTAAACTGTATGCCGCAGACAATAATAGCGCCTCTCGAAATTCAGATAATAATAATAATAATAATAATAAATATATAAAATTTTAAGGAAATATGAATTTGTTTTTGCTTTAAAAAAAAAAAAATACTAGGTATGTTAACTAAGTGCTGCCCGACGGTCTTTACCCACTCGGGTACTCTTTTTTTTTTTTTTTTTTTTTTTTTTTTTTTTTTTTTATCAAACTATTAACATTAAAAAGAGAGATGGAAAAGAGTAGACCTTTGGGGTTTCTTGGAGGTGATATAGAGTAATAGGCGGTAGCTCGGGGCGCAATGGGCAATAGCTGCGTACGGCGATGCTTATCATCTCCGCCTTGCTGAGAATGTAAAAACTCTCTTCCTATTTCTGCATATAAACACAGAAGTTAGAAACGGCTTCCTCTCCTGGTACCAGTTCTTTTCCTTCTCTTTTTTCTCTTTGCCGTTTGTATGTACCTACGCCTTTGACCTTTTGGCGGATTTCAATTCCCACTCAGTATGCCACTTAGCACTCGTTTTTGCTATACGAGTTACAAGCACCCTTAACTGTATTGCGCAGATCAATCAATAGACGGCCTCTCGAAAATTCAGATATTAATAATAATAATTAATAATAAATTATATAACAAATTTTAAAGAAATATGAATTGTGATTTTGCTTTGAAAAAAACAAAAAAATTACGTAGGCTGGTATGTTAACTATAGTTGCTGCCCGCGGTCTTACCCACTTCGGGTACTTCTTTTTTTTTTTTTTTTTTTTTTCTTTTTATTTCTTTTTTTGTGAAGTTGTTATATGCATAATATATTAATTAAATTTATGAAACACTATAATAAATTACAATGTTACTCTTTTTTTTATAGTAAAAAATTGTTACCATACAAATATAAAATATTTTTTTTTTTTTTTTTTTTTTTTTTTTTTTTTTTGAAGAGTATATGATAAATATATTTAATTAATTTATGAACAATATATAAATTACAATGGTACTCTTTTTTTTAAGTAAAATTTTACCATACAAATATAAATATTGTTTTGATTTCTAATAACAAATTAATATGAAATACAAATATTATTTAAAATATAATTAACAATTATAACATAATAACCATTGAAAAATGAATTATAAAAAATAAAAGTTATAAAAAAACATTAGCTAAAGTTAAAGAAATATTTGTATAATTAAGGATTATAACCTCATTAATTTCATCTACCTCTTTATTCCCATTATCCCATAGCAAAGTATTTTCTATACATAGAGAAAAGTAAATAACATAGAAACTCACTATTAAATTTTGGAGAATAACTTGAATAGACTCAATTTTTGGCCTATCCATCAACTAAATTAATGAAAGATAATTTTTTTTTGAAACAATAGTATTTCTTATCAATAAAAATTAAGTGAAAAAAATATTTTTATTTTTATTAATTTGGTGTGGATTTAGAGGTATGTAAATGGCTGGTTCAGTACTAAACCTAACTGTAAAAATTGAAAATAGATAATTTTCTTTGAAATCAAACCAAATTGAAGTTCAAAAACTGAACCAAACCGGTCAATTCGTTTGGATATACATTGATTTGATTTTATTCATAAAATAAGTGTTTTATAATAACCTATCCAAAGATCAAAGATTGGAAAGTATAAATGGTTGAAAACCGAAGCCAAAACTGAAAACCAAAATCCGAAAATAATTCGATTTGATTCAATTTTCAGTTATTCCCCGATGGCTCACAAACCACGTATAGACAAGTTTTATCCTCAATTTTGTTGCTTAGAAAAAACTCACCTTTCATCTATCTGTCCACACTTTCATTTGTCTCCTTGTAAGCCAATTGGTGAATCCTTCCTGAAGTCCCCACATTCCCTGTTATGCATAGGAACACAGCAGAGCTATCACTTTCCACTAAGAGCTATCCTAGCTATCTCCAAACTTGCAGCCAACTTTAGACCCTCAAAGCACGACCCAAAGCTCAGCAGAAGGCATAGAACATGTCCCCATCTTAATAATAAACCAGCTTCTAATAATCTAAATCATGGAGGGGACCAAACAATCCACCTCTTGAGCACATGTCTTCTGATTTCTTCAAAGGGTTTTGTATCTTATTCTTTAATTTGACTTTAATTTCTTTATGTCTTCTTCATCAAGTTTTCAGCTTCAACTGTGGTGCCTTTATCTTCAAGAATATTATCTTCAGCCTTTGAAATGGACATGCATAAACAACTAGAAGTTGAAAGAATATATGCCTTTCTATGGATCTTTAGGGTTGCAGCTAGCTATAAATAGATACCAAGCTGGGCCAAGTTAAATCATATATACAAGATGAACTGAGGAAGGGAAGCTTAACATGAGAAGTAGAAACATTTAGTGGAGCCAAGAGTGATTTGCTCAATGATCTTCGCCATGAGTTTGTTAATCTACCTAGCAACTCGTGTTTAGATTCTGGGCAAGTCATCTCTTGACCCCTCACTGTCTCTTTCTTCACATGCTAAGCCTTCTTTCTCCTTCATTATCGATCCTTCTTCTTGTTAAATTGAGAGATTTTAAGCTCATTCTCTAATAATCTAAGGTAAGATGAATCTTTAACCAGCAAGTTCTTCATTGTCAGGCTTTGATGAAACAATCTCTAACTCTAATTGGAGATGTTCCACTTTAAACTTCCTACTTGATTACTGTGCTTCTATGATGCAAGAAGCTTCTAGACATGGCGTTTGCCATTTCGGAAACGTTCCTACGTGTCAATTTTTCTATATAAAATACCGTTTTATCTGTATAAAATTATATTTTAAATATTGTTGTCCATATAGTTTCTGCATTTTTACATTTCTTTGTTTCCGTTTTCGTGCAACATTTGTGCTTCACTGAGTTCCTAGGTTAGGTGCATGCATGGAATTCATCTTTCTTGAAAGTATTCTTATGCATAGATACCAGTTCTCCAAGATAAAAGATTGATTGCCAGGAAGAATATATTGTCTTCTAATGACATGATTATCTGTTTATTGTTTTATTATTATTTTGCTGCTGCTGCTGCTGTATCTTAATGGCGGAGCTTTGGGTCCTCTTTCTTGTTGGGAAATAATGTTTTTGAAGAGCCTCCTCAAGGGATTTGCAGCTTTCTTCTTCATGACATTGTTGCATTAATTGTGCTCCAAGCTCGTCGTGATCAGGTCTAATTTTTCAGTAATTTTTTTTTTTTAAAACAAGAGTTGCTATATACACTGTGAAGCTTATTTAGAGCAGACTACTTTTGCTTCAGCCACTAGACTATTTTTTATAAAACGTTTAATTTTTTACGAAATACTATCTTTAACCATCCAAAAACTAGTTCAAAATGTTACTGAATACGTTAAAAAATAGCGTCAAAAGGCTAAAAATTATTTTAAAAACTATTGCTTAACAATTTCATCGATTTTTCAATAAAGATGTCACCCTCATTTTTGTCCATCTAATTAATCTAATCTTATCCTACTAATTTTTTTTTTCCATTCTCATTTCTTAGGTATAGAATTTTACAGTAGGAATTATATGATTTTCAAATATAGTCAACTATTAACAAATGTATTGACTTTTTTTGCAAGATACATAGAATAAAATCAACTAATCTAGCACATTAGAGTCACTGGCAATGAAGTAAACATCTATGAAATGCCTTATTATATACATATTCTTATAATTTTCAATGTATGACTTTTTTTTTTTTTTTAAAGGCTCTTATTTTTATCTCTTAAATATATATTTATTTTATATGCATAAATTAAAATAAAAACACAAATATTTTTTTCAAATTGAAAAACGGAGAAGATATAAATTATATAAATTAAGCCAATATTGTGTGGTGCAGTAGATCTTCTCATTTATGAGGGGATTAAGAGGTATAAGGTTCGAGATATTTTAATTACAAGAGCTTTGTATAAGTTTTTATTTATTGAAAAAAATGAAGGATCACCCATGTTATTTTTGGTCCTTTAAGCCTCCTAATAAATCAAGAAAATTATATAAACTAGTTTTTCTATAACGTGCGTTGCACATTCTTTATTATTAACTATTGTAAAGATTTATTTATTTATTTATAATATTAAGTAATATAGTATCAAATTGAAATATTAATTTATTTACATGTGAAAGAACAAAAACAAAGGGTAAGTACTACAAAATAACTTATCACTAATATTATTAATTTATAATTTTAAACATATATTTTTAAAATAATTATACTTACCAAATAAACCGATGATGATATGATGTTGATGTATGTAAATATTATAATTTTCTAGCTAAATATATCTCAGTAGCTTTTATATTTTAGTATTGTGATTTCGTAATAATTTTTTTGTCACTTTTGTGATCTTTCTACTTTTTTGTAAAAAAGAAAAAAAAATAAAAATTTATGCAGTTAATAATTTTATGAAAATAAGAATGAAATAGAAAAACATTAAAGAAAAGCACTAATTAAAGTAAAAAAATTTATGTAAAAACATAATAAACATCAAGAATAAATAATGAAAGAAAAATTTAAAGATCTCATAGAACAAAAGTCAAGTTTTAAATTGTTTTTAAATATTATTTTCACATAGTATTTTTTATTAGCAAAATCAATTATACATGATTTTTTATAAAATTAGTACTCGTGATAAAATTACAAAATTTTTTTAAAAATTGATTTAAAACAGGCAAAATAAAATTTATAATAAAATTGCAAAAAAAAATTTTAGAGTTTAGTTTTTATTTTTTTTATTAAGCTATTAGAATATTTTATCTTTTTACAATTAATATAATTGGATTTGACGCACCGAACATGCTCACAAAAGAGAAAGCGCTCCCTCCCGCATGTTTAAGGGGTTCGATATTCAGGATCTGTACTTGAAACCTCTGATTAAGAGAGAAAATATCATGTCATTCTATCTCACTCATCGAAATCACAATTAATATAATTAATTGAGGATACAGAAAGTAATCATGTGGAATATAAATTATTCACAATGAAAATTAATTTATTGAAAATAAATTATTTATTTAGAAAAAAAATTTTGTATCATAAAAAAAAAGAAAAATAGTTAATGTAAGAGATTTAATATAAAATTTAAAAATTTTATATATAATTTATATATTTTTTTAAAAATTATATATAGTATAAATTTAAACGTAGTACCCTTAAGAGTGCAGATCTTCTAAACTATAAGATTTACTGATCTGTGTATTGTTTTGTATTTCCCTATGCCAATATCGACCAATTCCACCGTCGGACTTAAACCCAAAATCCCTTTAATCCCCAATTTAACTCTCCGTCCCCCCTCTCTGTCGACCCGCAGATCCCCTACAACCGCCGCCATGAGGGGTCTAATCTCCAGCGCCAAACTCTTTTCCACCACCACTACTGGAAGCAGAATTCCCCTGTGCTCGAACCCGTCGATTAGAAGCACTCGCGCGTACAGTCTGATTCCGATGGTGATAGAGCATTCATCTCGAGGAGAGAGGGCGTACGATATCTTCTCGAGGCTTCTAAAAGAGCGAATTGTTTGCATCAATGGTCCTATCAACGACGATACCTCTCATGTGGTTGTTGCTCAGCTTCTCTTCCTCGAGTCTGAGAATCCTTCTAAGCCCATCCATATGTACCTCAACTCCCCTGGTGGTCAAGTCACTGCTGGTACGTAACCATAAACCCTATTTCTTGAAATCTTCTCTCAATTACTTTGCTTGGATATGGAGGGTCTTTCTCAGTAAATTTTGCCTTCTTTTATAATTTCTGATTTCTTGGATTAAGGGATGTTGATAAACATTTGTGATGATTTTATTGGATTGCTGTTGATATCTTGGGATACAGTTTTTATTTGCTTGCTTTCATGGTGCCTGTAAAGAAAAAAGAAAATCAAGATACAATCTTGAGTGCAAATTATGCCTTATTGAATAGCTCAATTCAAAATTTTGAGCTAAATGTGAGAGATGCAACGTGCTGTCATTTGCTTTTGGGGCAATATTATTGAATTTAACATATTTTATTGACAAGATTTTGTACTTTTTTTAGCATGGATTTGCAACTTAAAATCTAGAGTTATTCAACTTAAGAAAATTATTACTTAATTTGAAATGTTAATAGCACATCAGGTTTTCATGTCCAGCAATTGTAACCACTGGGGTGATGATGAACTCCTGAAATGCCAGCAGAATTGTACAAATACCTAACTGATTTATTAAAATAGTGCTTGCCATGTGATTTTTCATCCAGCTAGTTATGCAATATCAATTATGCTAATTAAATCGACGTCTAATTTTATATCAACTCAACTATTTATCTTAAGCAGTTGATTATGATGTTAATTTTGTTTTGTTGTATGCAGGTCTTGCAATTTATGACACAATGCAGTATATAAGGTCTCCAATCAATACCATATGTATGGGTCAAGCTGCATCTATGGCTTCTCTCCTTCTGGCTGCAGGAGCCAAGGGTGAGAGGAAGTCACTTCCTAATGCAACAATTATGATTCATCAGCCATCAGGCGGGTACAGTGGGCAGGCAAAGGATATGACTATTCACACAAAGCAGATTGTTCGGATTTGGGATGCGCTAAATGAATTATACTCGAAGCATACGGGGCAGTCAATAGATGTAATTCAGAAAAATATGGATAGAGATTATTTTATGACCCCAGAAGAGGCAAAGGAGTTTGGGCTTATTGATGAAGTGATTGATCGAAGGCCAATGTCTCTAGTCACTGATGCTGTTGGAGATGAAGGAAAAGAAAAGAGTAAAAATTAGATTAGAGGGTAAGATCTAATGGGATAACTTTCCTGATTTTGAATTTGGCATCCAGTTTTCTTGATTTATTCAGATTATTATATATTCAGAATCTGTTGATTCTCAAATATACTATGCTTGGTAGTTCAACGTGCGCTGTAACTTTTACTTCATTATTTCTCTTTAATACCTGTCGGGCTGATCTTCATCCTTTGGTATGTCATATTGATGCATCCTCTAAACTTGCCTGCAAATATTGCTTGATGCCTGATGGAATTTTCCAATTGTGAGAAGATTTATTTTTAGAACTATGAGAAAGTCCTGCGAGCCTGTTCCATTTTGTATTTGTGCATGCTCTTTAATTTCTGGGGAAACTAGGTGAACCTGGCTTGGGAGGGCATACTTAATCCTTATTTCTTCTAATGAGATGATTTACACTTATAGTTTTTGGTTGTACTACTTTAAGTTTGTCTTGCTTCTTTCAATGTAGCCTCTAACTAGATACCTGCACCTTCAATTTCATTGCAGCATCTTCTTGAATATGCTGAAGCCTTATTAGCCTTATTTCATTATCATAGCTTTTCATTATCATAGCTCACAGCTTTCGAACTTCAATTTTGTCTGGTTGTTGTGCTTTCATTTTATGAATATATTCTGAAAAACTTGATGAACATATTTTTTTATTTTAGATAAAATATATTTCATGGGAAAGACAACTGGATATCAATTTGTCTGGTTGTTAGTGCTTTCATTTTAATGAATATATTTTCCTCGATAAACTTGATTGAACATATTTTTTTTATTGAAGATAAAATATATTTCATTGGGAAGACAACGGGATATATATTAATATATATATATAAATATACTATATAGGGCTTAATGAGGGATTTTACAATATATATATATATATATAGGCTTATGAGGATTTTACATTTAGCATCCATCAACTAACAGGTATCAGCCATTAAACGTGAGCTTTGTTTCAATAATATGTTTAGTATATTTTGCTCGATTGGTATGACTTGAATGGTTCCCGAAGTTTTTTGGTCCTTTGAATTAGGGGGAAATCAATTTGAGATTCTTTTCTAAATATTGAGGGTAAAAGAAAAATTTCAGACTAAGAGACTTTGTTAGTAAAGCACAGATTGAGATTATACAAAAATTGTAATGTAATACAGTAAATTAACAACATAATGAATATGATATTATTGAATAAAATTCTATAATTATTTTAATTTATAATATCATAATCATTGCATGTAAAAATTCTTGAACTAAATTATGAGCATCACAAGTTTTTTTATTGTAACTAATTATTTACTATTTACTCATGTCAAACCCATTTTATCCAATTATATCTTGCTTTTTGATATTATTGAAGGTGTAATTTCAAAGTTAGAGAAAGATTTGAGATATGGGAGAAAATTAATTATGTAATTATAGAAATTATTTATATAATTCATACACTTAGAATAATAGGAAGTAGAATAATAATAAAAGAAATTCGCCACCTCCCAAGTAGAAAATATATTACACACGATGAAGATTTAGATTACAATCAAAATTAGTTTGTTCTATGGAATTATTAAATTGTAAAAATAAATTTAGATTTAAATCAAAATTAGTTTGTTCTATGGAATTATTAAATTGTAAAAATAAATTTAGATTTAAATCAAAATTAGTTTGTTCTATGGAATTATTCAAAATTAGTTTGTTCTATGGAATTATTAAATTGTAAAAATAAATTTAGATTTAAATCAAAATTAGTTTGTTCTATGGAATTATTAAATTGTAAAAATAAATTTAGATTTAAATCAAAATTAGTTTGTTCTATGGAATTATTAAATTGTAAAAATAAATTTAGATTTAAATCAAAATTAGTTTGTTCTATGGAATTATTAAATTGTAAAATTAAATTCAAATACATTCTCGATACTCGATTCAAATCACTTTAAAAAATCTCCCATGTTTAATTGATTTTATCTTTATGACAAATTTCTAATCTTTCATATTTTAAGTATTATTTGAAAAATTTTATAATTCAACAGTATACATAATTTAATCAAATTTGTATGAATTTATCGATTCATAATAGCCTAAAGTTATTTCTTTTGTTGCACACCAAGTGAAAAAATAATATGGTAAAATATTTATTACCAACAATACATACATATAACTCGAATGGGTAATCAATGGCAAAGAACACCGGGTTAATCAACATGACTTATGTCATGGGTTCAATGCTTTGTAATGCAAAATGCCCCGTGGAGATTAAACAGGTTTGTGGACCTTAAACGGATCCGGAATAAATCAAACTATACAAAAAATTAAAAAAAAAAAAAGATTATACATACATAATTTAATAAAGATGAATAAAGTAAATAATCAATTTGACTTTATATAATATTATTGAAAGAAATATTAATGATTTTTATTATTTCACAATAATTGCATGTAAAGAACTCTAAATGAAATTATCACAATTTATTTATTGTAGCTAATTTATTATTTACTCATGTCACTCTCATTTTTATCCAACTATATATAACTATATATATTTTATATTTTTATATAATATAATGTGTAAAGAGTTGAGATATTGGAGGAAAATTAATTCTATAATTTTACAATTTATTTGTGTAACTCTTATATCTAAAATAATAAAAGTGCAGAAATAATGTGAATATATGTTTGAAATTTTTACTGGTATTTGTTACTATCAAATATCATCTAAAAAATCAAAAATAATATTCACTATATGAAATAGACAATATCGTAATCCTTTTCAAGTCTTGTATAATTGCATTTTTCAAATACTTATGTAATTGTTTTATCAAATGTGTATCAGATTGCCCATGAAAATTCTTGTAGAACTTCGAATATAATTAGTAAAGATAAATTATTTTTTTCTTTTTTAAATAATAATAAAGACCGAGATAAAAAAAAAAAGAAGAATTAGAATCGGTCAAATGTCATTTGCAATGGAGAATTATAGGAAAAATTAAAATGTACAGGGTCTATTGCTATAATTTTTATTATATTTAAAATTTTATGTCTAAATATATTTATTTTATTATAAAGTGGAAAAATCAATAATGTGATAAAATTAATGTGCAACTATAATACTAATGATAATAAAATAATTCATTTTATTTAAAAAAAAAAAAAAGAAAATGAAATTAGTGAAAAATGAGTTAGCATTAGAACTTTGGCAACAGCCTAGTAATGAAAATTTGAAAAATAAAATACAAGTGAGGGGTAAATAACATCATTGCTCATCCAATTATACACTCAATTTCCTTAAAATTATTGCTAAATAACTTTAATTTTTATTTGGATGAGAAGTGATTTACCAAAATTTAGTGTCTAAAAGATAAAATGACACTAAAATATTTCTTTTTATTTAAAAAAAACATGATTGATTGTGAAATAACATAAGAAATGTAAAGAAAAAGGATAGAAAAATATTATAATAGAATTTTTTTTTTAACATATTCATTTTTCTAAGAATAATAATTCATATATTTCATATTTAATTTATCACAAACAAAAATTGATTTTTTCAATGAATGTAATTAAGAAACTAGGATAGAAAAATATTATTAATAGAATTTTTTTTTTAACATTATTCATTTTCTAAGCCATAATAATCTCATAATAATGTTCATAATATATATTTTTATTCACCAAACAAAAATTTGATTTTCTTCAAATGAAATAATATATATATATAAATAATGATAAATATATATATATATATATATCTATCAATTATTATATATATATCATATATCTTGCCCAATATTTACATATTTGCTGATATTCAAATTTCAATGGATTGACTCTCAATTACAACAAAAACAAAAAAATAAATAGCTTATATATTTATTTATTAAATTAAATTGAAGTTTTAGCTGAATCTAAGCATAAATTAAAAATTATTTATAAAATATAAATTAAAGTTTTATGATCTAAATAAATTAAATGTAGAATTTATTGTCTATTAATATAAGTTTAATGACCGCTAAATTTTACATGATTAACTCAAAAAAAACAAGAAAACTTTAATTTCCACTCAAATTATAAATAAAATTAATGGACAAAATTAAGCACTAAATGAAAATTACTTATTTCCTTTATAATAACAATTAGTACCATAATTTATATATAATTTTAACAAATGTGATTTAAAAAAAATATATAATTCAACCGAGTTTAAAGCTCTTGTACACAAATAATGTGTTTAATATATTTTGCTACACCGAATTCTTCCTTAATTTATTATTATTATTATTATTATTATTATTATTTTCTTTAATGGGAGATTCTATGTATAATTTCTAATTTAACATCATAAAGAATAAGTGTCTCGAGCTAATTGGCTACAGCATAAGTTGGATTTAATATATAATTATGGTAAAAAAAATACTATAAATTTATTTTATTTTATAGTTTCATAATCATTGCATGTACAAAATTTTAACTAAATCATGAGCAATTAAAGTCACAAATTTCTCATTGTAACTAATCTATTATTCACTCATGTCATTCCCATTTTGATATATATAATATCTATTATAGTATTAAATGGGTAAAGAGTTGAGATATTGGAGGAAAATTAATTCTAAGTCTTACAATCTAAATCATTTGGTGTCATTTTGTCATTCTACAATGGCTGTGACTCTATCAAGAGCACAGGCAGGTTCAGCTTCTGCGAACGCAGGGCTTGAACAACTGACAAAATGAAGGATCTATTGATAAATTTGTTACGTAGAGTTTCACCTTGTATCGTTTTAGCACTAGATGCTACTGTATAGAATCTTGCTAGCAAGACTCAGGAACTGCACCAGTGAATCCAGGCGCACCCATCATACCATGAACAACTCTGATCTTAGATCGAATAAATTGTATGTTTGGATGAGAGCTACTACAAAATTTGCAGTCAAAAGCTGACAATCTTTGAGCCAATTGCACTTTAATCGGCTCATTTTGAGATATTGCACCAATGATATTAAAACATGCATGGTTGGCCTCATATGTCATTGAACAAATTGATGGTGGTCAATTGTCAGGATTGCGCTGCTAATAATTTCTGAAGAGATTCATTCATAACTCACAGTTTCTGATAGTATTTGCAGAGGTTATTGTTGTCATAGTTGGTTCCATTCATAACTCACAGTTTCTGATAGTATTTGCAGAGGTTATTGTTGTCATAGTTGGTTCCATTCATAACTCACAGTTTCTGATAGTATTTGCAGAGGTTATTGTTGTCATAGTTGGTTCCATTCATAACTCACAGTTTCTGATAGTATTTCTTCACGTTTTTTTGGCTTCAGACTATTTTGTATAATGTTTAGTTCATGTTCCAACACCTGGTTAAATTATTCGTTACCAACGTAACAATTGGAACCTTACGCGCATAAACGAAAAACTGAATTAATTAATCTCGGTTGATTAACTTTAATTTAAATTCCACAAGGTCAATATTTACTTTTTATTTTATTTTTTTTTAGTAAACTTTATTTGTTTTTCCCAATGGTAGCTCACCTATTCACGAATATTATATGTATTGAAAATAAAATTCATTTCACCAATCGATGATTATTAATTATTGATTAGTCCCAAATTAATTTAGAAAATAAATTGTTTTTCAATGTTTTCTTTTCCATATTTAGTATTTTTTTCAAATCTTTCATATTAGGTATCATATATAACCAAGCGTGACTGAATAAATTGGGTCAGGGCTGCATTTATTATTTTGGAAGGACCACTGAAAAGACAAACACAATCCCAAAAGGCAATCCCAATTATTCGTATTCATATACAATAAAATAATAAAAACGAAAATCTTTAGAAATTGTGATGGTTGACGAATGATATTGGGGCCTTTGCTGCCTGATCAGGTTTTCTTGGCGGGACATTCATAACTCACAGTTTCTGATAGTATTTGCAGAGGTTATTGTTGTCATAGTTGGTTCCATTCATAACTCACAGTTTCTGATAGTATTTGCAGAGGTTATAGTTGTCATAGTTGGTTCGCTCTTCCACGTTTTTTGGCTTCAGATATTTTGATATGTAGTTCTGTTCCAACCTGGTAAATATTGTTACCAACGTAACAATTGAAACTTACGCGCATAAACGAAAACTGAATTAAATTAATCGTGATTAACTTTAATTAAATTTCACAAGGTCAATTAATTTTATTTTTATTTTTATTATTAGTAAACTTTATTTGTTTTTCCAATGGTAGCTCACCTATCAGAATATTATGATATTGAAAATAAAATATTTCACAACGATGATATTAATTATGAAGTCCCAAATTAATTTAGAAAATAAATTTTTTTTCAATGATTTTTTTTTCCATATTAGTATTTTTTCAAATCTTTCATTGAAATATATAACAAATCGTGACTGAATAAAATATGGTCAGGCTCATTTATTATTTTGGAAGACCACTGAACAGAACACAATCCCAAAAGCCCCAATTATTCGTATTTATACAATAAAAAATAAAAAAGAAATCTTTAGAAATTGTTATGTTGACGAAGAATTGGGGCCTTGCTGCTGAATCAGGTTTTCTTGGCTGAATTTTTAATTTTTGTTGGAAAACAATTCTTTCTTCTTTTGATTTTTTTAAATTTTGAAATTCTCAGCTTTGATCTTTTCTTGCAAGTAAGATCACCAAGAACCTTCCCACACCCTAAACAACACCTGCAACAAAATCATACAAAGGTCGACAATTAAAAGCTAGAAAAGTTTTTCTTCTTCACAAAATTACCAACAGAAGCAGTTCGATTGGTTTCAGGATAACTTACCTGAAATTAGCAACACAAGATGTCCTGCAAAATTGGAGACAGTGATTGCACCAAGCCATACCTTCCCTACCCTTCCCTTCCCTCCCCTCCTGGATTTTTGGAAAGTGAAAACCTTGTCCGTTTCTTCAGTTTTGCAGTTGGAAAATCCATGGAAACCAACCGCTCTATTACAATAATATATAGGTTGCGTTACTTGATGCCAAAGGATTCATTAGTCCTTGTCCAGTCCGACATAGGAAACGGTCAGCCAAAAGATGTGGCTTTTTTCCAAGTATTTTGTTCCAATTGTAACTTGGAATTCAATTATATTATTTATTCGCATGAGAAAGTAATATTATAAGATTTCAATAATACTATTTAACAATGATATCTACAGAATTACAAATTATGATTATTTTTCTTTGTCGGTACAAATAATATATTACAATCTGCACTCTGATCAAAGTAAATTTACGTAATCACCCATGAAAGGTAGCCCAACCCATAGGGAGCTATACAAATTAAAGAAAATTAGGGAGGAAATTAAAAAAGGTCAAATGCATAAATTGGAATTTGCCTCGTAAGTTTGCATTTTATTTTGGTGGACATAGTTATTTGAGTTAAAAGCATAATAATATACCATAGCAAACCATATAATATAATTTCATTATTTTGCCTACTAGGATTGGCAATGCGGACATTAAACTATACCTGTTAAAGAAAATGCATCAGTAATTGATATAGAAATTACGGAAAGCAAAATATTTTACAATGCTCATTAACATAGGGGAAAAAGAAGAACAAAGTTTTGACTGGAGGAAGCAATTTTCTCTGCATTTGAGAAATAAAATTTGTTAGCAACACTAGAGGAAAAAAGAAATAAGAGAGCGAAGACACAGACCTAAACCCGGAACACCACAGTTCTCAGTTATCACCCATTGCAACTTACAACAAACAACACAGTCTAACTACATTAGTTAACTGCTCTTATGCCAGCTACCTTTTATGATAAACGGAAAACTGGCAGAAACTCCTGCCACATTACAAAAGGTTTCTGTTTTTGAGTTCTGCTTTCCTTTTTCTTTTCTTTTTTTTTTTTCTTATACCATCATCATCTGCATTTACAAGACTAATGATTAGATATTAGGTTCTTTGTCTGACCCGCCTGCCATTGGTATCACCGCCGTCTGAGAGTTGAGCCCACACACTGCGAGACTTTCCACCTCCACTGCTGCAATCTTCCTCGCAACCAGCCACTGCCTTCAGTAGCTCTGATTGCAGAGATGGGCAGTTCTCCCTGAGATGCTCGAAGGAATCTGACCGCATTACAGCTGCAATAAGAATCCCAGAGTAAATGAGATTACAGTTTGTCCAGCAAAAACATTTAATCGTACGAAATGCAACATCTTTAAGACCTTCAATAATAATTTTTGCTTCCTGAAAAGTCTGAGATATTTATAGGCTACTTCAATTTAATGTCACCTCAAGGGTGAAAAGGCGACCAAAACAATAGTCAGTAAAGCAAAAGCAAGAAATTTTCTCAATCCTCTATAAATTGATGACATCATCCACTCATTTAAGTACTTTCTTAGTAACTTTTATTTCACAAATTTCATATCTTTTATTGAAAATTAAATTAAACTCATTCGCTAAGCTTATAAGCAAATATATAGATACAGCAAAACTATAACAACTTCTTTTACTCCATCAAAAACTAAATTAAAGAACATAGGGATAAGGATACATTTATCAGCATCTTTTCATGCATCATCTCTTTTCCAGTGAAAAAAAAAAACAACAGAGTTCCACCAAACAGACAACCGAAGCACGTAAGGGCATTGCTACATGAATTTCCAAGTCTATCTAAAACCATCTGTGAGTACAGAGAGATCTCCACTAAAAAGGCATCCTGCAGTGTTACCTCCAAAATCTCGCAATGTATCGTAGTCATTTACTATTCAGTGAATATTTGATACCAGCCATAGGGGGAAAGAGAAAAGGGTTAAAAATTCAGGCAGTCGCTGATGCTATACACGATGAAAGCAATGACTACAGGGCACCCCATGTTCCCATCTATATTATAATACTTATATAGTCCATTTATTAGCTAATTATGCAATCAGAAAAGCTAATCTTGGCTGCAAAGATACAGTAAAATGATATCATAACAGTTCCATTTCGAATGGAATAAAATAACAATGAACTTGAAAAATCTGTCTCCAATGTACAAGCCACACAATATTGGTATAAGGCATCTTTTATTTAAGAAATTCAAATGACACGGTTCTCAAATCCACAAGGCACAAAACAAACTTGATTTTGCATTCTGAAAAATAAAAATAAAGTAACACATTTTACAAGCATTTCTTCCGACATTCGTGCCAAAACTTCTGCTACAACCAAAAAATTTCTGCAATAGTTCAAGCACAACCTATGGAAACAAACTATAATACTTCAATTTTTCTCATAGGATTACTAAAAATGGATTTGACTTTACATGTACATATAGTATAAAGAAATGGGCAAATCATTCAATTTAAAGATCAAAGACCACCTTCATCTGACAATAACAGTTGTTGCATTGTTTCTGCTTAATAATAAATGACACTCGAAAATTGAGGTTAAAACTTTCCTTTTCCTCTGTGAAAACAAAAACCTTTTTACATGTTTTAAAGATAATTTTAAAATATTTTAGCTGTTTAAGATCTTTTTATGAGCCAAACATGTCAGTTCCACCTTTAAAAAAAATTTTAATCTAAGTCAATGCATTCAAGTGCACAAAAAGGTTTAAGTTTTAGTTTTTAATTTAGTACATAATGACAAATCCCCCTCCTAATGTTCAAAAATTTACAACAGCAACGCCAAACTTGTTATCAGGGACAATATTCATCATATGAATAAACCTATAAGAATTTTGCCAAAGAATCAAACATTGAAACTAGGAAAGCAAAAGAAAAGGCAGCAGAAACTATTAAAAGATGTCTCATAGTTTTTGACACTGCTTACAGAAAAGCTATAAGCAGTCTTACAGAAAAGCTTCATCGTTTTGGAATTTAATTCTAACATTTGTTTTTGACACTGCTTCAACAGTCTCACAGTCACAGAAAAGCTATACTTCATCCGATCAAAATTTAACCCAAAAAAAAAGAAGAAGAAAAACACATTAAACCATGATATCCATAACAGCAAAACAAATTAGTTCTGCAGATACATGCACTTACATGTCTGTCAAAAGATATCACACGCAAGCAAAACTCAAGCTCAAACAAATCATTGCTTTGTCTGCATAAAGGTTGGATATTAACCCTGCATATTATGACAGATAGGAGAAATGCATAGGGAATGTATCATTACCTGCAAGGTTTTCAGCAGCAAATTTTAGGCAAACAGCTTTCAATTCTGTAGCATGATGACTGTCGGCCAAGGCCAAGATGCTAGCAACAGAGTCAACAGATATGTCCTTGCAGAGATGAGACTCGCACATCAATCTGAGTCTGTCAAGACCATACCTGTCTGCTGCTGCTAACAGCTTCGCTGTTAATGTTTCAGATACTGAGGAGAGACAAGATGAGCTAGATGTTTCCATGTCCACATCTTCAGTGAGAGTATCTCGGTATATGAAATGCAACATGGCCTGCAGAAAAGCATGAAATGATATTAATATAAGACATATTAACTGTCACAAGCACAAATTCTGATCCATAACCCCAAAGAAATAATAAAATTACTCACCTTGAAAACCTTCGGTTCTAGATCAGTAATATCAACCTCTTGCTTTTCTTCTTCTCCATCAAAAAACTTAGACCGAAAAAGAGGAGACCGAGCAGCCAAAACCAACTTGTGAGCATGAATCTTTTCCCCTGCCACATTAAAAGTAACATCTGAACCTTCCATATTTTCAAGCAGCATGCCAAAATGTGCTCCTATATCAGACTCTGGAACCTGAATTGAGTGCAATCGTGGACAATCTATTGCAGACACCACCACCCCAACGGTACAATTAATTTTCAAGCAATCATCCTTGAGGAAGTCAGATGTTTCAAGCATAGCTCGTCTGAAAAATCGCTTGTATCCCCTAAATTAAAGCAGATATGAGCAATATTAAAATCGACGTCAAAAAACAACTGTCAACGAATCACTATACAATGAGGACCAAGCCCAAAAATACATCAATTGCTCAACAATATTATATCATAATGCATAGAAAAGTTGAAAGCGGAAGTTCTTCAGCAATATAGTTTTTTATGCATGCCAACAAACCACAACTGCTTATACAAAGGAAAGGAGAACAAAAAAGTAAAAACCAAAAAGAAAAAGAATGAGATAAATCAAAAGTTGCAACTGAAAGGCATTCATTGGCACAACCAAGAACAGCAATTTTCCATGTAACCTGATCAAAACTCCTTAACCACTCAAGCTCTACATATAAACCTAGCATTTCCTTTTACTTTTTTTTTTTTTCTGTCTTTTCTCCCATTAGTTACTAGACTTTTTAACTGGCTGTAAACAAAATATAAAAGAAAATAAAAAGATATAGCAAAAGGGAAAATGAAGCAGAATGTAAGATATTAATTGCTAAAAATTATGTAGAGGCAAGATTTCAAAAACATGTTAGAGAGCAAAATATGTTGTCTTCCATGGAAGAAGCTAACAACAATCTCAATAAACCCCCATATTTGAGATGTCATTGCTCCATCAATCTCCATAACCTTGAATAATCAAGTATCCTCTTCAAACACAACCTCCATATAACGTCCCAAGATAGGCATTCCTTCCTCTAGCCAAATCTCCTCATCCAGCCAAACAACCAAAAACTGCCCGAGTGCCTGTCGCTTCTTGACATTGATAGACCTTAAATCATCAAAAAGCTTTTTCTGAAAGTAAACTAACACAACTTCCAAGACCTTATAATAGAATTTAATATAAATTTACCATTTAAATATGGATGCTGTCTAAAACACATCTTCCATAAAATAATCAACAATTATCTAAAAGCATGTGAACCAATTACACTCTCAATATTATGGTACTCTGTCAGTAATAAAAGAGGAAGCAACAGCTAATTCTTCCCATTTCTTAGGGATGATCATAATTTTCCTAATGCCTTCACTGAAAACTATTTTGCAGACAAGAATTGAGATTCCAATTTTATTTATCCATATCTTTAAGCTTGACATGACAACCTTGGACATTCATGTGAGTTATTCTTTACAGGTTGTGCAAGGGTGCACTGATGAAGCAGAAGTGAAAAGAATGCCAAGTATGCTGCATCTAGATGAGATCCCAGAGAAGGATTGCTTAGCCGCTTAACTACAAGAGAAGAATGATGGAGCTAGATGCTGACATTTCATAATAATAATAATACAAGGATAGGCTCCAGATGAATCCTAAAGAGAGATTATAAAAGAAACATTATGCCAACAGAAAAGTTATTTTAGGAATAGCCATTACATAACAATCATGGCTCATATAACAGTGATTAGGAGAGATACATCACGCCATACATTACAAAACAACTGTTAACATAGTCATTTATTCATAAAATTGATGATTTTATTCAGGGGAAAACATCAAGCTCTTGTGCTAAACCTACTAAATTATCGCATATAATGTTGCACAAATGACAAATAACACCAAATTGATGGAACAAGCACTCAGCTGGAAGCTAAGTTCTTCAAATAACACCAATTATAAACTAGGAGAAAAAAAAAATTTCTAATTATGCATTTGTAAAACGTTAGTAAGATTTCTGCACCGGTGTGAGAGAAATCAGCTAAAGAAGATCACCCAATAGCATCACCACTAAAATGCTTCAGATATTTGTATTTGTGTACATTTATGGTATAAACATAACCTAGGAATGTCAATGCAATAGACATGTCTCATTCAATTCTTATTCCTCCTCTCCTTGGTTAAAGCAATTGTATTTCACATCAAGAACAGTTGGAATGAAAGGGTTTGATTATTATAGCTGCTAGAAAGTACGAACATTGGGTTGAGGATAAACAAGGACATAACATTTCCACGGTGAAAGCTCGAGTACTTTGTAATCGCACAACGCAAAACAAATCAAATAACAAACAGATATAAAGATTGAATATATACAATCAAGAAGAGACTTACCACATGCTACCGCGATACTTCAGCGTATAAGGTCCACTCTCAAGCGAGCGATCAAAATGGCTATGAACCTTATGTTTCCCTTTCCCACTCTGATCAACAAGAGTAAGCTCAAACAAAGCCCTAACATCAGTTCCCTCACTAGCGAGAGCGATGAAAACCGAAACGTAAGCTGAATTATCCTCTGGATTTTTCCCATCAGGATAGAAATATATCGCCCATTGGTACCCTCCAACCGTGAAATTATCGCTGGCAATGTGCTTACCCACGCCCATTCCTTTGGCGAGCGAGTAGCCCTGGATCACGAACCGGTGCGAGCCATTCACCGTCTCGGTTACGCAGCGGGAGGATGTTGGTGAGACCAGAGGGCTTGTCTCAGGCTTTGGTATAATGATGTTGGTCATTGTTTTGGGGTTTTCCGAATTGAAGAATTGAAATGCATGGAATTGAAAAGGAATTTCAAGATTTAGATTGAGTGATTTTGGAATTTGAGAGTTTTGGATTCTGAATTTGGAGATTAGAGAGGATTTGATAGGAATTTGAGTAGGAAATGAGATGAGATTTTATCTTAATTCTGGTTTTAGTACGGTTTCTTTTCTTTTTGTTTTTTCGTCCGAGTAACTGAAATGCAAATAATGATTCATACTTGGAAAGCAAAATAAAAATAGAAATAAAAAAAAAAGACAAAAATTTCAATTTGCCAAAAATTATTATTTTGTCCTTATATTTTGAAAATTTTTCATATTTTTAACTATTATTATTGTCGGTTATTATTTTATTTATGTATTTCGAAAAATAAATTATTTAATCTTTATTTTTTTTACTACTATTATTATTGTCCTTCTATCAAAGAAGTACACATTTTACTATTAAATGCTTTATGAAAATTTAGAAATACACTTAATCTCTTTCGCGGTGTTCTACAATAGGTTTTTTAGGTAGTATTAAAAGTTTAATTATTCAAAATGTTAAGCGCTATTTTTTATAGTAGTGTTTGTAATATAATGTTTGAATTATACTTTTAGAAATTAAGATATAATTTTATAAAAACTTAACGCATGTAACATTCAGTTTTTATCGTTTTACGAAATATTACTTAAACAATTAACAACTAAATATTACTAAAATAGTTAACGGTTAGTAAAACAATTAATTTCACTTAACAGAATCTTTACAACTTTAAATTTTATTTTCTCTTTAAAATAATTTTTATGTATTGCCATTAGTGGAAAATAAGGTTACAATGGTGGGAGTTGAATAACGATAACGAATTTTAGTGGAAGAGATTAGGGGTGAGATTTGGCCAATTCGGTCGGTTTTAGTAAAATTTTTAACCAAAATAAATTAATCGAAATTTTCTTTGACTTAACCGAATTTAATCGAATTAATTTTTTAATCGAACTTAACCAAACCATTTTGATCAAATTAATTTTGATCATTAACCAAATCGAAGTTAAAGAAAATAAAACTTAATTAACCATATGTCACGACCCGTTTCCATGGGCCGATCCAACACTAAGGCTTATGTAAGCTTAGGGCCCCCGAGGTCCATAGTAAGCCTAAATCACTAAAATTCAACTATCTCAATATGCATTTTTACCATGCAGCTCATATTACCAAGCGCAATAATCCTCATATTCATTTTACATTTCGGCCAACAATTTAACATCTTAAACATTTCATAGATCGAGCCCAAATTGTAATACATTACAGTCATAATATGGCCTACTGAATAATGTATGCACTTGGAAGAAAAATACATCTTTATGGGTTCATGAATTATTGTAGCTATCTTAATCCGCGATTAATAGTACACACAACCTACAACTGCGGAGTTCAATATCAATAGAACAATTAGATTTTTTATAAACTCACAATTAAACTAAATTTTTCGTTTATAGCTCTGCGGTGAATGAAACAGAGATTTCACAGAGATTTAGAAGAATTTATTTCCTAAAAGGTTAAACAAAAGAGATGTGAGTTTATTAATGAATAATAATTATTGCACATCACATGCATTCACACACATATGTAAATATATCAATCTAGTCAACCACTAGTTATATGCTCACGCAGTCAGTCACACAAATGGCATATTACCAACACTCATAATTATTAACATCTTCACATAATCACATCACGTGGAAATTGGTCTGTGGCGTTACTAAAACCCCCGATGAGTCATCCTCCCACATGGTCTATCCTCTCATGACGTGTGCACTAGGGAGCCGATCCCCATACATGGCTGACCGGTCTAATCATCACTTGACCAGCCCTCTCATTTATTTTATACTCTCTTTTCTTTTCCATACCAACAGGAGGCCACCATGTGGTTTTTCAAATCATCCATGCCATACCCTCAAGTATCACCCATATCATATCATCAAGTGCACACAAGGGCGCTGATCTCTCCATACCTGGCCGACTGTCAAATCTCATATTTTCATCATTTCCAGGATCATCCTTACAAACTCATGGTGACCCACTTTATCCCAACTCCACATAACCAACATAGCATTATCACAACACAAATAATTAAGTATTGCAATTAAATGCAAGCATAGCAAATAATTAATTAACATGATGCAAATGCACAATTAGACATTAATATTTAATTATAATCAAATAAATCAATAAATGAATAATAATAATCATTATTAGAGAACTTTATTTATTATGTATCAAGTTGAAGAAATATTCTAATAAACCTATTAACTCATTTATTAATTATGACTAATCTAGATTCAATCGAAATTTCAGCGGAACCTCCTCTAAAATTTAGCTAAACTGCAATTCAATAATAAATTTTCAAAGCTCATCCATCCGGCAATTCACAAAAACACCTCCCATCAGCCATATCCATAATCATCGATCATACCTCATTCGCCACCTTCGTAACTCAACATCCACTCAGCTCTTCCATCGACAAATAATCAACTCAATGTCTAACTGCCATAAATAGCAATTTATGTGTATATCCATTCTAATAACCTAATTATCATCGCCTTAATATAATACGACCTAAGTCTCAAAATAATTGCTATCTTTCCATCAATAAGTTTCTTTTTCTGGGTCTATCTTTGATCTCCAGTTAACTCGTCAATTATTTAATTTATTAACTTTAATTTGCTCTTAAACCCTAATTCTATCTTAAACTCATAACCTAGCATATGTAAGATTTATATCTTACTTAATTATCTAGACTTAGGTTATAGCTCCTCTTAAAAATATTTATTTAAAATTCTCAATTTAACTCACATGAATAATAACTAAGAATTCTTATCTCCATGTCAAGTATTCTAATTATAATCATAATTCATGTAATTTATTTGACAATGTTCAAAACTAAATTGCAATTACATTATTCCAACTAACTAATTCCTAACAAGAATTATATTTGATTCGTTATTTATTCAAATTCAATTTAATCAACTAAAAATGATAAATTTAGAATCCATACCAAAATGGAGAAATTGGTCTTAGAACGTACCGATTGAGAGTCAGACTACCACTCCTCGATCCGCGCGAAGAGGAGATCAATCTCTCTTTTAGAGTGTTGCTGATCGGTCGCCGGTCGCCGTCTACGGGGGTCAAAAAATCGACTGTGGCCAAAATTGAGCAACATTTATACCAAAATGCTCGAAATCTTATGGGGACTCCAATGAACATGTCGCGGTGGCGTTGAAGTATTCTGGCTCGATTTCTTCCACCCACGCACTTAATCGTGCAACCTGAGGCTACAACGAAGCTTCCCTCGTCAAGAAGATGGATTCAGGCTACGGCTGCGCCTAAATCCCTAGCCGTTTTGGCTGAAAAACAGGGAGGAAAAAGGGACCATGCTCTGGCGCGAAGGAAAGAAGAAGAGAGGGAAAAAGAAGAGAGAATAGGTCGGTTTCCAGAGAATTTTGGGCCATTTTGGTTTGATTCAAATCGGTTTGGCTCAATGTAAAGATTTGGCTTGATTTTTGCTTGGTTTTTGAAGATCCAACTTGGTTTACGAGTCCGGTTTGTTTTATTTTAATCAATTTAATATTTAACGTCCACTATTAATTCTTAAGAAGTCTAGAAGGTTCTCAATTAGGAGTTGCGATACTATATTTTGGGCTTGGGCCTAACTCGCGAATTGGACGCAGATTGAGATTATACAGTACTTGTAGCCCACACAATCAAAAATTCTGATTTTTCATTTTAAAAAAATTCAAAAGTTTCGAAAATAAAATTACGGGGTGTTTCACCATCGAATTTAACCGAAATTTATGATTGATCGACTTTAACCGAAATAAAATTTAACTGAAGTTATTAATCACTATTTAATTTAAATAAAAACTAAAATATTTTTATTTTTTAATTTTATTATTTACTTAATCAAAATGATGTAGTTTTGAGGGTTGGTTAATTTGATTAATTCGGTTAAATTAAGTTTTAACCGAACTTTTAACCGATCACCAAAATTTTAATTTTCTTTAACCAAACTTTTAACTAAATGTTTGTTCACCGAACCGAACTTGTCGAATTAACTGAATTAGCCGAATCAAATACTCACCCTATAAAAGATAATAAAAATTTGAATGTGAGTGGACTTTAAGATTATTGATGCAGGTGTACAATGTTATCGAAATGTTTAATTTTAAAAATGTGAAAGATCCTTTATAAAATTTAAGACACTATACTTTTTTGTTTATGAAAATTACAAGACTTGACTTTTTTATAGTTGATATAAATTGATTTAATGTATAATTATTTGATATAAATTGATTTAATGTATAAATATATCCATACATTAAATTTAGTTAAGTCTTATTTTAAAAGTTAACTAAAATGCGAAAAACTTTTCAAGCGAGATGAGAGCATCAAATATTATAATTGTTAAATAACACAATATTTAGAAAATTTATTATAATTTAAAGTAAAGATTTTTACATGAAATTAATTAACATCAATTAAAATTTTAAATTATTTTAAATGCTATGGCTAATATATAAATAATATTTAGCAATAAAATTGAATTTTACCTCTCTAAATTTAAGAGTAATACATAATTTGTTCAAAACTCAACTTTTTATATACAATTTTGAGCGCAAAATTTGAGATAAAAATTTGTGATTTGGTTTGAAAAAATTTTTTAACCGCACGCTTCTATCATTGATGGATAAGTCTAAGAGCTGAATTGGGCTTTATTGGAGTTACTCTGTCTCGTCCACACGAGCATACCAAAACTCAAGTCTGCTCAAAGTTTGCTTCTTTTTTCCTTCGTTCTTCCATTGTAAAGTGTTTGCCTTTTCTTCCAAAATGGAGCATAACGAGCAGAGTCACAGACCCATCAATGGCGGTACGAAACCAACAATGATATCTGCGGTGGAGGCTCTCCAGACTGTTCTCAAGGTGGCTCAGCAGCTGCGACCAATCACGGTTTCACTTCACGATGCTCTTGGCAAGGTCCTAGCCGAGGATATTCGCGCTCCTGATCCTTTACCTCCTTACCGAGCCTCAGTCAAGGTAAAGGAAGTGGCCCAAAAGCCCTTTCTGATTTTTGACTCAATCAGTTTCTCTTAATATGGTTGGCTATTATAGGATGGTTATGCAGTGGTTGCTTCAGATGGGCCTGGTGAATATCCGGTTATTACTGAATCAAGAGCTGGAAATGATGGGCTTGGCGTTACTGTTACTCCCGGGACGGTTGCTTATGTAACTACTGGAGGTTAGTCACTTTGCTGTAATTGTAATTGTTAGTTAGTGTTAATCAATTGAGATGGCTTCTCTGCTGGTCAATTTGCTGTACCTCTGTACACTACACACTGGTTTAATCTTTAGATTGGTAGATGACCCCTAATCCCTCTGGCATAGATGTATTATCTGTACTTTGAAAGAACTCAAAGATTATTTGAATAATGTTTGCTTGAAAGTTTCATTTTTTCTCCCCTTCTCTCTGTGTCTTTCCAGGACCAATACCTGATGGAGCTGATGCAGTTGTTCAGGTTGAAGATACTGAAAAAGTTGAGGATGGTTTGGCTGAATCAAAACGAGTACGAATATTAGTGAAAACTAGGAAAGGTGTTGATATTCGTCCAGTGGTATGATTTTATATTTCCTTCCCTCTTTTTTACTTCTATTATTTTTGTTACTTCCTCAACATGGGAGTACCCATAGCAGTTTGTGAAACCAAGAACTACCTGTACATCAAATGGGATGGTTCATCCTTGGGTCTTAAATTGGTCTGTGTCCCAAGTCAAATGCTTATTGAAATTGTTTTCAACAATATTGAAAGGATACTTTTATGGTGAAAAAAATGTATCATTTCAAACTGAAGTATTTGTTTCTTTCCAAGGCACAATGGAAACATTCTCTGGCACTGCTAAATTAAGCAAAACTTGTAATATAGCTCTCAAGAGTACTCAAAAATAAAATCATAATGCTGAATTCTATTGATGATTGAAAGGGTAAATCTTTTTATTAATTGCCTAAGTTGCCAGGGACCTTATTGGAGCTTTGCTTAGGTAATTCCCATTACAGCAACTGGTGATGCAGAAAAGTTATATTGGTAGACCTGCTGGTTTTTCTTGAATATTCACTGATTGTTTTCTGAGTGACTTGCAAAGTTGTGATGGCCAAGATGTTAAAATCACGGTGTTAAGTTCTGGTGTGCTCAACTTACAATTTCTTTGTTTTTTGTTTTTACCGTACACAAAAAAATTATACTAAATTTGCTTGCTTGTTAAACTTGTATTTAAACTTACATATTTTTTGAAACTCATGGTAATTCTGTTGCCAGGGATGTGATATTGAGAAAGATGCTGTAGTATTAAAATGTGGAGAAAGACTAGGTGCTTCAGAAATTGGCCTTCTTGCTACTGTTGGTGTTTTGATGGTGAAGGTATTGTTATACTTCTTCTTGTGCTTCTTGATTTGGGAAATGTCTAAGGGATAAAGTGATGCTTCAGGTATATCCTACACCTACAATTGCTGTGCTTTCCACAGGAGATGAACTCGTGGAGCCAACAACTTTTTGTCTTAGTCGTGGTCAGGTACTGCTTTTCTCAAAAACTTTAACTTCCATAAGCAAGATGCATAATGTTAACAGTAGAAACATGTCTTAATGCTGAATTAAGATGTAAATACACAATTGAAGACTTTGGCTAAACAAAGTCTTTGTTTCTTTACTTTTTGGAGTGTTAATTAGCTTTCCTAATAGTTTATTGAGGTGGGAATATTGTAAAATGTTCAGTCCTTATCATTATTCTGAGTTGGAAGTTATAAGTTGTAACAGTTTTTGCAAATTTCATTTTGTCTGGCAATGAATGCAATGAGCATTCTCTCCCTCCCTCTCTGCCTCTCCCCTTCTTCTTTTTGGCCTAGTGGCCTGCCTTTGCTCTAGTGTTAAGCATTTTGAGGCTTTAATTATGTCACTTGTCATCCCATATAATGAGGTTAATATCAGGAAGAATTTTTGTCTTGACGAAAGTGTTTTCAACATCAGTTGAATTTGTTGGAACTTCTCAAGCAAACCATACTTTTCAATATGCTCAACTTTATGACAGGCCTTGAGCTTATCAATGCTTGAGCAGTGTACAATTTCAATGCCATATCAGTTGAGACAATTTTCTATTGCATGCATAAAAACGTGTATTAGTTGTACTTCAGAAATGGCCCAATTGAATTTCCTACAGGAAAATATGTTCATGGGTTTCCCGATTTTTGCAGTAGCTAGCTCTTATTTTTTTGAATCATATACAGGATTTTGTTTTTCTCTAGAATGTCACTGTATTTCTGGATATTGATTTGCTATATAAAACATAATGCATGCGGATCACCAAGAATTTTACTGTGACAAAATATAAATGTTCACAATGAAAATCACCAACTTGTTCATTGGCTATCCCCTTGAATTTTCTTTGAAATTGCATAATATTTCTGTATGGTTTATAGTATTATACTTTGAAAATTTTAGCCAATTCAGACACTGTGCAGATTAGGGACTCCAATCGTTCTATGTTACTAGCAGCTGCAGTACAACAGCAATGCAAGGTTCTTGATCTTGGAATTGTCGGAGATGATAAAGAAGAACTTGAGAGGGTAATGGATAAAGCTTTTTCTTCTGGAATTCATATTCTTCTAACTTCAGGGGGCATCTCCATGGGAGACAAGGATTTTGTCAAGCCATTGCTTGAAAGTAGAGGGACCGTGCATTTTAACAAGGTAAACTGATGTCTATATATATGGGTATGTGCATATGCGCATGCGTATTTGTACTTCATTAGAGTTTTGTGTTCCAACAGATTTTTGTGTCATAAATTTGGTTTTAACTAAGCTTCAGTACTCATTGTTTGTTTGTTGTTGGAATCAACATGTTTAAACTTTAGTCATTTATTCAATATCATCTTGATATTTCATTGATTGCTCAGGTTTGCATGAAACCAGGGAAGCCTTTGACATTTGCAGAGATAAATTCGAAACCAGCAGAGAATATTGTGTCAGAAAAAATTCTTGCATTTGGCTTACCGGGAAATCCTGTGAGCTGTCTAGTATGTTTCCATCTCTTTGTAGTCCCTGCCATCCGCTATCTCGCTGGATGGACAAATCCTCATCTTATGAGGTTGCTGAGATTTCTAAAACGCTGTTCTCTATTTCTTATACCTACTTAAAGTGCTATTGGGAAATGAAATTTGGACATTTATAGGTTTGACTTTTGGCCATTCTCTTTTGTTTCCTATCCCTTGTAAAGGTTGCAAGTTCGGCTTAACCAACCCATAAAGACAGATCCAATCCGGCCAGAATTTCATCGTGCCATTATTAGGTGGAAGGCTAATGATGGATCGGGCACTCCTGGGTAGGCTGTTTTGGGATGTTGGCTTGGATCGTACTAGAACCTGCTACTCTGTTTTCTTCCCTCATTTGTTCACTTAATGAGCCTCTTAACTGCATTAATATGTTTTTGCTTCTGCAAACCAGATTTGTTGCTGAGAGCACTGGTCATCAGATGAGCAGCAGGCTTATGAGTATGAAATCAGCTAATGTTCTATTGGAATTGTCAGCGACAGGCAGTGTAATTCCTGCTGGAACATCTGTCTCTGCTATTGTAATTTCTGATTTAAGCAGCGCTACTGTTGTTGAGAGTAGCTTAGCTTTAGATTCAGCTTCGTCATGTCAAAGAAATACATCTGGAGAAACAACTAAATATGAGTCTGAGCAGGCTGAGTTCAGGGTAGCTGTTCTAACTGTCAGCGACACTGTTGCATCAGGGGCTGGGCCTGATAGAAGGTTTGTTTTCTACATGCTGCGTTTTTTTAATACCAAGTATATCTGGATTGGAGCATTTATTCATGTTTCATAGGCTGATATTTTAACTACTTTCCCACCATTTTAGTGGCAAATTCAATCAGCTTTAGGGAAACTTTCCTATCATCCATTTTTGTCAAAGCCATGCCATGGCAAATGAATAGTGTATAATTGTGTCAGAAAACGAGTTGGAAAACCTCCTTTTTGAAAAACAACATATCACAACAGGGGTCACCTTGTGGATGTTTGAGTGATACAACAGAGTTGATATTCCTTCTTATTAGCCAGATATGGAAATGGTGAATGTTCTACATCATCATTCAGCAGTAGTGCTTTTCTTAATGCATTAGGTGTCTTGTTCATTGATTAATAAAACAGCCATTATGAAATAGAATTTTAAGCTAGAGTCATATTACAGTCCAAATAACTACCAGCAAAGTTGTTACAGACATAAATCTTTTCTCAATTGTTATTGCCATTGTGCATTCATGCATTGACTGTTATGCCACACCCCACAAACCTGCTTTACTTTTCAGCATTTTATTCCTTATAAAATAGCTGCACATGACAGATTATCTATTTTATATGTATATTATGTATCTTTGAGGTGGTTGGCTAAATTTTGAGAGTATTTCAATAAGAAGCCAAACTAGCATAAGTTTGAAGACAGAACTGAGGATACCAAAGTTTAAAGGAAGCATTATGTATATTGTAGTCAAATCTCACAAGTTTGAGCTTTAGATACACACTAGTCCAAATGAAAAAGAAATCATGATCATGATGCCTGCTACTATTAATCCATGAAGGCTAGTTTCTGTGCCACTCTAACTGCACCAGATATTGAAACCTTGGTCTTTGTACTGTCTTGAGCTATGGTTCGACTTTCTGCAGTTTTGATAGATGCCTATAGTCAATTGTTTCTTCATTCGAGTGTTGCGATCTTCACAAGACTTAGAATTGTTTTATAAGTTATTATTTAGAATGAAATGTTAGGATGTTAGCGTATGATGCAAGAGAGCTGGCTTAAACCTGGATTCAGACAGCTGTGGATAGAGCCGATATATTTCACTTATCAGTTATCAATACCAGATCTAAAATTCAATGTCCTTCCATATTAGATTTGAGACTTAAGAGACCACTTCAGAAGCAACTCTTTCAAGTTAGCTGCCTAAACACTGGCCAAAAGTTTGTAAAAAGACACTGCATTTATTGTAACTCTTATCCATTGTAACCATTGTTTCTTCATTCGAGTGTTGCGATCTTCACAAGACTTAGAATTGTTTTATAAGTTATTATTTAGAATGAAATGTTAGGATGTTAGCGTATGATGCAAGAGAGCTGGCTTAAACCTGGATTCAGACAGCTGTGGATAGAGCCGATATATTTCACTTATCAGTTATCAATACCAGATCTAAAATTCAATGTCCTTCCATATTAGATTTGAGACTTAAGAGACCACTTCAGAAGCAACTCTTTCAAGTTAGCTGCCTAAACACTGGCCAAAAGTTTGTAAAAAGACACTGCATTTATTGTAACTCTTATCCATTGTAACCATTCTCTTGGAAATCTACTCTTCTTGAATGAACCATTCCCAAACTATGAAAGAGAGAAAACACGTTCTCATAATATCTAGAGCTATTATATCTTGATTATGTGAGATTGGTGCCTTTGTCGTACTCTTCCTTCTGGAGGATGACAAATCCTACAGGTTAGTTTAATGCATCTGGATACACCTCTTTGAATCATTATTTCAGGGAGGTCACTTTATAGATGCTAAAATAAAAGAGCAGAGTTGATATTGCTCCTTGTTGAAGTGAAACATGAGAAGTACTAAGTACTTTGCAACAATATTTAGACAGCATTTCAGCAGGTAATGTTGATGACTTTTAGTTAGACCTACCACGAGTCTTAAAAATTAATCATGCGCCTTTTTTCTCTTTTACCTCTTTCTAACTCACTTCAAATTGATTATGGCCATAGACTGATGATCAAAAAATTCATGGAATTTGTCCTCTAATCACAAACCTCAAACCTTCTTCAGACATGTGCATAGTATAGAACTATGTAATATCTCTTCATTTCCTGGAGCCTGTTCATCTAGGTAATGCTGGAAATGTAATATAGGTTGCTGTGACTAGCTTTACTTGAACACACACGTCAGAATGATCAAATTGGCCTTTATAAGAAATCCTATTTTTTCAGCTAAATCCATTTTGAAATTTGTGAAATTAATTTTTTTTAACCCATATTGTGGAGCTGGAGATCCTTCTAAATTCATTCAAATCGATCAGTTTTGCTTATGAACCTACGCTTAGTTATGAACAATCTCGAGAATTTTGAAATTTGCAGCGGACCTAGAGCAGTTTCTGTTGTAAATTCTGCATCAGAAAAGTTAGGAGGGGCAAGAGTAGTTTCAACAGCTGTTGTCCCAGATGATGTGAGCAAAATCAAAGAACTTCTGCAGAGATGGAGTGATATTGATGGAATGGATCTCATTCTTACCCTGGGTGAGGTTCTTGAATGTAGCTCGTCTGTTTCTGGATATTAATATGAACTTTTACTTCTTATTTTTGTTTGACTTGATCTTGTTATTATTTTCTTGATAAAGGTGGCACTGGCTTCACTCCAAGAGATGTGACTCCTGAAGCAACCAAGGAAGTGATTGAGAAGGAAACACCTGGCCTTCTGTATGTCATGATGCAAGAGAGCTTGAAGGTAGCAAACATTGTCCTGCACCCTTCTTTTATATTTGTTTATGTATCTTGCCCTCATTAGATCTTTAGCTCTTTAGCTGAATTTTGAAAATGGATATATGATAAGATAATTTCATTACTGGATAAGTAATCTGTTTATATTCATGGAAATATGAGAGGAAGCACTAATTGTCTTGGGAAGGTTTTTCCCCAAGTTTGTGCCAATATATACATTCAATGGAATCGGTAATGGCATCTTAAGTTGGCTACTCAAAACTTCAGTATTTGGGTGTGTCTGGTTCTTTTGCATTTCCATTCAATTTTCAAATGTCCAATACATATGTACTGGGGCTTGCAGAGAGTATTGATCTATAGATGAGTAGTAGAAAAAAGATAATGCATCAGTCAAACAAGAAAATTGCATTCTGCTAAGAATTAATTTTCTTTTTCTTCTAAACAGGTGACACCATTTGCTATGTTGTCGCGCTCTGCAGCAGGAATCAGAGGATCAACATTGGTAAGACAATTTTAATTTTTTTAATAGTCTAAATAGCAGCATGAAAGGAAGAAAATCACAATGCTTATGTTCCGCATTGATTTTTGTAGAATAACTGCCTCCTGCAGTTGTAGGATCCAATTATTTGATTGTGAATTGGAATATATTTTGAAATTTTATTAGCAACGATACAATGCAAGTCTAAATCAGTCTTGAATTACTAGAATTTTTGTCAATAAAGTGAGACATGAAAAATAGAAGGAAATTTGCTTAATGGAAATCGACATTGATCTTATACTATGAATTGGCTAAAAATTAATTGAAAGTCACTTCCATCTCATGAGCTGGTTGTGCTGTCCCGTCTTCCCATGTGGAGAATTGTATACCTTGACATTTGCTAAATTGGTGACCTATAGTTATGATGATACAAAATCCTGTGTATGATCATATTTAGGATGCCAGCTTGTCAGTTAACATGAGATATTTTGTTGTTGCTATATTCAGATCATCAATATGCCCGGGAATCCTAATGCTGTTGCTGAATGCATGGACGCATTATTGCCTGCCCTCAAGCATGCACTGAAGCAGATAAAAGGAGACAAGAGAGAGAAACATCCTCGTCATATTCCTCATGCGCGAGCTGCACCAATGGATACATGGGAACTTAGCTACAAGTTGGCTTCTGGTGGGGTCTCTGAACGTAGTTGTTCTTGTTCTCATTAATGCAATGTTGAGGAAAGGAGGAGAAAAGTTGGAAAGACACCATTTTCCTTCCTCTCATGGGGAGAGAAAAATAGATGGAAAATGGAAAGAAAATCTAACATGGGTCCATCAAAAGATTCTATCTCCAAATATAGGAAGAAAATGAAAATAAAGTTAACTGAAACTACTATGTATAGATGATACCCTTAGCATGACATCTTTACAATCATCAAACAGTTTCCTTTTATTTTCCATTATTATGGATATTGTGCAAGTACAGAACATGTAATTTATGTATTGTAAGAGTATTCAACTTGGTCGTCGTTTGATTTAAATTTATTTTTGGATTAATTTAAGAAATAAATTTGAGTTTATCATCAATATAATATATTTGTGGTGAAAATGTAATAAAAAAATAAAATTTTAATTTTTACAATATTATAAAAAATACAAATAAAGATTAATTTTTATTATTTTTTGTCAAAAATGTAGAAAATTGATCATAAATTTAAGATATGATATAAATCATTTTAAAAATAAATTTTAGATTAAATGGAATATGGTTCTCTTTTCTTTTTTTCTTTTTTTTTTTTTTAATAGTGGGCCATGAAAACTCTTAATAGAAAATCAGTGGATAGCTTCTAATCCCTAATTTTTCTGTCACTTACTTTTTCTACATAAAAATTAGTTTCTTCAGTTGGTTTCCAACGCAGTGGGCGGCTGGCCACGCCAGTTTTTTGGCTGGCAACAAACCTCACCCATTCTCTCTCCTTTTGTTTTTGACTGTGCTTAAATAATAAATAATAGTATTTCTAATACATCTGTCTAATCCCTAACTTTTCCTCTTGTTGTGTGTGTAGGGTCCATGTGTTTTTAATTTTATTAATGGAAGCCAGCTAGAGATGAAGATGATGAAATCATTGTCCATAATTTCCTTTGGAGAGTTGGAGAAATTTGTCTTTCTTCATATTATTTATTAATTCCTCTGTACATAAATATAAACAATTTTAGAGTAGTTTTCCTTTGAAAACATTAAGGCACAAATAATTAATTTTTTCATCATCCTCATACATATTAAACACATTCAAGATAAAGAATTATTTAATCAAATTAATCAATTTTTCATTATAATTTAAGAGATTAATTACTTTCTTAATCACCTAAAAATATAATAAGACTTGTCATGTTTCAAACTCCTTTTGAATTGTACTTGCAAAGCCTTAAAAATAGTGTCAAAACTATAATTGCAAATGTTCATCATGCTTAATATTAAGAATATTCACAAGGATTTGAGTTTTTCAATTTAGCAAGAAACAGATTGATTCATATTTACATAATCCAAAAAAGAGCATAAACTTTCCACAACCTCAGCAGGAAAAAAAAAAAAAAATCACAGGCCCAAAAAGAAAATGAAGCATCGCAACAAAATAAAACTGTGCCGCCTCCCGCTCCATGTGACAATCAATCTTCATTTAATCCTTGTAATTTCACTACAGAAAATGGCATTTCAATATATAACCATTCTCTATAAAAATCCCAAAATATTACATATTCTGACAAAAAAAAAAAAAAAAAAAAAAAAAAATTTGTTGCCGCCATCCCGCTCCATGTGACAGTCAATTCTTCATTTAATCCTTGTAATTTCACTACAGAAAAATGGCGCATTTTCAATTATATAACCATTCTATTTATAAAAAATCCCAAAATATTACATATTCTGACAAAAAAAAAAAAAAAAAGAAGAAAAAAAAAAAAAAAGACCTTCAAGCTATGTTTAAGAGAGAAGGAAAAAAAAAAAAAAAAAAAAAAAAAAAAAGACTTCAAGCTATGTTTAAGAAAAAGGAAGAGTATTATATGATCTGATGAATGCAAAGTAACTGACTTTGAATCTATAAAAACAATTGAAGCAAAAATGAATTATGCAATGCAGGATGCTTTCCCTCAATAATATGTTGAAGACCCCCAACTGAGTATACCGAAAGAGTTCAACAGATAAAATACAACCTGACCATGACAGACATAATACAAAAAAAGATTTAATGAAAAATGAAAAGGGGTAAAAGAAAAAATCAGTAATGAATTTAGGGTCTTCTAAAATGTGGCACTTGGGTGGCCTTCAAGTGTCACAAAACTTCAACCAACATAGCTGCTCCACTTCCACAACCTGGAGTAACTAAGAGACAACCACCGAGACAGCATGGGTAGTCTGCTAAGGAGAAGTATCAATTGTTGTTATAAGGACTAACGAACAGCAGCTCACAAAATGCTGCCTGGCCTGCATCTATTCGGAAAATCAATGTTCCTCTCACTCACTTCCACCGGTTCTGTACTCTATGGCCAACATTTTATAAAATCTTTTTACAAAAATGCCTTCACCCATGTCTGCAAAGCAATCACTACCCATACCTCTGACAGAACCACGATGCTGATGCTGATGCTGATGCAAATAGTTAGCGACAATCTGAAGACCGATAACTTTCGTTATCTGTAGACTGCAGATGACCTGACACGAATGCAACCCGGACCCCGACTCAATACACCCAAATGCATGCAGGGACTTGTAAAGGAAAGAAATTGCTGAGTAGCAACAAACTCAAACAGAAATGGCGCGACTGATGGCCAACTTGGCCCACTCAGCAGATTCCTTAATCATATGATCTTCAGAAGATAAACATTCATTTAAAAAGTCCCTGACAGAAAGAGATTGCTGTATCAAAGAACCGGCATTATTTCCCAGTGTATCTGCTAAATCTCCAAGAACCCCGATAGCAGTTTTCATAACCATATCATCCCTGCAAAAAAAATATGTCATAGAAAATCATAAATGATAGCCTTTCAAAATGCATTTTGAACACAAAGGGGGAAAAATGAGAGAGGTAAACATATTCCAGCAGAACTCACATGTCTTTCTCCATGTATATACTATCCAAGAACTGAAGGATATGGGGGGCATAAGGAATCAAAAGTTGCATTTTAGGAGAGTTCTTAAATCCTTGAAGAATTCCTGAATAAGCCTCTAAAATTCCATTTCTCAGCGAATTTGTGTATTCAATCATTTCATCATCAGCACCAGCAGTATGGGCAGACAACTCCGCAGCACTTTGGAGCATGGGCATGGAATACATCAAGTACTTCTCAAAATTCTCTCCTATTGCTAAGGCGATGTCACCAAAACATGAGAAAATAGGAGGCTTCACAGATCGATGCAACTGATTGCTGGATAAATCCTTCAGAAGTTGTGTCATTATCCCATCACAGTAAGGCAAAATTTTATCCTCTAACGCCCTGCAAATATCCCCCACGACACCAACAGTAACAGCACACACTTGGTACTCCTCAAAATTCTGAAGACCCATTTCCAAATATTTATAGAACTCTGGCATGTATTTTGCAAAGTCAGGACCAGATGCATATGCAAGTGCTCCAATGGCTAGCATTGCCTCCTCATGCACAGTTGCACTTCTGCAAGCAAAAACCCTCAGGAAAAGCCCCATTATTTGGTCTGCGTATTGCATGAACACCATCTTAGTAGGCTCTGCAGAACTTAACTTCTGAATGATTACTTGTAGGCACCCACAGAGAAGCCCTTGCAACTCTCCCTGTTTCTCTCTCTCATCAGATCCAAGCTTCTGCCCTTCCAGAGTTTTGTGAAGCTCTGTCATGATGACTGGAACCAGCTGCAACACCATCGGAGATGTTTCATCAGTTGAGCACCTCACCACTTCGTTCAGCGTTTCATATGCAGCAGTCCTCAACCGGGATTCCCCAGCATCTTCTCTGTGAGTAACAGTTAGAAGAGCATGCACAATTTCCTGGAAATAAGGTGTCAAGGGAGATGATGGGCCTGAATCCTCATAACCTTGGGCAAGGAAATACAGGGCACCGCATGCCTTCTCAGCCACATTTGGAGCATCCTTCATGCTTTGGAGGTCAAGGAAGGATGGGCCTTGAATTCCTCATAAACCGTGGCAAGAGAAATACAGGGCCACCGCATGCTCTTCTCAGCCACATTTGGAGATTCCTTCATTGCTTTGGAGCATAACCTTGGGCAAGGAAATACAGGGCACCGCATGCCTTCTCAGCCACATTTGGAGCATCCTTCATGCTTTGGAGAAGAACTGTTATAATCTGTTGGCAATTTGCTTGAGTAATTATGGGTGTATCCAAAGTTGAACCATGAAGGAATTCAAAGATTCGTCCCAAAGTCCAAGCAGTGGTATCTTTAACATGGCTATTTGGGTCCTTTGTCAAAGCAGTAAGCATGAAATTCAAAGCGACATTAACAATAGGTGTCAACTTGTCAGGTGAAGGACCCTCCAAGATTGAGCCAAAAGCATATGTGGCTGCCTCCCTTTGCCTCCAATCTGGTTTTGTTATATTTTCTTCAATGAATGGCATAACAAGTGGCACAATGTCATCTCCCACAGTCCTTGCAACCAAGCCAAGGCATGTCCCCCCTGCCATTGCAATGTTCCAAGCCCCTTCATCCTGATCTTGATCCTCCTCTTGCTTAAGGAGAGTCTCCAACAACATTGGGACGAGAGCAGGGAGAGCCTGCTTGATAAAATAAAAACAAGGAATGTCAGAATCTCCAGTGAAATCACCACCATATTCTTCCAAGATGTCTATCTCTTCGTCACAGATTGAACTCCAAAACTCAATTGCCTGGAGAGCCACAGGTTCCTCATCTTCCCTCACAGCCTTTGCTGTAATACTAAAGATGTCCTGCATATAAGGAGCTAATTTCTCATAATACATTGACGAAATAGAGACCAAACATTCAAAAGCCGCTTGCCTAATCTTCACTTCTGGAGACAAAGTCGCCTCACAGACAACTCTCATGATGTAATCGCGCTCCATATTATTGCTAAAATTTGCTTGAGCAAAGCCTAGAGCGTTGTACAATGCTCGAGCGGCAGCAAGCCTCACATCATTGTTTCCTTCAGATGCATTCATACCTTGAACTACAGCAGTCAGAATTTTATTTACTTGATCTTGATCCACAACATCAGGAGAGATTTCCTCGCACAAATATCCAAGAGTCTCCAATGTTGCTTGCTTAACATGTGCCAGTAGCTGATGAATATTGGACAACAGGGATCCTATTAACTCAGGCCATTGTTTCTGGGGCAGCTCAATGCCAGCAACCTTGGCAATTACTTGTGAAGCAGTTGATCGAGCATCAGACACTGGAGAAGAGAGTGTCTTTAGCAAGCATGTTTTTATCTGGCTCTTGATAGCAGCATCCAATGACAACCATCTCTGAACAAGCTCAAATTTTCTATGTTGTTCCTTGGCATCCAAGGCATTCTTTAGAATCAGACCGGCTAATTTACGACTATCAACAGGTTTTTCGTCATTAGCTAGCTCTCCAGACAGTGATAACAGAAAAAGAGGCAGATTTTGCTCTTGAAACTGTTTCAAGCTTTCCTCTGCATGCTTCCGCACATTTCCATCTATTGATTGTGCATTCAAAAGCACCTCGGTAACCTCCATTGCCATAGTGTATCTGAAAGAATCAAACATGAATACTCAGACTCATGCAGAGTTGCATCTTACTACGTCCATGTAAAATATAACGTCCACATATGATATAGTTCCTCAACTCAACCTCACAGCATATCCAATAATCAAATCAGAAATTTAAAGAACACAAAGGCACCAAATATTTCACATAGACATAAAAGAACAAGAAGCAATAAAAAGGATAAAAGAAAAATGAAAGGTGAAAACTTCCACTATATATATATATATACACACACACACAAAAAAAAAAAAAAAAAAAAAAAAAAAAAAAAAAAAAAACACCAAAAAAAAAAAAAAAAAAAAAAAAAAAAAAGAAAAAAAAAAAAACCTCATTCACCCTATGACCAAGAAACTTCCTTAAAACAGAGTATAATCAGTCAACTTGGTTCCTTGGATTGTTCAAAAAAAAAAAAAAAAAAAAAAAAAAAAAAAAAAAAAAAAACCTCTTCACCCTATGACCAAGACTCCTTAAACAGATTTATTCAGTCAACTTGGTTCCTTGGATTGTTCAATTATTGTTCTCAATAATCAATCAGAAAACGGAAAAACTGGAAATGTTAAAGACCATTTTCCAGCATTCTCAATTAGATCCAAAACAAACAAAAACAGGTTAACATACTAACTCGAACTTAAAATAAATGAAATTAAGATCTCCGAACAAAAGCCAAATACAATATATCATCAAATCACTTAATTGAGCAACAGTATTAAGCAAAGCACTGTTTGAGGTCCATAACTACATTGAAACTAGGGTCTATAAACATATAACCAAAAAAACACTGAAGTAAACAAATCAGTGGCATCACTCACAATTGAGCATTCCACTTAAAAAATTTATACCAATCAGGAAAAAGACAACGAAAATCATATTAACATCAACAGCCACCAACCAAACCCGGAGAAACAACTGGATCAAATTCCAAAAAAGTTCAATGAAGCATTACAGGACAACAGATCATCAATATTATACATTGAAAACAGGATTCGAAGACTGAAAGAAATGGCAATAAGATTCCAAAATCAATTATTCAAATCAAACAGAATAAGAAACCTAAACAGCGACCATACCTACCTGAGAGTGTTACAAAATTAGATAATAGGAAATAGAGAAAATATCGGAGAGAAAGAAACGGCCCACTCCAACCCTAGCAGACAGTGAAAAAGGAGGAGGAGGAGACGAAGGAAGGAGAAGACGGACGTGAAGCAAAACTTGAATTAACGCAAATCAAAGAAAAAAAAAAAATTATTCTCATATTTGGGGAATTGTTGATTACTACACGCTTCACCGTATGAGTGCTTATAGGGTCCCACTTTGCGGTTGGATATGAATCGATCATGGGCTGAAAAGGGCCCTAACGAATAAAATTGTTCTTAACTTCTTCTGTTCTGTAGAGTAAATGATCGTACCGTAGGATCAGTCACCGCTCGACGGAGGAAAAAGCAAAGTTTTACGTGGGGTCCCATTTGTACAATTTGACATTGGTCAACGGATCCCGTGGTTAATATTATTATCCGTTGATTTCTGGTCTTTTGGACCGTACTTGCAACTCATCATGTTATATTGGGCTTTAAAACAATTCAAACTACATGAACTTGAGTTTAATTTAATAGAACTTTTCGATTCAAACTCATTATCCACAGCTTGTAACAAAAATAATTTATAGAGTGATATAATAAAAATTATTATTCTTCTTTATATTTTGTAAGATTTGTTATGAATAGAAATTCAATAAATGAAAAGAAATTTTTTAGAAATAATTACTATTTGATCTCTAAATTTTTCTTAAATAGAACCGTAATTATTTCGGTTTTCAAAATCACATTATATAATACAGTCTTGTATTATAATTTTCGTTACTTTATAAGGTTTAAGTGTTCGTTTTTTTTGTTAAATGACTGCAAAGTGTTAAAAGTATTTATAAAAATAATTACTATATAGTCCTTAGAATTTGGTGCAATACTCTAGTAAAGACCTCAATTTTCACAATTTTAACTATTTAATCTCTATATAAGTAATTCTCCTTGAGAGTATTTTTGATATTTCACAATCACTTAAAAAAAATATTTCACAGTCACTCAACAAAAAAATAACCGTTGGACTTCATGCTTGAAAAATTCTTTTGAATTAATTTATGAGCTTTTCATATTATAAATAAAAAAACACTCCTGATATTAAAGTTGAAAGACCATTATTCTTTCTCAAAAACAAAAAAGACCAATTTAAAAGGAAAAAAAAATATATATAATTATTAAAAATAAAAATGTAAAAAATAACATTAATTTATGCTCATAGGCATTTCTTTATTCACTTAAACATAGGCTACGTTTTAGCCTTGCAATTACAAAAAGCAGAATAGTTATCCCAGTCAATCTGAACCAGCTTGTTATGCAACTAAAGATATCACATTCATGGATAGTTTGATAGATGCTCAAGATAATTTCTGGCAGCATGATTAGCGCATGCCACTTGGGCAGATTAGAAATTACAGGTAGGAAACAGGTAGATTGAATTGAAATTCGCAGTCTACAAAATACCAAAAAGTTGGTTACCTGTTATACAGTGGAAATCTATTTGAACAAAATGAAAAAAAAAAAAAAAACAAAGGAGCAAATATAAAATTTCCAAGAACCGAAAAATATAGAACAGGAAAAAACAAATCAAAGGATCAACAAGACGCATAGCCTGCACCCCAACCAATACTCACAGGCCCAAAAATGAACCATGCAACAAAATATAATTGCACTACGTCTTGCTCCTTGTGAGAATCAATCTCCAGAGATGAAGACATTTTAGTATAATAATCTTATCTACAATCCCAAAACATTACACATTCTTTTTTGACAAAAACGAAGAGACTTTGTATTTGAGAAAACGGGGAAAGAAAATAAGTATATATGATTTAATGAATGCAGAATGACTGACTTGGGATCTATGAGAACAGAATAAAAGAAAAATGAATAATGCAATGCAGGACGCAACTCCCTCAATTATAAAATGTTGAAGACCCCCCAATCGAGTATACCGAAAGAGTGTGCGATAGTTAAAATACAACCTGACCATGACAGACATAATGATGAACTAATACAAGACATCATTGAATGAAATATGAAAAGGGGCAAAAAAAATCATTAATGAATTGAGGGTCTTCTAAAATGCGGCACTTGGGTGGTCTTCAAGTGTCACAAAACTTCAACAGACTCCCTGCAGCCCTCCACTCCCACAACCTAGAGGTACTTCAGAGACAACCACCGAGACAGCAATAGGTAGTCTGGTGAGAAGAGGTATCACCAATAAATAGCAGCTGACAAAATGCTACCTGACCTGTATCTATTCAGCAAACCAACGTTACCTCTCCCTCACTTGCAACGATTCTGTATGCTATGGCCAACATTTTTTTCTTAAACCTTTGAAACAAATGCCTTTGCCCACACCTGCAACATAATCACTACCCAATACCTCCAATAGAACCACGATGCTGATGCAATAGTTAGTGACAGCCTGAAGATAACTATCGTTATCTGTTGATGGCACGACCTGACACAAATTCAACCCAGACCCCGACTCAATACACCCAAATGCATGCAGGGATTTGTAGAGGAAAAAATGCCTGAGTATGAACAACCTCAAACAGAAATGGCACGGCTTATGGCCAACTTGGCCCACTCAGCAGATTCCTTAATCATATGATCTTCAGAAGATAAACATTCATTTAAAAAGTCTTTGACAGTAAGAGATTGTTGTATCAAAGAACCAGCATTACTTCCCAGTGTATCTGCTAAATCCCCAAGGACACCAATGGCAGTTTTCATAACCACATCATCCCTGTAAAACCGATAGGTTACAGAAAGCCATAAACCATAGTGTTTAACAATGCATTTTGAATAGAAAGGGGAAAAAATTAGAGAAGAAGGGATCAAACATAAGACAGCAGAACTTACATGTCTTTCTCCATGTATATGCTATCCAGGAACTGGAGCATATGGGGTGCATAAGGAATCAAAAGTTGCGTTTTAGGAGAGTTTTTAAACCCCTGAAGAATTCCAGAATAAGCCTCCAAAATCCCATTTCTCAGTGAATTTGAATAATCAATCATCTCTTCATCAGTGCCAGCTGTACGAGCAGACAACTCTGCAGCACTTTGAAGCATGGGCATGGCATACATCAAATACTTCTCGAAATTCTCTCCTATTGCTAAGGCAATGTCACCAAAGCATGAGAAAATGGGAGGCTTCACAGATCGATGCAACTGATTGCTGGATAAATCCTTCAGAAGTTGTGTCATAATCCCATCACAATAAGGCAAAACTTTATCTTCTATCGCCCTGCAGATATCCCCCACAACACCAACTGTAACAGCACACACTTGGTACTCCTCAAAATTCTGAAGACCCATTTCCAAATATTTATAAAACTCTGCCATGTATTTTGCAAAATCAGGACCAGATGCATATGCAAGTGCTCCAATGGCTAGCATTGCCTCCTCATGCACAGTTGCACTTCTGCAAGCAAAAACCCTCAGGAAAAGCCCCATTATTTGGTCTGCGTATTGCATGAACACAATCTTAGTAGGCTCTGATGAACCTAACTTCTGAATGATAACTTGTAAGCACCCACAAAGAAGCCCTTGCAACTCGCCCTGTTTCTCTCTCTCATCAGATCCAAGCTTCTGCCCTTCAAGAGTTTTGTGAAGCTCTGTCATGATGACTGGAACCAGCTGCAACACCAACGGAGCTGTTTCATCAGTTGAGCACCTCACCACTTCGTTCAGCGTTTCATATGCAGCAGTCCTCAACCGGGACTCTCCAGCATCTTCTCTGTGAGTAACAGTTAGAAGAGCATGCACAATTTCCTGGAAATAAGGTGTCAAGGGAGATGATGGGCCTGAATCTTCATAACCTTGGGCAAGGAAATACAGGGCACCGCATGCCTTCTCAGCCACATTTGGAGCATCCTTCATGCTTTGGAGCTGTTCTCTGTGAAGGAAAAAACAGTGAACAGTGTAGAAGAGCATGCCAATTTCCTGGAAATAAGTGTTCAAGGGAGATGATGGGCCTTGATCTTCAGTAACCTTGGGCAAAGAAATACAGGCACCGCATGGCCTTCTCAGCCACATTTGGAGCATCCTTTCCATTGCTTTGGCAGCAGAACTTGTTATAATCTGTTGGCAATTTGGCTTGGAGTAATTATGGGTGTATCCACAGTTGAACATGAAGGAATTCAAAGATTCGTCCAAAGTCCCAAGCATGTCATAACCTTGGGCAAGGAAATACAGGGCACCGCATGCCTTCTCAGCCACATTTGGAGCATCCTTCATGCTTTGGAGCAGAACTGTTATAATCTGTTGGCAATTTGCTTGAGTAATTATGGGTGTATCCACAGTTGAACCATGAAGGAATTCAAAGATTCGTCCCAAAGTCCAAGCAGTGGTGTCTTTCACATGGCTATTTGGGTCCTTTGTCAAAGCAGTAAGCATGAAACTCAAAGCCACATTAACAATAGGTGTCAACTTGTCAGGTGAAGGACCCTCCAAAATCGAGCCAAAAGCATATGTCGCTGCCTCCCTTTGCCTCCAATCTGGTTTTGTAATATTTTCTTCAATGAATGGCATAACAAGTGGCACAATGTCATCTCCCACAGTCCTTGCAACCAAGCCAAGGCATGTCCCCCCTGCCATTGCAATGTTCCAAGCCCCTTCATCCTGATCCTGATCCTCCTCTTGCTTAAGGAGAGTTTCCAACAACATTGGGACAAGAGCAGGGAGAGCCTGCTTGATAAAATAAAAACAAGGAATGTCAGAATCTCCAGTGAAATCACCACCATATTCTTCCAAGATGTCTATCTCCTCATCACAAATTGAACTCCAAAACTCAATTGCCTGGAGGGCCACAGGTTCTTCATCTTCCCTCACAGCCTTTGCTGTGATGCTAAAAATGTCCTGCATATAAGGAGCTAATTTTTCGTAATACATTGACGAAATAGAAACCAAACATTCAAAAGCCGCTTGCCTCATCTTCACTTCTGGAGACAAAGTAGCCTCACATACAACTCTCATGATGTAATCACGCTCCATATCATTGCTAAAATTTGCTTGAGCAAAGCCTAGAGCGTTGTACAATGCTCGAGTGGCAGCAAGCCTCACATCATTGTTTGCTTCAGATGCATTCATACCTTGAACTACGGCAGTAAGAATTTTATTTACTTGATCTTGGTCCACAACATCAGGAGAAATTTCCTCACACAAATATCCAAGGGTCTCCAACGTTGCTTGCTTAACATGTGCAGGTAGCTGGTGAATATTAGATAAAAGTGATCCTACCAACTCAGGCCACTGTTTCTGAGGTAGCTCAATCCCAGCAATCTTGGCAACTACTTGAGAGGCAGTTGACCGAGCATCAGATACTGGAGAAGATAGGGTATTTAGCAAGCTTGTCTTTATCTGGCTCTTGATAGCAGCATCCAGTGACAACCATCTCTGAACAAGCTCAAATTTTCTATGTTGTTCCTTTGCATCTAAGGCATTCTTTAGAATCAAGCCTGCTAATTTACGACTATCAACAGGCTTCTCATCATTAGCTAACTCTCCTGATAATGAAAACAGAAAAAGAGGTAGATTTTGCTCCTGAAACTGTTTCAAGCTTTCCTCTGCATGTTTCCGCACATTTCCATCTATAGATTGTGCATTCAAAAGCACCTGGGTGACTTCCATTGTCATAGTTTATCTGAATGTATCAAATATGAAATTGTCAGATTAATATAACATTCCATCTCACTATTTTCACACAAGATATAGCTCCTCAACTAACCTAACAGCACATCCAATTACCAATCTTGAAAAATTAAAGAATTTGAAACCAAACAACCAAAACAAACCAAAACAGACTAGTTATAACTACAGTTGAGAAAGAAAAACACAAACCAAAACTGAGAATCTCAATGTGGTCTTGTGATCTCCAAATAAAATCCTAGTAAAATATATTATCCTAGAAGTTCCATGAATTGTTAAATTAACTATCTAATCAATTAAATATCACTCAAATTAAAGTAAACAGTAGTGAGAAAAAAAAAATACCAAAAGCCACTAACAACATGAAAATCAGGGCTAAAGCTATATTACACTAAAATAACAAATCAACAGTCATTCCCAGTTTAACATTCCATTTTTTGTTAAAGAAAATCATTTATATCGTTAACAAGACAAAATTTACACTAAATCAGATTAACAGCAATTAATCAAATCACTAGAAACAACCGGATCCAATACAAAAAGAGTTTCAATAAAGCATTAATAGATAATAGATCATCGATATTACAAATTAAAAACAGAGGTTGAATACGAATAAATCGCAATAAGATTGGAAGATCAATTATCCAAATCAAAAAACCCTAAATAACAGCGAGAATACCTACCTGAGAGTGTTGCGAAATTGATGTAGAAAATATAGGGAAAGATTAGGAAGAGTAAAACAGCGCACTCCAACCCTAGCAGACAGTGAAAGGAATCGAGAAAAAAGAGGAAGAAGAAGAAGAGGAAAAGGACGCGGATATATGTGAAGCTACACTGGAGTTGATACAAATCAAAATATTTCTTTTCTCCTGTATTATGGGAGTTATTGGATACTACAGCTCCACGGTACGAACACTTACGGGGTCCCACTTATGTGGTTGGATGTGAATCGATCTGATTGATCTTATAGAAATTAAATAATCGTATGATCAATCTCACCGTTGATTTAAAAAAAGGGTCGCACTCGTATTATTTTCGTATTTGGTCAACAGATTGGTGGCTAATGTCCGTTGATATGGTGACTTTTTGGAACTACTTGAAAATTAATTAAACTATACATAATCGAAGATTTGGAGTGGAAGGGAAGGCCAAATGGACAATAAAGTAAAATAAAAATCAATTAATTTTTTTTTTATTTCTCTCCATTGAAAAAAAAAAAAAAAGAGGAAAAGAGAAAAAGTAGTTATTCCCATAATTGTTCATTTATGAGTTGATATTTCATTTATGAATTAAATATTAAAATTTAAAGTTGAATTTTAAGTGCTAAATAATTTAAAGAATGAAATTTCAAAAATTTAAAATTGTTAGAAAATTATTAACTTGATTTATGTAGTTGTAATAAATAAATAAGTTATTTTTTATTGACCTTTGCCAAAATGTTTGGCCCTCCAATTACAAAACTAAATGTAATATTTAAGTTTTGGGCCAAGCCCAATTGGTGTGGGTTACGCAAAACGTCCAATTTTTTTTAGCTTTTATTACATTTAAAAAGGCCATAAATCTGATCCAACAAAATTTAAGCTGGGCTTTAAACTATTCATCCAATTTTTTCGCAGCCTGCTTTTGATCCAAGTGAAAGGCCTAAATCAAGATGAGCTAAAAATAAAAGGTACATGGTCAAATTTTTTTGAAAATTCAAGGGAACAAAATTGAAATAATTCACTATTTCATAAGTAAATTTGAAAATTTTAAACATTTTAAGATATATATTTTAAAAATTAGGTTAGAGGGGGGTGGGGCCACCTCAATACTCCTCTCTCAGTCATTTCTTGATGTTTCAAGTGTCAAACGACTCTTAATTGCACTTAAGAAGAGAATTAAAATTAGAACCACACGTTAAATAAAGGCTCGTTTGGTTCAAGTTCACCTACTTCTTGGAAAGTTCAATTTCCAAGAAATAAAGTTTTAAAATTAAGTTAATAAAATTTTACATATGAAATGTAAATGATACCATATCATGAACTTGAGTATATTAATTGAATAAATCATTGAAAATAAGTATGAAGCAAGAGCAAAATAGAGTTTTCTAATTTCTAGAACTCTGGAAGTGCATTTCCTTGGATTGAGGAGGTAACTTATTTCTTTACTATTAAGGAAGTAAGAGTTTTAAGTTTCTGAAAATTTTTATATTTTTAAAAACCAAATAAGATAATATATCTCACTTTCTGAAAACTTCAAATTCTCGAGTAAACATAAACTATCATTATGTTTACTTCTATTTTGTGAATAGTATCACATTAAAAATAAAAACATATTTTGATAATTAATCAAATTAATTAATTTAAAAAATTCAAAGCATCAATTAATTTAATAAATCCTATTTAGTAAATTTCTCTTTTATTTTCTTATTTAATCTTTGAGGCTTCCACATGAAATTTGGTGCACAATGGTCCCACTTTACCAACCCAACACAACACAAGTTCTTGTATGACTAATTATGTTTTCTTGTGATATATTTAATAGTAATAATCCAAAAAGTTTGAGTAAAATGCATTTTTAGGGGGAGTGAATGATTGACCATCCACTACTTGCCCACCTACTCAATTGACATGACATCAAATAATTATAAAATGTAAAATTGGAGAATGGTTGAAAGATCATGTTCAAAATATTTTATTTTATATATTTTCCATTCTAAAATGACTCATGTTCAACTAACCAAAAGATATTTAAATTGTAATTTTTAACTATTTTTCTTTTAATTAATATGATATATGAGTGTATAATTGGAAATTTTTTAGCTTAGAAAACCCTCCATGACTATTTTAGGGTTGGTGGGTGAAGAAATTTTTGTATAGGATCAAAATATTACTCCTCTTAAATGCAAAATTGTAGACTTCACATGTAGATTTACATCAAATTGTGCATGAACCCCACTCTCTAAATAGTAATTTCATCAATGGCAATATAAGTTTTATATTGCGTTTAAAAATTTTTATAAAATAAGAAAGTATTTTAATCTCAAATATTATGCAAGACAAACAGAATACCTCAATCATTAAATTTATTTGTTATCAATATTTAACGCTTAAAATTAAAATTTTTATCATGTAATTGTTTTAATTGATATGATGATATTTAGAAAAAAAAAAAAAAATTCCATCTCAATACAATAATCTAATAAACTAGACAACTCTGTAATTTAGAAATTTAACACTCAATGTTTAATTAATATTTAATTTTCAATTTACCAAATACATAAGCTAATAATTTAATAAGTCATTATACAATAATACTATTTGAAGAAACTTTATATAAAAGTTATTATGATTATGAATTGAGATTTTTTTTTTTCTAAAAATTTTGATTAATTAGATTTTATTTAGTATTTGAATTTATAAATTTCATAATTTTAATGAAAAGAAAAAAAAAGATCATTTATATAAAGTACTTATTTTCATTTCATTTCTAATTCTCGAGTAAAATTTTAAATAATAAATAAAATTAAAATTGATGGGAAAAATATTAAGTATCCAAAAATGCCACTAATATTAAATCAATAATAATATAAAAGATAGAAGCAAAAACATTGGGAATAATGAGATTCAGATCTAGAGAGAGAGTGGGATACTGTGGAGTGGGGTTAGAGAGAGAGAGCGTGTGGGAAGAGGAAGTAGTATAAATGAGCCAAGTCTCTCAGCATGTACTCGCGCCGTTCACTTCTCTGAGAGTAATATCGATTGGCTCTCTCTCTTTCTCAACTAAGCAACCTCCATTTCTTCACTTCTCCTTTCGTCTGCGGAAGTTGTCCTCTTTTTCTTCTTCTTTTAGGTAATTGTTATCCTTTTATTTATTCATTTCATTTCTCTTTTCGATCAGATTTTAAGAGGTCCTGTTTCTGTTTGCTTGTTTTGACTTCATTTTGCATCCTTTTTTTGACATGGTTAGATGGTTGTAAGTGAATGAATCTGTCATTATGAGTTCAAAATTTATTCAGATCTGAAAATTGAGAAAGACCCATGGTTTGGATCCGTGTTTGTTGATGTGAAACTTAAATTTGAGTTAAATGGAGTCATTAATGTCGTTTGGGCTTATATAGAGTCCTACATATAGTGTGTGAATCTTTCTGATCTCATAGTATGGACAGTTTCTTTTGGATATTTGTGCTATTTGTTCTTTTGTTATTGGGTTGTGTAGAATGATTTATGTTTAAAATATGCTGCCTTTTCTGTACATGTAGTGTAGATAATTCAAGGCTGTATTTGTAATGAAATCAAATAAGTTTGAACTAAAAATGCGTTTGAAATAAATGTGTATTTGATTACATTGCATTTATTCTTGGTGTACCAAAAAGTACCCTTAACCAACTGATTCTTGTATTCCCTATGTTAGTACCTTTTATGGTGCCTTTTTGTTCTCTTTTTATGGGCTCTTATGCATTCGAATTTTGCGTTGAAAGTTGAAACTTTTGCTTTGAATTGACTATGATGCTATATGTTCTCTTATTTAAATGAAATGACTTTATGGGGTATTTTCTCTGCAAATCATATTGTTTTAGAATTGCAATGCAATCCAATATTTATTTCTGGCTTTTGGTGGTGAAATAGAGCAATGGCGTCACACATTGTCGGTTACCCTCGCATGGGGCCCAAGAGAGAACTCAAGTTTGCATTGGAATCCTTCTGGGATGGCAAAAGCAGTGCTGAGGAATTGCAAAAGGTGGCAGCAGATCTTAGGTCATCCATCTGGAAGCAGATGGCTGATTCTGACATCAAGTTTATTCCAAGCAATACTTTTTCATATTATGATCAAGTGTTGGACACCACAGCAATGTTAGGTGCTGTTCCCCCTAGATATGGTTGGAATGGTGGTGAGATTGGATTTGATGTTTACTTTTCCATGGCTAGAGGTAATGCCTCTGTCCCTGCTATGGAAATGACCAAGTGGTTTGACACCAACTAGTAAGTGACAAACAACTTCCTTTCTTGTTGGAGATAAGTAAATTAGAGAGTCCTGCATAAATGATATTTATGATTTTCCTTTGCAGCCATTACATTGTCCCTGAATTAGGACCAGAAGTTAAGTTCTCTTATGCATCTCATAAAGCTGTTGATGAGTACAAGGAGGCCAAAGCTGTAAGTTAAACTAGTTTTCTCATTACTTTTTATTATTTTTTGGTATTTCAAGTGCTATTTTTATTTGGTCGTGGATTATTAGTTTCGCTTTTGCGTCTAGGGGTACTTAGTTTGAATTTTTCGACTCAAATCATACATTAAATTTATGAGAATATTTTTATAGATCATTTTGCTGCCATAAATATGTGTGAAGTCAACTAGGAGCTACATTCCCTGTTAATGCACCAACTATAGCACTTACATGATTTTAGAAGGTTTCCTTAGTAGATGATATTTGAGGCCCATGATGGTATGCTATTTAAATCGTTAAGATTACATTTACAGGTTTGTCATTAATTGCCATTTCAAATGATTTGTGATTAAATAAAAAAAATTCAAAATTTTAAATAGTTTGTTGACATCGGGGATCTGTTTTCTTATTTTGGTTGCAGCTAGGAATTGAAACTGTACCTGTCATCGTAGGTCCAGTTTCTTATTTACTGCTATCAAAACAAGCAAAGGGTGTGGAGAAATCTTTCTCTCTTCTTTCCCTACTTGACAAGATTCTTCCTGTCTACAAGTAAGGGCGCAGACCATTTCCTGAATTTTTTTAGGTGTATTAGTGAATGACTGCAGGCTATTACAATTTACAAACCATCACAGCAATGTATATGTAAATTTCAATGGCATGTTCCTTCTGTTTCCATATTAAGAATCTATGCTATGGATTTTGATTGTTTCAGGGAAGTTGTGACTGAGCTGAAGGAAGCTGGTGCAAGTTGGATTCAGTTCGATGAGCCCAAGCTTGTCATGGATCTTGATGCTCACGAATTACAAGCATTTACTCAAGCATACTCAGAGCTGGAGGGAACTTTATCTGGTGTGAACGTTTTGATTGAGACATACTTTGCTGACATTCCAGCTGAGGCATACAAAACTCTCACATCTCTGAAGGGTGTTAGTGGATTTGGGTTTGATCTAGTTCGTGGGACTAAGACCCTTGATTTAATTAAGGGTGGATTCCCTACAGGCAAATTCCTCTTTGCTGGAGTAGTTGATGGAAGGAACATTTGGGCTAATGATCTCGCTTCTTCCATTGATTTGCTGCATTCTATTGAAGCCATTGTTGGAAAAGGTATTTACTCTTTACCACAGCATTCATAATTGCAATGGAGATGGTAAATGCTATATATTATGTTGTTTTGCAGACAAGGTTGTGGTGTCAACTTCCTGCTCTCTTCTACACACTGCTGTTGACCTTGTAAATGAACCTAAGTTGGACAAAGAGATCAAGTCATGGCTAGCATTTGCTGCACAGAAAGTACTTGAAGTAAATGCCTTGGCGAAGGCACTTGTGGGACAAAAGGATGAGGTAGTTTTTCTATTTGTGAGAAGTTATGCTTTGTTTTCATTTATTCCTAACTGAAAAGCATATAGCCTATTGGAAGTTACTTGCATGTTTTACTCTTATATTTTGCTATTCAGATTCATATTTGAAAATCTTGAAGCTATTTTGAGACCCCAGTTTTCATTTTAATATTTAGTGTGTTAATCTTTTAATTGTACGATTTCACTTCATTGTTGGGCTTTCACAGTGATTTATTTCTTTTTCTTTCTTTCTTTTTTTTTTTTAAGTGTTCTTGAAAGCACATACTACCAAAATATTTCCTGATATCTCTGTCAACTTTGTAGATAGTAGTTTGGTACTACCTCCATTCTACATTTTATCAACAAAATTCCTACATAAATTGTGGATACTAGTAAATTATAGATACTCTTGAGAAAGCTTTTTTCACTCATCACAGAGAGTTATATTATATATTCCATTTGCTTAAGAATTTTCAATGATGATTGAGAGAGTGATTCTGCATTTAAAAGTTACAATTCTATTTGCTAAGCCCAGTGCTTCCAGTTCATATTATTCCAGTTTCTTGTATATTGAGTAGTTCTTCTTAATTACAAGAGCATATTATGAACAATTTTTTTTATTCTTAAATAACTAGTTATCTAAGCTTCGCATTGTGTTTTTCTGTACATCCAGGCTTTCTTCTCTTCCAATGCGTTAGCTCAGGCTTCAAGAAAATCCTCTCCTAGGGTCACAAATGAGGCTGTTCAGAAGGCTGTAAGTGTGATATCTGTGAAATTTATTTTTACTCCTTTAAGGATGTTATACTGTTGGTTCCTCTTTGTCACTCTGGTTTGACGCCCCTTCTTGCTCAGGCTGCTGCCTTGAAGGGATCTGACCACCGCCGGGCCACAAATGTTAGTGCCAGGCTTGATGCTCAACAGAAGAAGTTGAACCTTCCAATTCTTCCCACCACCACAATTGGATCTTTCCCTCAGACACTGGATCTGAGGAGAGTGCGCCGTGAATACAAGGCTAAGAAGTAAGAACATTGCTGGTTCTCAGGTTGTGTGATTAAATTCAAGTTACATGTTATATAACTGGTTGTTTGTTTTTCTTTTAAAAAACTGAAAAATAGGATCTCTGAGGATGATTATGTCAAGGCCATCAAGGAGGAAATTAGCAAAGTGGTCAAAATCCAAGAAGAACTTGACATTGATGTTTTGGTGCATGGCGAACCAGAAGTAAGCTTTCCCCCCAAAATGAATATCATGTTTCTAAATTATGTTGGTGTCTTTTCATTTTTAACTAGTCCAATTGGTCTCAAATATTGATTTGCAACACAGAGGAATGACATGGTTGAGTACTTTGGTGAGCAATTATCTGGTTTTGCCTTCACTGCAAATGGGTGGGTCCAGTCATATGGTTCTCGTTGTGTCAAGCCTCCCATAATCTATGGTGATGTGAGCCGCCCCAAGGCTATGACCGTCTTCTGGTCAACAATGGCTCAAAGCCTGACTAAGCGACCAATGAAGGGAATGCTTACTGGTCCTGTTACCATTCTGAACTGGTCCTTTGTCAGAAATGACCAACCTAGGTAAGAGAGACTATGCAATTAATCTTACAATACTTGTTAAAGGATTTTAGATGGTTTGACATTGTCTATCTATGTGCTTTAAAGACATGAGACATGCTATCAAATTGCGTTGGCCATCAAGGATGAGGTTGAGGATCTTGAGAAAGCTGGAATCACTGTCATCCAGATTGATGAGGCTGCTTTGAGAGAGGGTTTGCCCCTAAGGAAGTCTGAGCATGCTTTCTATTTGGATTGGGCAGTTCACTCTTTCAGGATTACTAACTGTGGTGTCCAAGATACTACACAGGTTCATCTATTATTTTTGTCTCGTTTTAGTGGTTTTATTATCTTTTTCTTGTTGATCCTTGAGTTTTTTTAAAACCTGCGTAGAAACATGTTATATTGAAAATAAAAGATTTAGCAAATATTACCAAATTGAAAATTTTAGAATTAGATCAACAGATTTTGGAATTGAATGATTGAACGCACACGCCGGCACTACTAATAGTCTTCTGGATTTTTGTTGCTGGAAGTGGAAACGTTTTATTGTGTAACATAAACAATCTTATATTATGAAATTGTTCGACTTCTTGGACAGATACACACCCATATGTGCTATTCAAACTTCAATGACATCATCCACTCGATTATTAACATGGATGCTGATGTCATCACCATAGAGAACTCAAGGTCAGATGAGAAGCTTCTCTCAGTTTTCCGTGAGGGAGTGAAGTACGGTGCAGGCATTGGCCCTGGTGTGTATGACATTCACTCACCTAGGATCCCATCCACGGAAGAAATCGCTGATCGTATTAACAAGATGCTTGCAGTCCTTGAAAGCAACATTCTTTGGGTCAACCCAGATTGTGGCCTGAAGACCCGTAAGTATGCCGAAGTGAAACCTGCTCTGAGCAACATGGTTGCTGCTGCCAAGCTTCTTCGCACTGAGCTTGCAAGTGCCAAGTGAGTTACCAGATCACTGAGCTGAACGCATACCGTATCTTATATTTGAGAAGGGGGAAGTGACCATGTATTAAAGATGGAATAATTTGTTGACCCTTTGTGAAATGAGTATTTTTTGTTATTTTTCTTTCAAATCTTATTAGGTAGTTATTATGTATCTGATGTCTGCTCTGCGGATTTTGTTTTCCATATTTATCCTTATGAAGCTGTTTTATCTTCTTTGTTCACGTTTTCCTGGATATAATATTACTATAGGTGAATAAGTTCTTTCCCATTTTTTTTTTAAAAAGATCTTGTACTCATTCCAGTTTTATGAAATTCCTTTTTATTTTGGAATAAGGGAAAACAAAATAAAGGACTTGAAGGAGGAATTGAATTTGTATTTCAAGTGAAAAATCATAAAATATCAACATAATATTGAACTTCGTATAATATATATACAGAAAAATACGATTTTATCCTTATATTTTTATATAATTAACTACTTTGTTTTTGCATTTTAGTTCTTATAGTTTGTCTCTATTGAACCAAATTATCCTTCCATCTATCATCCATTATTTGAAATCCAAACTATAAAGCTTCTTAGTTAATTATGTCAAAATAAAGGGATAAAAATGTAATTTTTCCCTTTAGTTCATATGGATATAGTTAGTCCTGTGATTTTGCAGGAATTCAAACTATAAAGATAAAGATAAAGTAATGTAATTTTTAAAATATAAGGACAGAGTAATTAATTATAGGGATAAAAATGTAATTTTTTCATATACATATTGACATGTATATAGATGTATGTTTATAAAATGAAACCATAAGTACAGATCACTCGGGAAGCATTTCTGAGTACAAGTTTCATGAATCAAACCAAGTTTCATGAATCAAACAAGTTTCTGAGTACAAGTTTCATGAAAAACAACACAAAATTTCTTCCTTGAACAAAATTTTCTCTCTAGAATTCCTAGGATTTAGATTTTCCTTTCCTAGAGAGTGAGAGAGAAGAGAAATAATGTACAAGACAAAGCTTCAGGAGCTTTGCCAGAAGAGACAATGGGCATTGCCCAAGTACTCCACCATGAAAGATGGCCCAGATCACAATCCTCGCTTCAAATCCTCTGTTTCTGTCAATTCCCATTCCTTTGATTCTCCTTTTCCTTACAAATCCTCCAAGCAAGCCCAAAATGAAGCCGCCAAGATCGCCTTTCTCCACTTTACCTCTCCATCTCCAGGTAATTCATATCTTATTTACTGTAAATTGGATTGGATTTCCAAAATCCCTTTTCCAATGTGTTTGGGTTCTGATGGAATTCGTCTCTAATCTTTTACATATTTATTTAATTTATGTTCGTAGGCATTAAAACAAATTTTCTCATTTGCTGTTCAGATTCCTTAATCTCAGTTGAACCAAATGTTCCAGAAACATACAATAGCTCTGATACTCAATCTCATGATTTGACTGTGGAAAATGGTGAGGAAATTATGTTTAAACTTCTTATTACAGTAGCAATAGTTCTTGCTGCAGTATTATTCCATCCTTATCTTCTCTTTTATACAACAGCAGACTCATGTCAATACAAGAGCCAGTTGCAGAGCTACGCTTACTGGCAAGGTTTCGATTTCCCATTGTATTCGAGCATTACTGAAGGTTCGGGTCGCTCTACTTGCTTCAAGGCTACAGTCATAATTGATGGACATGCTTTTGAGAGCCCACATTTCTTCACAACTTTGAACGAAGCAGAAAATTCTGCTGCAAAGGCTGCTTTAATGTCAATTTTGACAGATAACTTTCAAGAGGCTAGTTTCTTGAACTCAGGAAATGTCAATAGTAATTGCATTGTTACATGTGAGTGTAGGAAATGTCTAGTTGTTTATAATTGTTCATTTTTTCGTCTTTCAGGATGACTCTGGCTCCTACAAGAATCTACTGCAGGAGACGACCCAAAAGGAAGGTCTCTCCATACCACTATATAAAACTATAAAAACTGGTCCATCTCACCTGCCAACATTCTTTTCCTCTGTGGAAGTAGAAGGAAAGAAGTACTATGGCAAGGCAGGAAATTCCAAAAAAGAAGCAGAGGTAAAAGCTGCTAAGGTTGCTTACACATTTCTCAAAGATAGTAAGTCAAAGATCTCTATTTTATATATGTGAAATCAAAGTGGGTTCTACTTTTTTTTTTCTTCTTGTTTTGTTAGGTGCTATGAGTAAAACTTCAGAGATTACTTCCTCTACGCTCGTAACTGATGAATCTCTTGAGTCTGAGCAACATTCTGCAGCAGAAAGTAAAGGTAACATTTTACCCAAAATACATACACAAGGAAGTGAGGAACATTCTGCAGAAATTGGTTCACTTTCGAGTTGAGAATGAATATAATTCCTGGAATATGATTCTTTTTTTCAGTTTGGAAAATGTTTTTATATTTAAATAACTTAAAATTATATTGAAGTGAAATCTATTTTTAAGTGTAGTTAAAATTATAACCAATATTTATATAAGTATAGCCTGGAATCAAATTGCATAATGTATTTCTTGGTTCATGCTTTTCCCAGATAAAAGTGAAGAAGTAAATCTGCCTGAAGCAATACAAACCAATCTCAGAATTGACTCCAAAGATCCCATTTTGTCACATTCAGCATCAGTTAAGCAGAAAATGGAAGCTGAAAACTTTGACTCATCATCTTCTTGTTCTAAACCTGTTACTACTGTGACACAAATTGACATTTCTGATTTCTCAATTTCAAGCTCAACAATGGGGAAGACTACAGCTCCTGGGAGTTACCTGCTATGTGAAAGGGTTAGAGTGTATTTATCTTATCCCAACATTACTTTTCCTAAGGGCATTACAGTACTGCCAATTAGTGATGATAAATGGGTAGCAGTGAGCTTGGAGTTCCCAAATGAACAAAGTTATTAGTTTCCAGAAAGTTTGCTTTTTAGGAGATTTTAATATTTTGAGCATATTAAGAGAAATTATAATGCAAATAATGTAATTTCACTATTCAAGATGATGGTGTATTTCTCCTGAAATAAAATAATTAAAATTACCATTTTTTTATATCTTAATGGAGAAATATGTTTAAAATATTCATTCCTTATATGTTTTGAGCATAGAATTAAAAAGAATGTAGAAAATAATAATAATAATAATAATTTCTTTATTATTCAAAAATTATTCAAACAAAATTAATTATTAATATCTCTTATAAATATGTATGAAAGAGCTAACCTGTTTGGTAGTCTCACTCTCACTGGTGTGATGAGTGGAAAGTCATGAATTCAAATTCTTACGAACACGAGAGTTTTCATTGATATGGTGAGTCTCTGTTGTGTAGTCCAAAATATTATTTCGGCCCATTAGAAATCTCAATAAATAAAAAAAAATACATGAAAGGTGAATGTCATCGTAGTTTATATATTGAAAATTTCTAAGGCTATGAGAAAAAAACTTTTGCCTTTCATAAAAAGAATTAGCTTTACATTTAAAATATGCATTTAAATTGTTTTTGTTTAAGAACTAAGTGGTTCAATCCAAAAAAAAAAAAAAAAAAAAAAAGATAGCTTACATTTAAAATTATTGCATTTAATTGTTTTTGTTTAAGAACTAGGTGGTTCGAATCCAAAAAAAAAAAAAAAAAAAAGAAAAGGAAAAAAACCAAAGCGGTTGTCTTGTTAAGGATCTGTTTTGCTTTGTATCGTATTAAAAAAAAAAAAAAAAAAAAAAGAAAAGGAAAAAAACCAAGCGGTTGTCTTGTTAAGGATTGTTTGCTTTGTTCGTATTAAATGATTTAAAGTGGAGAAAGAAAAGAGGAGTGAAATATATTTCAGTCAAAAGTTTGACTTCGGAGACCCATTTCAAAGGTTTGACATTTTGACATTTATTTTTTTGTTTGTGGGATAAATATTAAATAGTATTGTTTTTCTTTTTTTTGGCAATAACTGGCTTCTGTAATTGGTAGACAAATTGTGAAAAGGTGCGACGGCCTACCTTTAGCAGCAAAAGTAATTGGAGGTCTTCTTCGCTCCAAACCAAAAACTGTTAAGGAATGGCAGCATGTATTGAATAGCAATCTATGGGATTTGTTAGAAGATGATATTCTTCCAGCTCTAAGATTAAGCTATTCTTATCTTCCATCACAATTGAAACAATGCTTTGCTTATTGTGCAATATTTTCAAAAGATTATCGTTTTGCAAGAAAGGATATAGTTTGTCTGTGGATGGCAGAAGGCTTTTTGACCCCATCAGGTGGAAATATGAAAGAATTGGGTGATAAGTACTTTGATGAGCTTATTTCTAGGTCGTTTTTTCAACAACCAGGCAGTAATATATCACTGTTTGTGATGCATGACCTTATTCATGATTTAGCTAGGTCTGTTTCAAGAGAATTTTGCTTCATGTTAGAAGGTGTGGATTCATGCAAGATTTCTGAAAAAACTCGTCATCTATCATATAGAGGACTTCGTGACTTGAATAAAATGGTTGAGGGGACTCACAACGCCCGATATCTGCGTACATTTGCAGCTGCAGATACTCGGGAATGGCTTAGGCTCAACAAGGTAGAATATGAGGTAATGCACGACTTCTTTTCAAAATTCAAGCACCTAAGGCCGGTTGTTGACTTTAACTTGTAACAATATGAATGTATTGCCTGAGTCAACAGGAAATTTGAAGCATTTACGATATCTGGATTTATCTTTCAAATCCATACAAAGATTACCTGACATTATCACTACTTTATACAATTTGCAAACCTACCTGTTCTCATGTAACTGTCTTGTTGAATTGCTTTTGCAAGATTAATCAACTTGTGCCAATCTTGATATCAGAGATAAAAAAGTGCATGAAATGCCACCACAGATGGCTGAACTCAGAAAGCTTCAAATTTTATCTAATTTTGTTCTGGTTAAAGACAGTGGGTATCGCATTAAGGTGTTGGGGAAGATTCAACAAGTGAGAGAACTTTGTATATGTAATCTTCAAAATGTCGTGAACATCCAAGATGCTTCAGAAGCATATGTGAAGGGTAAAAGGGTTAGGAAGTTGGAGTTGAAATGGTATGGCGATACTAAAAACACAGCATGAAAGAAACCTACTTGATCAATTAGAGCCTCCTACCAATTTGAAGTCTCTTTGTATTGCTGGTTATAATGGCACAGAATTTCCAAATTGGTTAGGTGACTCTTCTTTCTCAAATATGGTTCATTTGGAGCTTGCTGGATTCAAATACTGCACCTCCTTACCATCCCTTGGACAGTTAGCGGCTCTTAGAGAGCTGTTTATTAGAGCATTGAATGGAATCATGGTTGTGGGTCCTGAGTTCTATGGAAGCTGCACATCCTCTGCAAAACCATTTGAATCCCTTGAAATTTAAACTTTTGAAAATTTGCCACAGTGGGAAGAATGGATTCATTGCACTGGAGCATTTCCTCAACTCCAAAAGCTTTACATAAAAGAATGCCCTAAGCTCTCTTCAATGCCAGAAGGGAGGCTACCCTCCTCCGTTTCTTCTCTAAATATCTTTCAATGTCCTTTGCTCGAAAAGAGGTGTGAACGGGGAACAGGAGAAGACTGGCCCATGATTTCTCACATTCTCAACATCCAGATTAGCTAATCCAAGGACTGTAAGCAACTATCAAGGTACTGTGAATTGGAACTATCATTTCCTTTTACTTTTCCGATGACAAGTTTCATTTTATAGTATGTTTATTTTCATATCATAGTTTTATTTCTTTTGTGGGATTCTGTTCCGATATATGTATTATGTCGATCTCGTGACTCTCAGCCCAATTCAGTTCTGATTGCCATCTATATTTGTTTCAGGTAAATTTACACTTGTTTTTAGTGCATGCATCCATTCAAGCAGTACATAGCATACTATTACTGATTATGATCTTTGCTTCTAAAAGATTTCTTTTGTCAATTATGAGAGCATGAATTCTGATTACAAATGATTGGCTGTGTTTTAACTTCTGAAATGACAGAACTAATGGTATGGTGCAACTGCTTGTATCTCCTTCTCCTTGGATTGGCGAATGGAAAATCTTTTAGTTTAATCAAGTGCGAGCATAAGCCGAAAGGAAATAAAGTGGCTTGTCACACAAAGATTCTGTAATTTCTTTAATGAGGTATTAGGACTCAATTTATGATGACTTAAATATTAACAATTTATATATATATATATATATATCTTAGTTTTTATTTTTTTGTTAATGAGAAGCCTGCAGTGTCATTTCTCAATTTCATGAAATTTCCTTTTCCGAATGCCTTTTTGTGAAGTATTTAAAATTGACAGAATTGTAGAAATTGCCTTTATTCAACTTATACATTTGCAAGTGCATCATTTAAAATAGTAAAACATGAAATAAGACAGACTTCACTAATTATTTCTTGAATGCTCTAATTCTCCAGATTTAACTTTTAACATAAAACCCAATTAGCAGAACTAATAAACCTGCTGCCACAACCATGTTTGTCGACTTTCTTGGCTTCTTAATCTCTGTTACAAGGCTACCAAAAACCAGCTTATATTGTACCAATTTAGATTCACCATTCCCATTTCTTTCCTGGCTTACTTCATGCTTGTTACTCTGAAATTTTTCAGCTTCACCTAAGCCATCAGCCACAGCTGAAGAATTCTTGCCATTAGAATTTGTCATTTCCTCATCCTTCTCAGGTTTCTTCTCTGGAACAGAATTCTCATTTGTTTTCTTGGAAGGAATTTCTTCAGCTGCCTTCTCTATTCCATTCTTATCATCTTTCAGTTCATTTTTAGGCTTTTGAAGTTCTTGATTTTCTTGAGTTTCTTGAGATGATGAATTTAAATTTTCTTGCAGTTTGGATGCTGGCCTGGGACTTTTGAGATGTTTGATCTTGAGTATGCCTCCTTCGTATTTTGCACTGATTTTTTCAGTTTCATAAATTAATGGAATCTGAATCTCCTTGACAAAACGACTTCGTTTATTGTGATCGAGAGGGCGTTCTCCAGAGATTTTAAGTTTTCCAGCTGATGTTACTTGAACTTTTAGTTGCTCCTTTTTAAAACCTGCATTTTTGTATATTTTGTACAAGGGTCAGCTTTTGGTTAACCAAATTGAATTGAACCGAATTTTTCTAACCATTTGAGTTTTTAGCATATCCAAATCAATAACTAAACAAGATTAGATGATGATTTGGCAATTAGACTTGGATTCTTAGCGCAGGATTGCGAAAAGGAGTATTTGTTTTATTTATTTATGAACTCGATAATTATAGTATAAATGGTCTCTATTGACCGTAAAAGGTGAATAAGAAATGTGAGAGCAAGCATGACGACAATTTCAGAATTTTAGAATTATCGATTTCGATTTTATAATTAATGGTTCTAATTATAAGAAAAGTGGAATTCAAATTGAACCGCTTTTAAAATTACCGGTTTTAACTATAAGAAAAATGTAACTAAAATTGAATAACTTTTAAGCAGTTTGTAAGACGGTTTTGGAATCACCGGCTATAATTTTGTTCTGATCTGAAACTATAATAATAATAATAATAATAATATTGAAAACACTAAATCAATTTAATAAAAATTCCTAATTTTTTTCAAAAATTATAATAAAACAAAAAATAAGTTGAAAATCTCTTTAAGGACATTTTTTTTTACAGATTTTAAGCTGGAATTGCTGGTCTTAAATTAAAACTGTTGGTTTCCATTTCAAAAATGAAAAATCGAAACCGAATTTTAAATAAAAGATTCCAGTTACGGTTTGCAATTAGGAACTATTGATCACAATTTAATGCTGATTTCGATTTGATTTAGATTTAATTCCAATTTGAAACCAAACCATGTTCATCTTTATATGAAGAGATCATTAATAACAGTGATTTGACACTAAATAAAAGGAAATATATCGAAATATATATAAAAAAATTAAACTTAACTAAACTAAATATTAGGTAGGTGAGGAAATAGAACAACAAATTAATAATAAACATTCCTAATTTTGATAATTAGCGAAAAATGGAAATTGTAAAGGAAATATACATGAAATCTCACCTGGTAGATAGACCAGCAGGGTGTCATGTCCAGCATCTAGTTGCCATTCAGCAGTTGGCTCAAAATCTTCATAAACAACATGATTAATTTGAGCCATTGGATTATCAGAAGAATCTGAAGATTGATATGATATGATATGATACTTTCCAAGTTGAAAAATGAAAGCTTCAAAGTGTTGATTTTATAGAGCACAGCACAGAGGAACTAATTTCTTTAAGAACAATTTTCTTTGAACTCAAATATTCTTTTTCTGTTGGATTTGTGAAGGCTCTTTCGGCTGCCAAAGTAGGGTTCTGGAGGCATAGAATAGGTAACCCTTATGCCTAAGGTAAAGCGGAAAGTTCTTTTTTGGATATGGAAGCTTTCCATTATTATTTTCTATCCAATAATGGAGATTAAAAAACATAGACCCATAACATAAAATGAATTATTATTTTGCTGGCGCCTCAATTATTTTTATAAAAGTGAAATCACAGACGCGTTTACTAAAAGTATCAAAAAAAAAAAAAAAATTTAGAAACAAATTATAAAAAATTATTATTTTTTAGGTTTTTTTTTTTTTTTTGAGAAGAAAATAATATTCATTGCAAGATTTTAAAGTGGTATAATTTTTCAAATGAAATATCAAATAAATCAGGAATACAAATTACAACAACTACAATATATTAATATGAACAATGAACATGATTTTTTTTTTTTTTTTACTTTCTCATTTTGGAGTGGAAAGTTACATTTCAATGGAAATGAAATTATGCACCAATAATTGATTTTGAATAATCTTTTTTGGATTGTCACTATTTTTTTTCATAAAATCATTATTATATAATATTTATTTATTATTTTATATTTAAAATAACTAATTAAAATTGTCATATTTTTTTAAAAAGAGAATTATGTGTAATAAATTATAATAATTCAATATTCATGTAATTAATTGCTTAAAAATATACTCTTCTGAAAAGTAATTACTTGCTTAAATAAGAATATAAGTTCAATTCTGGAAAAATATACCTGTTACTGTGGAAAGAGATAAGTTTCGGTTTCTTACACAAGAAGGATATATAAAATAGAGAAAATAGTGGAAAAAAAGAGAAATTTTTATAACATTTGTTATAATTACATTATTAAAATCCAAAATAAAGTACATGAAATTAATATTACAATGAAGGAATTAAAAGAATTAATTATCAGATTTTGTATTAGACCTAATTACTTTCATTGCATAAATCCCAATTATCACAATTAAAACAACCAGAATCCTATTAATCATATCTCTCGTTGGCTTCTTCTTCTTCATCTCCATCATCACACCACTAAAAACCTTCTTGTAATTTTCCATTACCATTTTAGAATTGCTTCTACTTCCCCTAACAGAACAAGCAACGTTATTTTCATTTTCTTGCTTCACACTCTCCTTATCTTTCCCCTTCTCTATCGTTTGCTCCGAAACATTATTTTTCGCTTTCTCTTCCTCAGGCTTCAGAAGCGTCTCTAATGTGGGTGGTTTTTGTGGTTTTGGAGCTTCGACAACTGGCTGCGGTGGCTGTGCCAGTGCAGTTGGCGGCATCTGAGATGGTTGTGCCGGTGCAGTAGGTGGTTTTCGTGGCTTTGGAGCTTCGACAGCTGGCTGCGGTGGTTGTGCTGGTGGAGTTGGCGGCTTCTGCTGTGGTTGTGCCGGTGCAGTTGGTGGTTTTTGAGGCTTAGGAGCTTCGACAGCCGGCTGCGGTGGCTTTTCTGCAGGCTTTGGTGACATTGGAGGCTTTGCAGCTTCCTTTGGTTTTTGTGGCTCAGGCTCTGTAACTATTATTTTTGGGTGTTTAACGTAAAGTATTCCTTTCTCAAATCTTGCAGATATTTCATTTGGATCGTAATTTGAAGCAATGGGTATTTCTTTGCGAAAACGGCTAAATACGTTTGTATCACTGATTTGGCGTTCTCCGCTTATTCTTAGATGGCGAGATGAAGTAACTTGAACTTTCATTTGCTCCTTTTTAAACCCTGTAACGATAATTAAGAATCGTCATTGATAAACAAGAAACAAGTACAGACATGGAAATGGAAGATTGAGGAGAAACAAAACAGACCTGGAAGATAGACCCTGAGGGTGTCAGCTCCTGGCTCTATAACCCAATCCACTGATGGCTCAAAATCTTCATATACACGGACAGCTCCAGCAGTTCTCTGTTGCCTTGTTGAATCCATTTTAGTTTTGATTTGTTTCTGTGATTTAGTTTGGGAAGAACACAGAGCATTTGCTGGTTTTTATACAGAAGCTGTAAAGGATTTAAAAACCCAGAAAAGTTATTCCTTTTACAGTTTGTTTGGATTTTGTTTCCTTTGAAAATAATTATTCCTTTTCCCATATTAATTGTTTCTTTGGGTTTTAGAACTCTTACAGAGCAATTGTTTCTTGCTCAAGGAAAGGAAAATTCGTCAAAGGAAGAAGACTTCTTTTTATTATTATAAATGCATGTGTTTACTTATTTATTATATTTATGTTTAAATTGATTATATTCATTTAATTAATATTATGTAGTTGTAATTTAATTTTTGTACTTGAAAATTAAAATAAACTGCATGCTACTTAAATTTCACCCTAGGGAAAATTAATCTTTGAGCAGGGCCAAAATTATAAATAGAATTTCCTTGGAGACAATATATATACATTATTAATATTATGTAGTTGTAATAATTTTTACTTTGAAATTAAAATAACTGCACTTGCTACTTAAATTTCACCTAGGGAAAATTAATCTCTTGAAGCAGGGCCAAAATTATAAATAGAATTTTACTTGAGGACCAATATATTTATATATATATAATATATATATTATATATTATAATATTATATAGTATATATATTTTGTATATATTTTGTGATAAAGTTATCTTTTTATTTATATCTTAGATATGAAGTTTACATTGCCTCCAATAATACAACACCTTTAATCAAATAAAGTAAAAAATTAAAAAAGGTAAAAGAAATAGAAATATGATGTAGCCTTTGATGAGTGGCGAAAAGTTGTGCAGCTTGATTTCCTTCATGATATATGTGATGAAGGGAAGATGAGTGAAGATGTAATAAGTCAGCAACACGTAGCAAAATCGAAGGATCTGTTTTAGTCCATTGTGCCCGATTAACGTGAGCAACTAGATCCTAACAATCCATTTCCACCTGAATGAGATAAATACCTTTATCAATGCTCCAGGAGAGCCCCCAAAAAGCCTCAAGCTCTGCATCATAAGCTATTCTGGCAACAATCGGAAAACAAACGACAGCAACAAAATTACTATGGCTGATAATTTGTTAAAAGATGCAGTAATATTTAGTTTATAGCAATTTTACCTAGGCCGAATCCAAGTAATAATCATTGGCTTTAATTTTTGTTTGCCAAAAGAAATCGAAATGAAGTGGCAATCAGTTTTTATTGACCAAATTGTTGCAAATCTTTTACCAGAATTGGCAATGCTCCAGGAAGCCAATATATATCAAATATATAAATATATATATATATATATATATATATTATATATTATATATATATTTATTTATTTATTTAATTTATTTGAAAATATTAAATAAATTTATTGGATTAAAAAAAGTTGAATTTTAAAAGTTGGGCCATGGCTCCATAAGATGTGGATTTTAAATTGCTTATTTTTATATTATATATATATATATATATTTGAAAATATAAATAAATTTATGGGATAAAAAAAGTTGAATTTTAAAAGTTGGGGCCATGGCTCCAATAAGAATGTTGGATTTAGTAATTGCTTCTCCTAATTAATTAAGAAAAAACATTTTTTTTCCAATCAAATGACTCCATCTACTTATATATATTATTTATTTCTTAATTTAAAACCATAAATGTCTTAGAAATAAGTCTAATCTTATTTGTGTCAAGTCAGGCTTATAAAAAGACTTCCATGAAAGTTTTTTTCAATTCAAAAATATTCAACTTCTTATTTAAAGAGGCTTGAATCATTTGAAGTCAAATTAATTATTATTAAAAATTAAAATTCTTATTAAACTTAAAAAGTTCCTTAATTTTAAATTCTAACACGTTTTTTAAAATATTTTTTTTATTGTTTAATTATAATATTAAAAATTAATTAAAAAAAAATTAAAATCAATGATTTATGTGTCTATAAAAGATATTTATAATTATAAAAATTTTATATTTTAAAATTTTATTATTAAATATGAGGGAAAAATGCATTTAATAAAAAAAACTCAGTGACTCGCTGCTTATTAACCATTTCTGTTTTCCATCGGGCGATCTAAGTCTACGCGCCTGCAAATTTCAAAAAATTAAGTATTAAGTGAAAAGGCAGTGGCAGAACCAGAAGTACATAGAGTGAGCAAGAGATAATGGCTGTGGACGCCAACTTCGCGTTTTTGTTCGAGAAAGTGGAAGATCCATGGCTTCCTCCTACAACTTGGGAATCCATCTCCTCTCAGAATGGCGCTCGACTCTCCTCTTCCTATCCGCCTAATTCCTCTCCTACTCAGCCGTCGCCACCGCCTCTCCACCTTCCTTCCTCCGTCTCCGTAAGTGGGTTCTAGTTTCTAATTGTTAATTGTGGGCAAATTTGCGAATATATATTATGTTTATTAGTGAATTTTTCAAAACTTTGATTTGTGTTTATTGTTTATAGAGTAATGGATCAGTAATTTTTTCTTAATCCTAGTTGAAGATGTAATTTAAGCCACTTCTATGATTTCTTTATAAATTCCATAATTTGGATATAGACATGTTACTTTGAGCTTGTAGATGGGTTATTCATGTCTTGAGTACAAGTTGTGTGTAAAGGCTATGGCTTATCTCAAGTTATAGACATGATTTAGTTTATCTTTGGGTTTCAGGAGGCAAGTTTGGTGAAGTTAGCATTAAATGCTATGCAAGGTGTGGAATCAGCTCTTGTTAGTATTCAAAAGCTTTCTTCTGCCTTTTGTACTGACCCTGCTGATAGGTCCCACCATCGAATTCCAAGTCTGTGGAATCGGTCTTCAAGTACTCAGGCATTGGGAAAGATTCTCAACTCCATAGGCTGCTTGGGTTCTCTGGTTTTTCTTCTCCGTAAATTTGTAGATAATTTTATGTATATGAACGTGGATGTGGATTGTGACAGTGGTGTACAAACGGAAAATCAACTGTCTCATAGTCTAGTTAATCAGGCATTTGCTGTAGCTATAGGAAAGATACTAGAAGGTTACATATGTGCTCTCAATACAGTATACACATCTGCAAGATTAAGGCGTTCATCAAATACTGATGTGCCTTTGCCTGAGTTTGATGAGGAAGTGTGCCTCATGAGCGTAGTTCATTCTAAAGTTACGCTACTGGAGGTTTATCTGCATACAAAGGAACTGAGGACTCAGATTGAAGAGCTTGGAAATATATGCAACCTATATAATATTTCTCTTTGCTTCTCAGTATCTTCTCTGGTAGAGTTAACTGCAAAAGCAGCCATGGAGTTTTCTAACTTCTACAAAGGAGGGGATCTTCTTAGTTATCTGTGTATGCAACTACAGGTCTGCTAAAAATTTTTAGTCTCTCTTTTCTTCTTCTTCAACTTGTTCTGCCTTGAGAACAAAAAGTACTGATCACCAAAAAGATGTGCATTTCAATTAATTTCAGTTGTTTTAATTTCCAGCCTTTCCAAGTGACATCTTTGACTTGGCTGTACATTGTTTTGTGGAACTATGAACTTTTTTTCACTCACATACCAGATTGTAGTAATGTGTCAACTTTCCACTGTTGGATAACTGTAAGGTGAAGTAAATCGAACATATTCACTTCTCGAAACTGTATCATATTTATTATATGCTATGTATGATGTCAAGTATCATAGGTTGCCACGTTCTTCCTTTTTAAAAATTTCAAGTTATTTGTTCTTAGATGTCAGTACGTAACTGCTTCCAAGTTTTGGATTTTCTGTTTTCTTCCATGGTTCTTTTCTTGTGTCCCATATTCATCTGAATCATCCTTGCAATTGTTTTCCTGTAGATTGCTGATCCAGCTCACTGTGCCCTACTCAAGTTCCTCTTTGTTCGCTCCTATGAACCATATTGTGGATTTATTAGATCATGGATATTTAAGGCAGAAATTAGTGATCCATATAAAGAGTTTATAGTAGAATGTGATGCAAATCTACCAACTGATCTGCACTGTAAAGATGGCACCCATTTTAACTTCCCATTGGCGAATATTAGGGTAACACTACTGAAATAAATATTGGAAGTTTTGGATTCCAAGAGTCCTTTATTTGTGCTATATTTTCAGTGTTCTAAGTTAATGTTGATTCTCATGATGTGGGTGGTAGCAGGATGGAGTTGCTGTTCCCCTCTTTCTGAAGGACTTTTTAATTCCAATTATCAGGACTGGTCAACAACTTCAAGTACTAAAGAAGCTGCTTGAATTGTGCAATTATGCTGGCTCCGGTGACTACATTTTTGGGGATTTTCTTCCTAGTTTCAATGGATATTTAAGTGATAATTTGTTTTCTGCATCTCCATTGGCTTTCAGCAAAGAACACTTAGAAGCTTTAGTAACTGCAAGAAGCAACTATTACAGAAGGATGCAAGACAAACTTGGAAACCTGTTCACAAAGTTGGAGTTTAGACCCCAACAGGTAACGAGTCTTGTTCTAGGGGCTCTTTTGACATTTCTCTGCTGTCTACTATACTTGACAATGTTGAATAGTTTGGTATCATTTCTCCTCATGTGTTGCTATGTAGATGTACCTACTGGATTTTTGTTATTCTAATAGTGGCATTTGTCGTTGAAAAACAGTTTGAATTGTTTTTCACGAGTTTTCAAATAATTTTTTCTCCGAGAAACAAACTAAAGATTCCCTTCACAAGGAACCGTTTTTCATACAAAATGTTTTATTCCCCTTTTTGTGTACGTATGTTATTATATTGTTTTTAAATATGTTTTCTACTTGCCAACAACATATATTCGCAATTAATTACTAGTTTTGTTGCTTATGCTCTTTTAACTATTTTTTGAGGAAACTAGCTTCCAATAAACCTCTTAAGATCTCTAAATGTGATAAACTTATATAACACTGGTGTTTCAGCATTTAGATACTCCAGCTTCTTTCTAAGAATTCCATGTTTAAGCCCGTGTCACATGCCATTTTAAGCCAGGAATTGAGTGCACCTGTGCACATATTATTCAGTGCTAGTGGATACAGTTTTGCAGTCGTTCAACCATATTGTTGGTTTCACAATTCACCAGAAGCAGTCTTTCACCGCACTTGCCTTTTGTTTTATTTTATAATCAGTCATTTGAATTGTGTAATTGGAAATGTTCTTTTATGACCCAATAGTCAGTTCTTTACCTGCTTTCGTGCTAGTACTTTTGGCAGAATTTGCTTGGTTGTTCCAAGCTCGTTTTTTTCAATCCTTCACTGGATCATTCTAGACCCAGTCTTAAGTTCCCACAGCACAGTCTTAGGAGCGATCAGTGCTCTTTTAAGGGGGAAAAATTTTTATCTAGTAGAATAAAGCCAGTTTCATCAGTAGCCTTGTTACATTTTGCATGAAGATTTCCATTTCTCAGGTTGTTCCATGGGGTGCAGTACCAACTATCTTTGACAAAAGTGGAGGGGGTTTACAGAGTGAAATTTCCTTCTGTTTGAATGATGGAGCCATTGCCCCTTCAACAGGTGAAAAGTGGGGCTTAAACATGTAATCTATCTTACCCTTCCCCCAATTTGTTTTTGATGATATGTATGTGTTTGTGACTGAAATGCAATTAGCTTTATCAACATCAGGAGAATGCTTGAAGCATTCAACTATATCAATGTTGGGACTCAGGAGAGAATGAGAACACCACAAAGGTTATTCACTTCTTAGTCTGATCAATTCTTTGATGGGTGTACCAAATTGAAACAATCGTGCTGGCATTTAAGCAATATAGGCAAACTGATTGGACCAAGACTGCCAGTCAATCAAACCAGGCTTTGCTGGTTTTATTTTTGCACAATTCAAGCATTCCGAGAGGCCCAAATTATTTGATGCTATAGTTATAATTTGGCCGTAATTTTGAACTTATTGGATTTTTATTTCTAAAATCAATTTATATCCACTCCTGCAACTTAATGGAGAGTGGAGACTTAGGTTGTGTAGTGGTTGTTGATGTTAAGTACCTCCTGACCTAAATTTCTTTTTTCCCTGCCCTTCCTCTTCTGTGGGTCATTTTCTATTACAAATGTATAGGCTGGCTTACTATTGGATTAATTTGCTTCTCAGGGCCGTTGAAAAAATAGGTTCTAATAGTACAAGAGATGAATTCTATTGGTTGGATACATCTGAGGCATCTGATTGTTCATCTTCAAGTTCTGAAGAGCAAACTGATTCTGAACAACTGACTGAGTGTCCTGGTAGCTTGCCTGGACTGGAAGATAGATATTTATCTTCATTAAGGTTTTCCATGAATAGCCCCATTGATAATACGCTGGAAAAGTCTATTCCTAGTTCGCATGACATGGAAATAATTTTTCCTGAAAATTCTCAGAAGAATTCTGCTTTAGGAGATGTATCCTATCATGAGAAAAAAGCTCTCAGTCGCATGCTTGTGCCACTAGAGTTGGGGAACTCAAACATGTCGTGCATCTTTAATACTCAACAAATAGATAGGTTAACTGATGAGCGCTGGCCACTTGCCATTCCAAGTAATCCTTTCTATCATGAAGGTTATAGAAATTACCAGAGGTCAGACCTATCTAAGTCTGCCCAAAAACTGAACAAAACAGATATAGTTTCCATGAATGAATGTCTACCATGTTTTAACAAAATGGCTTCTACTCAAAACGTTCCAATACAAGCCTTGGGTGATCATCGACTTGAAAATGGCTTCCATATTTCAGATTCATTCACATTACAGTCATTTAAGGTTAATTACCACAACAATTTTCTCAGTGCAAACCCAATGCTAAGAAAAAATGCTTTCTTTCACCAAATAAACAAACCTGGACATAAATTCAGCTTGGCCTATGGACAACCCCTACCTTACTTTGACTTTTCAACTGTAGAAGATCCTTGCAAGGTGTCAGCAGAGAAGTTAGCTGCCAGTTTAAGACAAGAATTTGGGCCTCAAATTCCTTCCTATGATACTGCTGGTAGGAGTTCTGACAAAGATAAGCAAGACTATAGTGGAGATGGTGTCTTGATTGATAATGCCAGAATATCTTGTCCTTTCTCACCCTTAGACTTGAAGGAGCAAGACCAAAGAGCTCTTGTTTCAACCAGTGTTTTTGATGGGAAGACTTGGGAGAGTCTGCTTAATAGTATTAGTCATGCTGAAAGGGAAAGTTCTGGAGAGCAGAAGGAGAATTTATCTTCCTTGTTTGAGATTCCACTTGATGTCACTGTTGACAAATGCCTGCTGCAGGAAATCTTAGTCCAGTATCCTTTTATCTTTTTTCGTATTCCCTTAGAATAAGAATTCAGCATATGCATGCATCCAAGCATTTGCATGAGTTAATTTATTTATGCAAGTATGAGAACTAGATGTAGAAGAAAGATTACTCTGCCATTGCAATTGGCTGCTTGTTGTTTTCTTGCTTCTTGTCCAAACCCTGTGTTTGAGCATGGTGGCCTCTAAGTTACCAGTCTCTGAAGCTCTATTTTGATTGTCTATCCATAGTATTGAGAATCTTACCAGAAGCTTCTACTGATTTTTTTTGACTCTTTAGTCATCCAATAGAAATCAGAGTTCTTTTTTTTTTTTTTTTTCAAAGGTGTGTTAAGGATTGCATTCTCAGAAGTTTTTTTGTGAAAGTGATAGCATGTTTATCATGAACAATTTATATGAAATAAGAGGGTTACAGATGTTCTACAATAATGTGGAATATTATATTTCTGGCATCGTGGGTTGATGGTTTCCTGGATTCCTTGATTCACTCTTTTATTCTTGTTATTCTTACCCTTTCTCTATTTCATAGCATGCCAAAATCATTTCTGGTTTTCATGCCCAGTATGGTGCTATTGACAGATCAATTATGTACAAAATTTTGCATTCCCTTAACAAGACCTAGGTACAAGTATGTCAGTAAGTTAGCTATCAAGATGCTCGAAGGTTTCGATTTGCATGAACATTTGCTGGCGCTACGACGGTACTGTTTTATGGAACTAGCAGATTGGGCGGATTTGTTTATCATGTCACTTTGGCATCATGTAATTATGTCTAATAGTTATTTAAATTTTTATGTATTTTGGGATTATTTGACTCAAACAACCTTAACTCTTTGTAAATCCATTCCCTTTTCACTTAAAACAACAGAGATGGTGTGCTACAGAGGCAGATCAAAGAATTTCTGAAATTCAAGGATTCCTTGAGTTGTCAGTCCAGAGGTCTTCATGTGAAAGAGATCCTAATAAAGATCGGTTGTTTGTGTACGTAAAGGAAAATGCTGTAATGCCTCTTTCGACATCTGCAATTGGTGAATTCTCTTTCCTTGATAGCCCAAACATAGTTTTTTTAGCTGAGCAAAGACACAGTAAGGCCCTAGGTCCAGGGCAGTGACAGCTATAGGCTGAACTTGCACTGGGTCAAACACAGATAGCTTGCCTTTTTTTGAGACACTTTTAATTTTCCTTTAGGACCTTAATGCAAAACAACTTTCCTGGTTGGTTTTTTATTTGTGTCTCTCATTGTTTGTGAGGTTTATTGTTTTTGAATGCAATAATACATATAAATCTCTGCGATTTTAGATGGACCCTACGATCTTAATGATTAACATTTAACCTTTTACTTCTGGATCTAAGGTGAGCTTCTTGTTGATTGAGAAGCTTTATTACGAGCCCTAGCAATTAGACATGACCTCCATGAACTCTTATCACAAATCTAGATCAATTTCCCTTCTCCACCTGTCAATCCCCGCTGCTGATGGCATGGTTCTGGTAGTGCTGATGTTTTTTATGATGTCATTATAGTCATGCTTGTTGCCACTGTTACAACCATTGGATCTTACATGTGGCTGGTTTTTTCCCCCTTTGGCTGATTAGCTGTCGTAATATTGAATATTGTCAATATAAAATCTTAACAGGTGTTCTTATTCTAGTTGAACTGATAAGAAACTGATTAGTGAACAATGTAGTTCCTTTTTTCTTTTCCTCTTTCTTTCCTTCTAATAAATGATGAATGTATATTTCTGAAAAAATTCCGTCTGTTAATATTTTCTTGTCTTTCATTTGGATGTCATTTGAGCTTTTCACTATGCTCTATTTTTAATTCCTAAAATGTAAGTCAGAGCCTATTTATTTTATTTTTCCTTTTTTATTTCTAATTTTATTTTTTGCTTTCCTTTTTCACTAATACTGAGCTTGTCAATGTTTCAGGAGTCCATTCCTTTGATTTCTTGGGTTTGGGTTACCGAGTGGATTGGCCCGTCAGTATTGTTTTGACTCCCAGTGCATTGAAAATATATGCTGATATATTCAATTTCTTGATACAAGTGAAGCTTGCTGTTTTTTCTTTGACCGATATATGGTGCTTATTAAAGGTACTATTAGCTAGTGGGATTTTAGGTTTCATACACAAGAGACATACATATTATTAGTATATCCTTTTCTTTTGGGCTCTCACAGGAGGCCAAGTGGACCTGGGATATACCATGTGGATAGCTCCTAATCTCACAAATCAAAATCTGAAAGAAGACCTTGAATTAAACTTTTCAGAAATTTCAAGAGCGAAAGTAAATGCAAAATCAGGAAACTTGAATAAAATAATTAATGTCAGCTATTAGAATTATTTTTGACTTATATCAAGTTATATTTTTTTTACAGAACCTGACGCATCTCATTGGTAAAAATAGTTATTCTGCAATACATGAAAAGGAAGTGGCTCAATTTAATATGTTGGTAAAGATGAGGTATGCAGAAAATTTCACATCCAATATATATATATATATATGTATATACACACACACACACACACACACATATACATACTCTTGGCATTATTTTTGCGTTACCTGATTTCTTGAATAACTTGCACGTACTTTATAGAGGAGAAAGTCTTAAAGAAACGTGCATGAACTTCAATCTCTGGAGCTTATGTTTTGTGAGATCTGGTCAATGATAGGAAGACTGCACTAGTCAAAGACTCTTCTTGTTTGGCACGATTTTTTATAGTGATACTGTTTTGACTTTTGCTAGAGTTTGTAATTTATCCAAGATATAATAACATACTTGAGTTCCAAAGAGCACATCTAAGCAGGAGTTTTATGATTGCAAACAGGCAGTTATACTAATTTCATTAGTCTAATTTATGACAGGCACCGGGTCAATCATTTTATCTCTTCCTTACAACAATATGTGCAGTCACAATTGTCTCATATATCGTGGTGTAGGTTTCTTCACAACCTAAAGTACAAGGTTTGAATCTTATTGCTTCATTTTCTTCATCCAATGGTATTTTTTGTTTTGCCAGGTTTTTGTCTACTTGTTAAAATTGAAGCCTTTGTTTGGTACTGCTAATATTGTTGAATGTTTATGCTTTACTGCTGAAAAGCTGAATTGAGTGTTAATTTCAGTTGAACTTCTATACATATCATTTCAATTGTAACAAATAATTTTACTTCCCCCACCAGTGAGACTGATGAGAGATATGTATGGGGTGATTTTAGTATGCATATCAATGTGTTCACCATGGCATTTGAGCATTCAGAATGATTATTGAAATTGTGTTATAATATTGATTAGAATTGTTTGTTTGATATGCCATACGTGATATTATGAGAGTTGTGATTGGCTATAGAAACATGAAATGTCACTCGTGCAGATATATTTTACTGGTTTTATGCCTATATATGTACATATATTCAGATGGCCTCCTTTATCTGAAGAAAACAACCTCTCTAATATCTCTCTCATTGTTTGATTGGTCTTGAACTTGCCTGTGGTTATTCTAGGTCAAAGATATGATGGATCTGGAATCACTGCACATGGAATATCTATCTGAGTCACTTCACATGTAAGTTCACGTCATCTTTCTGGAATGCTGAGCCATCAATTTTTAGTAAGAACTATATAGATAATTCTTCTCACTGTCATCGCTGATGAACCAGTCGACAGTTTAATAAATAATTCACCTGTTCTTTTAACAGGAATAGAGATGTATCGTGTACAAATTTACAGTGTGTGCACAGTTGATAATCATTATCTAGCATACAACTTATCTGCTAAATACCTTGGAGAAATAATGACATGACATTAATTCTGCCATTTTTTCCCATGGCGAGATAACCTTGTTCAGTCTCTTTCATTGACCACAATCGTTGCAAATTGCAATGATAGGATGGAACAGAATTATATGTAACTTTTGAAGTCAAATGAGGGAAAAGAGATTACCTAACCAACCTAATTGTGGGTGTTTCGCATGCTCATATGCTAACTGTAAAGGAGAATGATAGTATTCTTCCCAAAGCCCCTTGTCCCGAAAAGATATGTTTTACAGCTGAACCTAAGGATTTTTAGCATGGAATACTATTATTTTCCTCATTGTTGGAATTGTCGCTATGTTTTTGATTTATTCAATGCATCTAGCAACATTTTCTTGAGTAAGAAGTGTTTCAAGCCTCTTCTTAATACATATTCCTTAGTGTTCCCTTAATAGACATGATAAATGAAATTTCTCGAATTTTATACCTATATTTGTCTTGGTTGACTGTGTTCTTTCTCTTTATATATTTCATATAACTATATGCAGTTATGCACCTTGCTCTTTTTTCATTTCATAATGATAGTTTTGAATTAACAGTGGATATAAAACTTCACAGATGTTTTTTATCTGATGAAACACGGTCTGTAGCCAGCATCATAGAAAGCATTTTGCAATGTGCCTTAGACTTCCATTCTTCTCTTACTGCTAGAATGTGGGATGTGGGAATGGATCAAAACGACTCTCTGGGTAAACTTTCTAGGATCAATATATCCCAGGTGATTTCCTACATCTTTCTCCGATATGTGTTGATTAATATCTTAAAAGTGGCATTTCCATATTTATTGGTTCGGTGGAGAAGCTTCATGTGAATATGGATTCTTTCTTAAGCCATCAGGCCAGAGAGTCGACTGAATGCCAAATAATACAGAGATGCCTCATGTTCTCGTTACATTGTTTTACTTGTGAAACACTAATTTGTATTATTTTGAGATAAGCTCAGCTATACATGTCTGTGTAGCTCATATTGGACTACTACTAAAGTTTTTCGCTTTTGCAGGTGCTTGCCATAAAGCATTTTGAGATAAGCTCAGCTATACATGTCTGTGTAGCTCATATTGGACTACTAATAAAGTGTTTCGCTTTTGCAGGTGCTTGCCATAAAGCAGAAGTTTGACAAAAATTTAAAAGAATTGCATCTATGTTATCTCAAGTCACCTAGGCATGGAAAGTTTGGGCTTTCTTGTTTTTGGGGATATCTCAACTATAACGAGTACTACTCATAAATAGGTAATGAAATGAACCCAACTCGTTATATAGGTACTGAAATGAACCTTACGACCTTTAAATTCAGAGCTGTGCTCTGTGCAAATCACCGTGACGGATGGATTGTCAGCAATATGCTTGAATTAGTGAATTTGAGTATGAAAACGGAAGGATATTTCCAACCTTTGTTGGTTACCTTCATTGAAGCACTTCTTAGTGTCTGCTACCTCAGCATGTGTGGTATTTGTACCATGGTCCTTGTCCATCCAAGCCAGTTATCCCTTTTGTTTTGAGTGTATGCAGAGTTATAACATCCATTTTAAATGTAGTGCTTCACTATGTTGCATCGAAACTCCTAGCCATGGGCAAAATACTGTTTTCCCGTGTAAAATTATATTTTAAATGTTGTTTTCGCATTTTCACATTTCTTCGTTTCTGTTTCCGTGCAACATTGGTGCTTCAAATGATAAGCACAGAATTGTTGCTCCTTCCCTCAACCCTTCTCTAGAGTTTCTATTGCAATGGCTTTAATATAAGGAACTTGTGGTGTTCCTTTGGTTGGGAAATTGGTAAGGCCTGGCCATGTTGTGCGGTTAGTGATAGGAAATTAGTGTTTAGTTTCCTAGTGATTGTCTAGAAGATGCTTTCCAGACAAGATCAAATTTATTTTATGTATCATGAATACAAGGAATCATTATGGCAGCAATAATGAATTTTTTATTCTTTGTGAGCATTTTCTTGCGTACTTACTCCCTCTATCCCAAAATATCGTCGCATTTCTTTTTCTACAAATTCTAAGAAAATATAATTAATATAGTGATAATCTACGTGTTTCTCTTTTCTACCTTTATTCACAATAAATTAGCTCAAGTTTATAGATATAAATCACATGTGAAAGTGAATTTATTGAAGGGTAAAAAAGGGAAAAAAAAAATTAAATGCATGCTACAAATAGAAATGGACATTTATTTTGGGACATCCCAAAATGGAATGTAGACAATCTTTATAAGACGGATGAAGTGTATAGCTTAGATTATTTCGGATGCTAACGTGGATCGTGGGTGTTATGTGAAATAGAATGTGTGTCTATTTATAGACAATGAATTTTAAAAAACTCTCTTCAATGCATTAGTTTTGAATTTTCTTTTATTCTCTTTTTTTTCTCTTCTAGGCCCGCAATTTAATATGCAATCAATCATTAAAGAACAATAAATGTTAACATTGTTCAAGAGACCCTGTAGAAATAGGTGTAGTAGATAATGTCTATTAATTTTTTTTTTATACACATCAGCTGATAACCTAAATAGATATTAGTATTGGAGAGTATTTTTCGAAAAGTCTTTCCATTTTTTTTGATACGACAATTAAATAAGAGCTGTCTTTCCATTGTTTTGATGAGCAATCTACATTGGCATTGGAAATACTTTTACTACCTTTGTTATATAACATTTGTTATATTTAAAATTTCACTTCTCTTAAGAAAATTATTAAATTTATTTAAATTACAATAAATTATTGAGTAAATTGATTATACTACTTTTAATTTAATACTAATTCTCTAAGAAAACTATTAAATTACTACTTTTAATTTAATACTAATTCTCTAAGAAAACTATTAAATTGAAGTAATAATTATTGATATATATAAAGGGTAAATATGAAAAAGAAAAAAATTTATTACTCTTTGAAACAACAGTTTCAAATTATTTTTACAAATGTGATAAGTATTATGGAACGAACGTAGTATTACTTAGTTTTGATGATTGGATTACTCTTTTTTTTATTTACCTTTTTGTTGCGAATTCTCTATTGGATTTCTTTTTTATTTAACCATTTTTCCACGAATTGATGCCAATTGTAATGTTTTGTATTATCAAAATAGATTAATGTTAAATCGACAATCATATCTTAAATTTATTACTTTTCTCTTCATAATCTTTTATTTGTTTTTTAACTATCAGTAATATACAAAAAAATTTTTAACTATCAGTAATATACAAAAAAAAAAAAACTATTATTTTATCATTTTAAAGTTAACTTTTAAAAAAAAATAAAAAGTTAAAAGTGAAAATTTTCAATTGTCAATATGAGCTTTGAATGAAATATTGTCTTACATGGCATAATGAAAATAAATATAAAAAAATAATTTAATTAAAGTTATTAAATTGAATAATTATTTATTTATTTATTATATAATTAAGTAAATCAACCGTTTAATTTGACCCGAATCAATACAGTAACAAGTCAAAAGGCACTCTAGAGTTTGATTTTTCCTTTGCATCTGTCTTCCAAAACGTAAGGAAGCACGTCATCTTACACCAAATCTTGCATGCACCTTTATCATTTTTATGAGGAAATATGAGAAATAACAATTTCAAATGGTTATCATTTTTACGAGGAAACACAAGAAATAACAAATTTAAATTGCTATAACATCATTTATCTTTTTTCACAAATTTTTGAATAGTAATTTTTATTTTTATCATTTAATTAATATTACGTGGTGAATTGCAAAATAATGTCTCCGTTATATGATCTTTTTATTGTTTATAAGGTCTTCTATATAACTAAGAGAGCGGAGATGTTATCTCAGTTATATTCTTGATAAAGTGGAGATATTATCTCCGTTATGTCAAGTTATCATTGTAGAGCCCGCTATGTTATTTCGGCCCTTCATTTCCTAATGAGAGTATAATTTTACATGTTATTGATTAAAAAAATTAATTCTAGTCCCTATGATTTGGGTAATTAACTATTTACATCTTTATATTTTTAAAAATAATACAGATTTTTTAATATACATAATGACTTTCAATAGAAAAAAATTTCTTAAATTTATAAATTTGAAATTACAATGAAAACAACTATTATAGTATTTAAAATTTAAAATTTAAAATATGTTATTGTAATTTTGAAATTCAATTAATTCAATTTCATATTATTTTAATATTATTTTTTTTAAAGAAACTATTAAATAGAATCATGAATTATAATATTAAATCCATCTCTTGAATAAATAAAACATCATGTATTGTTAATGATTTAATTAAATAATTCTATAACAAACAATTGAAATATACATTTACGTGAATTTTAATACCATTCATAAGAATGGAAATCAAATTCAAAACTAAAATTTAAAAACATATATAAAATTAAATAACTTAAAATTAAAATTAATAATATAAGTAATTCAATGGCAACAAAAGATAATTTTATGAAAATTGGGGAACCTTATTTGCTTATATATATATATATATATAGTAACTAAAATTGTTTTTATAAATAAAAACTAAATAAAACTGTGTAAAAAAAAAAAAAGTAAACTAAAAACAAAAATTGCAGCCACCATTTTTTATCTCAGGCAGGCCTGACCTAAGCAACAAAAGAATATATGCATCAACAATTTATTTTTTTGTCTGTAAAAGGCTTCGCAAATTTCAAAGTTTAAGTTAATACATGCAATTAATCCTATAGGTCCTTGCATTAACTTACAAATTTTTTTTTTTTTTTTTTTTTTTTTTTTTTTTTTTTTTTTTTGACATTTGAATGATGGTTCATATTTTTAATCAAAAAAATGAGCAATACAAGTGGGAATACTATCCCAAGTTTGAAAACAAGCCTCACTAGGAACCGATTTAGCTAACACATGAGCTATATCATTTGCTTGTCTTCTAATTCAAGCCAAAGTGACATTAAGCAATTGGACTAAGAGTAGCTTACATTCAAAGATGACAACTCCAAACTCAGACCAGTTGGGGGTAGAACTCTTCATAGCATGATAGACTTACAGACAATCGGTCTCAACCTGAATCGTCAAATTAGGATGACGTGACAGTACCCAGGATAATACCTTTCTTAGCGCTTGAGCTTCTGCTACTGCTGGAGAAGAACAGCCTTGCAATGAAGACGTTGCTGCTGATACAAACCCGCCATGACAGTTTGAGATTACAGCACCAACAACTCCATGGCCGATAGAGGGAAGAAGAGCAGCATCAAAGTTTATTTTAAAAGTGCCAGTAGGTGGCGGGAACCATTGACTACCTGCAGGAGCACCTCAGCCTGTATCCGAACCTGACAACGTCATCTGGGCTTTCTTCCAAGATGCTAGCATTCTTCTAGCTCGAGTAACCATGTGATAGAGTCCTTCGTCCACTTGGTTCCATTTTAGCTCATTACGGCTCAGCCAAATACTCCATAGACCCATAATGAAACTCTCGAAAAATTCACTCTCCCACACCCTGTGTAAATGTTCGAACATCTGTAAGAAATTTGGAAAATTACCAATATTAAGCTGAACACCAAAAAACTGCCAACAAAATCTTGCTTTTGGGCACGCAACAAGAGGGTGAGCTAACGTTTCAGCTGCACCACAGTAATCGCATCCTGTATCAAGCTCTATTCCCCTTCTTTCCAAAGTTGTTTTAACTGGCAGTTGTTTTAACTGGCAGAATGTCTCGGCAACACCTCCAAAGGAAGTGCCTCACTTTCGGCGGAATTTTCAGAGACCAGAGAGCTGTCCAAAAACCTGACCGCAGATCATCTTCAACATCCACATGTTGAGAAACTACTACTTTGTATCCTGATTTCACAGAATATACCCCTGAGTCTGTCCAGTGCCATATGAGGGTGTCTTCCTGAATATTTGTAGCTAAAGGAATAAAAGTAATAAGTTCAGCAATTGAAGGACTAAAAAGACCATGTATCAGAGGTAAGTTCCAAGCACGTTCCCCTTGTGTCAAAATAAGGTCTGAAGCCGTTATATGATCAAAACCAGGAAGAATAGGCAAGTTAACTCGAAATTGGTTATCCCTCAGTAGCCACGGCTCAGTCCAGACATTTACTAATTGACCATCTCCAATTCTCCACTGAAAACCTGAAGAAATAGCATTCTTGGCTGCACAAATCCCTCTCCATTAACTTACAAATTTGTTCGGTTAGGCAACCACTTTCATATTAATAATAGTATTGCATGTTTGACAGTACTCATCACGTAACTGTCTTTTTTTATTTTGAATTCTATATTCTTCCTTTTTTTCATTTTTATCATAAAATTATTATTATTTCTTTTTTCTATTTATACAAATCTAATTTCATTTATATATAAAAATATACAAGCAGATAGGTTTATCTCTATTAAAATTCTTTGCCTTTTTTCCTATCTCTTCTCTATTTTAGTATTATTTTTAAATTTATTACTCTTTTCTTTATCTATATAAATCTAATGTCATTTAGTATTATTTTTGTCATAATATTTAGATATTATATTTTTATTTGATTGATCGTATACATAATATCAATAGTTATTCCTTTTTTTTTTAAAAAAATCAATAGTTATTTTGAAATTTAAAAATTACAGTGTAAAATATTTTTAATCATTTTTTTCTCAAATTTAGATTTTTAAAATTTTTATTATTAACTAAATTCTTTAATGACTTAATCTGGGAGATATTTGATAATTGGAAGAGTTTTTCACATCATAAACTAAAAGAAAAAAAAATTTAGGAAAAAAAATTTTGAAACAAAGAAGCAACCAAAAACTAAAATATGCTTCATGTTTTTAATAAATAAAAATTAAAAACAAACAACTAATAATTGAAGGAAATGCATATACATTTTTTAAAATATGGGATTAAATAATTATTTTAAAATATGGGATTAAATAATTAATTATGCTAAATTATAAACACTTATATTGCACGAAAAATTTCCTTTGGACGCCTAACGGTACGGAAACGTTTGTAAACTCCTATTCAGTATTATCCTTGAATGTTTAATATTTGTTCAGCCCAAAAGCTTAGCTGCCAGCTGAAAATTATGGATTTGACGAATTGAAATTAATCAACGACAATGACGTGCATAAGTTTTGTCCGCCATTGAAGAACCTTTTTCTTTCTTTTCCATATAAAATTACAAATACCACGTCCTGCACTGCGTTCGATTTGAATGTTTCAACAATTTCAATAATGTAGTGTTGATTTATTTATTTAATCCTTTTTTTTTTTGTATAAAGAAACAAAATAGTTCAAAGCGAACAAAAGTGTCTGTGACATCTTCTTTGGCTCTCTGTGTTCCACTGTAGTTTTCTCTCGTCGTTTATATATTTGTGAAGAGATAGGCTCAATGCAACTTTTCTTCTTCTTCTTTGTTTGGCTCGACTGAAATGGAAGAAGAAAGAGAAACTGGAAATAAGAACAGTTTGGTTTTTGCTGTTAATGGAAAGAGATTTGAGCTTTCTAGTGTTGATCCTTCTACGACTTTGCTTGAATTCCTGCGTACACAGACTAGTTTCAAAAGCGTCAAGCTCGGTTGCGGTGAAGGTACTCTATCTTCTTCTTCCTCTGTATAATACAAGTTCATGTGTAAGACTTCATTACTTCGTTATTTTCTTTATTTGCCTATAAATATAATACAAGTTCATGTGTAAGACTTCATTACTTCGTTATTTTCTTTATTTGCCTATAAATATATTTCATTTTTCTTTTTTTTTTTTTTTAATGTTCTAATGTCTAATCTATTAGTAATTAAAGTTTTTTTTTTTTTGAATTATGCTAAATGAAATTGAATTGAATAGAATTTCTAAACTGAATTAGATCGAACTTTGAGATAATTCAATTTTAATTTTAATGTTTCAATGGTTCAGGTCCTTCAATTCTTGTCTTGAAATTTGACTCACCATTTTGACAGGCAAAAGCTCAAGGTAGAATCAAATCAAAATCAAATTTCACTATAGATGAATTAGAATCGGGTCGAAATCATTGTGAGAATGGAATCAGCTTTTTATAGAATCGTTTTGGTTTTATTCCTAACTAATTAGATTTTTAGTCTATTCGGTAAAATTAATTGGTTTGGTAGCGCTGTTTGAATAGCTTTTCATCCGCTAATAGCTTGTTATAAAAAGAAGTAGTTTTTCTTTTAATACTAAAAGCTAAACGTTATCTATGTTAACTTTTATAAAACGCTATATCCCCGTAGCGTTTTACGTTTTAACAAAGCTTTCTAAAATATTATCGCAGAACATGATCTTTGTAAAATTGAGTTGAACTATTTTGAAAGGACACTGTTGCGTTGCACATGGGGACGGGGTCACCCCGACTTCCATAGGTCCTTGGTTCGACCTCTATTTCAGTTTTGAGTAAAAGTATACTGAATATTGAAAACCGAACCGAACAGATTGGGTTTGGTTCGATGATTTTGCTCAGCCGGACTTTTGGTTTTTACTTCAATTTAATACACAACAAACGCCAAGCAAGCTTCTTAGCAAAAGAATTTCCACGAAAATGACAGAAATGGAATAATACAGTGTAATAGATAATTAGATATAAAGTAACTACGGCTGCTCAATTTGGACGTTGATAAGGGGGCCACGTGGCAATCAATGAGAAATATAAGGGTATGTGTTGATAAGAGTTCCTTGAAGACGGTTCACCCAAAAAAGGATATTTTAGGAAGATATGTGTCAATTTTTAATATAATTATTAATTAATTTAACTAAACTTAGGTTTTTAACATTGTATTATAGTCTAGGAAGTTGTTGTGTGGGCCGGACCATAGTATCCTTGTCAAGTGGCCCAATTGTCACTTAAGGGCTTCAGAGAGAGTGTTAAAATATATGGGCTCTTATTGTATAAACATAATTATTAATATAATTATTAATTAAATTTGAATAATGGCTGCTACGTCCAGATTCTTACCAACATAGTTATGCAGCTGAATACAATGCCAAGATAGATTCATCGTAATACACGATGAAAGTCACATAACTCACAAGTTGTCAACAGCTTTTGGTATCTTCGTTCCTCAGCTAGTGTGGTTGATAAAAAGAAATTGGATTTAGTCTTTTTTTTTTTTTGTCCTTCAACGTCAAAATCATAGCCTTTCCAGTTAAAGAACGAGCTAATTTTTGAGATTTTAAATTGGTATTTTTTTAATGTAATTTGTTTTTTTTATTATATGTTGAGTTCTAAAGAGGTTTATTTTTAATAATAATTTTTTTCATTACTTAACCAATTAGTAAGAGATTTAGATATCCTTTGCAATAAATAGATAGCTTTAATATTATATAAATAAAAAATTAAATGAGTAAAAATAATATATAATGAGTATATTCAACATGCAATCCACCTTATAGAAAGAACTAATTAACTTTAAAAAGTCAAAATAATAACTACATGTAAATGATTTTATTTTATCTCTTTTACAGAATATCATTACTTTGCCTCCCTTAATCCAAATTTTAGCTTCCCCGTTGTTGGTAGGAAGTTAGAGTTATGGGGTGTTGCCATAGATTCTAAGGATTTGAAGAAGAAATAAAAGTAGAATATTGAATTGCAACTTTATCAATGGAAGGGAGACATCAAAAGGTTATGGAGTGTATTTTTTCTCTAGATGAATAATATTCTGTTTTCCCTCCGATGAGGGAAAAATTAGAAAAGGAATGAAAGGAAAAAACTATTAATGTAACTTAGGTAAGTAATCTGCTAGATACTTGTTTTGATTGCATAATATTTTTTTTCTTTTTATTTTTTCTTCCTTGAGTTTTCTTGGTGCCAAGATTATGTCAGAATGTAGATTAAATGAATAAATAGGAACTGTAGAACACTTACTGTTTCTTAATATGTGCTTTAAATTGTAATTTATGATTTTAGGTGGTTGTGGTGCTTGTGTCGTTTTGCTCTCCAAGTACTAAATTGTAATTTATGATTTTAGGTGGTTGTGGTGCTTGTGTCGTTTTGCTCTCCAAGTACAATCCAGTGCTTGACCAAGTTGAGGATCTTACAGTGAGCTCATGTCTTACGCTCCTCTGCAGCATAAATGGAGCCTCAATCACAACAAGTGAAGGCCTTGGTAATAGTAAAGATGGTTTCCACTCAATTCACCAAAGGTTCAGTGGATTCCATGCTTCCCAATGTGGCTTTTGTACTCCTGGAATGTGCATGTCCTTGTTTGGAGCCCTTGTTAAAGCTGAAAAAACTGATAGACCAGAGCCTTCTCCGGGTTTCTCCAAGCTTACAGTCAATGAAGCTGAAAAAGCTATTGCAGGAAATCTGTGTAGATGTACCGGATATCGACCCATTGCTGATGCATGTAAAAGTTTTGCAGCAGATGTTGATATGGAGGACTTGGGACTTAATTCTTTTTGGAAAAAGGGAGAGCCGCAGGAAGTAAAGATAGGTAGTATGCCTCCATATAATCAAGAGATTTGCACTTTCCCTGAATTTTTAAAAACAGAAGTTAAATTTCCCCTGCTTTTGGATTCTAAAAGATGCTCTTGGCAGATAGGTAAGGATGCTCCCATAATAATCACCTTGAGGGATTTGCAAACTTTTCCTGCTTCTTTCTGAGAAGAAATGGTCTCCTTTATAAGTTTAACACGCAAGTTGGATATTATTTCCGTTTCCCCTGCTGATGTTGCGCGGATTATCCTAAAATCTGTCTTATGTTTGTACTCATTGGCCCACTCTTGAGGGAAACCGGAGCGTCCACCTGACTTAATGTGAACGCAGTTCTAGGCGGTGCGGGCAGAGAGGAGTTCACATTTATTTAAGGAGGGACTTAACTTTTGTGTGTCCACAAATTGGGCTCACTCGGAACCTTCTCAATGATCGCCAGGACTTGAATGTGTGTTAGGAGGAATTGCCTATCTAGAGTTATACGAGGGTGGATTAGCTATAACTCTGAATTTATAAAGAAGTTTAGAAATACACTATGATAAATAGCGTACAATTGAAAATTCTGCGGTCGGAGTTAGGCACTTAATATTCCTGAGCTCTCAACGATTAGGAGGGATGGGACTCCGAGTATATAGAAATTAGGGATTTCCAACTGTGGGGACTATTCCCAAAGTTATTGAAAGCTTTGAGGGAACTACGAAAATAGGGCCATTAATTGTTGGGAAGTGTGAACATTTTTTAGGGAGCCCAAAATCTCCTGTATACTAGGGTAGGGTTAGACATTGGTAACGTCTTATCACAACAAAATGGCAAGAATCCATCTGGAGAAGTTGCAAACCAAATGTTGTTAGAAATACAGGCAGCATTGCAGGGGGGCAATTTTGGTGGATGGCAAGCCAAAGGTTTATTATGAGGCCAATAAGATATTTTTTTCCCTTTCTCAGATAATATATATGGAACCATGGTTACAATACATGTGGTCTTAGGCGATTAGCATAGTGATATTCTCTATTCGGTCTAACCAAATTGTAAGTCGAGCGCTCGAGCCCGTGCTCGCTTATTCGAAAAGGGCCTTCCACATAACTGGAGGTACGGGTGAAGGTTATTAAGAAACGGCTTCGCGGTCTTAGCAGCTTCCGTGGTTTGCAACGACCACATGAGTCATCCTGCGTGCTACGGGAACTGTTAAAATTCCAACACTCGGTATATCTTTGTCAGGTTAGTAACGTTAAGGCAATCTCTTTGTGAGAAAGGGAGAAGGATAGCTTGTTTCCACTTAATAATCTGGGGAATAGGTTATTCTTGGTGAAACCGACTTATTACTTTATCGGGTGCCCATTAATTGGTCCAATCGGCTGTATGCCCACCTAAGGCCCTTAGGAAGTGCTTTTCTAGCGGCCCTTGTATCTGTAAAGTAGTCTTTGCTCATTGAGAGCTGTATCTTGCCATTATATGGACATTACTAAGTTTCCCAGCTCAAATCAAAATTAAATTGCGGATAAGAAGAAATTGTCGGGGGTGAATAGCTGCGCGTCAATGGCTTTTGGTGACGCGTATTCAGCATGGAACCGGAAACATGCCATTCAGTAGGTTTGCCCAATAATCTCTCTGTCTGTCGGACATTGTAGCACCAAGTCACTAGAAGAATTTTTAAACTGGAAAAAGCTGTTTAACCATTGGTGTTATATATCGAAAGTTTGGCTAAAGTAAGAGGCTCTACAGATTTAGAGTCATTTACCATTTCGTTAGGTACCACATTGGTAGGAAGCATTTAATCCATTTTTGGAGCATCAATCTATTGTGCCGACTAGCCCCAAGGAGTGCCGTGCCTTGAATATAGGTCAAGCTTTCGGGGCGGCTCGTCCAAAGTATTCGGTATGGCTATTTATTGACTTCTTGGCCCTTTAAGACAATATCGGCTCTAAGGGTTTGCTGAATGGACACGATTGATATTTCAAAGTCTGAGGAAATTAAATTAAATAGGAGAACCATGATAAGTGGATTCAATGTTTAAATCCCCTCTTTGCTGTTATCATCCAAGCAGGTGATCCAATTAAACAGCAGTATAAATCCTGTTGGGAGCCGATTGCAAAAACTGGAGCTTTTCTTCAAGCTTCTGGTTAGTATTCTCATTTTCATAGTGCAGTTTGACCATTGAGTTTCCTTCCATATGAAATTTACATCTGTTTTACCTCCATTGACTTGATAACAGGTCCAAAATTTTCTTATTGGACGGTTTACCATTGTTGAAAAATTATGCCCCTCATAAGTTGAATTTGGATTCTTTCAAAATTGTCCCCCTTCCGTAAGTAAACTGAAATTGTTTTTAACTTCTTCTGTTAGTGAGGCTGTATTGTGGATGACGATTCCCTTCTCTAGAAATTGTCTACAATGGAGCATTCATTTATAGCAACAAAAGCCCTTTTGCCAAAGGTAAAGAGTATAAAGTTTCAATTCAGAAATCTCTTCCAGATGGAGTCACTGCAGTCATTTCTTTCAAAGACATTCCAAAAGGTGGGCAAAATATTGGCACTTGTGGTTTGCAATTTGGTCCTGAAACCATGTTTGCTGAGGAGCTTACTCAGTATGCTGAGAGCCTCTGGCATTCGTGGTATGTTTTTCAGCCGTCACTTGTTTAGCACAACATTCGCCTCATTTTCTGTTGAATTTGCAGTTATCATTTTTGTATGCACTATGAGAAACTGTTTTTTTACGTAATCTAGTCTTGTCAAATGATTTTCTTAGATTGCAGATACCAGAAATGCCAGATATAGCATCGAAGGCTCGCCCTGTGGTAGATTTATGACCCGGAAAAATCTACAGCCACCCATTCCTGACTGTAGAGAGGCCCTATTGAGAAGATCTTAGTCATTTTTTGAGGTGCCGCCAATTATCTACCCCAAACATTGGTGATGTATTAAGGGATGGCTGAAGCAGATAACAAGATTCTATCTGCCGAGGTATTTTTCATTCCCAAACTACAAGCCTGGAAAGGCTCAATTTAGTTTCTTTTCTAGTAAGGCATCTTTAGTTTTTTGGACTTCTGCCTCACTGCCAACATCTCTACTGAATTAATTGAATCCAGATAAAACTTGGTTCACAATATTCTTCTATATGGAGAATCAAACTGCTCTTGCCTGTCCGCCTGATGAAGACAATTTGCAATGGTGGGGTTTAACAGTTCTAAATCAAGCCCCCGAATATTGCACACACTGCAATTGGCAAAAATTGTCTCGGTGTTCCTGAGCACAATGGTGCGTGTGCTTACAAGGAAAGGGTTTGGAGGACGGTTTTGGTTGGAAGGGCTTAAAAGCCTATGCCTGTGGAGTATCCCTTCTGTACTACATATATATCTTCAGCATCTTACTTTTACCATTAGAAAATACATAAACCACCGTACACAAAATGCACATTGGTTGGAGTTTGCTGCTTGCAATTCCTTTTGAGTGGGGCAAAACAATTATCACATTTCACATAAGGTGGGAATATTTTTCATCCCCTCTTCTACGCCTCCTCTTATTCCCAGGAAAACATGGGAGAGAAAAAAAAAAAGGTAGAAATCAACACAACACACGCATATATAACTCTCTTTGTGTGTTTGTTTTGGAATATTTTTTATGTAAATCATTAATAAACCCTTCTTTGTTATACCTTTAGGATAATATGTCCCTCTTGTGTATTGGTAATGTCCTCCCAGATTTTTTCCTGAAGTCCGGGAGGGATTTATTATTTTCAATTTGCCTATTTACACACGATTTCCTTATATTAGGGGTGAGCATGAGCTTCCTATTATATGTGACTTTCATTCTGGAGCAGAATCTCTTCCATAGTTAGGAGGAGTGTCTTTTATTGTGTTACTCTAATATTTCCGAACTTCAATTATAATGGCATAATAGTTCTCTTTTATCCCCGTAACAGAGTTCCTCTTTCGTATTTTGAAATATAGCTTCGAATTAAGACGAGGAATTTCCTCATCTGCCCAAAACTTTTCAATAGTTAATAAAATATTTAATATTTTGCGTAATCGAAAAAACAACATACAAGATAGTTATGTGCCACAAAAAATCACTTACGTTTACTAAAGATTTTCTACTAAATAAGAAACCCCAGAATTATCTTCATGGTGAAACACAGATTATGCATAGCCCAATTACATTTCATCGCTGGTCTCGAATGTACATCTCAGGTCTTTGTATGTAGGGCACATTGAACACGCGCATTATATTTGGATAAGGACCCATATCAAATTTATTTTCCTGTTGCACTTTGCAAATTTCTTAAAGGATATACAAGTTGTTTTAGTTGGGGGACCTTAAGGCCTAGATTGGGTACATCACCATTTTTAACTTTCTTTGGGTTTCTTTCCTATATTCTTCTCTGAGTACTCGGTGGTCCTGGCTTGCATATTTAATGAGTGATGTGCTGGTTCTTCTCAGGTCCCCCTATTCTAGTATTGTACCATTACACATCTAATTTAGGGTGCAATAAGTTACTGTTACAATGGGTGTAACCTCGCTCCTTTTTGGTTTACTGTTGCTAGATGGACCACCTGTGGGTTGTGTGGGAGCAACGTTCCCTGCCATTGGGTGCGCTTTCACAGAGTTACAGACGGGGTCGCTGGGTGAGGCCATAGATTTTATCTCAATCAGTCTCATAAACATGATATATGATAATGGTAGGAAGGAAGGCATCTCACATATGAAAATAACTTACAGTGTAGGATTCAAGTCAATGGAAAAAATTACTCCGGGCCTTGGAGGGGCGGGATGCTTACACTAAATCTAATGGAAGGTAATATTCCATTACATTTCACTAATTGGGTGGCGCAAGGGCATATCTATGTTACTTACGTGAGTCAGTGACTTAGGCGCGGTTTAATACAGGGCCATATGTGAATTGGTTCCTAAACTTCTAAAAAGTCAGGGGATTCTGGGGGAGTCTTTTTAGAATCTTTTGAATTGCACCTTTATTCATTAAAAGGGTAGCAAACAACCAACACAAAATGATTATTGTAAAGATATTAAAATGCGGCACAGAAAATAACAGAGCGCGGCTGCCCTGGAAGAACGTGCAAGGATCATCATTTATCGCAGAAGCTATAATATGGAAAATGGTAAGGACAGCGATCTTTGGGCGGGGCAATTTTTTTCTTTTTATCAGTTCCGGATTCTGTTAGAGCCATAAATCTCCATACGTATAATTACCCTTAAGTTATGACTATGATCTTAGCGCAGGCAGAACCTCTAGAATATACTTTTAACTCAATATGGAAATAAGTTAGCCATACACGCAAGTTTCGAAGCTTTGAACAAAGGACTGAGCTGATTAAAAGAGTTTAATAGGTCAAATGTGTGGAAAAAAAAGAGGTATTTCTCGAATTACCTGTAGTTGTATGTTTAAGTTCGGAAATTAAGACCACAACTGCTGGAAAAGTGAAGGCATTCTACCGATGGGTCTATTGTTGTTTGAAAGTTGGAGGACTTGAAATTGGCCAGGCCTCTGGACAAAGGGTAAAAACAGATGGTTGCTTTTGCTCTTTTTAGTTCCATCAAATTTATGGAGCAGGTTATTGTTATTTCCTTTCTTTTGGATAAAGTTCGAGTCATACAATCGATACCTTGAGTTTATACTCAAGGGGGGTTGATGTGTGGCAGCACTACATCTGAGTCGAGCTGTGAAGCAGTTAGACTTTTTGCTGTTAAGTTGTTCTTTGTTTGTTGATGGAGCGCACCCTAATTTAAGATCTCGGCGCTTGCCTGGGATAACGGTTCGCAAGGGAGCTTTGAGCTGGGCGCAAACAAAATAGGGATATCTATTTAAAATGGAGAAACTTATCAGTCAGGTAGATTCTGGCTATTTCACCAGTATTTTATTTGTGGAATTTGTCCATAGCTATAATCTATCTCCTTCTATCATATGATCATGGTTTATCATGGGAAGCTTTGGTATAATCATTTTGGGGCCCTCCAATTTCCGAGCGCGTGCTTTGGACTAAATGTCCTACGAGTGGGGATTCGAAGAAACTCCAAAAATTCTGGGGTAGGGTATACCCGATGCGTACTATTAAATCAAAAATTGTTACTTGACCTTACCTTTCCTTTCGCATTTTGAACTCTTGTAAAAAATAGTATGACATTTGCATGATGCCCCATTTTTGAAGAGAGGTTAATCACTGGTAAGCAATAGCAACACTTAGGGTTGGGCAGGCTGATAAATCTGGAAGCCTGTCCGCACTGGTTTATCTCAGCCAACAGGAGGTTCTATACTGTTCCGTTCCCCTGGAGAGTCCTGCACTTCCATTCGACATACCACCACTACGGTGCCGCCAGGTACCAGCAAAGTGAGTAAGTGTCACGAAACCATTGTCATCATTCTTCCTTTTAATACCTTTGAACTGTAGCAGTTCTAACTGCTTCTTGAATATAATCCTAGATCTGGGAGAATCTTCACGTTCAAATTCCGTATCTTTAGAGCAATGATGTGATGGGTGGACTCTAATTAGTGTTACAAATTATCAAAAGCTAAATTATTTTGGCACTGTGTGGAGTATATCTTTATCCATGGTTTTATAAGGATCAAAGGGTAGAGCCCGTATTTGACTCTTGTTTACTCTTCTGAGCATGAGGGGTTCAAATACTCAAGCTTTGAGAGATCTGAATATTTTACCTATGATTGCTTGATGGACACAAAGTCTCACACCCTCACTTGCCTGTGGACTTGTAGGTACAGGTTTGGTAAGGCTCAGATATTTTCCATATTTGATCTTTTCTATAAGTCATTTATGTCACCCAAAGGATTCTCATGTCGAGCATTTCCAATACTTCCATTATGTTACACCAGAAATATTAGAAGGACGCTTTTGTCGCAATTGGACCATAATGGATATTTTATGTTCTTGAAATTTAAGAGAACACAAACAACACAAACTCTTTAGATGGATTAAAAGTAAGAATGCAAAAGGGAGCCGATGCGAAACAGCATACAAAAAGATATCCCCGTTTATGGGGCAATAGACACACAAATTTACCAATAGCAAGTTGGCAACGTCAGACGATAGGCAATTATTACCAAGTGGTTACATCATTTTTGGGCAACCCCAGTGTGTTCTCGTCTTCGATAAAAGGGTAGATCCATTTCCACTCGCCCTTAAAATTTCAAAAAAGATATGGCATTGCGAAGACTTGAAATACCTTTTCCTTATAACTTTGGTCTGTGGGTCTGGTTGCTCACTAACAATAAAAGGCTCTTCCTATAATCTTGTCTAGAGTTTGCCCATAAATACTTTGTCATCCCCCTGCAAAACTGATCAAACATTAGTGTGTTGGTGTAAATATAAAATGACGATATTGGGGCGGAGAGGTAACATATCCAGTCCTAATTATTTTTTGGTAGGAACTACGCACCACTTTTCTGGAGCGCTCGCGCCCTTCTCCTATTTGTTATCGGAGGTCACCCCTAAATAGTTCCATGGAGGTTGTTAAATGGCACCTTCCTGGCCTGATTGTGGGGTTCTCTAGGCAGCTCCACCTTGCTTCGCTAAGCAGCCCAGCTCGCTTCCAGTTCAGACTAGGCGCTGCGGTATAAACTCTTCACTCTTACCGCCATTGAAAGCGAGGGCTATGACTATGCCTCAGAAGCT